ATGTCATCCTACTGTCTGTCTTCTAACTCTCCTGATGTGTTCAATTGCTACAAACTGTCAATCCACATCCACTAGCCAATCTTCATCATTGATCCTCAGATCATCTAGCCAATATCATTTACTCTGCTCTTGGAGGTCCTCCCTCAGCTTCTTGAGTATGGCTTCTTTCAATATCATACCTGCAATATTCTAGTGTTTTTTGGTCTGTTTGATCTCTTTAGCAATCAGGTCTACATATTCTGTCATTCACCTGTATTGGGCTAGGAACTTGTCTTCCTGTTCCTTTTCTAGTTCTTCTGGTTCTTAGGTTTGTCTCTATAGTACCTTGATCTACTTTGTAGTCTCTCCTTGGGTTATTCTGGTTTGTTTGTTGACTTCCTTCTCAAGCCATTTGACATAGTTCCAGTGTTGCTCCATGACTACTTCTTGTGAGTATAGGTGTTGTTGTGCCAAGTTCTCATAGATCACCTGTCAGATCTTATTTTCTTGTTCTAATCTGCTAGATGTTCCTAGGTAATGCATGTTCATCTCCCTGAACACATATTGTGCATTGACTTCATGCTTTCACCTGTTCTGGTCCTACTGGTATTGGTCAAGTAGTTCATTTGGTCATTCACATGCTTTAATAATCAATATTGCTACCACTTTAGCCTCCTCTTCCATCTTGTTAATTATTGGTTCCTCTACAAATTCCATAGTTGTCCCTATGACTTCCTTTAGGTATTGGGTTTGTTCTTGAGCCTTCTATACCCATTCAAGGTCCAGATCTAGTCAGTTTCATTTGCTCTCCTTTTACTCCTGAGGTTCAATAGGTTCCAAGAATCTAATCCTAAGAGTTTGTATATCTTTAGATTTTCTGTGATTCTTCTATTCAGTGTTGTAATCCTTTCTCTAGTGTCTGGTTTTTCTACATCTGAGATAAGCTTTTTCATCAAAGCATCATTGTCTTTCTTCTTTACTAATGGGGTTTCTATATCTTTGTTTTTATATAGTGTCAAGGTCCATCAGGTTACCTTTGTCTAGTGTCTTGTTTTGATACTTCTTTGTATTTGCCTTATAGTTGTTCCTGTGTCCTGAGTGTTGACACTTCTTTTCTTGCTTCCATTCATATTGGTGATTGTTGATTCTTACAGCTAATTCTGTCATTCCTCTCATGGTTTCTAGCCTGTCTCCTCTGGCTATCTCATCCTTAACTTGTTCCTTGAGTCCATTGTAAAAGATTGTACTTAACAGTACTTGTCTCCATGGCACAATTGATGCTACCCATGTAAACTCTGCTACATACAAGGCTGCCAATCCTTTCTGTTGTATTGTCTGAAGCTTCCATTCTACTGCTTATACTTTGTCAATTTTATCATAGACTTCCTTGATGTGTCTTTCAAATTTGTCATAGTGACTGAAGATGAGTGTGGTTTCTGCTTCCATTTGCTCATTGGGTCTGTTCTTCATGTAGTTGTCCATGTATAGTTGGAACTACTCTAGGGCTTCTTCCTTCATGTACATTTCTGCTACTAAGATCTTGTCTAATTTGCCTAGAAAGGTTGTCATGTTGAATCCTAGGTACAGCTTCATAGCAATAAGCCATGCTTTGAGTATTCCTCTCTTTCCATTGAATTTGTCTGGTGCTGCTACTTTGACATTGGCCTGTTGATGCTGTGTTGCCAATTGAGCTTGAAGTCCTACAATCTGCTCCTTGAGCATCATGACTGCCACTGTGGTTGTTCTAGTAGCAGTTGTTCCTGAATTGCTAGACATAGTGAAATGCCTTTGCTTGAATTACCTTTGTCCTAACATTAGATAGTTCTTTTGTTACAGTGACACCTATGGATAGATGTCAGGTTGTATCTTCCTAGATAGTTCCCTGTTAGTATATCAAGGGTTCTCACCTAGTAATATAGCATCCTACAATATTATTCAGTGATAGGAGTGATATAAGATGATATGATAATTCAGGTCCAGTAGATAAAGTAAACAATAAGATTGTTGTCATACTAATATCTGAATACTGATAACCAATTACTGTAAAGCAGTAATGCTAAAACAATAATGTCAAGAACTACACAGAACAATTCTAGCTACATAGGAAAACCATCCTCCTTATATAACAGTCTATTCCAGTGGTCCTGTTTGTTAATTAGTGCTGATCAGCTATGATTAGTACTAATCACCCCTAATCACCACTAATTACTTTATTCTGCTGCTGATCTCCACTTCCTTATCTTATCATTACATGACCCCTTGCCCTGTGATATCATCAGCATACTATGCCTCCACACTTCATAAGTAGGCCTTGTGCCATCCATTACTGACCCTTGTAACCATCATTACAGACAGTACCTAATACAAGTTAACCTTAACTTGACCTTAACTTGACCTTGACTTGACCTTGAACTAGCATTATGTAGATAATATACTAATTATTAATTAAACTATAACTTAACCAAGAGGGTAATAGGTTAAATAGGCTACTAAGGATTAATTTAACCTTAACTTGAGCTCAATTTAATTATAAGTTAACATTGATTTAGTCTACAAGTTAAGCCTAAATTAATGCTCTAGTAAAGTATAGCTTGACTACAATCTACAGGCTAGTTGTATTTAAGCTAGGTGTTATGCTAGGCAGCCAGGGTTTTGTTTACATCATGGTAGAAATATAAGATATAGTAGTAGTTAAGGTAAGAAAGGGTAGTCTTTAAGTAGTAACTTGTTTTATATAAAGTTTCTAGTAATTTCATTAACTTAAATTAAGAATTGTAACATGCTATACCTAAACTTCTAGAGAATTGTAATGTACTAGGTAGTTTTTAACCCTTAATTGTAATGCTCTAACTGAATTGAGCTAATCATGGTACTTTGAGGATACCTCATTTCACTACCTCCTCAAAACCTGACAAATAACCTAAAATCATCTAATTTTCAAACAGGAATTAAACAGGCTATAATGATTAGAATGAGATTAAAAATATATAGTACAAGTAGGAAAAGGCTTCTCTTCAAAATGCCATTGGTCCAAGAAGATTTGAGCAAGAAATGCTTAAGTTCCATCCTAAACTAAAAGTTGATCCCACCTTATAAAGGTGGTGCCCAGGGCCCCACGTGGTCAGATGGAGGGTTTCCTGGAGTAGAACTTCTGCACAAAGTTGTAGAGAGTTGTGCAAGCCTGTCTAGGGTGCAGGAGAAGGTACTATAAGTTTTTTATAATATTTTTAATTTTTTTTAGATAATTAATAGAATTAAAATGAATGCCTGGTAAGTATAAACAATACTATTACATGTATAGTTATGCTATAGGCTATATGCTTGGAACATGTCTTTACAACCAGGAGGTACTAACTCATACCATTAACACCATGCTATTAAATGTACTCCTTAATCTGTTCCTCACACCAGTCCCAGAACTTGGCTGTGCCCCCGTTTCCACCATCTGCCTCAAGCATTGTTGCCTTTGTCAAATCGGGCCGGAGAGAAAACATACGTCCAAATGGAGCAACTGCAAGTCAAAGATTATTAGTTGTGGTCTCGGTCCCGGATCTTATAGAAGTTCCACACTCACCCCACTCCTTCGTCCAGTCGGCCTGATCCGAGACAACTTCAGGCGAAAAGCCGGCGTAGAGCGCCGTGTAGGCGCCGTACACGGTCGGATAGCACACTAGCTTAGCGATAATGCGTAGCTGCAGGGCTTGGTCGCGCGGCAAGCCGGAGACGACGTTACCGGGATCGATAGGCACGCTAGCGACGCCTTGGGCTTTGTAGTGGCGGTTGTGCTCGATGCCCAGAGCCCAGGCGCCTGTCTTGCTCAGGATGTAGCGCTTGGTTTCCTTTTCTGGCTTGTGGTAGTCAAGGTTGTCGGTGGCGATGCCCACGTCCTGCTGCGCGCCCATCTCCATGCCGAACGAGCTATACCAGACGATGCGGGTCAGACCGTTGGTGGCGACGAGAGTTGGCGTGAGCAGCTTAGTCAGTAGGTGCGTGGCCACGCAATTGACGCCCAGGCAGAGTTCGTGGCCTTGCGACGTTACGGGAATGGGCTCGCCAGGCTCGCTCGGGCCGACCATCTGTCGTCAGTTAGAAGTCAGAGCAACGAAAGGGGGAAGAACTGGATGCGCAGAGGTGGGAGACGTACGACGCCAGCATTGTTGAAGAGCACGTCCAGGCGCTGCTCGCGGGAGAGGAAGGTGTCGGCGGCGGTCTTGACATTTGTCAGGTTGGCGAGGTCGCAGGCTATGAAGATCAAGGCGCCCTTTGAGTCTGGAAAGGCCTTCTCAATGTCTTCGATGGCCTTGAGCGCCTTGTCCTCGGAGCGGCATAGGACGTAGACCTTTGCGTTCTTGGCGTACAGAAGGCGGGCGATGTCTTTTCCGATGCCACTGTTTGCGCCAGTGACGACATAAACCTTACCGTAGAGGTCTGCGGGCAGGTTCGCCTCGGTGAAGGTCGGCTTGGGCGGGAAAAAGTGTCCCCAGAAATGTGACAGCGGCGGCATTGTTGCAAGGTTGGTCAGTCTCACCCCGGGCTCTCAAGAATCGTTAGGGTCAGTGCCTAATAGATGAGCAGCACGGATCCTGAAGCATAAGTGATTTCAATTAAACTGCTAGCGGTCTATCTCGGATATTTTGTTGCAGGAAGCTGTTTTAGCTAAAAACCTCCAAAGTTATATCCGTTTGCCCGGCGGGGCTGACTAGTAAGCCGGCACGGGCCGACTAGACTCCCGCCTATCAATCATAGTACTACGGAGTACAAAGAGTATGGGGGGTATAAGTGGGCGCTTAATCAACCCGCCGGGTACTCCTAAGCCAGGTTGAGAAAAGGAGAGTCAAGATTAACCTGACCCAGACCAGTGGACGCCGTATTTAAACTAGAATTTCTAATTTAGAGGCAAAAAAAGTCATACAAAAAACAATGTTTTATAAAGAAAAAAAAATTATATAGTATTGTTAAATAAAAGTATAGATTAATTTGAGCTTGATAGATTTTAAACAATAAGGATAACAATGCAATATTTACATCCTAAGGATTGAAATTTGCTTGTTTGTCTTATCCAGTGTAGTTGACTCTACAATATCAATGTAGCTCCATGAACTATCATTGTCGTTGCCTCGATCATTGATGTATCCAGTCCACACGGAGGAAAAGCTCTGACCAGGATCAAGCACGAGGGCCGACAGCGAATTTTCACCCTCATTCTTCGGCCCCGCTACACGCAGATCATACTGGTAGTAGATGGACTTGGTGCCGATTTTGCTAGGCGTGGGGAGAGTTGCTCCCACTGTTGAGGCTGGCGTTACATATGTGTGGCCCTCGTGATCTTTGCTGCCATCCGTGTCTGATACGAGTTCTATCACGGCGTCTATGTCGTGTTTGAACAAACAGGCCAGATCGCCACCACCAAGAAGAGTGATTGTAAGAAAAGGGAACGACACCTGGTCTGCTGAATTGTTGGTGGCTGTGACCCGGATGCTAGTCAGATGCTTGGACAGAATTTGTTGCGGGGATAGTGTATAGGTCAACTTTGGATCTGGCGCCGAATCGAAGCTATCGATGAGAGGTTTGCCCGTATTTTCAATGTACTTTTCAATCGGGTCTTCTGGGGGGTCTCCCATAAACAAGTTCATCAAAAGACTGATGAACATTAAGACGACTCCGACAACAGCCAGCACAGCACCAACAACAGACAAAGCAGCCGACAGGACCTCGGTTGTGACCCAGAAGCCCAACTCGACTCCCGTCTCGAAAACATCGATTAGCACGGTCAGCGCTTGTGTGACCACTGTCAACGTATTGATAATCTTCCCGGGAGTACTCAAGTTGTCCCAGTCGCGCGCCAAACTGAACGTCATAGCTATCACCAGCCCAATTCCCAGGATGACATTCAGTACCCTCAGTGCTTTGCCCGAAATAGAAAACTTGTCCGCTTGCTCCTCCCCACCAGGAGGCACGTCAGCAGCTGGCTTGTCGAGGGATTCGTCCCAGATTTCATCTTCCACGACTGTTTCCTGCGAACTTGGGATTCCATTGCCAGTGATCCGGTCGCTTAGCTTCTCCCAGGCGGCTCCCTCTTCGCCATATATTTCATCAACTGTGTCAGCTAGTTCTTCAATATTTTTGGTGATTGAGTCGCCTACGGACTCATTCAGCTTGGTCAACGCAATCGCCGTGTCCGCTGATTGGCTATTGCCGCTCATGAATTGCTTCCACGCATCCATCGCGTTGCTGATACCGTTTACAACCATCTGCAAAGTTTGAAGAATGACTGTAATTCGCTGGGACGTGGAGAGGATGCTCCAGTCATTCACAAGGCCAAAAAGAGTATATGCGGCCTGGAATATTTGAAAAGCAGCCTGTGGAAAGAGCTCTTAGTGACTTTGGCTCACCCTAATGAAGGTGCATATACTGACCATACAGGCGGAACCGATTCCTTTCAGATTACTCACTCCCTTCACTACATCACCTACCTTTTTGGCGGCCTGTTCAAAGCCCTCGCTTACCCATTGAAAAAGCTTGGTTCCCCCAAATGCAGTGCTCAATCCCATGCCTATTGCACTGATCCAGTTGCCCATTTGCGTCATGAGGGTGCCTGACACAACCATTATGGCGGCCGTTCTTTCCTCAATTGTCTTGGTCTGGTCCAAATTATTGGCCTTTTCAAACTCATTGATCTGCTCCTGCAGTGCTTCTCGCACTTGTTGATTGATTTGGGAGTTGTTATCCAACACCTGAAGGATCAGCTGTTCCATAGCATCTGCAATCCATTGCCCGGCTAGGTCCTTGTCTTCGTCGATGTACGGATAATTCAAGGTCGGATCACTAGCAACGTACCCGACAAATTCCTTGAACCAACAGTCGGCGAAGCTTTTGCTGGTATCTAGAGCGTCGAGAAGACAGCATTGCTTATTGACCAGGTTGTTGCCGTTCTAAAGCCCCAATTAGCCAAGGTTTTGAATAACACAATTTATACTCACGTCCGCTATCGGATGCGCTGCATAAGCCCTTATCACTCTCTTACTGCTGATTGCTTTGAAAAGATCATTGGCCCATCCCTCGGCGCCCTGGCTGCTATCAATGTAGGTGTTTAGAAAGGCCTTGTCGTAAAGCTGGTGCATGGCCGCCCGAGAAGCGATTCCGTTAAGATCGTTGTACTCTTGGGACTGAGCCAATGAGTTCTTGCTGTTACCTTCCCACCAATACCAGAGCTGTCTCTTCTCCTTTTCCGTAAAGCTCGAAACATATTTGGCCGTACGGCCAATCGACCGACAGATAAAAGCCGGTCCATACTTGTTACGGAAGAAGTCTTTGAGATTCTGGGGCAAACTGCTGCCCAGTTCTGATGGAAGATCGGGCTTGCTTACGTCCATAAATTGGTCGCGGTCGTCGGGGTTCATGTGGAAAAGCATCATGTCATGAATAAGCGATTGAGAAGTATTATGAACCTAGTTGTTGCTCTTGAAGTCAGTTTTCTTCCGGAGTTATCATTGAAACAACACCAAAGGCAAAGAAGCGTACATCTTTCTCGTCATAAACGGAAAATTCGACGAGGGCATCAATATCCGGCTCGATATCGCGCAGCAGGTCTTCCGTGACTCTGGCTGGAAGCCGTTCGGCCGGGTTCAAATCCGTAGCATATGCATGGGAAACCTTGGAGCGAAGACGAGCTTCGTAGGAGCTTTTTGCGTCATCTCCTGGCGTGCCCACGACAAGATGCCTGTCATGAAAGATTAGTCGAGGCTTTTTTACGCTTTGGGTGTTTCATCATTCGCCTTACCGATTGCCTTTCATCCCGCGCTTGGTCGGGTCATACTCATACCATGCCCCCGTCAATTTGGTATACAGTGGATTATAAGATAGAGTCATCTCCTGGAACAGAACGGGAAGCGTAAGGTCAACACCAATGGCATCCTTGAAGCTCACTTCGAGGGTCTCCACATCCATTCCCGAGTCAGAAATGAACGGCATCAGGGCGGACTTGTCAAGCCGGATGCAGACTTTCTCACGGCCGGACTTGTCTATATAACAACTCGTTGTGTAGAAATTACCGAGATTTTGTCTGAACTTGCTGTTTATCTGGGTCTGCAGCTGGTCGAGAACAGGAATCTGGACCTGAATGACATTGTAAGGGGCTTGGACATCAACTAACTGTCCTCCATCGATTGGGTCGTCAGGTTGAGTTTTTTCGGTATCTTCCTCCCAGACACTGCGGTCATACTGAACATTCCATCTCCCTATCTCGAATGTCCCATCATCATCATCATCATCATCACTATCCCCATCATAAGTCCAGCGCCCAAGCCGTGCGCGAAACGGATAGATCTGATCGCCGTTTTGAGTTTGTGTAGACTCTGAATCGTTGGAAAGATAGATGACCCCATTTCCACCAGTGCCTCTGGAATCCACTCGAACCGCCCCATGCTCAAACAATTTCTGTTGTGGTAGTTCGCGAGTCCATCGAAACACTCTACGCTGCGATTCATACGTAGACTTCAGTTGCACTTCGTCATTCACCACGAGATAGCCATCTACAATGGCCAGCGCTGGGAGCACGTATCCAGCTGGCACGTAGGATTCGCGGCAATGACTCAAGGAGAAAGTTCGAACACGCCCGGAGTGCAAGGGGACACCTCTACCAGCTCGGGATTTCGACCGTTGGATCACTACCTTGCGCAAATCACCTGGCGATATGTTTTGGGTTTTATGCGTCGCAGGAGGCTGCTCCCCGTCTGGCGACTCATACTGGCCGAACAATTCCCAGTTCAGTCGACTATGGATCACCCGCGCGTCGTACTTGAGAAGCAGGGCCTGGGCCTCTTCGATCATCGCTAGTAAGGATAGCCGCTTGCTACCAGGAACAGCTCGCAAAGCCTCCGCCACCGCTCCAAGAGTGTGCTCGGGGCGGTTCAAGGCCACCTGGTAACCACCCGCATAGTGCGTCGGATGAGCCTCATTAAGAGGAACACTGTAAGCTGTCTGCATTGTTGGGTCATTGCTCTCCTCGATTGATTTGATCTCGAAAGTCGTGCATCTGTCGCCCTGCATGTAGTACAGCAGATGCCCAACCGCCAGTGGTTCCACTTTTTGGAAAGGGTTCTGCGTCTGCGCTTCATCCGGATCAACGGCGCGGAGCCCCGTGGTGGTGGAAAAGACTTGCGAAGTCGTGGTGAATGGCTTTCCACCATCTGCATGCAGATCCTGCGTAAGTGACCTATCTTTTGGGTTGCGTTTCTCTAGGGTGGCAAAGCGACTTACTGAAAGCAATCCATCTGGCGTGGCACTGGCGCCGGATTGGAGGTTTTTCCAAGGCCACCGAAATAGGCGGATTCTTGGTAGTGAGAACATGGTCCCCTGCCTTGAGCTGCTCAATTGGACAAGAAGTTCCATTGGGGAGTTGGATATGTGTTCCCGGCAAGAATACTGCGCCCGATCCTCGAGCGGTTAAGGGGTCATTCGTGATGACAGTGATGTCGGGTCGAGTGAAGTATAGGCCGGTATCACGCTCCCAACCGTAGCCTGTTCCCGTCAGTTACAATGAGGGCGAAAACTGGTATGGAAAAGAGAAGCAATACAATTAGCCATCCAGCCTTTGACAGTATTCCAATCCATTGCCGAGAATGCAGCGTCCGCTCCGCTCTGCCAGTAACCTTTGGCATTAGCAACATACGTGGAGGACAGCACCTGGCAGTAGGACTGCCACTCATTGATAATGTCTTCGCTATCATCAATCCTGGATAGACCGGATTGTACTGCCGAGGTATATTCGGCATCGTCAAAAACTGTCGAGTCTGCCACATTCTCGTAAAACTCTTTGAGAACATTGAAAGTGGGGGTAGGCTGCAGAAGTCCGGACTCGGTGGGTGGGCAGAGTCCCAGGGTGGCATGACGACCGCAAAACGTGAGGACATCTTCCGTGCTTAGCTCTGGATTGTCCTCTGCTCGATGAGCCCATATAGTATGTGACCAGATATTGAGCGTCTCGCATGCGAGAGTGCGTTGAAAATTCGGATCCAGTCCCGGGATAGATAGATCTGGATCCCGCAGGTTGTCCACGATAAATAGAAGACATATACTGAACAGGTGATTCCCCTTGAGACCGTCGATGCGGACCCTATTTCGGATGAATCTTTCACTTTGTATCATGTCCTTGTAATACTCCAGGAAGCCGGGCAGGTCAGCCAGAGTTCGGAGGCTTCGCAGACCCATTTCCTGCATCTTGTTGTTGATATGTTCACCCAAGCAGAACCCGAGAAGAGAGGTCATTACGTCCAGATACCGCGATTCAGCATTGGTCTACATTCTTACTGTTATTTTTGGCCGTTTGTCTTGGAAAGAATTGCCGCTTACCTTACTGATGTTGCTCTTGAGGCCTTCCTTGTCTTTGCTATCACTGACTCCAATGATAGCATCGCCCATCGATGCTATAGCTAACGCCGTGAGCTCTTTCCAAGCGGCATAGCCATTAATGAGTGTGTCACTATCACTCGGAGGGTCAGGTGGATAGTTTGGATTCCCACTAACGTATCTTTCCAATCCCAACAGAAAAGGATGAAGTTTTGCCTTGTTGTGCAAGCGATATGCGAAGTATTCCATCGGGAGGGGGTCAAGGCTCGCGAGAGCCGTGATTAGGCTCTCGAAGACAGGCTCATAATCACCGTGATCTCCCATACTGATTTTTCCGCTCTTGTTCGTTCAAAGAAAATTTCTCAATGGAAATGCCAGATTGCTCTACTCTGAGAAACTTGTTGATATTTGTAGAATTAGTGCAACGGCGTGGACGAGAGCACACCATATTCATTTTTATATCCCTTTTCCAGCAATTTTCTCTTTCATCATCTGCCCGGGATACTTCCCTTGAACTCAGGCGATAATGAACACGTCTGCACCTCCCATCATCTGACGTTTCTGACTCGCAAAAGAGGGGTTGAGATGCATAAATGACATCAACTCTCGAAGAGACCCTTGCTCCCAACTTGCATAACCCCTCACTGCAGTACACTTGGTGATCGTCCAGATTTTTGCTCTTAAGAAGCTCTCAGGAAGCCCCCCTATGTGAGTTTCAGGCTCTATCCTCCTCTTAATTTCCCGAGCAAAAAACAAATATCAGAAAGAAAAGAACACAAAACCAAAAGAGTAAAGAGTCACGATGAAGAGCCTTATTTTCACCGCGTTGTCGACTTGTGGCGTGCTCTCATTCGCAAGACTTGCTCAATCGGCAGAGCCTGAGGTGGGGTCATTTTCGCATGTGCCTAGAATGCCCGTACTGAATCTCGTTGCCATGGCAGGTTCTTGCGTACAGTCGGCCTAATTACGGGGGAACGGTCTCCACCGTCCCCCTGAATGGGTCCTGCTTCACTCCCAAGGATGCTGATGAGTAAGCTTCAGCCCTCCCACATTACAGATCTTCTTCTAATCCGCAATCTTGACAGTTCGCCCTTTTCTCTCAGGATTACACAGGCCTCTTGTGACATTTACTTGTAAGCTGGCAGAGTACTCTTCTCTTCTCTCCAATAGAGACTGATATGCATGAATGTAGATTCGCGTTCACCTTTCAAGACTGCTATGAGATAGATTATGCGGCCATGGGACCCCCTGGAACCCCTCAGTTCTCTAGTGGTCAGGAGTATTACTTTTGGCAAGTGCGATGTTACCAAGACCATAGCGACGATGAGCTGTAACCTGCATGTCCTATACCATTTTCTGGAGACACTTGTGACTTAGTCATTTTCTCTAGATAAATGCTACAATTTTTCCACTTAATCATTATCTAGATCTAGTTGTTCCTGCGATGCAAATGCAAGCTAGTGATGGTGGCTGATCTACCATTTACCTCGTACACAACCAGCGAATAGTGGAGTCCCACTAAAACTTAGTGAGATCTTTGCCGGAGTATTCAGATCCGAGTTACCCTGATTCTAGTGCAGGGCAACCTGCAGGCGCGGTCCGTCCCTTGGCTGAATTATCGTGAATAATGGATATAGCATGCTGTCGTACCCCCTCTAATCGGGGCAGAAGAGTTGCCGATCTCCCGCTTGGTTTCAGATGGACACGGAACACCACCATCCCCTCCTCTGCAACGTGCATCTAAAGATATGCATGATTACGACTATGACGCAAGATGATGTGCACAAAGCCGGATCGCCGATGCCAGCAGCCAGCCACATCTCGAATCTCCTCATTTTTTGGGGTGCATGAGTTTGAGCTTGCGAATGATTCAGCTCCGAAATGCCGAATTGTTGAACACATTTCCTAAAGGCTTGGTTTGACTTTCGAATCCCTGCACTTACCCATTTGAGGGTGTTACTCCTTAAGTAGTGAGGTCGGAAAGACTGCTTCTTACAAACGGAAACAGCTTTACAAATAGGCCTCATGTAGCTTGCGTTCCGTTACAAACAGTGCTCCCACGATGGGAATCTGATAGGATTTCACCTTCCGTGTATATAATCAGGTTCAATTCTTAACTAGATCAATTCAGCAATATCTCTGTGATTGACTGAGTGCTGTTTCTTGCCTTGCGATATCTTCAACAGTAAATAAATATTAAAGATTCTCTTTCAGTTTTTGGTAATTAACAATTATTTAAAATGTAAGTACATGATGCTAGCTAGTTAAATACAAAGATAAACTTAAAGTTGTTTAATACTCTATACGTTGCATTGCATTCGTTGGTTCATCAGACTGTCATTTTGCCCTGAGGATATCTTCTATCATTTCTGGCAGGGCGCCGTATTGTGGAAAAATGACAGTATCATGACTGGTCTTGGAAATTGTCTCACTCTCGTATAACAGGACGCTGTTGTCAGCACCACTCCCAAGCTCTTCTAGGATAAACTTCTTGAAGCATGCATCAAAATAAGCACTCCCTTTCTTCCCAATCAACAGGTCTGTCTCAGCCCAGAATACCTTTAGGGTAAGGCGCTGCGGGGCTTGAGGAATGACAGGGGCACCAACGTCTGAGTGTTGCCGGCCGTGGAAATACTCTCTCAACTTCGCATCTAACTTTCCTGGGTAGTCTTCGTAGCTTTCGCACGCACCCCATGGTCCAGCCACGCTTTTCTTCAGCAACAGGAGAGACTCGTGGTTTGCACCGCTTGTATCCTCGCTGAACAGGGCTTTCATAACTACCTCGGACTGCGCCGTGGCCTCGGCGGCAGACACGCCGCGGAACTCATGGCACAAGTCGTCCCGCAAGTGCTTTGAAACCCTCGTGTTCTGCCCCTCCGTGCCACCACTATGTCCGCTAGAGGCTGCGAATGGTGCGGACACGGCAGTGGAAATGCCGCTTGAGAATTGTACGGTAGGCACGATCTTAGAGGCGACGAAGCGCACGACGCTGTCGAAGCTCCCGATGACCTTGGAAGGCATATACGAGGAGATTGACAGATAACTGATACCGGAGTGGTTGGGGCTCACCCACGGCGCAAAGAGGTAGAGCCTGGGGTCGGACGGAGACAAGATCCATGGCATGGAGTACACGGTGTTGAGCGCGTAGATGACGCCGCAGCTGTGTGCGCCTAGCACGACGTGCTGAGCGCCGAGGACGCGCATCAGCGCCGGCACGGTCTCGAGCCAGACAGCAAGACGCTGTGATGGCTCTACGGGTGTTGATCCGCCCATGCCAGGGCTATAATGCGAGAAAGAAGAAAACCGACGCGTCAGCTAGGTACATGACAAGCACCACTGAACTTACCGGTCTGCGACGACAAATCTCAAACCCCGCTTCTCGCTGATGTAGTCCGCCATGGTGGCCAAAAACCTCCCGCCGTACAAGCCGCCGATAAATAGTATTGTCGGCGCGGAGTCGCGATCCTTGCCGGCGACAGCGTAGGTTACGGTGAGCTCGTCATGGCTGTCTGTTGCCGGGAGGGTAAACCGGCGATTGAACTTTTCCCGTGCGATGTAGTCTCTTGCGCGGGTCCGCAATTGCTCTGGACTGACACCTGGCGGAGCTGCAGGTCCAGGCACCGCTGCAGGCTGATCTGGGACTGCGGCGGCCATGATTCATGTATTGCGATATGTATTTAAATCTAGCGGTGGGGTGGTCGGCGGCGAAACAGGGATGTGCTGGTATTTATAGGGCTGGATTGCCAAAGCGGTGCCAGAGTATTACAAACACAGCCTTGATACAGTATGTAAGCCCTGCTGAATAGTATTTTCTTTCATTGTCATGGAGCGATGTTCATGAGAGGAAGTTGCGTGGAGTCTGGGTGACAATGGAGTACAAACGTTAAAGCGGAGAATGTTAGGAATGCTAAGCATTTTGGCTACCAGTACCGTCCTATAAGTATAACTACCTTAAGGTAGCAGCTGATGAAGATTAGATAAAGTTACCTGATTCTTATCTTAGACCTTGCTATCGCCTGAGCATCCTTAGCACGCTCGCTTGAACCCGCTCATCAGCCAGTCAAGTACGTTAAGCCTTTTTGAATGTCTACTACGTAGGTGTCACTATTATACTAATAATTTCTTTACTCTCTTGGATATATTATATCTACAGTCTTTTATTATATCATATTCAAATTGATACTTCTTCAATACTTAACTTTCTAGCTTTATCTTTTTCTAGTGTATTTTTAGGGTTTAAGTACGTCGGGTTTGTCGGGTTTACCGGGCATGTCGGGCATATTAGTTAAGGTATGTGACGATGTCGGGTATATCGGACTTGTCAGGCATATTGACAGACATATTGTATCTATAACGAAGATGCCACATTATTGTACCATTGATTCGGCCGAAAGAAAGGGCATGTACTAGGAGTTCAAGATAAGTATAAAATGGTCCGTTTATCATATGGATTCTCTCACGGAACTCTAGATGCTTTCTTTTTATCAAAAGTTTTCCAGATACAGGAAACATGACACAACTTAGGGTCCTCATCTGCGGCGCGGGCATCGCAGGTAATGCCCTTGCATTCTGGCTATCAAAGCTCGGCCATAGCACCACCGTTATTGAGCACTTTCCAAGTCTGCGTGCCACGGGGCTACAAGTCGATCTTCGCGGACCCGGGATCCAAGTGATGCAAAGAATGGGTCTCGAGACAGCTTTCCGGGCTCGGTCAGTCCCAGAACAAGGCTTGCAGCTTGTTGACCGAAAGGGAAGACGATGGGGATATTTCCCTGCAAACAGATCGGGCAAGGGATTGCAAAGCTTCACCACCGACTTTGAGATCATGAGGGGTGATTTGTGTCGGCTTCTCCACGACGCTACCAAGGACCGTGCCAAGTACGTGTTCGGACAGTACGTGCGGCGGATCGAGCAGACGGATGATTTTGCAGAAGTCCTTTTTTCAGATGGTAGCAAGGAGCGGTTTGATCTCGTCGTTGGTGCTGATGGCCAGGGATCTCGCACCCGAAAAATGATGCTCAATGCCGACGCTGCAGATCCTTTTCACCCCCTCGGAGCATACGCAGGATATTTCACAATCGACCAGGAACTTCAAGAAGGGGAAGGGTACAACGCCACTGCATTTATCGCTACGCAGGGCCGAGGTATCATGACTCGCCGACATGATCCTTCCAAGTTCCAAGCATATCTCTTCTGCAACCCAGGCTCCTCAGACCGACTCAAACTTGCCAGCAAGGGCGACACCGACGAAGAAAAACAGGCACTGGCAGAGGTCTTCCACGGTGCAGGGTGGCAGACTGAACAGATTCTCAAGGGACTGGCACGTTCCGACGACTTCTATTGTGAGCGGATCGGCACCGTCCAGCTAGACCATTGGTCTCGTGCTCGCATTGCGTTGGTTGGAGATGCAGCCTATTGCCCGTCCGCCATGACGGGAATGGGCACAACCTGTGGCATTGTTGGTGCCTACATCCTAGCTGGCGAGATTGAAAAATTCTGTGGCAGGGGCTCTAAAGATGCAGATGTAACAGTTTCCAAAGATAGTATCACAACTGCATTGAAGTCATACGAGCAAAAGTTGAGGCCCTTTATGGACCAGGTCCAGAAGGGATTAACGGATGATCAAAATTATATGGACAAATTCCCGTCGTCGTCCTTTGGAATCGCTTTTATCTACGCCATTTTCGGGATTGCCTCTTTCTTCCGGCTGGACTTTATTGCTCGATGGATCCTGCGTGAAGATATCAAGGGGTGGGAACTTCCAAAGTATCAAGAGATGGTAAGTGACTGAGACAGGGTCAATATCCATAGCTAAGTAGAATATCCTCCTCTCGGTGTATTATGTATCTACCTCAATGTAAATTAGCAAACCTATAATTCAACAAAACGGATTTCTTTATTAATTCTAATTAATTTTAAGTTTCAATGCCATAACTACCAAGCTGATAAATGTGCTTGATACTTAGAGATATAATTAACTGTTCTGCTTAGTCTGCTTAATCTCTTTTTAATGGCTAAAACCAGGTTTGACCGGGTTACTGTAGAGGAAAATAACAGTCCGAAAAGTCAAAGTTGAGATTCTCATCATCGAGGAAGTCAAAGTCAGCGTCAATGCTTGCGCGTGGGGACTGCATGTTGTTTGTTTGCCATAATTCAAAATCCGGATACATTGATTTGGTAGAAGTATCGGTAGCCATGGATTCCAGTATATTGTGGCATGTGTCCAGACTTTCACGCAGAGCCTTCAGAGTAGGCTCCTTCGTTGGCAAGCCATCAAGGCGAGCCTCAGTTTGGGCCAGTAGCATGCTGAGAAACACATAGCCTTTCACATTCGTATCACCGCGCAACATTCTATCCTTTGCATATTGCACCACACGGTGGGCATCTTGGAGCAATAACCCTTGGCGAGCACGGTTCCTTTTCCTGGCGAAAATTGAGGTGTCTGCTTCAGGCTCCGGATTAAGTTCTAGAAAAATGAGTAATGCCCCTCGTGTGATAATGTCGCGAAACATGCCACCTCCGGTGAGGAGTAACAGGTAATAGAGATCATCCTCGAGAAGTGAGACCAGGTCGAGGGCGGCTTCAAGACAGGCTTTCTGGGAGTAACTGTACAGTGGATTTGTTTTAGCCTTGATAGCATACCGGTAGTGAAGACACAATGGAAAGCGACGAAGGAGATGACTGCAGTAACTGGATGCAAATTGGCCTGCAGGGTCTGTATCGCCCATGAAGGCAGCCTGGTCGATCGCGATGGCAGCGTCACGACATGCGGAGGCCAGCTCATTTCCAAGAGCTAGGACTTGGTCATAAGACGGTTCCTCCTGCAGGCTATTGATCACTCTGGTGGCACGCATTCTGAGAGGAAGGGAGCTGGCCAACAGAGACTGAAAGGAAATTCGAGAGGGTTTCAAGGCTGTGCTTTCCCGGTGTATCTCCCGTCCCGCACCGTTGAGGTCGTCGTCGCTTACATTGGACGGCGGCAGGGTATTGTAGTCGCCGTCCAAAATCATGGGCGACATTCCGGAGTCCAATGCGGCCTGCACATTCATTTCCAGGATAGTATACCATAGTCGCCTTCGAATCTCTTTCTGCTGCACACTCATCTCCCCAAGGTGATTTGGGTCTTGATGCAACCCCATCTGCATGGCCATCCTCATTAATGAGCCTGCCGAGATCCATACCAGATCCGCTCCCAATCGGTTGACTAGACGAGAAAGAAGCAGCAGGCAGTGGACTTGAACACCTTTCAATGTCAAGCGGTCTTTTTCCAGTGGTGCAGAAAGCCATGTCTGAGAGATATACATCCAGGTTGAGGCCTTTATAGCCATCTCGCTGCGAACATTGGCATCGCCGTGTAATGGACCGGCAGCAGCCATGATAAGAAGAAGCTGCACAAGAAAAGAGCTCTCTGTAGTTTCAGGATGATCCATGTAGTCCTCGTACTCTGTCATGAATGAAGGACGGTGTAGAATTTGGTGGCAGGATTCAAACGTGGTAAAATAGAGCTCAACCAGTTCATTGATTACTTCGCGGTCGGGAAAGAATCGATGGATGTCCGCGGGGAGGCACCTCCGACTGGGGCGTCGTTGCTTGATAACTCGAGCCAACTGCTTGCATTGGACAACGGTCTCTGCGACTCGGTCTAGGGGACCGTGGTTTGCCTGCTGGAAAATCATATCATAGTACTCACCGATGGGCTGGAGACTGGACAGGCCCTCCACCTTCAAGGATTATAAGCAGACACCCAAGAAAGCTATTGTGTGCTAATGAGACAGGATCATACCAGGGAGTATGTGTTCATCCAATGCCCGTGTCCAAAAACCCGAGTCTTTGATACAGTGCCCTGAATCGGGCCTGAGAGAGTTGAGGCGCGTGGTGAATTACTGCTGGACTTTGGATCTTCAGGGGTAATCTGTCTTCTGTCTTCCTGCTGCGGGCCGCCAACACCACTCGACTCTCTACAAACGGGAAGCGTACGACGATTTTCCTTGTATGAGCATGAGGACTCCAAATTGTGAGCTGTGCACTGTCCACATGGTTTGGTCCGGTTGCACCGGACTTTGCGCCGGCGGCACTCGATACAAGAATACGCCGGGCGTTGGCGTTTTCGTACAGGCTTAGAGGGAGCAATCATTTTTGCCTGCATCACCATAGGAATATTTGAATTTTCGAATATGTCGGGTTAGATAGAATAATTTGCCTGATGAGCAAGTGGAAGGTTGAAAAGGTTAACTCCGGGCCGTCGGCCGTAAGGATAGCTCCGGGGGATCGAGAAGCCGACCTCCTACCTTGCCTTTCATACCTACTCTGTACGTCACCTGGTGAAATGACGAAAATCCCAAGCGACGCGGACAGTTAAATCTCCATACGAATAGATGACTTTATTCAGAATATTTTCAGAGCTTATACAATGCAAATTTCAAGTTTCATGTAGGCATTTCACCATGATACTAGATAGGTTCTTCTGGTCTAATGAGTTCCTCCGAGTTTGGTAAATTTAAGATTTAAGCTAGATCATCTAAACACGGTCCAATAAATCTAGTTCTACTAGCGAGCTTATTTGATCATTCAAATAAATCAAATATTTATTTTGCAGCTGTGACAGTGCTGAAATTTTGGGATATCAGGACCGAGATTCTGTATTTTTGTACTGGCCGGGTCGGGTACGCGTGGTGCACTTGAGCGGCAGATGACAATCTAAGACCCTTTGCCGACAAGCGCCCAGCCAAGGCAGCTAAGCGAAGCGAAACGCCGTGATTATCAGCGGACCTCTCAACCCGCAAGCTTGTATCTTAGTATCCATGACTCTGTTTGAGACCTAGCCCATCTTTCTCCTTTCCTGTTTGCATTCTACTATGCACCAAATAGCTTCCATGGCCCTTTCAGGTCATTGGTCCAGACCGACCTAGCTTATATCTAATACCATCTGATTGACCTTATCTACTTTACGGGCATCGTGTACATTGCCGGGATTGATGGAGCCGTCTGAAAGCCAACCCGTTCCGCCTTCTCCTAATGCCCCCGCCACTAGCGATACAAGTCCGCGAATGGACTCGTGCGTCAATACTGCTTCAGAGACGAGCCACATATTAGAAAGCACGGTGACGATAGCGGCGGCAGACCCGGGGCGCGACACCCCCAGAGCGGGACATGAGTCTCGTGTGACCCTAACGTCACCAACGGCTTCCGAGGGACCAGTCATATCGTCGAGAACGGAGCCATATATGATACATCAAGGAAATTCGGCTGCAGAAGATTCGAGCAATGCGCTTCGGGTGCCTGGTGGACGTGCCCACGAGCTGTCAGACGGTGGCGGCAATCAGGGTCTCGCTCCAGTGAATGTCCCTGAGCAGGCGAGCCCTCGTACAGAAGAATCGTTAGCAACGAATGGTTCACCGTCAGCCGTAATTCGAGGCGCGGGTCAAATGAGCAGCAACCCCTCTGACGCCAATACCTTGTTACAGAACAATCTTCTCGTGCTTCCTCGATGGCAGCCAGATTCAGAAGTCTCGACTTGTCCCATTTGCAATACGCCTTTTACATTTTGGTATAGAAAACACCACTGTCGGTAGGTTGACTTTCGTTTTATGTGACTTGTCTCTGGGCAAAGCATGAAATATCGGATAAAAATGTTGTCAAGGCTGCGTTTCCTTGGAACCTATTTCCCCCCATCAAACCACGAATCGCATGGTTTTCCTTTCTCTTCCCCCTCCCTTTCCTCTTGCGTGTGCCCCTGAAATGGCTGTTGCGGTATGCCTATCCCAATATCCCGGCGCTCTTGAGCCGTTGCATTTCCTATCCCCAAGCTTGCAAGTGGCATATTTTGCAGCCCTACCCCTTCTCAGGAGGACCTCAAACGTGATTCTAATGACCTTGCCTGAAAATATTTATTTTATGCAAATGCAAAGCGTGCTTTTAACTGTTCTCGTTCCATTCTTACCATTTGATTGATTAGGAAATGTGGGCGTGTCGTTTGCTCGGGATGCTCCCCACACCGAATTACAATACCACGCCAGTTCATCGTTCGCCCGCCAGAAGATGTTGTCCGTGACGAGGCATGGAGGCGCCTAGCTGGAATTGCAGATGATGCCGAAGATGATGCCGATGCAGGTCATCGAGCACGTTTAGATTCATCTCTGACTCAGGAAAGGCTCCTGAATCCCGCACTAGGTGGTGGCGCTGAAGTTCGAATCTGCAATCCGTGTGTTCCAGACCCGAACTACAACCTGCCGTCTACGTTCAATTATACCAACTTGAGCAATCCTTTTGTGGACGAGAGCAATTCTCGCCAGTCCTCATATCTCTACAGTGCGTCTCCCAAGGATTTGCAATGTGCTATACTGACCGCTAACCTTTTGCTAGCCGCCTCTGGCGCTTCGCAACCTACTAGCAATCTCAGGAGAGGACATAGGCCAACTCAAAGTGCTGATGTCGCTCCTTCATCCATTTACGCAAGTTCAGATGGCCTTCGCAACCGCTCAGCTACATTCTCTCACCGTCGTCCGCGACCAAACCCTGTTTCTGGTACCTTTTCGGAGCCGCAGGTACAGTACGATCGAAGCAACCTATCTATACGCAATTCTAACCCTCTCTCGAATGGTGAACAAACTTCTGCTCAAGCGAATCATGTGCGTTCCTTAGCTCCTTCCTACTACCGGCCCGCGCAGTTCAATACTGGTGGGCAGAACAGTCATTTCAGTGAACAACGAGCTATTTCCAGAGGCTCCGGCGGCCCAGCACTCCGCACAGGCTATCGTTCAATGGTCGACGTGGGGTCCGTGGTTCCACGTCAACAGTTGCATCGCCAAGCCTTGCGTGAGGAAGATGAGTGTCCCATTTGCCATGCAGAGCTACCGCCGCTTTCAGACAACGGAAGCAGTCTGGAACGAGAACAGCATATCAATGCCTGCGTTGACCAGGCATTTTCTGGCGGCCCTCCTTCAAGGCCTCATTCTGCTGCCCCTATCGGGCAGAGCTCTGGGGCTGTAATGGACGACGATTCTGGGCCGCCGCTGCCATACGGTGCGCTTCGCAGACCGAAAGCGATGCTGACTTATAACGCGACCGAGAAAGACTGCATGGGAAGCACCGGGGAACCCCAAGAGTGTGTGATTTGTTTCGAGGAATTTGCTGCGGGAGACGAGCTTGGTCGATTGGAATGCCTCTGCAAGTTCCATCGGGTACGTTAAATCTGACTCTCTCAGTCATTGTTGAAACCTCAGACTGACGACAATAGCTTTGCATTCGGCAATGGTGGGAGAAAAGAGGGCCGGGATCTTGTCCTGTACATCAGATACAATTGTGACGACTTTTGGATAGAAGCCTTTTATCTATTTCGGAGCAGTATTATAGATTGGATACCAAATTAGGAAATGTTGAAAGCAATGGGTGAAAATTGACATGCGGCTCGATTTGCTTTTCTCGTCTTGACTGGAGTTCAGGTTGGCGGCCCATGCTGAAAAGGGAAATTAGACCTCCGATTATTGCCCTTGCCGCAAACAGCAGAATACGTCCCTCATAGTACCATCGTCAATGAATTGCACGAACATCCGTTACAGCATTTATAGTCAATTTACGTGTATTGGTGGTGATTTTCAATCTAAATACATCCGTGGCGCCGCGCTCAGTATCAAAATGAGTCAGGAGAGGGCTCCCCTGCTATTGCAACGCCGAAGAAAAGTTCAAAACTGAATTATGGACAGGACCTAGCAAGAGTAGTTCAGCAGAAATAGGGCGGGCTTTCCCTTCCCTAGACAACCATAATACCTATTTTGGAAGACCGGCAAAGCCAAATTTGTCCACATGTCCGGCTCATGGGGCGAAAGATCAAAAATAGAAGTTTGAAAGTACAGGAATTTAAATTAAAAGTCAGTAGGAAATATAGATGCAGAATATAATAGCTCAAGCCCAACTTTTAAAGCCATATGAATATTTCATTAAGTCAAGATCATGAGCCGACACCTTCGGACGTTCCTCGGCCCTTTCCATCCGAGCTCATACTCCTCCTCTTCGGCATATCCACCACTTCAGCGGTACTGCCTACATGAGGTTGATATCCTGGCGCAATCATGTGCACATTTGTTCGATGCTGCTGAACATATCCCATACTGGTTGGCCGGTCAGATTGGGTGTGAGGAGCTAAGCGATGAAGACTGGCATGATGTAGTTCTGCGCCGGGTCGGTCGACGCGAGTTGCTTCATCTGCAGCGCTTAAGCTTCGCCTTGCAGCAAGCATACTTGAAGCCGTAGAATCTCCGCCAGCTGAGAAGCGTCTTCCGCTTGCGGATGACGGCTCCGAGCCGAAAGGAAGGTGCCCAGACGACGCTGTAGATGGCCGTAGATTATGAGATTGCTCCGGTGGCTCTGAAGTTGAGCCGCTGCGATGAACCATTTCAGGTGAAGGCGGAGGTGAAATTTCAATTGTCGAGAGGCGGTTTGTAGAATTTGGATCAGTAGACGTGGGAAACCGGCCAGCTGAATGGCGTCGTGAACTCTTGCGTGGGACAGAGGGCGGGCTTCTGCCGGAGAATCGAGAGCTCGCTTTTGACCCTGCGCGGGTTGGAAGATTGATCCCGGCACCCGTCTCGATTGTGGGTAACGAAGGGGGCAAATTTGACACTGTCTCGGGATGTGGAGCATCATCATTCGCAAAATGTTCATCGGGACCTAAGCTACTGACAGCATCGTCATCAGAGACAAGAGGAGAGCGCTCTTCTGATCCTGGCTCCCCATCATCTTCAATTGGCGAAACTGATCCATCATCGAGAGCTGTAGTCCCATGTGCTTCCGCGCCGACGGTCGGTAAAACTGACGGGTTGTCTCGATACGGCTCCGAGTCCTCTGCCACATCGGCATCATGAAGACTCTGTGGGCTAGGAGGCTCCATTACAGGTGGGGCCCTAGAGCTTCTGACGACTTCAAAGCCTTTCGCTTTGTCCTTCGTCTTGCCTCCAATGAGCCTCTTGAACCAACCTGCCGCCGACGACACTGGACCAGTTGGGTCGGCTGGTCCAGTCTTCAACCTACGCGTCGGCTGATTTGACAAAGCCGGACCGCGAACTCCATAATAGAAGTCAACTTCCCTGACGGCATAATCAGTACGCGGCCGCCTGGAGTCAGTAGCTAGCGGGTCCGGAGGATCTCTCTGTGAGCCAAGATAGGCAGGCACAGGGGTCCCTCTGCCGGAGACTGATGGGCCCTCAAAGTTGTCTACAACATCCGCAGCATCGGGATCGGTCATGCCCCAGGTTTTGTTTGCCCAGTCGCCACTTGCCCAAGATCCTCTACTGCGAGCCCCGGGTGAGTAAGCTTCGAGGGTTGGTCGTCTCATCCTTGGGGGCCTATAATAGGGATCCGAGTTCTCTCCAGTTTTCAGAGCCAGGCCAACACCTCGAGTTGAAGGACCTGCAGTCACATTCGCGCTCGGTAAGCTTGAAAATGTGCTTCCGGCGCCCGGCGTACTGGGTGTATATGGTGCACTTCCGCTTCCTGTGTGACTGTGACTCGCACCAGGAGGGCTCACCATATCATAGCCAGTGCCAGTGCCATCAATGATAGCCGGCCGCTTAAGCAACATAGCTGAGCTTCCAGACAGACTGCGAGTACGTGTCTCATTCATTTGGAAGGATTTACTTGTGCGGTCAGGGCCAAGGATATCGGCGTCGGACGTCATGCTACTGTGACGGACAGCTTCATGACGTGGCAGTCTTCTGGACAGTTGACGCATGCCAAAGACCTTGATAAGAAGATCAGTAAAAGTCTAATGTGATACAGATGCTAGAAAAGTGGAAGGAACGGAAATGAAAAGCTCACCTTGACAAGGCCGCCTCTAGCGACACCACCGCCCACGCCTTCTTCACCGCCAGCGCCCGCTACCCTTGCTCCAACTTCGACCAGGGTCTGCACTGCGTTCAGGCAAAAGCAAAAGACCAAAACGATGGCGTGGATCAAGAGGATAACATAGCCTATCCATCCTTTTGGGCCTTCAGTTACACCCAGCGAAGGCACAAAGGCGACACTTAAGAGAGTCGCTACCAACCGAATGACTGCAAAAAAGGTGTGATAAGCATTCATAGATGTTGGGGAGTGAAAGGGTCGAAAAGCGTGTAATGTCAATATGAAGATGACTTCGCAAATGGCTAAGAGTACCAACTGGGCTATACCAGAAGGTTGTATGGCGCCAATAGCGATTCCCCGAATGAATGTAAGGAGAACGGGAATCAATGCAAATGGCGCTTTGTCGTCTGAGTACGTGTTATAAAGCGGACCGTAGAGCAAGACCGTTGGCAAATCGTCGAAGAGGTATGAACGCGGTCTGGTCCGAGCAATTAAGTAAAGCAACCAGCCGGCGAAACCAACCAATGCCAGAATGAGAAGAGCAGCCAAGGCTACCGTATAAGCCGGCGATTTTGTTGAGACGACAAGCTGAAACATTGATAATGAGACAATGGGAAGGAGGAAATAATTGAAGACAATACGAATGACATTGCCCACCGTCAAGGGCAGATTTTTTCTCCGGAGATCTTCCTCATGTGCATTTGATAAGAGCCTTAGACACCAACGCAGCATGAACCACAGTTGAATGAGCACAATCATGGAAGCAAGAATAACAAGAAGCCAAATGACCATTCCGGCCCAGATGTCCTCGACCGAGGTCATGCCAACCAGCTGACTTAGACGATCGAGCCCATATGTACTGTTATAGACGTATATGCCATCGACAATGCTCTGTGTGCCGTTTCCGTGGCTGACAAAACTTTCATTGAACATCAGCGTTGACCAGCTGACTTGGCTTATCACAGGCTGGTAGTACCCAGGGTAACTGAGGCTTAATCCTCCTGTAAGTACCACGAACTGGATATATTGGAGGCAATCGCCAAATCCAGGGGTGACAAGCCGTAGAAGGTCAGCATCTCTTCCATAATTGCTTGTCCAGCGGAATAAATCTGTCGAACCCCAAGGGCTCCAGATAGCAGCAAATGCTGTGGCAATGCCAACCAATATTAACACCACGAGTGGAAGGAACCGTAACAGGTTAGACAGAGAAGCACCAAGCGCAGGTGTAATGTTTGCTGAGATGCAAGTTAAAACAGCGTTCGACGCATCTCCCGACGTCGCTCGTAAGGTCGGAATAAGGGTTGTGAAGGCAAAAGAGGAGTAAAAGTCATGCGCAACAGAGATTGCTCTCAATTCCAGCGGATCGCTCCTATTTTCACAGGCTCGTCAGTACATGGAGTTTCTCTGATATGACCGAAACCATAGCGACTTACGTGTTGGCATAGAAAGCTGGCCCGAGAGGGCATTGTCCTCTGACAACGGAATCGCAAAACTTGGATGGCTTTGCCTGATATGGCATATAACTGAGCATTCTAAACTCTGCAAACAATGTCGAATATTTATTGTTTGACACGCTCAGGTCAACAATTTTCCCAACAGTGTCATTTGGATTATTCCATTGAGGATCGTTCGGAGCAGGATATTTCTGGTCTGTGTTGGCTAGACCGGTAACGTTGCCGTATACAGTGAAATTAAGGTGGTGGCTTGGGGCGCTGCGGTTGAAACTGGCATAGACGTGAAGCGGGACAAATTGAAGTTGGTCCGAATTTTGAATATTGGGGTTCAGGCAGTTGTCGAAAGTAATGAAGGCGCCAGCACTTGGGCCTATCAAGAGGAATAAAACGAATACAATTAAAAACAGCGATAAATGCGATGGAATTGACCGTGGAAGATGTCTCCAATTCCGGTCGACGTGACCCCGATTTTGATCCTTTCCAGGCGCATGTTCGACTGTGTCGGCGATGGTCATTCGTGGGCGATGAACGCGCTCCTCTGAGCGCCCAGGACGGTCCATAGCTCATCAACCAGTGGCAGAGAAGAAGAGAGTCCGATGCACTCGTGACACAAGGTCATCGACACCCTTCACCTCATTCACTTCCTTCTGAGGGCGCGGAAGGACGCGACGCCGCGGCCGGGCAACAAATCCTCCAACTGGCTGCACGTTGACGACGTTGATTAATTCCTGTTTTCCCGGTTGAGGCGAGCTCTAAAGCTGAAGATACGGGCGAAGAAAAATCCCCAAGTTTCGGTCGACAGATTGTCCCTGCTTAACGAAAGGGTTCTGAACGAGTGTATCCAAACAGGAGATGGGTGCCGTATCCCTCAGCAACGCTCTGGGGAGCACCACATCCTCTTCGACCAACTCAATCAAGGCCGTTGCGTGTTGAAATATATCGAACGCAAGATGAAGAAAAGGTGACAAGTTTCGATCTCAACAGCTGCAAAAGAGGGCGTCTGCAAGTTCGCGCGAAACTGAACCGGACGGATTTGGTGGAAATTATTTAACGGGAACGGTGAAGTTCAGGGAGCCGTAAGCTGGGGTTTTTGGAGCGATTAGGTTTAAGCAGTGTTTAACTTTGGCTGAAGTATACCTACTTCGTATAGCCACAGCAGAGACTCTCCCGTATCCGGAACGCCTGATCAACGTCAGGTCGCGATTAATATCAGCCAATAGAAAGTCATGTTCTTTTTAAAGCACATGAACGACCAGTCAGCTCGCTTCGCTATCTACTTTTAGTTAGACCGTCATCATTCGGCGGAATATCCAAAAAGAGTGGTTATCAGTAAATCTCGGACAAGTCAGATATGGAGTAGTCCTGGTGAGAAATATTTTGACCACGATAGAATGAAAATTGGGAAATTTTTTATACTTGGTAGACGGATTCACAATGCAGCCGCCTATGGATGCCACCGAGGCCCTATTGAGAAGGGTACAGCGCCCTTTGTCAACTGAATTTGAAACCAGATCCTCTGATAACCTTTCCTATCTTCATCATACTTCAACACTCTCTGGTTTGCTCGTGAATCCTCCGTGACGCCCGTTTTCTTTTTGTCAAATCTTTTGGGATTTCCAGAGAACCTTGACCTGTATCGCCCAGGTGGCTACCATCCTGTCTCTTTGGGCGACACCTTCAAGAATGGACGCTACAGAGTTGCCCATAAGCTCGGATGGGGAGGATTTTCAATCGTCTGGGTTGCTAGGGATAACTTGTAAGCCAAGTATGCAATGCTGCATTTCTTATTCATCTGCTAATGACTCTCAGACCTGAAGAATGGGTAGCTTTGAAGATCCACACCGCTGAAACCACGCTCCGATCTCACGAGCTCTCAACCTTGCAGTCGATGCAGCAGCATGGTGCTTCGCCCTACATTGTCCGATTGCTCGATTCTTTTGACCACATAGGGCCAAATGGGTCTCATCAATGTCTTGTCTTCGAGCTTCTCGGACCCTCAGTTAATCATATTCTCGCTGATTATAATGAGGAAGGAGTCCGGTTAGAAATTGAAACTATTCTCAAATTGACGAAACAGTTGTTACAGGCCATTTCATTTCTTCATCGACAAGGATATGCACATGGGGGTTCGATCACACATGTTCCTTAGCTTGACTCACCAGGGCTGATCTTCTGCTAGACATAAGTGGTAACAACGTCGTTTTCACTGCCTCAGAATTAAAGTATTTGTCAGAAGAAGCACTTTGCGACATCATTGGACATCCACAGTTGGGCTCGATATCGCGCAACGATGGCACGCCCCTTGGTCCGAGTATGCCAAAGTACCTTGTAGAAAGGGCTGAGTGGGATGAATGGATTGATGATGACGAGGCGGATTTGCGCCTCATTGACTGGGGAGAGGCATTTAAACACGGTGCAGAGCCTCCTAAGCTTGCTCAACCTTTCGACTTGAAGGCGCCGGAAACTATCTTCACTGATAATTTTGATTACAGACTCGATTTGTGGCGAGCTGGCTGCGTAGTAAGATTTGCCTTCTTCTGAAGTTTTATGAAGTCTAATTTCTGTGTAGATCTATTCTTTCATATTTGCAAAACAGCCGTTTCGGTCAATGAGTGCTCGTGGAAATATTGAACAGATGAATTACTTCGCGGACGAGCTACCTCAGGAATGGCAAACAAAATGGAAAGCGATGCAACAAAATGACGGGCAAACTTTGGAAATTGATAGACCTCAATGTACAAAGGTTGGTTCGGGTTGTCGCTATAGATTAGAGCATGAGTTTCATGAAAAGGGAATTGAGTCTGAACTAATGCCTCTTCTACCTGTTATTCAAGGCTTGATGAAACTTTTACCCTCGGAGCGATTGTCCGCAGATGAGGCATTAAAATTACTTGAGTCATAACCAACATCACTAACGTTATTAGTATATCTTTTAAACCACCTGATCATCCAAGCCACGAAGTAGATTAAATATAATTGTACTACACTTTACTACCTTATCTAGTAAAATTCATGAACTGGCTACTGTATATAGAACACTGTAAGCGCCAGTTGTACATGAATGCACTAGCTGGTCTTTCAGTCTGCCAGAGCGTGTGCCGCCCCTTAAAACAGCAATCAACATTGCACAAAGTATTATCGTCAGCTTACGGACTACCCAGCTCTACCCTGTGATGGCCAAATACTCGTACGCTGGAGATCTAGGGCGGATGAGTTGTCTTTGGATCCAAGCCATTACTGGGAATAGAAGCACGCCACTCAATGGATTACAGGTCTTATTCCGAATGATCATGGACACATCTCATGTCACATTATTAATGCACTGCTTCAAATGATCGGAAAAGGGTGCATGGAATACAAAGGTGATGAACTCAAGTGTTGTAGGAGATGATAGATAAATACTAGGTTCCTAATCATTCTAACATTTATGGCGGAAATCAAACCCATTGTCCTTCTAGTCATTACTACGTGACTCCAGCAAAACACCGAGAGATATCAAGCAACATCATGCCCGTGACAACAGAAGACATGTAAACGCCATCTTTATACAAAATAGCAGCTCATTCAACTATGTTCGAAGTGGCTGCGAGAATAGCAGCATTCAATTCCCTTGCCAGATAAACTATCATGGCATCATAGACGCCAGACGCATGCTGGTGCGTCTGCCGCAGGATGTTACACGTCTCCTTAAACTTGTTGTAGGTTGCCTCGACCATGCGCAGTTCAATGAGCAGAATCTCCATCTCGAGTTTTCTTTTTGACTCGCCTTCGATCCGATAGGCACCCAGAGAGAGATGAAGAGTTCCCGGTTCTGTTCTAGAATCGACCGGGGTTGAAAAATACGTGCGGCACGCCGAAGTGTAAAAGGCAACAATTTTTCCGAGAAGAATTGCCAGAAGCATGACGATGGCACTTCCATCGGGGCTCGTAAGACAGGTATCACAGTCTAGCATTGCCGAACAATGTGCTATCGCTTCCTTGTTGGTTGAGAGAGCAAGATCCAAAGGAGAGCTTTGCAATGCCGTCGATGGTTCGAAGTGGGAGAAGAGATTTTGCATTGTCTGTAGGGAAAGGGAAGCGCAATTACATTTTGTGAGAAGCGGATTGTGTTCTAGGGAATGATGTGTTGACCCTGGTGTCGGATATGGCCGTGGTGAAGGTGCCTTCATTTCTAGCAGCTGCTGGTAATCGTCAGAGAGGATGGATGGGTGCCACTGGTATTTCAAAGACATATCCGCTGGGCCGAGCGAGAGCGAAGGACAGCTATCGGTCGGCGAATCGGCCAGAGCGCCCTCTGCCGACGATGAGAGAAAATCAACAGATGATGGGGATCTCGTTCCAAATGAATCATGCCTCGGAGCATCTTCATTCGGGGTCATGTGCCCATTTTCGGCATCCAGTAGTAAATCTAATGGGCTGAAGTTATATTCTGCTTCGCTCAGAGATGGCTGGAATCCGTCATTGCGAGGAAAGCTAAAAGTATCCACGTCCGAAACATCGAACCATTTCAGTCCGGCAGTCAAGTCCATTCCCAAGTTTGAGTGACCAACCGATGATAAGCTCGCGGATCGTAGATAGGTCGCCGGCGCCTGGACCTTGGGCTGATCAGTAGATGCTCGTTGGCGAGGTTTACCCATCCGCGCAGACGGACTGTAAGTACAGGGAGCACCAGCAGAGTGACAGCGATCGCAAGTCGGCCTTGACTTGGTGCATTTCACTTTTGCTACATGACAATTATCGCATGCTTCTCGGAGTTTTCGCGGTTTGATTTTAGCATTGATAAGGCCAGGCCGGGCCGGATGATGTGAATAAGTCTCGGCAGACATGTTTCGAAAAGCCAAAGAGCAAGACTAGCAAAATCATCTGGTTGTTGCTGAGAAGATGGATGTTTGTGTTTGTTGTTTAACGCAATGACGGTGGTTGTGGGGAAGGACGATGCGATGTGCAAAAGATTAGGCCAAGCCTCAATATGAACAATCCATAGTCAAAATAGGAAGGCTCACGGCTTGGTCGACAGGTACACAATGCTCAAGCCGAGATCCATAAACGGCTATGGAAGTCATCTGGAGCCCAGAGAGCTCCCCAAGCAAGGGAGGTGCGCGGGGAAGGAATGTAAATTAGCGATACGAAGTTAATAATACTCAGCAAGAAGAAAGGAGAGCTCAGCATACCACCACCAAGGGGAGCTGAGCAAATTTAGGAAAAGGCAAGGGATGGTACAGATCAACACGAGAGGTTTTTCCCTTGGCCAAGGGCGATTGAGATCACGTATCAACAGCCGCAAGTGTTACCTTTCCAACGCAATCTCAAGGTTCTGTACGCGACCATGTGACGAGCTCTTTGCATCGATGCAAGTAATCATGATCGTCATGACCTCTGTTCCTGGATTGTTCAGTAGGCTTGGCGGCGGCTTGCACCGGCAGAAGACAAATATAACATATATAAGGTAACGTCTGTGACGACTATCGGGTTGTAACACAGGACAAGCATCGTATTAACTACCTATATTTAAGGTATATCATTAATGCGGTCGCTTATATAGCTCCGAGGTTACGGAGTAATGCAGATGAAGTATTACAATGTCACTGTCTCTGCTTGAGACATGCGTCGCAGTAAAAGCAGCTGACAAGGATAAGTTTGGTCTCCTGTGCTTCCCTCGAGTCAGAAGTGCTTCTTGCGATGCCTTATCAAGAACATGTCAGGGTCAAGCCTACGCATGGCCGCAAGTGGAAAGATGGCCAAGGGTGAGGAAGCTACATGCATTTCTGTTGCACAACCGGTTTTAATGCGCTTACAAGCCACAAAATGCCACCCAAGAAAAGCCAAGTGTTTAGGGCTCAAATATGGATCATAGCTCATTGGCGGGAATCATACGTGTTGTTTGTTCAAGAGCCTCCTGTCATTTCTGTCACAGAGGCCGCCACGAACCTCATAACATAACCAAGAAGGGCTGTTTGACGGGAGTTAATCAGGTGTCAAGCGCCCTAAGTATAATGACTTGATATACACCAATATCAGAAATAGATCGTCAATGAATAGGTAGATCGAATAATACTAATGATTATCGGCTAGAGTACATTGAATGGCCAAAGGCAAGCTCTACCACAGGGTTTAACGCAAGAAAAAGCCTAGATACATTAGAAGAAAAGAGGAAACGATCGACTTCTGCCTTCAGGCGTAACACGTGTACAAGATAACAGGCCCGAGTACGGCCACAATGTGAAACCCCCCACGCGATTTTCGAGAAGCGATGAAACAAATGAAAGAAAAAAAGATTTGTATCACACCGGCAAAGACTCCCCGGTAAGAATGTATCCGATATGCTCTAAAGAAGAAGAGACTGCAAAATTAAAGAAAAATGTGTTCGAGGAAAGAAAAGAGAAATCCTGACGAGGCAACTATATACCCGAGGTATCATCCACAACGTTGTTCGCGTCCTGCCAAGCATCCCAGGCCGAACAGGTGCTGTTCAAAACATCAAAGTCAATCAAAGGCTTGATTTCATCGTACCGTTCAACGAACTGTACAGCGAATCCCATTTCTTGGTGCCATCCAATGTGGCAGTGCAGAGGCCAAGCTCCAGGATTGTCTGTCTGGAAAGCGATGGCGAGATACCCATTACCGGGAAGCATGGCAACGTCCCTTCGAGGGGGGTTGGTGGTTGTATAGTTTCCGGAAGAAAGGTCGAAAGAACCTGTTCCAGAAGCGATCACGAAGAAGTCGTGTCCTGCCGGGCACGTCAGAATTTAAATCCTGGGGTTTGTCAAACAGGAAAAGGAAGAAACTTACCGTGCAAATGAATGGGGTGAGGAACCTCATCCGTGGTCTCAATGACAGTATAGACCCACTCATTCACTCCATTGACCTCAACGACACTTTCATTGGCAGTGAAGTTTGAGACGCCATCATAGACCTGGAGGAGTGTGGGGTTTTGCCAGTTCAAGGCCATTGAAACATTGTTGATCGCCCACCGGAAAAGGTTGTCGCTTGTGAAGAACGAGGTCACATTCAGATCTTCAGGGGAAGAATCAGGTCCAACGTTGAGTGCGACGTAAGGTACAAGAGATGCCGCGGGCTCATCATTGCAGTCATTTGGCATGTCATACGCCGTCGTGGTCGGATCAGCTGTGCTCGAAGAATCGTACCGGACGATACCCTTAATATTATCGACATTGTCCGTGTAACTGCAAGCGGTTTGAGGAATGGCACGTAGCCAATAATCTCCCACCGTCTGATTGGCCTCGACAATAACATCGTAGCGCTGGCCTTTATTTTTGTCAGTGCACGTCTTTTACATATTGAACGAAAGCCTTACCGATGCCGATGCTGATGTAGTCCGTCTCAAAAGGCACGATAGGAACAAAGTCCATTGCAATCACAGTCAAGGTGTGGTTGTCAATCGAGAACTTGAAGTGGGTATTGATGGCGCTGTTGACCAGGCGAAGCAAGTACTTGGTACCATAAGAAAACACAACCTCGAACCGCTCTCCGGTCGAGTTATAAACATTTGTTCCATTGATCAAGGCATTGTCCATGGTTGGTGGACCGGTTGCCTCAGCGTAGTCGTAAAGTTCGTCGACGGTCTCATGACTCCAATCGTTCATGAAAAGATTTCCTAGATCGGTGTCATAGTCGGCCGTAGCAGGACCGTGAATGACAATGCCTCCTGCGAGTACAATTAGAGACCGGGAAATTTTTGAGATTATTTACAATGAAACCTTACCGAAGGCGCCCTCCCAAGTTTGAAGTCCAAAGTGAGAGTGGTACCAAGAGGAGCCATACTGCGAAGCTTTCCACGTGTAGGTGTAGCTATCACCGGGCTAGGAAACAGCGTCAGCACAAGTACACCCTTTGTAAAGCATTTTCCAACATACCGCTACTGGGCATTGTGTGATTGAGACAGTTCCGTCCATTTGATTGGTCTTGTTCTGGCGAACACCGTGGAAATGAAGCGACGATCCATTAGTTTGCAGGTTATTTTTGAAGTGCACCACTTCACTCGAGTTAGTAATTCGGTGTTATGGAGAGTCAGAGATAGTGTCGCTTACCAACAGTGTCTCCCCAATTTGCTTCGATTGTAGGGCCGGGGAAAATGCCATTGATCAGCAAGACATCCCTCGAGACCCCATCAGGTGCAGCTGTATAGTTTCCAAGCTCAAACCAGTACTGTTCGGACCACATGTGAGAGATGTTCTCGCAGAGTAATATTCAAATCACTCACCTCGACAGTGTTGCCGGTATCTGGGATTGTGGTATATGGATTGGTGGTTAGATTATAACCATTGCACCATGATGATCGATTGAATGGGGTGTTGCTCGAGCACCCGTAGGATGAGTAGTAGCTATTTGATGAGGAATTGGAATATGCTGAAGGCGCGGAAGATGATGATGATGCTGCAGCAGAGGATCCACTTGATCCATATGATCCAGATGATCCCGAGACCGCCGCAGCTTGGGTGGTTGTAGTTGCGCTCTGTCCAGATGGAACACAAGGTCCGGCATGGCTCAAAGCTGGAAAGCCAACAGACAGGGCGAAAGCGAGTGACAGAAACGAATGCATTTTGCGTATTAGTTGTAATCAACGAATGTAATATATTTTAGGTGGAAAACAAGAAAGGAAAATAGGAGCAGCCGACAACGAACGGTCAACTGCTCGAGACTTGAAAAACGAATGAAGGTTGTAGGTTGTCACTGCGGGACAAACCCACACAATTGCTTTGAACGAAAGACTGTATCTTGAAGAAGAAGGCAATGCAGGTGAAGAATCTGAAGGGAAGCCTTCTCAGTCGACTATAAGTAAACAACGGGGAATGTTGATTGTGTCTATACAACAACATGGAATGTCCAAACATGGCAGTCTAGATGGCATTTGGCACTGACCACCCACGCGTTGTGCCGTGAACGGATTGGCTTTGGATCGAGTGTGCATGATTATCCATTCCAGCCACGACCACCCCCATAGAAAGAGATTAGGGAACATGCTTCGCAAAATCCAAACAACAATGCTGATAATATTAAACAGCCGAGCGAGATCTCGTGCACAAGGGGGCGACCCGCCATCGCCAAACTCTCAAAATCAGCAAACTTTCCGCATTCGGGCAATTGTCTGGGCAGCGGGAGATTGCCGTACATACCTTCTGCGCCACCCTGAATATCCATCTCCTACCTTTCCGTCGGTCCCGTCGGTTCCCCCGATGAAACTCAAGCATCGTGGGATTGGCGTTACTCTGCCGACGTCTATTTTGTTGCCCCTCAGCATCAGCGCGCGTCGCGCTCTTGTTTTGTGTTTCGTATCGTTGTGTTCTGAGCTCACAAGGCTGCCCCTCCCTGGAGACCCATCGGAATGTATGCTCAGGTACAATGCCTAGATTGGCCCCGACACCTTCCCACGGGGAGGGACGTGCTTCTCCATTGTCAAGTTCTTCTCAATGAAAACCTCGGCTCTTGTCTCCTGTGCAGACTTGCTTTCAAAGGCATTGTTGACTGGCTGCGGGATCTCACATGCTTTGATAAATCGTAGCATTTGTGAACGATATCTAATATTTGTTGATCACTTTTTCCCGTGCCTGTATTGTAAGTGCTTCACATTATCAGAAATTCAGGCCGTAACTGCAAAGAAATAGTGCCTTCTTCAAGAATCAATTCAATTGATTGAGTGTATAGTTGTAATTAATTTCTTCAGCTCGTCAGCAACGTCAATCGCAGAGTCATCGCGGTCTCAGCAGATCGCTAAAGGCGCGCGATAAGAACACGCTGTCAGCTGACGAGAAAACCCCCCAGAATCGTCTATCGATAAGCTGACAGGAGACGTCTGGTACGCGGTAGTTACATATTAAGGTACATTCAGACGCGTTTAAAAACGCATGCCATTGTAATAAATGGATAAAGATATCTCCTTAGTGAATATATAAATGACGCTTTTCATCATTCAATTGCCATCAACTCGTACTTGCCGCCCCTCCGGTCTAGAGCATCTTCAATTCTTTGCATTATGCTAAGCACCTTCTCTTCTTGGAGGCGCTGTCCCACCACCTGAACTCCCACCGGTAGACCGTGCATCTTGGTGGCATCGTAGTGGACATATGCCCCGCGAGCAACTCCATTCAATGAACTAAGACGGAAACTCTTGGGTAATTGATCGAGGCTTTGGTCGACTCTTGTCACGGGGAGCACGCCACTGGTATAATCGAGCTAGGGACAGAATCAGTAATTTTTTTCCTTGGAGACTCTGCGAGTATCTTACCAGATTGAAGAGGAACGTGTATCCACAACTGCTAACTGCTTGCTTCATGCCATCATGGGGTACCGCCGGAGTAGCATTAGGCACCGTAAGTAGAACGTCTAATTGGGCGTCATTTTCCCACCATGCGTGCCATCGCGCCTTATAAAGTTCACGTTGAGCTACAAGCTTCCATTGTTCAGTCACTGTTTTGGGACGCCAAGCCCGAAGCAGCCCCGCCCAAACATCGTCTCGTCGAATGTACTTGACCCACAGGTAATGAAGATATCTGATGGGGCTAGGAAGCTTGATGTAAAACCGCATAATAGCAGCGCCGGGATCATCCCATTCACCAGTACGGAAAAAGGATCGGAAGGTTTCCGTGCCATCAGCCAGCAGCAGTTGAGAGGCAATCACGAGTGCTTCGTAAGGCGAAGGTGGATCAGCCTCGACAATTTCATGGCCTTCAGCTCGAAGAGCCGATACGACCTGGTCAAGAGCACGTGTGCAAGCCGGAGATGGAGTCACGACACCTACGTCGATAAGCAATGGGGAGCAATAATCTTTAAGGGTTATTACGTACCGTCATCTCGAAGCACACCGACGCGAAGTATCTTCTTCTCCATGGCTTGGCTTTCGGCCTCAGCGTTCCACTCAATTGGATGTACCGAATGATCATATTTCCAGGGCTTCATCGAGATCAGGCTCCTTGTAAAGTATGTCAAGTCCCCCAACGTCCGCGACATGGGGCTATACACAGAGGGTATACCTTCCTGACCCGGCATGCTTGTGTTTGTCCCTAACTTGGGCCAGCGGCCTGTCGAGCACCGCAGTGAATAGATTCCAGAAAAGTGAGCTGGTACCCGTACCGAACCGGCCACGTCCGACCCAACACCGATTCTGCCACCTCCAAAGGCCAAAAGAGCCGATTCACCGCCGGTTGAGCCGCCAGGTGAATATTTGGAATTGTGAGGGTTCGTACAACGACCCCAGACCTGGTTCCTGTTAGATCTATATTTGGCAGAAAGAGGTGCCTAGGTGGTACAAACATCATTGGTAGATTCGAAGGAAAGAAGAGTGATGGGTATATTTGTCTTCACATATGGAACAGCACCTTCTTTGCGTTAGTCAAATTCGGCTGGAGGAAATGTACAAAATTACCTGCATCTTTTAAGAGTCGTACCATGGGCCCGTCTTCAGGGAATGGTTTATTCGCATAGCGAGAATAGCCCACAGTGGCATCAAACCCTCCTACAATGATTGTATCTTTCAAGGACACTGGGATTCCCGCTAGCGGACCCTCCAAATTGACATCATTCTTAGCCCATTTCTCAGCTTGCGGAATCATGACTTCTGTCAAGCAATTGGTCTTGTGGTGTGCTTTCACGGCCACTTTTCCATAGGTGCGAAGGATGTCAATTGGGCTGACCAGCTGCTTGTGGACATCTTGAACTAGCTCTTCGATGGGCTTTTCCAAGAGGTCTCTATCTTGTTGCAGAATGGGAAGTAGATATGGTGCGGGGAGTGTCGCTATGCGCGAGGCACGTTCCTGCTGCTTGTGCTTGCTAGCTTAGCTGTCAGCTCCAGTCTCGGGTACGGAGGAGAAGAGAGAGCTCACCAATCCCGCTGGTGTTGAAAATAGCCCAAGGGGTAAACCATTTTGCATGTAATCTACGCCACCTCTTCTCCAGAGCAAATCAAGAGAGTGGAAAGACACGAAGAGGAAATGCGAACAAGTACCATTTTGTAGGACCGTCACAAGGGAGAGGAGCCGAAGCGGAGCTAGGCGCTGGAGGGACCGTCCCCGATAAGCTGCACGATAACAGTGAGGTACCGCAACGGACTACCATCTCCGGTATGGTTGCATGGCTCAAAGGGAACTACTCAGATAATCGACCGTGATCTCAACTTGCTTCAGGCAATCCCTGGCCGGCCGTGAATAATTGACCTTAGCAATAATCCGGGCAGTACTTAGACTTGGCTCTTTGCTTTTGGTATGAGTACGGAATAGATATGTGAACTATCCTCACATCACTCTCTGCGGCTAATGGTCGCTGTTTGATACAAGCAATCCGAGCACGATTGCCGAGGCAGTCCGGATTACCCCAAACGTAAATGAGCAAACGCCGCGGCGAGCCGACAAAACGCCTTCTACAAATTTAGTCCGTGGTGTCCGATATGCCCTCTATATTTTTGTTCAGTTTCAGACCGATGGATTATCAAACACGACTTAGGAGCTTTAATCTCGCTTTTTAGTTATGTTAACATCTGTTTCGTTAGCTAAGCAGGTAAACGCAACACAATTGACGACCGGCAATACTATCATAGATCCGATCAGGAGTCATCATTGGCTGCCACAATGCAAACCCTCAGGCCATGCGTCCTATTCACCAGGGAAGGAAATTCCTAAAAATATATTGTTTGGATTAAGCCACAGGAAGATGGCGTTTGGCTGATCATGAAGCAGCTGTTCGTTTCAAGTCTCAGTGTTGAAGATTAATCGCGTTCTCCTACCGAGAGCCGCCCGGCGGCTAATCGTTGTTTGGGGCGGAGCGCCTTCAAACCTAGAGCTTTTTCTGGCCCTGGCTGTTCTTAAGGATTTTATTGGATCCAAAGGCGCATACCCAGATCATGGTGCGACTATGGCAGTCTCAAAGCGATTTTTATATTTGTGTTGCCGGCAGGGTAGCACGAAATTCAAATTATTTAAGCAGTGATCCATCCACCGGGTTTCTGATATCTCATCGACCCAGAAAGCAAATAATTCAGCCAACCAGCTATTTTATCCATAAAGCCTTTCTCTAATTCTATCACTGATCGTCTCTATCTGTCAAATTTCACGATAATCATTTGTTTCTTTTTTGCGATTTCGCGTTCGTAAACAACTGGACACAGCAACGCTTTTCATATAACGAAAATCTACACACCACGAAAATGCGCGGCCCTAATTATGGTGCTCTGGGTATGACCTTCACCCTGGTGCGCGGTCTTCAGGCTGTCGCACTCATTGCCATCATTGGCATGACTGCGAATTTTATCTCGGAGATGGTGTCTAGCAATACGGCGCCGCCATCAGTTCTAGTTGGGACTCTTGTAATTGTATGTCCTCTTCTGTCCTATGAGTCGGTGACATGCTGACCAAATTCCAGACTTGCATCGCCGTCCTTTACTGTGCCATAACCTATATCCTCTACTTTGACATCATTTTGCCATTTTTGCTCAACGCGATCATGGACAGCTCCTTGCTTATCGCCGTCATTGTGGTTGCTGTGACCGTTGGAAAACCACTTTCTTACTTGAACTGCCAAGCAATCACCAAGACCTCAAATGATGGCAGTAGTGCTTATGCATTCACGGAGTCACTGGGGAGCAGTCTCGACAAGGATGGAGGAAAGGTCAATTACAGCCAGTGGGCTGGCGCCACAAAGGTTAATTGCTATGAGATGAAGAGTATCTGGGGCATGAGCATTGCACTTTGGTAAGTCTCGCGGCCATTTGAGCAGCATAACATTTCGCTAATTTATGCAGCATTTTATTCGCATTCTCCGCCATCTGCAGTCTTTGTCTCTGGCGCCGTACTAAGAATAGCGCGCCCAAATCTGTGGAAGAAGCCTAAAATCCGGCGTTGGCGATTCTTCTGCCCGTCAGGTCCTCGGGATTTTCTGTATAAGAGGATACCGTCCAGATAAACAAAATTCGAGGTCAGGTTATTTCTTTGCCAGCGGCGTTGGTGAGAAGAAAAAACAATAAAATGGGTGGCAATCGAGCACGCGTCGAGTTCATTGTTGCATTTAGATTTCATATCTTATAATTTGGTTTTTATTTTCATTTTTCATTTTTTGTTTTCTTTTCCTCTCTGGAATAATCAATTTCTTCAATTTTGCAGGCGGCTTCAAATATTTTGTTAAAAAAGATAATGCTTAATTTCAATGCATGAATTTTTTTTTATTGCCTCTCCAACTAGTCGATTACGGTGTCTTAGAGTATTTAGACAATGGAGTGAATTTGACACGGTAAATGCTTTGCTCATGAGACTTCCACCCGCCAAGCACTTAGCTGCAGTATACCATTAGCAAGTACAGTAAACAGGTCAAATTTTTCCGGGTCTCGGAAGCAGGACAGACCGATTGGATACTTGCAGTATCGGAGTAGTGAGGAGGTGGTGATTTAGCGTCGGCCGTGGCTAATCGGGCGAGTGGGATGATGTTGCGTGCCAGCCCCCGAATAAACTCTTAGACTAAGATATCTTGCGGGGGCGCTTCGACGAAACCAGGTCTGAAACTACCTTAGGTACGGAAGGCTTCCCTCGGTTTGGCGACGAGCCTTTGATGTACCCAACATTCCTAATGGACCGGGAAGATTAATGTCCTAGTACAATTACGGCAACAATGCGTGATAAGCTGCTCTCGCAGTGAGCAGCTGTCGAATCATTTGTTACAGCATATTTATGCCACCATTGTTATCGGAAATTTCTGAGCTTCAAGTAGCTGATTAGTCGTCACGAGGGGAAGCTTGAAGTACCAGAGGTAGCCTCTCGTACCTTAGATTAGGCAGTAAGTTAGCGACGGTTTCGCTTAGTAGTGAGGAAGCGGGCCGTCAGGCGAACAAATGCGGGCACTCAACGTAGTCCCCGCTCAAAGCCAAGATGTAACTGGCCGCCAGAACACGAACATGTCGTAATCAAGAGAAAGTCACGGGTAGAGCATTTGTACAGTGGAAGTGAAACGAATTCACCATGACAGGTGGATAACTTGGGACCGGGAGCATGGCCGTGGTCTGCCCAAGGCCACGGTGTAGGGTCAAAAGGCTTTCCCAACTCATGCCGCACGACCCCTCTCCCGCGACGGGGGGCTTTATTTCCCCCCTTCGGATCTCAGAAAAGTCGTACAATGGCTGGGCCTAGATTGCCTCTGTCATATTATGGCAAAACATCATATCATCAAGGCATTGTAATTCGAGGTTTTCAGCGGTTACATGAAACCCTCGTAGAGATTCCTTACCTACCTTAGGTACCTACCTACCTACCTAGAGTCTCTCAGCCTGCCTTGTATTATTGTACCCTTGACCTTGTTCTGCGAACCATGTCGATGCTCTCATCTGGTGCTGAGCCTTGCGCCCATGTTTGTGTCTTGTTACTATTGGATGCGCTACCACCAGACTATTAAACTCACCGCCCGATAGATCCTGGTCGTTGTTCGGCCACAAAACGGTCGAGAAGACGAGCTAGGCGGTGGTCTTCATCTAGACAAAAAACGGGTTTCCTTTAATTAACACTAGGGTCAGCAGCCCTTAAATCACCCGCTGCCCCATCGTTGATCCTGAGTGCTGTAGAGAACTGGCGAGACACATTCTCTCTATCCCCTCAAGCTTACTTCCCCGCCTCAGACTTCCCCCCAATAAAAATCTGTCGTCGCATACGCGAAATGACCATGGGTCACGGACATATTCCAATTGTAGGTCCTTTGCGCTACACTTTCAAGTCGTTCATGAGAAGAGATGAGAAAGCTGACATAACCAGGACGTCCATTATACACCGGATGAGCATGAAGACGACTCATCGTCAGTTCTCTATTCCAACATAATGCATTGCTCTCAAGCTAACATGGGCAGAGAGCACGGTCCCTAGCCTCCATAAATCAGTATCGCTATGAAAACGGTCGTAGATATCATGCCTATCGTACGTCTGGAAGCTCATTTGCGACCTCTCCTTTGCCAACTCTAACGTATCTAGGGGATGGCCAATATTGGGGCCCGAATGATGAGAAAGCAGCAAGCTTCGAGAATGTGTCGTATGCCCAGCCCCTCACTTCTGCTCTCGGATGTATCTCCGCTGATAATGCCCTGATACACCGCAGCAACCACCTTTTCCTCTTAACCCTTGGTGATAAACTTTTCCTCGCACCGTTGCAAAACCCGAAGAAAGTCTTGGACATAGGCACTGGGACCGGGCTGTGGGCCATGTAAAGTTTTTTTTTTTGCCGATGTGCCCTTGCGTCAGTGACGTGCCTGACTAACCAACCTCCTGATTCAGGGACTTTGCAGACCAATTTCCAGAGGCAGAGGTCATTGGTATGCACGACCCCGCGCCTCAGCCGCCTTTTTATTTTCTGCATTCCTTGGGTTTATTGACGCTGTTGAAGGCACTGATCTATCACCCGTTCAGCCGGGTGTTGCCCCACCAAACCTTCGGTTTGAGATCGACGACTGTTGCAGCGAATGGACGTATCCAGAAAACAGCCTTGATTTCATTCATGTGCGTTGCCTGTACGGGAGCATAGCGGATTGGCCCGCATTTTACCAAGAGTGCCTTAGGTATAACAATCTTGAGCGCAAATATCCATGATTTCGCTTCCCCAATAAAAAAAAGATGTCTAATTTGTCCAGGCATTTGCGACCCGGGGGCTATATAGAACATGCCGAATTCTCCGTCGCGCCCAAGTCGGAAGACGGTTCCGTGACAGAAGGGAGCATTTTTGATCAATGGGGAAAATTTGCGATTAGCGCAGGCGAAAAGATTGGAAAGACATTTGAAGTTGAGGCGAAGATGAAGGGCTGGGTCGAGGAAGCCGGTTTTGAAGATGTGACCGAGCGTCGAGGCAAATGGCCAATTGGAGCCTGGAGCAGTGATCCGAAGCTAAAGGAGTTGGGCCGCTGGAATGCACTGCACTGGGAGGAGGGAATGGAGGGCTGGAAGATGGCTTTGGCCACTAGAGTTCACGGGGTAAGACAATCGCCGGTCACGACGGATTTCTGAAACTCATCGGGGCCTATAGTTTACGTATACCGGTGTTCAAGACTTTCTCGCCCAGGTCAGGGAAGCCATGCGTGATCGACATATCCATGCCTACCATGAGGTGTAAGTGTTTCAGGTGTGATACGCTGACATATTCTGACTGTTGAATGATAGAGCCGTAGTATATGGTCGAAAGCCACTTTGACGGGTGATTAAGTTAGAAAGCTTGGATATTTTAGTACTGAAATGGAAACCACCAGATTAACGAATTCGTTTGAGCAAGCTGGGTTCTGTCAAGAATTGCACCGCTATTCAGGTTATGGAGCTTTTTCTCGGCTTGTTCTAATATATCTACTCATAAAGACAGCTCTTTGGGATTAGGAAAACGGACGGGGAGTACCTTACCTGAGAGATCAGTGCTAGAAAATGCAGGGTGGTACAGATTCTGTATTGCTTTGGTCAATGGCCTTTGAGAGTTTCGGCATGATTACTGTGAATTGAGTTCTCAAGACGGAGGCGATCAGTTATCAGATAGAGTAAAAGTGGTATAGAAAATCGAGTCCCTTGATGGCCCGGAGAGATGATTAATATGACGAAGCGAGGCCGTTCTGGCTCCATGATTTATAACCTTGCCGCTGCCATGCTTCACTTCCTTTATATGTTTCTGCATCAATCTTCCTATCATTTAGGATTATTCCAAATCTCAGTGCATCGATCACAGTGATTATATGCCTCCGTTATGGCATATCGCAGCTCGGAGAGGTGTTGAAGTTCGGTTTCCTCAATTGTGACAATAAGACCACCATCACGATAAGCACTGCCAAGTTAGTCTGCGGTCTTTGATCTTGATCGTTTTAATGCATTTCCCCGTTAGCAGTCTAACCTGTGTACAGTGTCATATGCCACAAGCAGGCTGAAGAGCTTCTGACAGAGCACGAGAAGAGAAACGGGTACAGATGGGCCGTGGCTCGGGATATTGCCGATAAGATTTGGAATTATGGCCCCGCCTCGGGCCCGTGTTCATTCTTCGCTAGTACCGCCAACCTGCGGCAGTGTATTCCTTTCGACGCAGGGAGCTCCGCGCTTCGCAAGAGCATACCGCAAAAGCTGGTCCGACTGATAAGGTCGAGATTCCTCCATCCGGATGAGATTTGCGTCTTCGTGGGTCATACGCGGGAGCTTCAATTATTTTACCCGAAAGAAGCGGCCAATTGCGAGAAATTCTGCCACCCAGTCTGCCGCGGTACTTGAGAGCAAAACAAATACATTACCTTTATACGATAGGGATGGAGCGTTATCAGGATCCATGGACGAGCCAAAACCACTGTAATGGTTGAGGGCCCCGTCCCTTTTTCCCTCGGCGACCACCACTGACCCGGGAAACGTTGTTTTGTAGCTTTACTCGCTCAGGAAAGCGATCCACTCGTCTATGGGCCAGAATGACATGGTTCAACGTCATCCGATTCTGCCGTACTGCGGCGGATGCAAGTACCCCGCTCTGATGTATCCGGGCATTCAGCTTGCAGCGGAGTGCTCGTACTCGAAGCGTACCTACAGCGCAGGGGAGCTTGTTTAGCTAAGGGTCGTTTCCCAAAACAAAAGACGCTATTATGTATGACCGCTCCACGAGTGGTCTTATAAACCTCGAATGGACCCGCTGGAGGACGACAGCTTAAATTCGTGGGATTTTTCTTCCTGATCAGAACTTACTTCTTCGTTATTCTACGTTGGAAATTTTTTTGGGGCATTTGTACCAACAAGAAACACGAGAAAAATGGCGACTCACACCGGCAAGTGCGACTGCGGCCAGCTCGAATGGACCGTCAAGCTCGAAGATGAATCTCACGTTCTCTGGTACGCCTGATCTGCATATCATTCTTCCCGTTTCGCAGTATTCCATGACTTTTATTCCTCATACTTTCGAGCTTGTCGCAAAACACGACTGATTTGCTAATTTTTCCCCCGCCCTCTACAGCCACTGCGACACCTGCAAGAAACTCAGCGGCGGTGCTTTCACCCTCAACCAGATTGTGCCCAAGGACAATGTCAAGGTCCTCAAGGGCGACCTGAAGAACTACACTTATGCCGGCGAGTCAGGTTTGTTGCCCTCTCTCCCTCCCCTGATTCTAATTTTTCCCCTCGTGTTGCCATACTCCCACTCTGGGTTCGAGTTTTCTGCGAAGATAGACTAATTCGTCAAACTTTGAAACCAGGCAACCCCGTCCACTGCTACTACTGCGCCAACTGCACCACGAGCCCTTTCCACCACCAGACTGTCCTGGGCGACAAGTACGTCGTCCGCACCGGCCTGTTGGACAACTACAAGGAATTGAAGCCCTCAGCGGAGATCTTTGGCAAGGCCAAGCTCTCCTGGCTTCCCGAGGTTGCTACTACTTTTGAGACTCTCCCTCCGTCGTAAACGTGAGGGGTGGAAAAGCAATAGGGGGTTGGTTAATGGGCAATTTGGTCTTTATTTATTACGAAAGTGACGATGCTTGGGACGAAGTTCACAATGAAGAAAATAAAAATTTGACAAATATAACCAAGATCACAAACTCGTGAAACAGGGAAATATCTTCAACAAGTGAGATTTTGAACATGCATCATATACCCCGTTGAGACGAGCAGCATCAGGATCTTGAGCCTTTTCCATCGTAAACGCTGAAGCTGAAGTGACACGTTTCGAAGAATAAAAATTCCGTAGCAAGGGTTGCGTCGAATTCAAATTGTGAATCATCTATATACATCATCTTTCATCCCTTGATACGTAATCTTCGTAATGACAAATTAGGGCCAAGAAAAGTAGCACAAGCCCGCTATGCAACTATATACGGAAAAAAAAAAATCCAAACCGCCGCCAATGCAAGTTCGACATCCGCAAATGGGAGATGAGAAGGGAAAAAATACATTCAAAGAAGTATGAGGTATATAAGAAGAAATTAGAGCCATGCGCTGCAGAACAAACGCCAAGCATTCTTGACAAGAGATTTTGAGAATCTTCTTTTCCTCGTGGCCATCTAAGCCGAGTCCGAGGCACCAGGCATGAGCTGTTCAGAGGCACCTTCAGCCTCATCTTCCAATTGGGATCTCCTGATAGTCCGAGCCTTGTAGGTGACAAATCCAACAAGGCAGGAGCCAACAATGGCTGCCAAGCCGAGCAAGATCAGGTTCACAGACACGGGATTGTTGTGAAAGACACGATGGGTCAACGCGTCGAGACCGGATTCGGTAAAGTTGAAGAGTCCAGCCAGACAGATGATGAGACCATAAACTTTGCCAAAAGTCTGGAAGCCAAAAACTTTTGCCGCATAGTCACTAATTGAAAGAGAATTGTCAGCTGAACCGTTCCACATGGTAGAAGGCAACAGAGAATCAGGAGGACTTACGAGACTGTAGTATAGTAAAAAGGACGGTAAACGACAAAGAGAATAATGTTCAAATACGCTGTCCACATGGCGCCAAAGAGACCGAGCACTCCAATGAGAATGGCGCATCCGACCAGAAGAGTGAGCACTATCGGAGTGCTAAGGTTGTCGAGAATCACACCGACAAAGGGAACCGAGACAAGGCCCCCGAGCGGCAGAGCAATGTCGAAAAACTCATTGATCTTGACAGCCTTTTGCCAGCTCTTGAAAAGATACTCGTACTGGGAGCGAATGGTGGCGACAAAAAAGTTGATCCGCGTCATTTGAATAACGGTGAAGAGCGTAATCAAAAGGAACCAGAAACTCCAAATCTGCTGCCATGCTGTACGGCCGTGCATGGCACCCCAGATTCCACTAATGGCCTCTTTTCTTTCTTCTCGTTGGTGCTGGCGTTCTGCGTCCTTGGTGCTCAAAAGCGAGGTGACTTCCGACACCCGGCTTTCGCGGCGGACACGACGTTCGGCTCGAGCCCTCACGGCGGCCTCGTCCTCCTCTACTTGGTCCGTTGCAGCATCGGTGGCTTCCTCCTCTTCCGCTTCCTTGAGGATCTCACTCACGGTCTTGTATGATTCCTTGGGCATCAGGAAAATTTGAGCAATCAAGATGAAAGCTGGAACGACAAGATAGCACAAAAAGAACTTCTTGGGCGAGAAAACGCGGTTGGAAGCTCTGTAAATCAGACGATAGACGAGGAAACCGGCGCTCGATGCATCAAAGGCGCCAGTGAGCATAGAAAGGATGAGGCCCGAGTGACGTGGAAACGTGTTGGAGAGCTGGAACGAGGGGATGAAGACAAAAGGACCTCCCAGAGCCAAGAACAGGTAACCCGGGATATATCCATCGAAAGAGAGGTTCTCGGCGAAGGCAAAGGCAAGGGCACCAATCGTCAGGAAAACGCAACCGATGATACCGCAGATACGAGGACCAAATCGGTCGAGAACGGTGCCGACGGGAAGAGCGACAACATTGGTAGCAACGACGGCCAGCGTGAACATGAAATTGAGCCTGGATACAAACGAGTAAGATGATGTCTTGATGGTTGAGCAAGGACGAAAAGTAGCCTACCTTATTTCTTGCCCATAACACACTCGAACGTGCTCATCCAGCTCATCTTGAGTGCAGCGATCGCGGTAGACGCCTCGCTCGATGAGTACTGGCTTCAGGGCAGCAAAGCCAAACACTATGCCTGCGGCGAACAAACAATAGACTACCGCAGCAATTACCTGGCCTATTATTTCCAGTTTTGATCGAGTTAGAAAGCTGTCACCCTGAATTTCATCTCCCACGACAGGCAAGCAAGAGTACACTTACATAGTCGCTTGGTGGCGGAGGTTTCAAAGGCGGTCAGCGGCTCTTGTGGCGCAGTAGGTAAGACCCACGAGTCAAGCGGGTTGAAACTCAGCTTCCTCCGCTGAGATCCTGTCGGAGAAAGACCACGGCCATGCTCGTACGATGCTAAAGACCCTGCCCTCTCACCGAGAGACATGGTCGGATCTGGTAAATGGTGAAGACCTAAGTGTTTGGAGGGTTTGTTTGATCACGAGATGGTCTTGACGTCACGAAGATAAGGCAAAAGGTAAGGAAAGCCGTACGCAGCCAAAACAACGATGCGCACAGGAGAGAAAATAAAAGACGAGAGAGCTACGGGCAGGAACGAAAGGTATTGGAAAGCGACGAAGGTCAAGAGATATACTCTGTAGTGGATCTCTCAGGATCAATCGAGATGGTCAACATATTAAATCTAACTACTGGCCGAGGCAGCGGCCAAAAGAAAACGTTACTGGCAGCATCGCACTTTTCCTCATCGCGATAGCTCGATTGGGTCCAGGCAGAACCAAGTAAAATTTTAAACCGAATCCCCCGCTAAGACCAGCAAGAGCACCTGACGGATGGCCAGAGGAGCCCCGGAGGCGGGCGACAAGCGGCAATGATACCGTTCAAGTTTGGGAGTTCGCCGTCAGCCATTGTCCAATCAGCAGGCGAGTGGTTTGATCGTAACCCTGCTTGTTGTGGGTTGAAAATTTCACACTTTCTCTCTCTTTTTTTTTTTTTTCCTTTTTTTTCTCTTCTCTTCCTTGATATTATTCTTTTGGCGGGTGGCCGGCGGGGAAGTAGCGGACCACCGAAACAGCATGGACTTTAGCTAAGAGAGCCAACGACCACCCCGATACCTGTCTCTGTGTTTACAAGTTACCTTATCAACCTATGATAAGAAATGCCACCAATCAGTGAACATCCTTTTCACTAGGCGGGTCGAGCCGTATCTGTGCGTTTCTCGTTTCTCGTTTCTCTTTTCTCTTTTCTCTCCCTGTCGCCCGAGATAACTAACAGGTAACTACCGGAGTATTAGCTCCATCCGCTTTCGTTTGTCATGCAAAAGTTGGACCATCTTCTGTGCCTCGCCTAGTCGTAGCTCGTAGATTATGATTCTGCAAGGGAAATGATAAACCTCCTGGCGTTCATGTGAAATACAGAGGTACATGCAACGACAAACATGGTAAAAAAAATCACATGAAACGCGTCCGAAGATTTTCATGTCCCATGATATCAATGAGAGCATATATTGGCCTTATATTGCGACAATTCGACAGAAAATCCTGACATATCTAGTTTGCATCTAAATAATGTTCAATATATACCTTATATCACAAATTGATATCAATTACCAGCCGCTGACAGCACATTGATAGACTCGGTTGTCGAAAATCCCATAAATATATGATTTCCAATATATAGCAAAATAATTAAATGTTCGAAGAAATTATATATATTTATATAAATAAAAAAAAATCTATAAATTAGTACTTGTGCTTTATTTAATTCAAGTAAATTTAATGAAGCTCCGTAAAAGCGTCACCATCCAGCCAAGTGTAATTCGTTAACCCAGATATCTCACCTCAAAGGAAAAATCATCATCTGGTACTCAAATCACCATGATCATTTTCCCCAATGCATAATTCTTCTCAGATTCAAATGTCATCATCGCCGGAGACGTGAGTGGCGAGCCGTGCCGCCCACGCGGGGCTGCCGATTCCAGGGGCAACCACGTCCATATCTGCCATCTCAAACCAGGGCGACGCGAAATTCTCCCCCACAAACCCCTGGAGACCTGGATCTTCCAAAAGCAACATTCCGGTGCCTCCCATGACCCCTTCAACAATATCATGCGACTGTTGCACATCTGACGCGCAGAACTTGAGCATGAGTGAAGCGAGTCTCTCGACGGCAACCCCGGCGAGCCGGTGTATTCCCTTTTGCTGCATCTCAAAAAAGGCGAGATACGTTCTATTGACGAGCCACATATCACTCACATCACCAGTCTCAAGCATGGACAGCAACAAGATCATGGCGGCGTTAAAAGCCTGCTGGCCCATTGTCCAGCAGACCATAGCCGGTCGAACCCTGGCATTGAAGAACTCAAAAGCGTCTAGCAGTGCTCTCGCGCTCGAGAGAACACGCGCGCGTCCTCTGCCTGGCTCCTGCAGACCGCCACAGCCGAGCTCATTGGCCTGTGAGCTTTGAACGCTATTCTCCTGCCGCTGACGGTTGAGCAGTAGGAGAAAATTGTGAGTCTTTGCGTAAAAAACTGTCGAAGATTGTTAGAATCCTTTTTCGTCAGGAGGAATTTAATACGTACCAGCAGCCATAGCGTTGAAGGGCCATTCGGGTATTTGCCTGCTTTCATCAAGCCAAGTTTCATCAAATTGAAGGACTTCAGGAAGGGTCTCCAAGAGTACTAGAAGCTTCTCTGAAAATTCGTCAATCTTAGGGTTGGAGAGCCGATCACTGGACAAGATCTGGCGAGCAAGAATTGTAAAATGGTTTACATATTGTGAGATCCGGTGAACTCTTATATCAGTTGTCAGCGGCTCCAGTGGAGGGCAATCACCAATTCCCGATATACCCAGTGGCCGTCCAAGCGTCATGGAATATTGCTGATCCATGTGTAGCATCCACCACCTGCGTAAATGATCAGCGGTCACCAAATAAGCGCGTGTAAAAGACGTTGCACCCCCAAACATACCAGAGTGATTGACGAACAGTACACTCTCTGAGTGGCGGCGTAGGATCAAGATACTTATGGTGCCGGTGCACTAGCCAAGTAATCTCAGGAAGGCTTCTCGAGACGGGTTTGTGCAAATATACGATAAAACTCACAGCCAACGCTCTGAGCAAGCCTTATTGTTACGCCAAACAAAGCCCAAGCATCGAGAAACTTTCCAGCATTTGTCAAATACGGCCCAATCATGATCAGAGTCTGAATGCCAAACAAAGTTGGACGATTCATGAAAGACGAGAGTCTCAGCGCCTCCATGGATGCGGCCACTTGGCCGTTAACAATAGCTCTGAAGTTAGGGCGAGTTGCGACGTACCATAAACATCACCTTTTCTCATGTCTGCCTCCATTGCACCTTCGACCCATTTCCCGCCGCATCTATCATACACGCCGTTTTGCAGGCCTTGCGCAAGCGCCGCAAAAATTAACGCGAGCATATCAGGATTCTTGAATGCGTTCGCATCGGCATCGGCAAGGAATCGATCTATTTCTTTTGGCATGATCTTGTCCGGGACATGCGGAAAAGAACAAGATTGAGCTCGATTCTGGAATGATTCTATTTGCGACATGAGCTCGTCGCGTGCAGGGAGGCAATTTAAGAGTACCGACACGCCAGCTGATGCAGGCCATAGCGATGGAAATGGATAACTAGGTGCATCTTGAAAGGCAAAGATATTGACTCCTCGGGGAACAGCATGCGAAATTGACGCTGTTTGCTGTCCCAGCCGCAAGGTTGCAAACTGTAATATTTTAATAAGCCTTACTATTGCAGACATTCAAGCGTGAAGTAGGTATTACCTCACTGATGATATTTGCCAGGCCGGGGGTCCCAAAATAGAGATTGTTGGCAGAGCCTTCATCTTTGAATCTCTTCTGACGAAGAGCTTGCGGCCTTTTAGACGCGCTTGAGGGCTCATTCATTACGGTCGTTGTCTTTGGGCGAGAGTCACAATCGTCACCGTCGGACTCAATACCTTGAAGAGCTCGTATCTCCTGCTTCAATCGAATATTCTCCGCACGCAATTTACGCAGTTCGTAAGACTGTTGAATAGGTGCATATTCTGCACTACTACCAGCCGTAAAATGGCATTCTTTTGGTTGTCCGCGAGCACAACATGCGGAGCATGGTTGCATCCGATCGCACTAGTGAGCAGGCACGTTAGGGCTTGTTCAGAAGGTGCTTCGCCATCAGATCTCACCTTGACTTTTCGCTCCCGGCATTTCGTGCATGATAGATGTTGTCGTGGCTGTTGCGGTCTTTTCTTTTTGCTCTGTTCAGGTATGGTCGCTGGGATATTAGATTGGTCATGAACCTGTTCGAAAGAGCTCAATGCCCCAGAAGAAGCCATATCGGTGATGGAATTTAGCAGGCGTGAATCTGCCAAAATCTGCAAGGAGCAGCCCTTGAGTTGAAAAGTGGAAATTTCCACAAGTCAAAGCGATTCACAGCCTTCTTATAGACATCTCCGCTGGTCGGCCCGAGAGAGCTATGAGATGACAAGGAAGTCAACCACAAAGCAATGTGTTCTGAATCGCTGCACCATCAGGGACTGCCTTTATGATTATTCGTCAAGGAAGACGAGGGAAATATTACTCCGAGTATACCCTGTGGCACAGAACATCGTTCTTGTGTCAATGACGTGCAACTGAGCCGGAGCCAATCTGAATTCATATCAATGCCACCAAATCAATCATTGCCCTGTTCGACTTGCTGGGGCCATGTTATTGGTATTTGATGGGGAAGCTGTGATGGTACATGACTCGCGATCGCCGCAAGCTGGTTGTGGTGCTGGGAGATCAGGGTGTTTCTGGCTGCTACAGCTCCACTAGGGCTTGAAAGGTTGCGGATAAGTTTGTGCGCTATTATCATCTACGACTTTTGCCTTTCATGCTGGTGAATAAGTTCGTCCCGGTCCCAGGGTTGTGGTTGCAAGAGACAAATCTCCAAGTACAAATTACAGCAAGTACAGCCCGAAATCGACATTGGAGGAGAGCAAACATACGCTGGGGGAATTGATGATCTGCTTGAAAGAAAGAAAAAGTCCTCTGCTGAGAAGCATGGGGCTAACTCAATTAAGATGCAATTGCATTGTTCAAATGCATCGGATTTTCTTTGTGGAGGCTGCATATGCTGCGTCGCTCCATAAAATCTATATCCCGAGTGCCTGATGGGGGACATGCCCCTGATTCTGACCATTTTGCAGCTGGCCCGATCGGAATTGATATCGTAGACCTTTCCGGACAGGGTTGTCGAACAGGGAAGATTACGGTGGGCCGGATCTCGGAAGTTGTTATGACCAATAATCTGAACAGTAAGGCTGGCATTGACATAATGACTCAAGCCACCACTGGTCATGCTGAATGGCGAAGGATGCCTCCTGCTTATTGTTTGGAGAATTTCCCAAGTTTCCAAATATCTGGTTCTTCTGTGAGATAGCCGAGAAAACCCCGGCAGGCCTTCTATGCCGGCATAACAAATGGTGCATAATTCAAGCCGTGCTGGTTAGCTTCCTGTTGCTCAGCCTCGGAGCTTTCCACATTCAGCCTTTTCAAATGATATCTGACAATATTTTAGATCCCCCCATACTCCAGCAGTCACCTCAATTGGCGATTTGACCGATTATCGTCCATATACCCCAGCTTTGATGCTCAATTTGATGAAATAGTGAACATGCCTGGCCCATGCTGCATCAACTCAACCGGGAGATGAAAAGAAGTCTGATCATTAAAACATCGCTCCGTACCTGGGACCCTCTGTTGCCTATCCCACTATCATCTCTTCAGTCCACTTCACCGCCATTATTGTTGGCTGGGGAAGGTCAGAGGTCGTGGGGACTCTAGCTGGGGTTGAACATTGAGGCTAACCTGATACAGATCTTTATTACATAAGCTGACTAGATCTCTCTCCACGCACGAACCTCTCGTCGCCATCGGCAGACTCGGCCACCGATGCAATTGAACATCGGACGTTCGGAGCCCCGTCTGCTTTTGATGTTGATGCCTCATCATTATTACTGGGATTGAATCTGATGGAGATTGACCCTCGACTGCGCTCTTCTTCTGCGGGCGTCCCACCTTTGTTTGGGACTGCTCCGCCACCTTCTTTTGCTTCAAATCCAGTTCGACTTCCGCCGCCAACTTCTCAGCATCCTGCGCCATCCTCCGCATTGCCCCCATTATCCGCTGACCCTAGTCCTCACCAGCCATATTACCTTCCTGCCGATATCAGATCAAATACTGAAGGCGCCGCCGAGTTCACCCCGGAAAGGACGCCGCTCGACCCTGATGGCGGGTCCCCTCACGATCCAAAACGCTCACGCGCGTGTGAGGCTTGTCGAGGACTGAAAGTTCGATGTGAACCGGATCCGAACAATCCTAACGGTTCATGCAAGCGTTGTGCCAAGGCAGGACGGAATTGCGTCGTGACAGTCCCAAGCCGGAAGAGACAGAAGAAAACAGATAGCAGAGTGGCAGAGTTGGAGCGAAAAATCGATGCCTTAACTGCCAGCCTTCATGCTAGTAGATCCAGTCATCCTCAAATTGAGACTGACCCTTATCTGTCGGAAAGCAGCCCTGCTCAAACTGGAACGACCCATCAGCCTGCTTATAGCCCGCATGTGCATCATGAAGAAAAGCCTTCGTCGTTCTCGGAAGGTCCCGGACCATCGCAGCCTGGCACAGGAGCGTCAATGCTACAGAGCCCTGCAGCATCCACATCGACGGTCGCGGGAAGCAAGCGAAAGTTTTCAGAAGATCCTCATCTGCGTTCCGCGAACAGTGTATTCAGTGGCACGCCTTCCTCGAGGGCGATTCAAGGAGCAACGCCCGCCGAAAGCTCAGTCAAATCAGATGATGATACCAGAGCATTAGTCTATCCGTTTTTGGTGCCAAAAGCAGAACCAGCTGCTGTCGCGCAAGACTCTCAACGTAGCCATTCGATTTTTGAGCATGGAGATGTCATCGATCGACGGCTGGTTGGGGTGGCAGATGCCGAGGAGTTTTTCCGGAGATATAACAATATAATGATTCCAATCATCCCGGTGGTCGTCTTCCCTCCTGGGACCACGGCCTCGGAGATCCGCAAATCGAAGCCGATACTGTTCCTAGCGATTCTAAGTGTGGCTTGTGGTTGTTCCCATCCCGATCTTCAACGGACATTGTCAAGAGAGCTCATGCGGATCTTTGCGGACCGTGTCATCTATAGCGGCGAGAAGTCTCTCGAACTAATCCAGGCATTGCACGTTGCCACAACTTGGTACACGCCTCCTGAGCACTTCGAAGAGCTGAAATTCTACCAACTAGTACATATCGCCGCTGTAATGGCTTTGGATATCGGTATCTGTAAAAAGAAAGAGCACCCTTCACGCCTCGGTCTTTGGCGCGAACACCCTTGGAAGCGTTCAGGATTTCCGAACCCAGAAAGCATAGACGCTCGTAGAGCGTGGCTTGTCTGTTACTATCTTTGCGCTGCGTAAGTTTCAAAGCTGATGTTATCAAGACTAGAAATTAACCCATATAATTTTACGTGTAGTGTCGCAATGGCTTTACGTCGCCCAAATCTGATCAGATGGACATGGTACATGCAGGAATGTATTGAGGTGCTCGAATCGTCTTCCGAGGCTCACGAATTGGACCCTGTATTATGCCAATTGGTTAAAAGCCAAGTGATAGCGGATGAGATTGGGCAGCAGTTTTCCATGGATGATCCTTTCGCCAGCGTTGGCATTTCAGATCCCAAGATTCAGTATGCTCTTAAAGGCTTTGAACGACAGCTCAAAGACTGGAGTGCTCAGATTCCCTCTCACATAAGGCGACGTAAGCTACTTCTCCCTGACATATACGATGCCGAAGCTAACGGAGTACAGCTTCCCTTACTCTCGCGGAGAATGTGGTCAACTTGTATCTGCATGAGGTTGCAATGCACGTTGATCACAATGTGAATGATTTTCGACCTCCATTCGCCGAGGTGGAATTGAAAGAATCTACGCAGCCAATGCCACTAACGCCCGCCCATATCAACGCTTTGACTGTGTGTCTCAAATCATGTCACGCAATCCTTGACGCTTTTCAGGAGTACAACATTGAGGCAATTCGGCTGCTTCCGATATTTTTCTTTGTCAGAACCGCTTATGCTGTCGTTGTCCTAATCAAATTGTACTTCGGAGTGACTGCACCAAATAGCGAATTCGCAAAGGCGATCAGCAAGGACGATCTGAAAGTTGAACATTACCTTGACGGATTGGTAGGATTTTTCCAATCAGCTTCCGAGGACGGCAAGTCCAAGCCGGCCTCCAAATTTCTCATGATCCTAATAATGCTCAAAACATGGTTCCAACGACAAAAGTCCGGCAAGGGTCCATTACCATTTCCCAATGGCCCCGGTGTCTGTCCCTTGAAAGATATGGAAGAACTGAGGCAAGGCGAGTCAACCAACGGACGGCCTCCTCGGGACCATTTGCAGAAAAGCAATCGTGATACCACAGGCTATCCGCCTGGTTCCGGCTTCAGCGATGGCACAACGTCGCCTAATGGAAGTCAGCTGAAAAGCACCAGCAGTGCGGAAGTCGCTCAGCCCGGCTTCAGTTCCGCTAATACTCCGTTGCATCTGCTAAGTGAGGTTGCCATGGGCAATTCCAGCGGTGCAGACCCTGGGGCACCGATGGCCAATGCACCTCGACAGCCCGGCCCGTGGTATGGCGCCACTCTCCCCGAACGAGCTATTTACGCCATGGGGTCGGCCGCTGCTCCTCCACCCGGCCAAAAACCAGCCGATTGGGCCCAGTATCCTGGGGAAAGCGGGTTAGAATATTCGATGGGCGACGGCATGGAACAAGCGATGGGCATGGCACTTGGAGACGGAGATCTCTCTGACATCTTGGGACAAGACGGGTTCCTCAACTGGAATTGGAACTGGACGGATTTGTTCTCAAATCCCAATCCAAACCCTCAGTAACGAATATTTTCGCCGGAGCCAAAGTATGATACTGTTTCTTGTTCTTTTTTATCGATTGGGGTTTAATGATGTTTCAAATTCTTTCCACTTTCTTAGCCTTGGTGGTCTTTATATGAAAAGGTAGTAACTATATCGGTATAATATCCCGTGTTTCAGAAATATGTTAAATATATTCATCATTAATATTGAGTTCAATATGCCAAGTGAAGGTGGAAAGAGTCTCGTGTGAGGAGTCGTGTCACATAGTCATTGAGGAAGTGAGTGTTAGATGCCAAATTCCCCACCGTATTCTTTGTTTCGATCAGCAGGTCCCGCTACACCAAACTTTACCCTGACCAAAGCGTATCTGCGCTGCTCGGAATTGAATAAGGAACTGCCGCAAGACCCTTTACGGCAACCTAGTCACAGATTAACTTGGGGAAATGCGAGATTTGAAGGATGCGTGTCCGAAACAGAGGATGATCTTAACCGCAAATGTCTCGCGCACAGGTCAAGTGCCGAACCAATCAACCAGCTTTCTTTTTAGGATACTTTCTTTTCGGACCGCATCCAGCGTATCTGCCTAAGTACGCCTCGGTAGGTAGTGGCAGCAGCAGCAGGCAGTCATCCAATCATTGATCAGTGAACTAAACGGCCGGGAATTCACGGAAGTCTCTATTCGAGCCTTTGGGTTTCCCCTATAGGTACGGAAGTACAGGAACCTGCTCTTGCCAACCGCCAGATATTCAGCAGGGAGTACTTCTACTCCGTATTCTGTGTGCTTCACTCAGCGACTACTCGTACGTAGTACCTCACCCTTGCGTCGCCACCACCACGAGAGAAGGACGGACCGTCCTCCCACCCCGGCTCCTTTCCCATGAAGGCCCTCGGCTGCGTTCGACATCAGACGACAAGTCGGCTATTCGGAGCGGCACCCTCAAATTAAAAATCATCCTGCTAAAGCAGTAGACTCGGCCAAAAGGGGTCACATGGCTCTAAAAACTTTGCTTTGCTTTGCTTTTCTCACTTGCGCGACTCCTTTTTCTCTTTTTCCTTGGAGAGTAGCAGAGCCAAGTGGATCTCCTCAACGGTACTTGTTCCGGGAAAAGTACCGCGTGTTCAACACCAAATAATGATGGCTCCTTCAATACTCCGTATTGTTCATTCAAATCAAAATGCCGCGACAGGAAATCTACCCTTAGAGGCTGGCATGGGAAAATGGCCAGACCCTGGCTGATTCTATTGGGAGATTGAAACCAATAATTCTTCCATACCTAGGTTGCTGCCTTGCAAGGTTGCTACAATCCCAGCTGACAATAGTAACAAAGTCTCACTCCCCTTTTGGTCACCTGCCTCTTTTCTGCACTTTGAGGGTATCTTACTTTGTTTTTACCAGCATCACAAAACTTTCACACGTGTCTATTGAGCGACAAGTATCGTCAAGGAGAAACCCTTCTCTATGGCGATCGCTTCTACAAGCGGCGAAAGTATCGCCAAGGGTGGCTCAACTTTAATTACGCCTCCTCAATCTAATCACAAAACCTTAAGGAAACTGCATGCAGATTCAGTCAAGGACAGGGGAAATTACGATAGAATTTCGCGAATAGCCACACGAGGGCGGATTACGGCGGGCAAATCCTTCTGCTTGATTCTAAGTGGTGCAAAATCTTTTCCTCATGCCCCGAAATTATGCTAGTTGTGACGTATGCCTCCGAAAAGGTCATTGTTGACGTGGGTGCACCAACTTTTTTCTCAGCGAACCGCTCCTAGTGACTACGCATCCACGGGTCGGCAGTATTTCACGATGCCATGCTTGGCTGCTGCGACAGCTGGAGACATGATGGAGATGTTTGTGGGGAGAGGAGAAGACTTGGCGGAGACAATTTGTGGACAGCGGAGACGCAACCCGGAGGTACTCCGTACGGAGTATGTGGGCGCAGTGGAGACGTTATTTCGTGGGCAGACGGAGTACAGCAGAGAATGGAGGGAATAGCGGAGACAAAATTCGTGGGCATGCGATAGTGGGGACGTATAATGTGGGTGCAGTGGGGACCAATGTGTGGGCGCAGTGGGGACGTTGTGTGGGCACGCGACTTTGGCTGAACGAACCAATCAAAATGTGCACAGGGAAGCGCATGGTGGGCCGACTACAGTCCTGGCGCCTTTTTGAAGCCCCCAGTAACGCCGCCTATATGTCAGAAAAGCAAGCAAGAAGCCACTACCGTCAGCAGCAGCTGCCGTTACGAGAGCCAAGCAATGCCACTTGGAAATTCGGATGCTGTACAGCGGGCGATCAGGGTCAGACCACCAAAGCCGCGTGCCAAACTATACGCCTTTCAAAGAGTCGAGCCGGGACATCAGATCATGCTACTGCCAACAATCATGGCGGACCATGAACCAAGGCCTGACCACCAGCCAAGGCCCGCACATAGCACCGCTTCAACTGATGACGGTACTTGGCGCCAAAAGAGACGAAAACAAAACAGTGACGGCACAATTCCTCCGAATGCCGGAATGAAGAAAGAGCGCATGCGGAGCCCCCCAATTCTTCTCCCCATGGAGCTCCTGATCCAAGACTCACTAGCAGACCACCTGCCTGACCCGCCTCGGCCAAAATGACTTTTGTTTCATACCATTTTGCCCCTTGGGGATGGTGGATGGGGAGGAACTTTATGAGTGAGGAGTATTCCCGATCGTTTTTCCGGCTGCCGAATGAGTTCCTCCGGTTTTGACAAGGGCCGAAAACTTTTTAAAGCAAATTTGCAGGGGTAATCCCGTCTTCCGGCCAATGAAGAACCGTAAGCCACCTCGGTCTATACCACAATGGGTATAGTATTCGCCGTGCGCTATCTCACTCAACGATCTTTTCCAAAAGATGCCTACATCATTGTCAGGCACATCGGGCCCACTCTTCACGGTATACCAACGTCATTCCGACTAAACGCTCTTTTTGGAAAGAGTGATTTTGCTGACATTATGGCCTATTCGGACCGTGTCGACCGCTCCCTTCCCCCAGGGCTCCGGACGGCTTTCGAAATGATACAAAAGACGCCCCTCCTCCACCTGGAGTTCCAAATCTCCCATCTCTTCCTTCCTCATACTCAGTCGCCATGGATTCCTACGACAAAGAGAAAGAATCGAATGGCCCCATGGCCGAGACTAGAGACAATGCCTCGCCTCAGAGCAGTGGCACTCAATCCCCCCAGGGATTGAAGAAGAACGCCGGGAAGGGCCGTATCGCTGGTGGCTCTTTCCTCCAGGCGGCCCGCGAGGACTCGGTGACATCGGAATGGGGTCCGCTCCAGGAAGTTGACATTGAGCTTCCCCTGACTCTCACCGAGATCACCTACAAGGATGGGCAGGAGTACATCGTCATGACTTTTGCCCCCGGCGACAAGCAGAATCCGTTCAACTGGAGCAAGGGCAGAAAAATGTTCCTCACCCTTCTGCTCTGCTGCATGACCCTCTTCGTCGGTCTTGCTACGACTGCCTACAGTTCCGGAACCAACTCGATGGTCAAGGACCTCCACACCTCCACTGAACTTGGCCAGATGGGTCTCTTCACCTTCAACATGACCTGTGCCGTCGCGCCCTTGTTCCTTGCTCCGTTCTGCGAGTTGATCGGTCGAAAGATTGTCTACATTGGTGCCTACGGATGCTTCGTTCTTTGCTTCATCGGTCTCGCTCTCGGAAAGAACATCGCAACCATCCTTGTGATGCGTACGCTCCTCGGTCTTTTCGGTTCAGTCGGCACCATTCTTGTCGGCGGTACCTTTAGCGATCTGTACGTGCCTGATGAGCGTGCTACTTCTATGGCCGCATTCTCCTATGTCGCCATTTTGGGCACCGTCGCCGCTCCCATCTACGCTGGCTTCATCGACGAGACAATCGGATGGAGATGGATCGAAGGTATTCAGGGTCTGTCAAATATTCCCCTGTTCGCTATCATCTTCTTTGCCCTTCGCGAGACTCGAGGCGGTGTGACTTTGCACAAGCGTGCTAAGGCTGTTCGTCTCTTGACTGGCGATGAGCGCTACAAGGCCAAGATGGATCTCGAGGTTCGCAACATCAAGGAGCTTCTTCACGCTTCATCCGTCAAGGCCCTTCACATGCTTATAACTGAGCCTGTCGTTTTCGCCTATGGCATGTGGATTGCCTTTGCTTGGGCCGTCACTTTCATCTTCCTGTCGGTCATTCCTATTACCTTCTCCGAGAAGAAGGGCTGGAATGAAGGTGTTGGTAAGTCTTCCAAGAGTTTCAAATGTATGATCTTCTGGGTTTGAGATTTTCTAACGTTTTGATGCAGCTGGTCTCCCATACATTGCTCTCGTCATTGGTGTTACCATCGCTTTCGGCCTCAATTTCCTCCAGATCCGCAAGTACAAGCAGATCATGGCTCAGCGAAACGGAATCATTCTCCCCGAATCTCGTCTCTACGGTGCCATGTGGGGCTCTTTCATGCTTCCTATCGGTCTCTTCATCTACAGTTTCACCCAGTATGGTTATCTTTCCTGGGTCGGCCCCACCATCGCCCTTGCGCCCATCGCAATTGGTATCTTCTTCATTTTCGAGTCTTGCTACAGCTACACCTCTGATTGCTACGGCGAGAGCTCTTCATCTGCCATTGCCGGCCAGGGTCTTCTCCGTAACACCCTCGGTGCCGTTTCTCCACTTTTCGCCAGCCAATTCTTCCACAACGTTGGTAGCCAGTATGCTGGACTCATTCTGGCTCTCATCGGTACTCTGCTCGCTTTCATCCCCTTCATCCTCTTCAAATGGGGACCTCTTCTGCGCGCCAAGTCGAAGCTTGCCAGCACTCAGAAGGGCGATGACGAGGAGAAGGAAAAGACGGGCCTCTACACGGCTCCGTTTGTATGAATGACGAATTTCGATGCATAAATATAGACTAGCGATATTGCATATAAACATTGTCAGATCCCTTGCTGGACGAAGGGTATGATTTGCATTGGGATACTTTTGTAATTAGATTTTTAAAATTACATTTACTTTCACGTTCGAAACATTATTTCAATTTGATGCAAATGAGTGATTTGGGAATATTTTATCGGTCTCTAGCTGAGCCTTGGGAACTCGTTCGAGCATGAACTGCTCCCGATGCCATCGTCTGCGGGGGAGACTGTGGGAGCGAGGTGTGCACGAGAACGATCTTGCAAAGTTTTGCGGGAACAGCCTTCGGCCAAGCATGGCAGTCGTGCTAAGTGGCGTTGCACCCTATGATCCTAGGAGACTAAGTTACCTCTGTAGTTCGGTAAAAATTTGAAAATTACGGAGATCTTTCCGGCGGAAACTGCCAGGCGACAACCTTGGATTGCGAGGCAAACCTAGTTCAAAGAGACCAAGAGCAGCAAGTTTCTTGCCCCAGTACCCATGCCACCTCGGCAAAGGCAGTGCGGAATACGAAATACTTTGGTAAAATTGCCTCCTCCTCCGTCATGATTACTTACCACGAATGACAGTTGTGGCGATGTTCGGAGAGTAGCTAAAAAGGGGCGAGGCGCAACGGATGAAGTCGATGATTGGTGGCTATCTGAAGCTTCTTTTGGTCCAAGCCAAGCGAAGGGCAAAGCGCCATGGAAGAAGTTTTGACATGGGCATTAGCCAGGTGGTTAGGTAAAGCTAATTGCATCTTATTTAACATGATGAGACTAAAATGTCGATAGTCCTCCTATTGCATCCGGGGCTCCTCAACGGATAATTTATTGAGCGAGATGGAGAAAGAGGATCTGCATAGGTCCCGCTTCTGGCGCTATTGAGTCTCTGCGGCAGAAACAAATACTGTACTAGCAGGTCGGTTCCAGACCCCCGATGATCTGTAAGAAAGATTGAGGAAAGGGGGAACCTTGGGGAAGTAGCTTAGTGAGGAATGGGGACAGTTTGAGAAGCCATTTTAGGCATGTCCAACGATCCCTACATTCCGCGCTTCATGGACGCAGGAATATTATCTTTGCATAATTTGACTAGAAGAAACCCTAGAGAGGAACTATTTGGCTGGGATATTCCGAAGTACACACCGCATGATTATGCATGATAATAATCCCTGACTAAAGCCATCAAGGCACGAGGACAAACACGCGCCTCCCACGGTTTAAGCGATTCCAGTGTTGCAACTGGGTAAACTATTGTTTCCACTACAAAAGCGCTTTGATGGTGGGGTGGTATCGGCAAAACATCCATGACTCGCAAGGGGTGGCCCCCTATTGTTTCCCAGTGGGGAAAAGGGAAACCCTGTGAATCAAAGACACAGGAGCCCCTGGTTTAGCTCTGTTATAAATAGTTTGTATGAAAAAGACCTTGCTAAGTCGGCCAGAGGAGATGAGGACAATTGTCAACAATTCATGAGCTCTTGTCTCTTGTTTCGGTCGTCGTACCCTCTCACTCATATGTTAGATAATGGATAGGTTAGCACGGTGCTGATTTGGGCCAGCTTGACGATTGTGTCTGTAGGTGGTGGTGGTGGTGGTGGTGGTGTCGATAACATAAAAACACAAGATCGTCTGAATCTGCACAGTCTGCTTGGCAACCCACGAACGGTGCCGAAGGAAGGTGTGGCGTGTCTGTGCTGCGCGTTCGTCCCTTCCCATGTAACTTTGGATCGTCATAAGGGTTTTGTGCACTACCTACCTACTTTGTACGTACCTTATGCTCAGGCCAAGCACACGACCGCGGAGCAACCATCCTGTAGCCGCTGAGACAATAGCCTCAATCACAAACTTCAAGGGCAGTGAGAATTCACCGCCAGGGTCTTCCCATCCCCATAATCATCATTGTGCATCATGGCTTCTAAGTGAGAATCATAAAATTGGTCAGCCTTCTGCCAGCTCATCTTCCCGACTTTCTTGAACTCTTATCCAAGTCTATACTTTTGCCCGCTTCATGGGGTCACGTCATGTCCCTGGAGCGCTTGGCTGTCGACCGCCAAGCCGACGACCACAAATTCCTTAGCAAACAGTCATGGCGAACCAAGCTTCACTCAAAGGATGATACCAGCGCATCTAAAACGGCCAAAAAGGACCAAGAGCGAGCCCAAGAGGTCGCTGACTTCTTGCAACCGTCAATCGCCAAGGCTCGAGCTATATCACCCCGCATTGATACCTTGAACGCCCAGAGGTGGCCCGCCGCAGTCGACGTCAGCGGGCATGAAAATGATAGCACCCTCTCCCACGGAAGTGGTCAACGCAAATTAAATGCTCGATCAGGCCGGAATAAAATAAACTTGGTTGTCAGATTTACTGCTTCGAACCCAGAGATTATTGGTGAAGGGGGTGACGACGCTGAGCTGCCTCCAAATGCTGTTTCAAGGCGTGGCAAGGGCTCTCAAAGCTGTCAGGCCAGCACAAACCAGCGTTCAATTGCGGATGGTACCCCTGCTGGCTTACGCCATGCACCGACAAGCACCCCCCAAGACGGGAAAAGAACCAGACAGGAGACGGTCCATGCCGCACCTGTTCCTCTCAGGCGTGCACCGACGGGCTTCCCGCTTGATTTGGGAGACCAGCAAATAGATCACCCGCCGTTGGGATCTACCCATCCGAGTGAAAGCGCTTCCGTTGGAAATGATATGAAGCGGCAAAACGAGCCAAAATATATGCATCCGCAACCGACCAGGACCCAAAGACCAGCGATCAGGACGGAGTTTGAAGCAAAAGAGATTTCCAGGCTTTCTTCTCCAAGCAGGATACCATCGTCTCCCTACGATGTCTCCCCAGTATCTCCTTTGCAATCCTCGGAAACAGCGTTTGATCTAGACAGAAATTCACCGTCAGGAGCGCAATTAGAGGATACGACCGTCTCACCTCTATCAACTCCGGAGCTCGAGCAAGAGCAGACGAGACGTGGTGCGATTCCAGCGCGCCCAGACTTCTGCTTGCCGTCTCAGCAGCAGGATCTACGCGTTCTAGAGCCTGGAAAGGCACCGCAGCAATCTCAAAGTATCCAGAAAATTCCGTCTTCTCCAGAAACAAGGCAGGTGGTATCAGGTATTAACGCAGCCCCTCCACCTGCGATAGCCGCAGGGCCAAAGCGAAGTCCAAATTGCGGCCCAGTTCTGGAGGACTTTGGCAGGCGTGTTGAATATCTTTTCCCGCTGTTCAATTTGTCTCCAAACTCGCATGATCGATCCTTGAGTGACTGGCTGGTAGCTAGTGTTTGGTGGTTACTGCAGGCTCGCACTCAGCTTGAAGAGACGATGCGTCTTGCAGCACAGTCTTCGGAAGGCAAGGCTTTCGAAGAACCTCTGCGCCTACGAGCTGAACAATCCTGGATCAACCTTGCCAAGTGTTGGTGGATTGTAAATACTTTTATTCCTGTTTCTCTGAAAGAAACCTCACATGCAAAATCACCTTCTCGACAAGGGAAGGATGATTTCGACAATGAATTCGGAGGCATCCGTCAACAAATATTTGACCATTTAGGTTCGTTAGTGACATCCGCACAGCGAGGCAATCTTTTGCCGTCTTCGAGCGAGGCGACCACGCTCAATCAAAATATGAACATCAAGATTTGGCTCGAGTACCCACCTTTACCGCGACTTATTAGTGGACTTTTGAATCACGGCTCTTCTTCACTGCTAGAAATGAGCAAATTTTTGCCGCTTGGAGATACAGATCAAACCTACGTCTACGGAAGGATGTTCGTTGAGGTCACACTTTTACCAGAAAATGGAAATGAGTCTACCCGGTTCATTTGCGCTCTGTCGATCTTGAGAGACAAAGCTGAATGGCAGGTAAAAGCGTCAATTTGCAGCCAGAATCGACTCGTTCAAATATGTATACAAAATAACGTCAACTCTGGGCCCACTTGGGATGATGTACATTGGAAGGTCAAGGCGCATTCTCTCTTGGTACGGATAGCAGGTGGAACCCAGCTTGTACTCTGTTTGACCGATAAAGATTTCAAAAGCCTCTGGGGCATCTATCACCACGCGCAATCTTTCGAAAAGGGTATCCAAGCTTGTCATGACGAGGTTAAGGTGCTTCAAACTGCCGTAAAGAGTTGCCAGTATAGCGATTCTCCTCAATCTCAAAATTTCCCTTCAGGAGTAGTCCCTGGATGTCGATTATATGTTTTCGAAAAGCTGGCTCCTCGCCCTAGCAGTGATGCCATGCAAAGTTATCATGGTGGCGGATTCCGACTCTTGGTGGTAACAAGTCCAGAGTCAAAGGCTGTATTCCGCCTTGACGTTCGCTTGGGACATGGTGAGCTTTTGGAATTTGGCTTTCTGCGCGGCAAATGCGGCGAGCATATCTTAAGGCTTCAGGGCCGAAGAGATGATTCAAAATTTGTATTTTTGCTTGCGTTCGAGCAGCCTACAGTGTTATCGACTCTTTGGTCAATAATACATGGTGGCGCGCCGCGAAAAGGGGAGAATATGGTAATTTCTCGCATACCACTGAAAGGCTTCTCCATTCATCCTTGCTTGGATAACGATGAAGGAGAAAGCCCGCATATCATGGCACCCATGACGCTGAACCTGCAGCAAATTTCGATCATTGACGAGGAAGCCAGCTATTCTCGATCAAACCCTTCATCCCCTTCGTCAAGGAAATTGAGAATCTGTGCCAATGGCGAAATGGGCGTCTTTACGGATGGTCTTTCCCTAGGTAAGAAGTCAACTCTTTTTGGACAACTCAAAGCTAATAGAAACAGGCCCTGGCGAGCTCAAAGTGCGAATGAATGCTCAAAATAGAACAGAGGTAGAGCTAATACGGGCGGCCCAAGAGGATGGGATTTCAATGTGCATTGCAGAAAATCGAGCACAGACACAGGACCCCAGTTCTCTGCTCAATCTTCAGCGAATGATCAAAAGCTCTTCTACGATTCGAAATTACCTGTTTCAAAGTCTTGAAGGTAACTTTCCTACTTTTGAAGATAAGACTACTGGAACAAAACTTACAGACGTCGTATAGATACTCATAATTTTCTCCGAGCTCTGACAGGGTTTTCTGTCCTTTATGACGGGTGAGTAAACTAAACGGCATGTGGTATGTAATTCTTATTAACGAAGTGTAGTATTGCTTCTACATTTGCAATTTCACGTCGCCGAATGGTTGTCCCGATATATAAACGCTGGGCAGCCACGGGTCCTCGCATACAGATTCTGCGGCATGAGAAAATAGTGCAGCTTGTCGCATTTTTTGAGAAATTCAATTACGGAAGCTGTATGAACTTTCAGCTCAAAGGCACCGATGTCTTTGAGAATTTCAGCAAGTCAGGCAAATTTTACTTAAGAATAGTAGATGCAAAATTCGCTCTGCCTAAGCCTGTGGGAGGAGGAGACTCTGGGTTTGTCTGTCTGGATCTGCCTGACTATCCTGGCGAGCACGACGACATTACTCTTGCATTTGACGACGAAGCAGGTAAAGGCAGCCCTATTATCTGCGAATGCTTGAATGAACTCATAAACTGACTTAGTATTAGATCGGGACAATTTTCAAAAGGCATTGCCAGCGCCTGTAGGCAAATTCTCCCGGATTGGCTCGCTGCGGAAATAATAATGTGCGGCAACAAAGCACCATGAAATTCTTCCCACTCAAACCATTTTTTATTTGATCAAGCTTCATCTCGATCGTTATTTTTGAATCTCTGAATTTGAGCGTGCTGCAATGTATGATACCATTGGAAGAATTGATATAGCGAAGCATTTCTTTGGCGCGGGGGCGCCGTCCATCCTATTCCGTTGAGAATTCTACAGACCTGGCAGAAAAAAACAATTAATTCATCAGGACTCTAGATTCAATGATTTGATATGTAGCCCAGCTATGGGCTTGAGTCATTTCCCATTTTTGATCCAATAAGCCTTTCCGTAAGCGGTTCACGTAAGAGAGAAAGATCCGGACCTATATTACATAGGATTTGGAAAATAAATATCTCAGCTCACTACGTCTCATCAAGTTGTTGAAACAAAATTATTTAAAATCACTAATCTCAATGTTTGTCTTTTTTGACTCATAGCGTTGATGATGTGTCGTTCTGGATATTGCATCCGTCTTGTTGTTTTCCGAGGGATCAACCTCGCCCAAAGGTCAAGTTATAGTCCGCCGTACTGCTTAACCCCACTATTACTCAGTTGGTAGGGCGCGTCACGTCATTTAAGCCTATCGGGTAACGATAAGTCGTGAAGCTGCAGCTAAACGTAGGACGGGATACTGAGTCAAGCGTTGACATTTCTCCTTTGCTTTATAAATTGACATTGACTGAACACAATTATCGTTCTATTTTTTTTAAAGCCACGTGCTGATAAGCCGCTCCATTGAAATTTCTCGAAGCCTCCGCCGAAGATTGCCAGCTCTGGGAAGGAAATCCGTATTGCGCTTCCAAGATGTCTCATAACGGGGGAACCACTTCGCAACAACTGGCTGCAATTCCAGACACTAAGCCTGACGCCTCAGTGCGAGCGTACGCCCCTGAGACTCAGGCAATTCATGCCGACGATCACCTGAACACCAACCCAGATGTCGCCCCAGCATTGCATGTCTCTACGACCTTTAGATATACTGAAGATCCTGAGAAGCTGAGGCCGGTAGGAGATGATTCTGAGGTGAGATTCTACTTGGCTACTTCATGGCAATAGGGTATTGCGATTATGGCATCTCAATTCGCCCAATTCGAACATTCAGGTCTATTTCTCCTGCGAAAATTAATTGCAGTCGATGTTTGGATCCATCAACGTTTACTTGAAAAAGGCTAACGAAGAATCAACTCCAGTCACTGGACGAAAGCCACATCTACTCGCGAGTGACCGCGCCGAATACAACTCGGCTCGAGAGTATTCTGTCTACGTTGCTCAAGGGTCGAGCTGTGACATATTCATCTGGTCTGTCTGCCCTGCACGCGGCGCTCGTCTTCCTCAATCCCAAAAAGATATCCATTGGAGATGGCTATCACGGCTGCCATGGCGTGGTCGATCTCCAGCAACGTCTTACAGGGATGAAGAAGCTTCCCCTTGACTGCGCCGCAGAGGAGCTAGGCCCAGGGGACGTCATTCACTTGGAAACACCTGTGAACCCTACGGGCCTGGCCTTCAACATCCAGAAGTTTGCAGAAAAAGCCCACTCTAGAGGCGCATATCTGGTGGTAGATGCTACGTTTGGACCGCCAGGTCTCCAAGACCCTTTCGCGCACGGTGCGGATATCATAATGCACAGCGGCACGAAATATATTGGAGGCCATAGTGATATGCTATGTGGTGTATTGGCCACTCAACGCGAAGACTGGTGGAAGGTACTCCTGGACGATCGGACATATCTGGGCAGCGTGTTGGGAAGCTTCGAGGGCTGGCTGGGTATCCGCAGCGTGCGCACTCTTGAATTGCGCGTTCGCAGACAGAGCGACAATGCATCTCGCCTGGTTGCATGGCTGGATGCTATGGTCTCTGGACGACCAGACCAGACCCCTGGCAACGATGCTGCCTCGAGTTCGGCTAATGCAGCTCTTGTCCGAAAGATTGTGGCTCGTGTCGCTCATGCCAGCCTTCAGCATGATGACAAGGCCTGGTTAGACAAGCAAATGCCCAATGGCTATGGACCGGTGTTTTCTATGTGGGCAACCAGCGAAGCATTTGCTCGCGCACTTCCTAGTCGTTTGAAGCTATTCCATCATGCTACCAGCCTCGGAGGCGTAGAGAGTCTGATAGAGTGGCGAAGAATGAGTGACAAAGGTGTCGTACCGACCTTGCTCCGAGTGAGTGTTGGAGTTGAATCTTGGGAAGATATCAGAGATGATCTACTGCAAGGGTTCAAGGCTCTTGCTGGCGAGGCCACCTCTTGATTGAGCTTGTTGCTTTCGCACTGAGATGAACTGAACGTGTATATATCTAAAAACAACATATAGATAGTTAGAGATGATTTATGACTAAGCACCGATAGAGAGGCTGCAATAGAATCTAAAGCAATACAGGGACAATAATTCGGACAATTGCAGGCCAAAAGAAAATAAACATGTGAAGCAACGCGCTGAGCTTTGGCCATTCCCATATTGTTGCGCTGACATGTGCCGAAGCTAGCGTATATTCTGGAACCATCCCTGGCCTCGCAACCCATTAGTCAGCAAGTCGGAGGCGCGCTGCCTCCGATCACTAAATCATTTTGCCTCCCGAGCTTTGGATATCATCAGATTGAGAACAGCTCATTATTCACTCTTTGCGCAATCCCGATAAAGCCATTCGTTCTTGCGTCCTGTTAATTGATCTTTACAAGAGAGGACAGCGGATTGAAACAGCAAGATGGCCAACTATCTTGCGTCGATTTTCGGAACTGAACAGGACAAGGTATGTGACATCTGATCTGAAACGTTTCGCAAACCATCAACTGACAAAAAAACCCCAAAGGTCAACTGTTCGTTCTATTACAAAATCGGGGCCTGTCGTCACGGAGACAGGTGTTCGCGAAAACATGTCAAGCCCTCTTATTCCCAGACGATTCTCCTCCCGAATCTGTACCAGAATCCCGCATACGATCCCAAAAATAAGATGAATCCCGCGCAGCTTCAGATCCATTTCGACTCCTTCTACGAAGATTTCTGGTGCGAGATGTGCAAGTATGGCGAATTAGAGGAAGTCGTTGTATGCGACAACAATAATGACCGTAAGTTTTTCTCCCCATATTGCGGAAGTTTATCTTCGGTTCTAAACTAACAAATTATTGATGTAGATTTGATCGGAAATGTATATGCGAGGTTCAAGTACGAAGATTCCGCCCAGCAGGCGTGCGACGAGCTCAATTCGAGATGGTACGCCGCGCGGCCGATATACTGCGAATTATCGCCCGTCACGGATTTCCGAGAAGCCTGTTGTCGGCTGAATAGTGGGGAGGGCTGCGTGAGAGGAGGTTTCTGCAACTTTATACATCGGAAGGAACCTAGTGCAGAGTTAGACCGCGAGTTGCAACTCTCTACCGCGAAGTGGCTGAAAGTGAGGGGCCGCGATGAGAGGAGTGTGACCAGAAGCCCGTCGCCTGAACCCACGCGAAGACGACGTTAGTTTGCAGACCTCGATTTCTTCTGATCAAGTTTTGCTCAGCAATGTCCTTTCGCGAGTGCCGACTTTGGGCGGCTTTCTTTTCGTTTTCGTTCGAAATATTCTTCTATTGCATTACAGATCTGTTGTCTGGGAAAATATGGCGTTGTTCTATCTCTAGCAAGCTCCAATTGTATGTATGCCTTTTACTTTGGGTTCCCCCTCCAAGTTAGGATTGATCGGTGTTATTATTTTGCTTGCATTTGTACACTAGGCGTGCTCGAAAGAAAACACAAGGAAAAGGCATAGAATGTGGAAATAAGTTCTAATCGCACGAAATCAGACGTGTATGCCGTTGAAATGGTATCGAACAGGAACATGTCAAGGAAGAGAAAGAAAAAAGAAGAGAAAAACTCCGAGAACCCAAACCCAACAGAACACCTTCCTATCCACATCAGGGTAGTGATTATTCAGCTCCTCTCCGATAGCTCGTGTGCATTTGCACGAGCGTTTCTGAACGCCGGAATGAAGTCTTCGCTGAGATTGATGCTATGGCATATATAACACGGACGGCCGTGGTAGTAGAATGCCAACAAAACAACACTCGTGTATTTCAAATGCTACCGATTTTGATTTTGATCCGATGCGTACTCAGGAGCCAAATGACGACCACGACAGCGCCAATTGCGAGGAGCAAGAGGATCCAGAATGCCCAGCAGAGGATCGTCCGGCGTTTATTCTTCTTTTGCTGACGGGCTAACCAAGTGTCTCTGCTCCGCGCGTGACAAACAGTTAGTCTTGTCACATGATTGCGACTAAATTGCGATGCTGGAAGGGGTATGTTCTTACTGCTTGAGCTCGTAGCTCCCAGAGCCCGTCGGTGAGCGAATCGATGCTTCCTCATCCTGATGAATAGCCATGGAGAAGCGGCGCCAGAAGGCAGGATCTCTGATAAGAGCCATTATTGAAGCTCAATTGAGGGGTTTTCTTGGTATATTGATTCCCGTCAAGAAAGCTATTAAAGATTCCTTTTTTTTTGTATTTTTACTTAGAATTAAAATGTCGGAGATGAAGCGAAAATATGTAGCGTCGTTGAGGAAACCTGGAGAAGAAAAGATATCTGGAGTTTGCGGAGGCTTCAAAACGAGGGGTCGAAGTCTAATCCGGGGTTAAGGAATGTTGGAGGCCGGTTTTCTTGGTTTCTTGACTTTCTTTTTGGGACGTTACAGGAAACGAACAGAGTCTGCGACTTTCTTACTCCGGCTTGGGAAACGAGGGATGAAGAAAACGAATGACTGTCAACCGGTAGTGACGTCGTGCGTAAAAGAATGAGACGCACGAGCTGGTTGATGGATGGCCCTCGATGATGATGATGTATCAAAGAGCAAAAAGTTTAAAAGAAGAAGAAGAAGAAGAGAGGGTTCGAGTGGGACAAAAGAGGTCAAAAGGAAGGGAGAGGGAAGAGAAAAGAAGTGTTCCCACAAAAGAAGACGAGAAGATACCCCAAATTACCCATCTTTCTCTACGGACAAAAAGTCAACTACTGTGAGTCGTGTGTCTCAGGAGGGCCAACGGCCGATCCCGCCACTGGGCGCAGGAGGGCGCCCAACGTCTTGATCGTGGCGGACAGGGCGTCCAGAAAGGGCACGAGTGTGGTCGAGCACAGACATGATGATGATGATGAACCACCTCTACTAGTAGTGATCTTGTTGCATACGGTAATAAAATCAATTACTCTAGTGGGGGTTTTCCTCTTTCCATCAATAAATTGTTGCTGCATGAAAAGCTTCAAGAACCGGGTATCGCGTACTTTGCATGTTGTGGCTGATATACCCTGCTCCCAAACATGCGTCGCGGTCTCTCTCACTGGTCTGATCGCACGAGGGATCCACAGGGCGGAGATCTCTTAGCTCCCGAATTGATCAGCTAACAGAAGCAGTGCAGCACTGAATACCTCTCTGTAGAGGATTCTACTTGCCAAGTAGCTTCTCAAAGGATAAAAGGCGTCCAGTGGTATCGTTAGAGGGAGGTCGAAATGGTTCCAAAATAGAAAAAAGTCCCCTCAGGAACGGGGCGATCTTCGTCTTCCCCCTGGCACTTTACCGTGTTGGGTATCGAGCTCTGGCTTTTGCTCGGTGGACGGTCACCTTGTCACCCTTGTCACCCATGCTTCAACTTGGCTGGGAAATTACAAGTGGGACTTTTAAGCCGTCCATGACAGGGGGTCGAGACTATAGACAAAACACCATTCGAACCGTGCGATTGCGATTTAACTGCGGTACGCGTACACTTGCCCCAGAGGCCGCAGACTAAAATGGTTTTCTCTCATGAGATTTCTGGCTGGTTTTGACAAGGGAGGCATGAGTACGTAGTACGAGACTCGAGGTTTGCTGCCCTAGTACAAAGTACTCTATACAAAGTAACAAATCTTCTTTTGATCAATCGAATCCTTGACGATTGCCATTGTGCACCTGATTAAATTATTTGATTTTACTTTCCCGTGTACATGACACTGAAGAAATAAGCACACAAACTGAAAAGATTGTCTTGTCGTGCGTCATCTGACCTTCCTGCTATTACAAAGGGAGTAGGGGCTCAAGCTGACAGCAAGAGGGTGATATGAACAAGGGAGGGCAAAAGCATTGTCTGAGAAATACATCGTCGATCTCACTCTCAGTTGAATTGCTTTACAATGCGAATATGCGTATCATATGGATTGTGCTCGTTGCATCATTCCTCGACGTCGCTCCCATTTAAGCTTTTCCTCTTTTCGTGGCTTTGGTTGCTTTGGTAATCAAACCCAGAACGGATCGCCATCTATCTCTTGCTCATGTCTTGAATCCAAGCCCTTCCTGGGAATAAGGTTGCTTCGAAAATTATATTATCACAATTGAGACAGCAGCAGGTGATATACAGGTAGTGATGGTGCAGTCTGCCGTTAGTGTGTTTGATCACTCCCAATCGGGTGCCATAGGCATTACTTTCGTTACCTGATGAAATGGACAATTATTCTGGCTTTAGCGGGGCAATTTCAGATATTGACTGTCTAATAAGTTTTATTGAATTTTCATGGTTGATATTAATGTGGCTATGAGATGGTCACTTCCTATTCTAGACCGGACTACGATATTTATAACTATCCGTGTTTGCCCAATAAGCTGCGATACAGCGGGTGGTGGCCGAGATTCTTGGTTAAGAAGATCGCTCTCGCTCGATAAGGGATATCAATAACGGGAAGGAAAAGCTACCGGTACCGACTCCCGCGACCCCTCCAATGGTTCCTTGATGGATTTATTTAGCTCGCGGGGCGTGGGATCGTCTCTATCCGCCCGAGTTGCAGATCTTCTTCCCCGTTGATCACCTTCCCTGAGATCGTTCACTCCATCTGACAAGGAATTGTGGTCTTTTTTATCTACGATTGAGGATATCATTCACAATGACTGTGGAAGATCTTCCCTTTTGGCTTGTCAATGTCCCGCGTGATCAATGGCCGGCTACTTGTCCTGACTTTTTGATTAACGCGAACCCAAAAGATCAGCGTATTTTGAGCACACCTGACCAGGAATACCACCGGCTGACTTGGGCTGAGGTCCAAGATATCGTCAGTATGTCTGGAAATAAGAGTTTCAAATTTTAAGATTTACAACCGACTGAATCATTGTTTCAGAAAGCAATCAGATTGGACTTTTCCAGCGAGCGCCCTCTGATCTCAGAAAATACTTGGCCTACAGCGCCAAGTTAAAGAAAGAATATGGCGCCGTGGTGAATTTTGTGCTCAAAGAGAGACTGCAATGGGCTGACCTGATACCCAAAGGTCCGCCCTTTACCAATCCAGGTACTATCCGAAAACCTAGTTGAAATTTACGGTATACATCAGACTGACACATTGACCTTATCGTGTTAGACGACATCAAGATTCTCTATAATGACTGGCCTTATGGAATTGACAAGAGAATCGTCCACCTCGTGGTATGGACAAAATTTGAATTAAACGAAGACCCTACAACCGGAGATCTCACCTCTGAGGCGCGTCAAGAGATTGAAGATTATGTGCAAAAGACATTTTGCTCACAGGTTGATCCAAGAAATGTAAAATGCGCCCTCTCTTCGCCCCTGTGTGGTTATTTTCATTACTGACTTTTGCGTGAACATGAAAAGGTCATTTGGTTTAAGAATTGGAGATCACTCAAGTCTGTTCATGCCATTGAGCATTTCCATGTGATGCTTTTCGACGCAGACCCTGTCTTTCTCCGACGAATTACTAATGGCGATGTGCCGCTGAGCGAAAAAGTCGGATCAGCTGTAGTTCCGGGCGACGGATAAGATGTCCATAGAGTGGCATTGCTTATGCAAAGGAGTCACATGATCAGGTGTAAGGAGTCATTTGTGATACGAATAGAAAGATGACGGTAGGGCGTGGGATATAAGACCATGTATATTTCTTTTCAGCAGCACTGATATCATACTCTTGAGCTTAATTATAGAATTGAATAAATATTGATTGACTTTTATTGTATGATTGTGCAGTATTTAATCTACTACGGTAAGTCACAATTGTTCAGTGACAAAGTCTATCCGATGGTGATACTATACTACTCGTAGCAAGATCACAAAAACAAAATACCTAAGAGGGAGACGGATGTCCATCTGCCGTGGGGAGGTGTGGAATGACGATAGGTGATGATATCAGGGTCTCCATCATTATTGTGAGGTCGGATTGTTCCACCCTTGAACTTCCGACCCACACGCTCCGAAGCCGAAGGAGCGAGGGGAAGGGGAGGGGAGGCCCCTCGGTCGCTTAATTGACCCCTCGTGGCCGCAAAGGATTCTGTAAGTGACTGCCAGCTCTAACACTAAAACTACCATCTGGCTTTGTATTGTACCTTTGGCTGACTGCTGTGTCAAAATACTCCCACCCCACGGCTTTTGGCGCCTACAAGGTAGTTGGTTGTGCCCGAAATTGTGTTTGAGCACAATTAACATATCTGAATAATACCTTAATCGTCACCGGCAAAAGACCCCGCTGCCGACTCACCGCCATCGCCAACGCATCTCTGGCAGCGATTGGGAAAGCTCGATATACGAATCCTCTTGTCAACATCCCTGTACTGCCTAAGGCTGTGCTCGGTTTTTTTATTCCGTCATCCGTCACTACAGTACTGTTACTCGCTGCCTGACCCTCTGCGAGTTCGCCCTGTCACCGACACGTTCCGCGTAAGCCTGGGCATTTTCTAGGCACTTTCTCTCTCGCTCTGCGGTAGAAAGCTTATTAGGCAGCCTTTCAAAGAAGCTGTTCCTTGCCTTTCCTTCTCGTCATTTTGGACTTTTGTGAAGCACCCCAGAATCGGCGAAGATGGTGCTTGGTCACAGCCACAGAAGATCGTCAGTTGCCGGTATGTCGAAGACTGATTACCTCCGACTTTGGTTACTTTTTTATAATTCAGAAGGAGGTATCGAGAACATGAAATGGGTCACTGACAAGCTCTTTTGAACTTCTAAAGGCAGTCGCTCCTCCACTGAGGAAAACCGGCCCGACTCTGCAAGCGGCGAAGATGAAACCATCGTAGAACCGGATCAGGGAAATGGTAAGCTGAGCTGACTGCTTTTGTATGGAGAACTGTGATTCTGACGAGGCCCCGAATTTTGCGACTAAATAGTTCTCTCCCACATAATCTCGCAGTTACGTCCCGGCGCGGACTTGAGTCGCGTCGTGCTACCGACCTTCATCCTGGAGCCAAGATCAATGTTGGAGAGAATAACCAAGTGAGTTGACCAGCTTGGACTTGGGGAGTTGGAATTACTGACAGTGGCTGTCCTGGGTAAAGCTTCATGGCGCATCCCGAAACCCTCCTTCCTATGCCTACCATCGAAGATCCGACCCAGCGATTCGTGGCTGTGGTCAAGTTCTATCTGAGCGGTTGGCACATTAAGCCTCCGTAAGTTCTCCACGCCCATGTTCTTCAAGGTGCCTCCTCTAACACGCTTTCAAAGTGGAGTGAAGAAGCCTCTCAACCCCATTCTCGGAGAGACCTTTACCTGCTATTGGGACTATCCCGACAATACCCGGGGATATTACATTTCGGAACAGACATCGCATCATCCTCCCAAATCCAGTTACTTTTACATGGCACCGGAGCATAACATTAGAATAGACGGGACTTTGAAGCCAAGGAGTAAATTCCTCGGCAACTCTGCGGCAAGCTTGATGGAAGGCATTGCAATCTTGCGGTTTTTGAACAGAAACGAAAAATAGTAGGTGGACCCGCATCTCAACAAGTTTATTAAGCCAAAAAAACCACGGTGCTGATGAGAAGGGCTTTAGCTTCCTGACACAACCAAACATGTACGCTCGCGGCATTCTCTTTGGAAAGATGAAGTATGAGTTGGGCGACCACAGCTTCGTTCGCTGCCCGGAGACTGGTCTGGTAGCCGACATTGAATTCAAGACAAAGGGTTACTTTAGTGGCACCTACAACGCCATCGGCGGTGTCATCAAGCAGGAGAGTACTGGCAAGGTCCTGTACGAAATTTCCGGTCTGTGGAACGAGGCGATGTATATCAAGGACACCTTGGTAAGTTTCTAAGAAAACACTCATTCGTCTTACGATCGCTTTGCGTCAGAACTTGACTAATTTTTTTTTTTTTTCCACAATAGACTGGTCACAAAGAAGTGCTATTTGATGCAACCAATGCAAAGCATACGCCCCCTCTGGCTCGCCCTCTGCAAGAGCAGGAAGAGCGCGAATCTCAGAAGCTCTGGTACAAGGTCGTGACGGCGCTAAAGGAACGCAACCAAGATGTTGCAACAGACGAAAAGAGCAGGATCGAGGATATGCAGCGCATGGAAGCTGCTCATAGGGCAGACGACGGTGTCGAGTGGCACCCTCGCCTCTTCAGGAGAGTTCACGGGGGCCACGGGGGCCCTGAAGAGGGCGAAGAGGACTTGGATTGGATCTTAAACGCAAGAATGTATGTGAAAGAAAACAGGTTACCCCAGTTACGGCCTACAATGGCAATAGCTAACGATTTTGATAGTGACGGTGCGACGCCAGAGGAACAGGCGCAGCAGATTCTGGCCATAACGCCAATCCTCCCTGGACAGAAGCAGTCCCAAAAATTTGCCATTCCCCCGCATCATCTCGCCGCTCCCGGCGAAGCTCCACCAGAGGACGTCATTGGCCCTATCAAGAGGAAAGATACAGAAACTGCTGAGATTGATGAGTTTGTCGATGCCGAAGACGGCTCCACACACGGATGAAGAGCTGCCCAGATATACTCAACGAGTTGACAAAAAAACTATTCACAGAGAAAATTATTTTCAACAGCCTATATTTCGGGTCTATCTATCTAGGCGGAATATGCCACCTTCTGTCACGCCTCGGTCGCGTCTCGACATTTACATGGTTTTGGAACAGTGCTCAATATAGATGACGCTGCACGGTGGTTTGACCCCTTCCCTGAGAGAGGTTCAGATTTTGCTCCGGGGTGGGTGTTTCGCCAGTACTCTGGGCAATTCAAAGCAGATAACTTGAATCTATTTCTCCCTCCATTTGCGTTGTGCATTTGCAAGAAATACCTCTGTTGGCTCTTTCCAAATTTTTCTCTCTCTACATTGTATCTAGAAATACCAGGTTTATATATTTGCATTAAATTTCTTCCAAGAACTTTTTTATACAAACAAAAAAAAAACCTTTCTAACCAGTTCGTAACATTAAAAATTTCTTAACGCCACAACTCTAACCTGGGACGCCATGACACCTTATAGTCTCTTGATTGTAAAAGCGATATCCAAAAATGACGCAAGTGTCTGATGCAAAACAACGCCGCCGATGAATCCAAGATTCGCTTCCCAAAAAGAAGGTAGAAATAAAAAAAAAAAGGTAAGCACGGAGAAGAGGGACTCCACCACGATACTAAAAGGCCAATTTTTTTTTGGCTGAAGCAATAAAGCCCCGAGTTGCACGAGCCGGGGGAAGCAGGGAAGCAGGGAAGCACTAATCAACCAATTCACCCAAGGTGCCTGCACCAGTTTCGTTTTGCTTTCGATAACGATCGTCACCATCTTCTCGCTCTTCTTTGATCTCGCGATCGACGTCTTCGCGGATTCCGCCCAAGTCGGGGGGGATATGCTGCATCATGACGCTGGGGGCGCTCTCCAAGTACGCGAGCTGTTTATGGATGCCCTCGACCAAGCTCCAGAGGTACTGGCGGGAATTTTTATTCTCGAAACGTCCATGTTCAGACAGCGGAGGAAACAATGTGTTATCTGGAGCGAAGTGGGCGAGGGCGGGAGTATGGGCGGGGAGTTTCTCGTCGAGCTGCTCGGAGCAGCCGATGCAGATGCTCGTCTCGTAGGCCCACAGACGGGCCACGTTGCGCGGGGTATATCCGCCGCCGCCAAAGACGAGGATGGGTAAGTTGAGCCGCTTGACGAAATCGACGCAGCGGCCGTGCGCGCGGATGTTGAGGTTGAAGCATCCGAGGCGGTCGCAGCCGAGGGAGTCGGCGCCGCATTGCAGCACGATAACGCTGGGCTGGTAGGCGCCGACGCAGGGCTCGACGATCTGCTTGAACAGCCAGACGTAGTCTTCGTCCTCGATGCCGTCGTGCAGGGGCACGTTCAGGGCGTGGTGCGCGCCGGGGTTGAGCGGGTTCTCGGGCCCAGTGGAGGAGAGGGGGCCGGTGCCGGGGAAGAAGTTGTCCTTGTCGTATTTGTGGAACGACAGGGTCATGACTCGATCGGTGGACCAGAATGCTTGCTCGACGCCGTCGCCGTGGTGCACGTCAATGTCAATGTACAAGACGCGCGGATGGTATCGGAGCAGCTGCAGGATAGCAAGGACAATGTCGTTGGTGTAGCAGAAGCCCGAGGCTTCTGTTTTCTTGGCGTGGTGGAGTCCGCCAGACCAGTTGATGGCGACCTGGGACTGTTCGTTGCACAGCTTTCGCGCGGCATCGAGAGATGCGCCGGTGTAGAGAGAAGCGTAGTCGTATAGCCCGTCGAAAATGGGACAGTCGTCTCCGATATTGTATTGAGCGAGTCTAGGCTCGAGTAGCATGTTGTTCGGTGTGACTCTGTGGTCGATAGCCGGTCAGTACAGTTGCATTCGTACAGAAGCAAAAGAAGAGGGAGGGGGGGGGAGGGGAGTGAAATTGGAAGATGAGGAGCGAAAGATATGTTATACGCACCGTTTGAGAAAGTCGAGATAGTCTTCCGTATGAAACTCGGCCATTTCTTCCCTGGTCGCTGCGCGCGTGAGGTAGAGATCCATAGCGGTATGCATGCCATATGCCATGACCAGTTGTTTCGTAAGAGTCAATCGCCATGGCTTCATGGGGTGGGATTGGCCAAAGTGAAACTTCTCGACCGAGGAATTCGCATGGAACGAAACAGTGTAGCCTTTCGGCCGCACGATTCCATTCTTTTCGATTTCGCGCTGAATCTTGTCGTCCAAGGTCAGAGTATTCTCTTCTATCCGCCCAGGAGCTTGGTACTCCTGAACGACGGCGGATCTCGCCATCGTGTGGCGTTTGCGCAGTGAGTAGCTTCTGTTGTAGGTTCGTTCCCATTGCGGCGGCATCGCGGAGGAGTTAAGAGTGGCCAACCACTAACCGGGGGGGCGGTCGGACCGGTGGAACTATCTTCCGACCTGCTGGTTGTATCACGGTTGAACGCCAACACGCGATATTTTGAATACTGGGATGGAGGAGAATAGGTGCAAATAAATATCTTTGAACAGTGTTGATGCCATTGCGCATATTTACTTGTTGTTTACGAACAGTTTTGAATTTGTAATTTGTTTTCATTCCAATTCTATTCACTTATTGAAGGAGGAAATGACGACCAGCGAGTAATTCCCATTTCCCAAACCGGCTAGCCTATCAGCCCTATCAGATTCAGAACGTCTACTACTCCATCGCAGAGCGCTCTTGGCCGCTGAAATCCATCTAATATTCGTCTTTTCATCAATTTTTTGCTCTCTCCTCTCAAGATACCATTCTCTACTTTCCGTCCATCTGTTCTCTGGACCTGAGGGGCCGAGGTTGCGTTGTAATTTCTGCATGTTGAGCGCCATCTCAACTTTGATCACTTCTATCTCGCCACTTCATTTCCTTGACCTTCCATCCAGCTGAACGCTTTCATCTTCTATTATATATCCGTGGTGTACATCTGATTACACCATATTATTCTAATATCGAAGATTTCTCTCGCCATGGCGCATCCCGAAGATGCCGGCGCGGTGCTGGAACAATTCATTCACGATGGTAAGTGTCACGTGATATATTTTATCAAAAGACCATGAAACGCTGACAGGGAGAAAACAGTTGCCAATCTGCCTGCTGAGGTAGCGCATCTTTTGGAAGAGATTGCAGCAAAAGACAAGGTCATACAAGAATGCCGCGCAGTCATCACGGCTCGAGACAATAGCATCCAAAAATTCATCAAGCTCAACGGCAGTCTCCAGATTAACCCCAAGGAGGACTCATACAGTAAGACTATTGCTCAGAATTTCGACCGAGCACAGATCTTGCAAGAAGAAAAGGTTGGATTGAGCGAGAAGGCTGCTGTACTGGTACGTAAACCCCGTGGTCCCCGCATGTAAAGTCACATCAGCTGACTCTGTCCACAAGCTGGATCGGCATATCAAACGACTCGACCTCAAGATTCGCGACTTGCAAAATGAGGGCGCCATGCCGCCTGACCCTACGATGCCCTCTTTGCTTCAACCTAGTCCGGGGAACCGCGTTCCTCCGGCGTCCGGGCCTAGCACGGGCGTCAGCACCCCTCTCCACCCACTATCAATTAACGCAGGGACGTCCTCGGCGACAACTGTAGCAAATTCTGGGATGGCAAGGCTTGCCCAACAGGGTCCAACAGGTCAGCATCATCATCATCTTCTTCCTCATCTTGACGCCGCGGGGGTGACTCCCCACGGCACTACCCAACCATCACAATGCCCCTCATCTTCTTCCATTTCTTCTTTGTCTTTGAAGAATTCATCTCACCTAGCCGACTTAGTTGCCCCTTCTACGCCCTCCGCGACCCCTTCCTCGGCAGCAGCCACGCTTCTTCAGCCACCACAGCGCCATCGCGAGTCTTCTGCTGGTGCCGCGGACGCCAAACGCCGTCGCCTGAACGCCCAGATCAGCAACCTGTCACAGACAACATCAGCGTCTGGCCTAGCGCGGCACGCGTCCGCCGGGCCTGGCACACCCAAAGCCGGCACACCGGGCAGTACGCGCGCCGGAAGTGCCGGGCCCCGCACCACCATCAAGAAGTCCAGCAAGAAAGTAGCGCCCCATCAACAAGTGCGCAAAAAGACATCTACGAAGACCGGTCTGCTCAAGAAGCCTTCATCTGCCAGGAAACTGCTTGGCGCCAACGGAATCAAAGCCTCGCCGTCGTCTACGGGAGACGAAGAAAGCGTGCTGAGCGAAGCCAGCGGCATCTCGGACGACGAAAACCTCTCCCCGCCTCCGGGCGTGGCTGGCTCCGGCGACGAAGAAATGGAAGATGTCGGCGAGGAAGAAGATGCCGGTGACGATCGCAAGTATTGCACGTGTCGCAGCGTCAGTTACGGAAACATGGTCGCCTGCGATAATGACGACTGTCCGTACGAATGGTTCCATTGGAGTTGTGTGGGCATGACCAAGGAACCTGTAGGGAAGTGGTACTGCGATGAATGTCGGAGTAAATTGTAGTCATCTTTGTCTTGCAGTATGGTTTTGATTTGACTTTGATTTGCTTCCTATATTTAATTTTCCAATCCCCTTTTCTTTTCATGGGATGTCCTTTGCCATTGTCGGCTGTATATATATCAATGCGGGTGATTGGGATCTTTTTCTGGTAAAGGATGACGGGCAGCGAGTGGCGTTTTGTGGTGTTGTCTTTTCCTCGACACAGGCAGTGTCCGTTGTCATCATAACATGATTGGCGAATGGTATCTCAATTCAGTCATGGATTCAATCATCATCCGTTTATATTCGTCATGCGGTTGCGGTGAAAGTTATATTGAATACTGATCATGCACCTCCAATGATTCCGACTGAGACCTGCTTCCCACTGCATGGCCGATCAGAATGCATCAGTCGAGTCATACTTCAACAATAGCTAGCTGTTCATACCGAATGCGAATAAAGAAACCCCAAAAGAGGTAATGCAAGGTCGTAATGCAAGATAACGTATGCCTGGCTAAAAAAGAAAATGAAAGCAAGGGTAAAAATAAAGAAAAGACGAAACGAAACGAAAAGAAAAGAAAAGAAAAGCAAAGAAGAGAAAACGAAATGAAAGGTAAAAACAGACACCATCAACGCAGAGACTCATAAGCAGGGTATCTTCGGCCGTCCACGCCCACGATCGGGCTCACGAATCGTCTGACACGTGGACGATCTCCATCGACTGACCGACTGGGGACGCGCCGAAAACCAGGATAAGAAGGATGAGAACCAGGAGGAGGAACAGCACCGGCCGGGCTCGGGGGGAGGTCAAACAGGCCATCTACGTTTCTCCAGCGAATAGACCCAGGGACTCTAGCATATTCTGGTTTAGCAAAACCGGATGGTCCCGCTGGGGAAGTTCCCGAGGATCCAGAGGCGCGACGTGGCATGTAATAGGCTTGGGATGCTTGCATTGTTGGGGCACGCACGAAGACGGCTGGTCCAGGAGGCGGTGGGGACGGCGCTTGCGGCGCGTGATGCGCGGCGTATGCTTGGTAATGCTGAAAGGGGGGCTGTTCGGAAAAGCGCCGTGGGTGGGGGGTGACGCCTACGAAGGGCCCGCCGCGTAGTTCGTCCCTGTCGAGCTCGTGGCTGCGATGGTGGCGAAGTGGGGGAGGAGGCTGCATGTTGTTTTGCCGAGGGCGGACGGGGATTCGCTCGCCGTCAGAGTCAAGGTCGTCTAGGGAGTCGCTGGAGATAGATGGGCTGATGCTTGGTTTGCGATGCCGTCGCGTACGACTTCCGCTGTGTCGGCGGGAGTGGGAGTGGGAGTGGGAGCGAGAACTGGGTCGATGGCGGCGGGAATAATTTGTGTGAAGTTCGGCGGTGGCGGCGGCGGCGGCGGCAGCAGCAGCAGAAGAGGAAGAAGGGGAGGCGTCATATCCATTCCCCCCGCCGTGGTAGGGTTCATGGGTATCAGGGACATGACGGTCTGAAGAAAAGCTTCCTCCCGGACCTGCTCGTGGTCTGGTAGAGTAAACGTAAGTAGCCGGCTCGGTGGGACCACGCTCGTCGGCTGCTCGGCGACGGGAAGAGTGGCTCCGTGATGATGCCGTCCGTGAGCTTCGGGGTCGAGCTGGTTCATGGTGAGAATGAGGGCTGGAGAAGTAGTCGTCTGCTACGTCTGTTCGCGCTGAGTCACGAGATCCAGGTCGTGGCCCATTTGCATCTGGCGTTCGAGCATGGTTTTGGGCTTGTTCGATCAGAGCATCGGACTTGAGTCGTTGAGTAGCGCCTTCATGCCATCGTAGCATCTCCTCATCGGCATACAAGGGAAAGGCCTCTTTCGGCAGTATCTTGGGAAAGAGGCTGCCATCATCCGGGTTGACAATGTTGAACTTTTGAAGAGCTTCCTGGAGGTAAGGCACGTGCTCTTCGGGGCCTAAGAGGATCTGGATGGTCTGCCATCGTACAAAACCTCTCGTTTCTAATGCCGGGATAGAAGGAGGAGCAAAGTCGTCGCCCGGTGTTGGTAATAATGAGTGAGCGCAGCCCAAGTACTGATAGATGTGTGATAGAGGCCAGTACGGCGTGTCAAGAAATAAGCTGTCGTAATTGCCGCCCACCGATCTATAGAATGCTGCGAGCTTTATCGGTGTGAGTTGTGTGCTCTCCTTTGGCTCAATCTCGGTGGACTAAGGCCGTTGCAAAGTAAAAGGTTAGTTTTATTTTTTTTTATTCATGTAAATATTCCAGTTGATACAAATATGACTTACGATATGGTTTGTGACGCCTCGAAGCAACGCGTCGAGGAGCTTGCTAGGCGTCTTGTCAGGCTTAAGCAGAAAGCCCCAGTAATGAGCTGCCTCGGCGGCCGCTGCGGGATCTGGCTCGGTCGCTTGAGTTTGAGCCATGGACAAGCTGTGCTAGTGTGAGTTACGACCAGCTCGGTATACCGCAAGCGGAGAGTTTTAGCTAAGGATGAAGAAAGTAACAGTCGTCAGATTGTCTTCGATTCATCCGACGATGTTGCGCACCCCCAGTTGAAGTAAATAAAATAAGCCGAGGCTGCGCAAGAGATTCCGCAGTCAGATATACCAAAAAAAATGGCGGGGTGAACTGATAGCGGTGTACAATAGGTGATTGCCTGCATATTAACGCGCGCTATGGTTGGTTCAGGCAAAGTCAAGGCAGACGTGTCTCGTGCAATTCTGCCGGTGGACCACGCAGTGAAACCACCACGCCAGGTGCCTTCTGAATGGACCAAGTCCAACAACCACACGTCAAGTCATATCAGTAAGATACTGTCGTGTCAGCCCCCGCATCACCTCCAATTTGATATCAGCCCTAAATTATGGTCTTTTCCACGGTTAACAATTTGACAGCCTGTCGTGCGAGGCTACGCTCGGTCGACCAAGCCAGACATTTGAAAGCGGTTGTTAGTTGTTTACAATTCACAAATATTACGGTGAAGAGCTACGAATACAAAGCACTTTATTTGAAATGCTCGACCATACCCAAAGATACTGACATGGCACGAGCAAAATGGTCAAAGTCCAGGACGGCTCATCACTGTATAACATGACAGCAGGGGCATAATGTAGAACAGCGACTTCCATGTCAGAAATCGACAAGACATTTTAAAATATGAGCATGAGGCCACAGGAAAACAAAGACTTAAAGTAGTGGTATTATCAATGTATTTTGGTATTGTGTAAAAACAAAGTGCTATTACGTTTGTATGAACAACCGGTCTGATTAAAAATAAAACTCGCCAGAAGAGTCAAAAGCCGTAAATGGCCAAAGACAGGTATGTCCCTAAGCCCTGTCCGTTACCGTAGCCCTTTCAAACCCCGCGCCAGCGGTTGCAAGTAAACCAACAGCTGCTCGTGAGAACCAGATAATTGGTATGTGACACGTCACAGCCACTTGGCTACATTGACAACCTTTATGAGAGAGACAGAAACAAAAAAAGACGACGCATTTAGTGCTCCAAGAGTCTCAAGCTACCCTGGACGACAACGTTCTCAAGGACGGATCCCGGGGGAACATCGATCGTGCTGCCCTCAGTAGCAACAATGATGACGGTACCCTTCATGGTGACATTGCTACCGAGGTTGACGGCACCGGTAATGGTCAAGTGGTCGAGCTCGACAATCTTGGGGATGCTGGGGATGTGCTTCTGGAAGTCGCTGACCTTCTTGAAGTCGTTGCCGAGCTTGATCAAGGGAGCAGGACCGAAACGGTTGGGGTCAATGACGAGCTGACCGTGCTGAAGAGTGTAGAGGTCAGACTTGACGAGCATAAGGTCGGAGCAGGTCTTGACGGGCAAGAAGCGGCGACGGGGCACGTTGACACCGTGGGCGTTGCCAAAGTGGCGGATAGCGGCACCGACAGCAGTCTCGAGCTGGACAATGGAGAGATCCGACTCGCCCTTCTTGTCGGCGGGGATGGACTTGTTGTTGGGGATAATCTCCATCTCGAGCTCATTGTTCTCAACAACACGCTTGATAGCCTTGGCGTTGAGCCAGATGTTGTTGGTGTTGAAGTACTTGAACTTCTTAATCGACTTGAACTCGTTGACGTGCTCCTTGGCCACCTGGGCAATCTCAAGAAGACGGACAGAGTCCTCGTAGTCGATAATGGTACCACCCTTGACGTCGGCCTTGGTCTTGTCGGTCAACTCCATAATGTACTCAGCCTTGGACTCAACCATGTGCTGCAGAATGCGGAGGTCGACGACAGCGCCGAGGTTGTCAGCGTTGGAGAGGAAAATAATCTCAACACCACGCTCAATGAGCTGGTCGAGAATGCCAGAGTTGTACAGAGACTCAAAGACGTCACCGTGGCCAGGGGGGTACCAGTCAGAGATCTGGGAGTCGTAGCTCTTGGGAGCGGGGAGGAGGGAGTCCTTCAAGACACGGGGGTACCGCGACTGGTTGAAGGTCATGATGTCAACATTGTGACCCTCGTACTTCTTGATGATGTTCTTGGTGTCGGAGTCGGTGTTGAACGAGTTCATCAAGATGAAGGGAACGTTGACATTGTAGGTGCGGTTGAGGTACTCAATCTGGCGGACAGAGAGGTCAAGGAACGACATGCCGTCACGGACCTCAATGACGGACTTGGGGCCGACGCAACCCATCGAGGTACCAAGACCACCGTTGAGCTTCAAGACGGCAAGCTTGTTGAGGAACTCAACAGCATTGCCCTCGGGAAGAGTGTTGTAGTCCTGGACCTGCTGGGGGTTAGGGGGAGCGATGCGGTCCCAAGAAACCTGGTTGCCCTTGGCCTTGTCGTTGAGGTAGCGGCGGAAGAGAGCAAAGAAGTTGTCCATCTCAGTCTCAAAACGCTTCTTCTCCTCGGGGTCCTTGACGGTGTCGGTGAGCGCGTTCAGAGCATTGCGCATCTGGCTGGCAGCAACGCTGGTCGAGGTGTTCTCAAAGGCCTGTTTACGCTCCATGATTAGCTTTCTTGATGGTTGAGAGAGGAAGCGTGATGGGATTGCGAGGCTCGGCAGTGTTGACAAAACAACAAGTCCAGATCTGCGTCAGAAGCGGAGCGCCCGCCATGTCCGGCAAGGTCCTTTTCTAAGCGGTCCGCAAAGACCGTATCCATCTCGTTGAAATCCAACAGTGCATGTCTCTGAGACACGTCTCCTGCAGGAGTGTGGCTCGTGGAAATTGATTGAATGAGGGAATTTTCGCAGGTACATACCATGTGAGACTGGGACTTCCCGTGGTGCTTCTTGGGGAAAGCGCCATCAGCACCGTTGGAGGGCTTCAGGTGCTGAGGGAGAGCCTCCTTGAGCTTGGAAGTGACGTCGGCCATTATTTCAAATATTAAATTGTAAAATAAAGTATCTGCTGCGAGAGAAAACAGTCAGTGTCAATGTCCAGATGGTTTTGCAAAACTCCGTTTGGTAAACGCCTGAGAATGTTGTTTGTGGGGGATCGGACAGGATCTTAAGAACAGCTGTCGGGAAACAAGCTTCAGAGTCCGATTGATGCCAGACACCTTCCAAGGAAACCGGGCATCAAGACTCACGCCCTTTTCACCCCAAGAAGTTCAATGGTGCGCGGGGACACTCTTGGCAGGCAATTGAAAAACGGAGCAATGGAGGCAGTTAACTTACTATCGAAAAAGAAAACAAGGTTAAGACAAGATCTGTCGTCTCAACCAAAGAGAAGATGGAAAGAGAATGAATACGCTTGGAGATGAAAAGTATGGGAAAACCGAGTTGCTCAACGGAGGAGGAAGTGGTCCTTTAAAAGGTTCAGATTGGGGGCAACAGATGGTCTGGAAGGGGGGTCAATGGTAATGGTTGGCTTAGCAGCTACTTGGGTAACTTAGTAGTAGGAAGTTTTGGAGTGGTACAGTAATAGCACGGAGGTACTCGCCGCGGTGTAGAGTAGCAAGAGTAGTAGTAGCAGGGCAGATCGGGTTGTGCGTTTTGACCGGGGGGTTGCGAATATAGTAGGCGACCGGGGGACGAAATAGAATGGTTTTGGGCCGTCGGCTAACTAAAGGGGGAACCACAGCTTGTAATCCGAAGGGGGAACGTGCAAGAAGGGGAATCAGCTAAGGCCCAAAGGAGCTTGGTGGGCCACGATGTCGACTCTGAGTGGAGAAAAACGCACGATGGATGGGGCTCATGGAGGGGGCAATCAATCAGTTCTGCCAGAAGAAGCCCATGAGGGGCCCATTTGGCCACATCCACGAGTTTCCCGATTCTGTAAAGTACCCTACCAGGAACCTCTCTCCCTGTCTCTCTCAACCCTTGTCACTCTACTTCTGGTGATACCCCTGAAATAGGGGATCGACTGTAACAATATCAACAATAATAATGCCGGACCACGTTTGATGGCTTGCACGTAGCCTTTGGCCGGAGCCGTACCCTGAACCAGGTACAGCAATCCTTTGACATCTGGGCCGATGGAATTTTTTTTGATTTCTCTCTTCGTCATCGGCAATCAAGGACCCTGATGCCCCTCTCTACTCTAGAACAGAGTACAGAGTGTACCTCCGTACTTTGCACTTTTTTGGATCCCAGGTTCCTCCCGGGGGCTCAGTCTCGAACGAAATTTTCGTGCAGGTGCAATAACGTCGTTCTTACCGAATTCTCATCATTCTTCAATTCTTCCCGTTGATTCGATCCATGTTTGGCTTCCAGACCGCCAACCTGAATAAATGCAACGTATCGTGATCTGCACCACTCGGTCGAGCCCCCCCCCCCCGCCAACTCTCCTGAACCAACCTCAATAGAGTAGAACAGCACCCACCACTGAGTTCGGGAATCCCCCGAACGCCCTTTCGATCTAGGCGGGTTGCCTCCGCGACGGCTTTCCCTACCGACGTTGAGTCGAGCTCCGCTCCGTGCCAATATCGTGAGACTAGTAGAGAATCAGGTAATTGCAATATTAAATCCTGACCTCTAGCGGAAAATCATGAATGGTGTTGAACTTCGCTTGAGACCAAAAACCGCCCGTTGCTATATTAAGCATCTAGTTACAATTGTCAGGTTTCTCAGCACCTCCGTAGTCTTGCACTGCACGCTCGGTACCAAAGAAAATCTCCATTTGACACCACACAAGGAGAATATTTAATCTCAGTATAAGGCCAATTCTGCACCAATTGTGCGGTCTGATCTCATCAAATTTAAATTTCACCAAGCTTCACTTCATGTTCAGGCACGTCATTGTCTTTCAATTTTGACCCTTTGTAGTCCAAGTTTTTGTACTTTGTAGTCCAAGTTTTTGTAAGGCCAATTAAGCCTCAATGCAACGCCCGCGTATGCTCGTATGCGAGAGATGGCAAGATATTGATACTTCTGATCCCTTGTTGGGTCGAGACACAAGAAAAGTTTTAGCTGCAGAACCATGGCGAGAGTAGTAGTCAATTTTGCCCCTCCAACTCTCTGCGTTTCATCGAAGCATCCATTAACTTATTATTAACTTAAAGTCAGCCTAACAAATAAGCGATATCTGCCCCCGGCCGTCTCTCCGTCAAGGTCCATCGGCCACTGCCCGATACCCCTGGCCTAGGATTCTGTTGACATTGGTAATCTATCCATGCGGCTGCTGCTCCATGCATGATCCGCCCCAATGCCGGCCACAGGGAGCTGGAACATCATGCACTTTAAATTACTGCCAAAGCCGTGTATTTATTTCTTTTGCCTAATTGGGACACCGTGGGCACGTTTACTGTGCGCCACGGGAGAGCCACAAGCCACGAGACATGTTCGGTTCCAAAATGGGAAGTCATTCTTTTGGCCAAGGTTGCAGGTAAAGACGAGAAGCCATGCTCAGCCGATTGTCAAACTTTTATTTTCTCTGCACGCCTTTCATACCACGTGAAGCCTCTCTGCCTCTCATGATTGAGCCATTTGGCAGAGTATGCACAAGCTGAGAGTAGTCTGATCGGCACAGATCCAATTTCCGGGATGATCAGGGGCCCGTAAGTAATACTCTAAAACCGAGCCGATATCAACCGTGCACGATGCCCCCTTCCCAGACACAGCACACAGCCACACCCTTTCCGGATTTTGATTGAGCAACTACGGAGTTACCTTGGTCCCCTGCCGAATCTGGGAATACCCTATAATTTGACTAAGGTAAAATAAGATGGAGAATAAAGTAGACCCTTCCCGAAACTCCTGCGCTTATGCGTGAGATGCAACAGCCTAGCAATGACAATAACCGCGAACGCCCAAACAGAGTATATGATGGCGGGTCAATGCAGATCCTATACGTCTAACCATGTCTTGAAATATTCACAGTTGCTTGCGCTTACGGGTCCACCTTCCTCGCAAAGATTGAAGACCGGGCATCTCCCGCAAGGTGCTTCTGTGAGCCCATTCCCAACGCCCTCTTCGTCGTCCCCAATCGGACGCCTCACAGCCTTGAATCCAATACCGCCCATGACTTTTTCAATGCGTCCGTCATAGTATAGTATGTCGAGCAATTGCCGGATTTGAGACTCTTCCAACGGCACTGGCGTGAGCCCAGATCCCCTCACCCATTTGCTGATTTCTGACGCGGTGGGGTAATCCATGTGTCCTGGTGGCATTGGGAGTAAAGTGTCCCGAACATTTAAAGGCGCTTTCTTTTCTTGTAAATCCTTGTTCCTCATTTCTTCCGCTTGGGTCTTGCTCATCTTGTCCTTTTTGCTAGCCGTAGGGCGGACACGGACGAAACTTTTGGAAAAGATATATTTCTCTATTTGTGCCGACATTTGTTCGATGAATTCAACGTCCAATTCACCATCGGTGAACCAAGGGCCTCCAGTAGTGTCGTCCGCCGGTTGCAGAGTTGATAGAATGAAGTACTTGCGTGTGGGGTATTTGACATTAACCATAGATTTGATCATATTTCGGCCTTCAAGGCTCTTGAGGCATCGTAATTGAACGGTCTGGTGAAGATTTGTGCGCGCCTTCAGCGTTCGGGTCCAGATACCCTCGCGCCCTGCTGATTCAATATGATTATAGACCAGGGCTTCATCCGCAGAGAGATTCTTGTACCTATCAACGAAAAAATACATTAGCGTCACTGTGGCTACCAGTGTGGTGATTTAGCCTCCCTTACTTTGCGGCATCCTCTTCTCGAACCACCTTCCATACGATGGAAGTATCCGTTTGGAGAAGCTTGAAACGCCCCTCATTGGTGAGGATTTGAATGCATTGCATAAGATCATTTGCATCCTTTGTCGGCACGACTCCCAGAGCTGAAAGCTCAACCTGGTTATATAAATGGTCCGGATTTTCTGAACAACGGAGATATAGGGCCGTCTTGGCCTTTTCGATCATGGCGGCATGCGAGCCGCTCGACGAGGACGGCATGGTGAAGCGCAAAGTATTAAGTCCCCCGTCCCTAATCTGGAGACTGCCAACTGCCTCCGGCAAATCGAGCAAATAAATCGCTGCACGGTCGCAAACTGAGCTCTTCTTCTGTGGCAGATTTGTAGCGGCAGAGGCAAAATAATGATGCTTCAAGGCGAAGCGAACTAAACCTTTTAAAGTCAAGCGTGGGCGGTGAGAACCTACAGAACCGGGGAAATCCTCAGAGGGCACAAGCCTGCAAATCACCCACCTAATATACGGAGTACAGCAAATTTTATGTAACTTGATGCATGGTGGTAATTCGAATAATAATTGTGTAATGATTTTCGATTCTGGTACGGATGTACTGTACCACAGTTAATCAAGAACACTTGACTATTACCGCTGCTTATATGAGTATTTGTTGCAGTATAACACGATTCAAATTCTTATTTTATCATTCTATTATTTTATTTTTTCTATGGCCAATTATGCACGTCCAATCAAATGTAGAGGATAAATAGACTTGTTTGATTAAGAACAGTATTACTCTCATCACTTTGTTCATTGTCTTTGAAAAATATAGTGTCTGGCTTATATGACAGGATGATACACTACGGCTACTACGACACTTAATTTCCGTGGTCCTTTTCTCATACAGATCATCAATTGAAGATTGCATGGCAGAGCGTACAAAACCAACATTACTGCATTGAAAATAATTTGTGTTTTTTTTTTTTTTTGTTATGAAGGAAGAACTGGTTCAGCCCATCACATTGTTAATCAGCCTTAGGACCGAGGAAACCGGCACAGTGTAAATGTGATAATGACAGGACCAATATTTACCCATGCAGTCCAGCAAGACTATGCCAGTGGAGGACAGAGGGTTTACGAGTCTAAGTGGCTCTCGACCATTTGCTTCTGTCAGGTAGGCTTGGACATGGGTCTCGGGATATCATTCGCCAATGGCATGGTGATCTACTGTACTTTCCCCCAAGTACCTTTACCCCAGAATCAAGTGACCATCAAGCGGGGAAGGGACTCTAGCAATGACGTCGCACAACATCCCACCTACGTACCCCCATGAACGTCCTTAAGGTAGGTCCTAGGTAATTCCGCACGGCCAATTCATGATAATTAATCATCCTGACCGCGTGCGCTTGAGCTCAAAGACGATGCTGCCGCAAGCTACTCCCTAGCTACAATGGTCTCTAGGCTGCCCTTCGTCACAAATGAAGTAGTGTCCTTGGACCAGCATAGAGGGCGCCCTGCTACACTAGAATTGGGGCGGGGCCCCTCAGCCCTGGCCCAGCAGCTCCCTATGCTCCCTCTCTGGTCAATTTGAGGGGATATTAAGCTCTCGGCAGTAATCCCCTTAGCAGCGAAGCTCATAAATACCTAGCTATTCCCTTCTTATCGCCCCGAGTGAAAGGCTTTCATTCCCTTGTGCTTTGCTTCCATTGAATGAGCAGAATCAGTCTCTACTTGGCCTCAATCCATACTTGCATCCCGTTAAAGAATTCCTTAGAAGCACCACGATGGAAGACCATACTCCAAATAAATATGATGCCACTGGCCTTCGAGGCCCAATGGGTTACATGCCTGTATGTCGAGAAGATGTTGACATCAACTAACATTATCTGGAGTAATTGCTTATGGAACGTGCAGATTGAAAACTATGGCCTCATTGGAAATCTACGTACCTGTGCCCTTGTTGCTGTTGACGGCAGCATTGATCATATGTGCTGGTAATGATCAACTCTCGCAATCGAATGCATGCAGAAGCTCACAATGTGTTCAGGCCAGAATTTGATTCACCTTCAATCTTCTGTCGCCTCATTGATAAGGATAAGGGAGGACACTTTATGATCTCGCCGGAGCCAGGCCTTAACCCTACGACTAAACAGGAATACCTCCCGAATAGCAACGTTTTGCAAACTAGATGGATACACGAAGCAGGTTGCGTCAATTTGACAGATTACTTTCCGAGACCGAGATCTGCCTCGAGGCCCACTCCCTTAACTGGGAAATCTTTGTTCGAATCCCTCAGCCTGAAAAGTGAGTTGAAAAGATGGCTTGTCAGGAGAGTCGAGTGTATCCGAGGCGAGCTGAATGTCAATGTCGAGCTCTTTCCTGCGTTCAATTATGCGCAAGATGAACATATTACGGAATTGGTCGACGGTGAAAAAGGTGATCCTCAGAGGGGACCTACTGTCCTCTTGAAGAGTCGCCTTGGCCGCATGCGCCTTGACTGTACAATTGATGGAGGAGAACACGACGATTCCCTGAGACCGGTGGTCAAATTCAAATTGGAAAAGCGGGAAGGCTTCCTCGGCAAGGGTGTAGTGGCCAAAGTTCTGCTGCATGAGGGACAAACCGTCTCCTTCGTGTTCCGCGAAGATGAACCCGAGGTCGCGCTGGAATCACTCAGTCAGAAGCAGCTTGATCGAGTACAGCAGGATACTCAGAGCTATTGGCACCATTGGATTGCCAAGAGTAAATATAAAGGACGTTGCCGAGAAATAGTCAATCGGAGTCTGATGGTGCTCAAGCTCCTGACTTATGAGCCCACTGGGGCCATTATTGCTGCACCGACCTTTTCCCTGCCCGAAGACTTTGGTGGAACCAGAAATTGGGATTATCGCTATTGCTGGGTCCGGGATTCATCCTTTACTATATATGCTCTCCTTCGTATGGGCTTCACAGAAGAAGCAGAGGCTTATATGACCTTCTTGAGTGACCGCTTACGCTATTCACGCGCCCCGGATGGTGGTCTGCCCATCATGTTTTCTATCCGTGGCGACACCCAGTTAGAGGAGATCGAATTGTGCCATTTGGATGGTTACAGAGGAAGCAAGCCTGTCCGCATTGGCAACGGGGCTGCCTTCCACAAACAATTAGACATCTATGGGGAGATGATGGACAGTATCTACCTTTATAACAAGTACGGTAAACCTGTTTCATGGGACCAATGGGTCGCCGTGCGGGAAATTACGGACTACATTGCAGGCATCTGGCGTGAACCCGATAATTCAATCTGGGAGGTTCGCGGTCAGCTTGAAAACTTTGTCTACTCTAAAATAATGCTTTGGGTGGCTTTTGACCGAGCTTTGCGACTGGCTGACAAGCGGTCATTTCCATGCCCTCACAGATTCGAATGGCTCGCCATCCGGGATGAGATCTACGAGGATATCATGAAGCATGGCTTCAATAAAGACATGAATTGTCTCATCCAAAGCTACGAGAGCAATGAGGTGCTCGACTCCGCTGTCTTGATTGCACCGCTTGTCTTCTTCATGGCTCCAAACGACCCCCGTTTCCTTGGAACTATAGACCAGATACTCAAACCTCCGGAGAAGGGTGGTCTAACTAGTGCAGGTTTAGTCTATAGATACAATCATCTATTGAGCAATGACGGTAAGCTGAAACTGATCGGGCATAATGTTGATGGCTTTCACTGAAACATTTCTTCACTAGGCGTTGGCGGCGCTGAAGGCGCCTTTAGCATGTGCACTTTTTGGCTCGTTGAAGCTTTGACTAGGGTAAGTATCCATCGCATTAGAAGGGTTCATTCAGGCTAAATATCTATAGGCGGGTGCTTATGATCGGCAATACCTTGTCAAAGCGGAGTCGCTTTTCGAGAGTATGCTTTCTTTCTCAAACCATCTCAGCATGTATTCGGAGGAAATTGCAAAGTCTGGAGAGCAGCTTGGAAACACTCCGCAGGCTTTTAGCCATATTGCGTTGATCAGCGCTGCGTTCAATCTTGACAGAACCACAGGAGGTTAGTCTCGCGTCCAAAAGCATCATCGAGGATGTCAAGATTGTTTCTTTACTAAGAGCGTCATTTACTGGGGCTATCTAAATTTTTTGGATCTATATATAATGAAATTACACCTAAACACGTTATAAGAAATGTAGATTATCACATTTTAATTTTCTTGAACTCTGCAGCCTGAAGTGATTTCGCCTTATAAATGTCATGACGCTTAAACTAATATGTGATGTCATTGATGTGCTTCCTCTACTCTGTATCGATAAACAAATGTGTACCCGACTTTCTCGGCTCTAGGGGGCACGTACCGACTCTTACAACGCGATTTAAATGAGTTGGATTGTTGACCACACAGGCGGCCAACGAACAGTATTCCTAGACATGTTTACGTTGCGGGCTTGAACTCACTGATGCCAGGAAGAAGAAACGCGCAGAGGCGCACTCAGGCGTTGGCACCGTCTTCTTCAAGCCTGTCCTCCGCGCCAGACGATTCCGAATTTGCGGCCGACGACAGTGATACGACCGCGCCCGCTGTCCGGAATGTGAGGGAAACTCATGCTCCTGAGCAACAAGAAGTTACTCAATCTCTGAATACTGCCTCAAACAAACGTAGACTGGATTCTAAGAAACTGTCTCCGGTCAAACGGGTGAAGAAATCTGTCAATTCTGCGACCACCAATTCCACCGAACCTTTAGGTGAACAAGGCCAAGATCTTGCGAGGTTAAGTAGAACTAGGGCGACAAAATCCAGAGATAAAGCGGAAACCGACGTGTTTGAGGAACAACAAGTAGCCCTGCCCAGGGGAAGGCGACGAACGGAAACCGATAAGGCAGCACATGTGGCCAAGAAGGAAGAGGAAGACGAGGATTTTCAAACAACTGCTGATACTCTCACAACAAAATCCGTAAAAGGCACGAAGAGAATTAAAAAGGAATTGGAAGACGGAAGGGAATCCAATACACAGCGGGTACGGAATACACAGCAGGAAGAAGTCGTCGAAAACGAACACAAGGAAAACGATAAACCAAAACCTCCGAAACGGAAAAGAAAGACAAAGGAAGAAAAGGAAGCAGAAGCAATGCCCCTAGCGGGGCGAGCTGTTGGTCTAAAGTTGTTTATTGGAGCCCATGTCAGCGCAGCCAAAGGTTGGCGGAATCAATCTTGACTTTCGAAAGTATAATGTCAGTCTGCTAAATAATCTTTCCTCTAGGGGTTCACAATTCGATCACAAATTGCGTGCACATTGGGTAACTATGATCAGTCTTGCTTAATCGCCTTTCTCATGCTGACTCTAAGAATAGTGGAAATGCCTTTGCCCTGTTTCTAAAGTCACAGCGGAAATGGGAGAGCCCGCCCCTGCAGGAGGAACATGTCTCTCAATTCAAATCGTTCTGCAAAGACCACAAATTCGACGCAGAAAGGTAACCTAGGATCTTCTAACTTAATCTATCCAATCCTTTTACTAACTTTACCAGGCACATCGTTCCTCACGGCTCATACCTTGTCAACCTTGCGCAAGCAGATACCGCAAAAGCGAAACAGGCTTATGAATCATTTCTAGATGATGTGAAACGCTGCGAGGCTCTGGGCATCAAACTCTACAACTTTCAGTAAGTCGAGGGTCCTGCGAGTGCCAAGTCGTCTTTTTTATTTATAGCGAATTATTACCATTAACATGTCTAGCCCTGGTAATACCGGCCCTTCACCAAGACCGGAAGCCATAGCTCGTATAGCAGGTCAGCTCAATCGGGTCCATCAGAACTCTTCTGGCGTTGTCACTTTGCTCGAGACCATGGCTGGTGGGGGCAACGTTATTGGCTCAACTTTTGAGGACTTGAGGGACATCATCGCCTTGATAGATGACAAAAGTCGTGTGGGTGTGTGCTTAGATACATGCCACATATTTGTGAGTAGCGAAATGTCAATTCTATATCCAATTCCCATAATCATAACTCAAGCTTTCGGGGATCACCGCTAATCGAGGCACAGGCTGCCGGCTACGAGGTTCGTGATAAGACCGCCTTTGAAGGTACCATGTCATCATTTGCCGATATTATTGGCCTGAAGTATCTACGTGCAGTGCATCTGAATGATAGCAAGGCTCCATTTGGTTCGCATCGCGACCTGCATGCTAATATTGGCACTGGTTTTCTTGGCTTGCGAAGCTTTCACTACATTATGAATTCGCCGTTGTTCCATAATATGCCGATGGTGCTGGAAACGCCCATTAGTGCAAAAGATAGTTCTGGCAAGGAAATCGAAGACAAGGGCATTTGGGCACGAGAAATCAAAACGTTAGAGAGCTTAATAGATATGGACATGGATGGAAATGAATTCCGGGATATGGAAGAGCGGTTATGGAAATCAGGATCGGACGAGAGAGCAAGAATCCAAGCACAGGTGGACAAGAAGCTTGAGAAGGACAAGCTTAAAGCAGTGAAGAGTAGCAAGGCCGGCAAATCGAAGCCAGTCGCACGACGAAAAACGGCCAAACAACAAGCCGAAAGCAGTGATAGCGAGCTGAGCCCCAATGACAGCTCCGAAAATTAAACACAGATCCCGGATTGTCACCCTAGCACACCTGCCTCTTCTCAGCTGAATGTGAGAATTTATGGTGAAATCTCGGCCCAACTTGGGTGTGTGTTGCTGGCCAACTTGGTTGTTATCGTTATCGCGTTGTCTGTGTGTTCTGATGACTAAGCATTGTTTACCAACAAACCCCGAGGGGGGTCGCATAACTGTCGATCAACTTATGTCGCACCTTGTACATCTAGCAAACACCATCACTTCGACCACCAAATCTCGACGTAGTGAGACGGCAGAGCGCTCGAGATCAAGGCCGTCAAAATGGCGGGTGCAGAGGATCTCATCAATTTCGACGTTATTGAGACGCAGAAGGAGAACATTCAGTCGCTACCAGGAGGCCGTTCCGCTCGAGCTTTGGCCTCAATATTTTCACCACCGCCGCAAGGAAAGCAGTCGAACACAAATCCCTCAGATACCCGAAGTATCAATGATTCGATACGAGAAGAATTCGAACAAGAACTTCTGTTGATAGCAGAGTCGGACGACCCGCTAGATATCTACGATCGCTATGTCAAATGGACCTTGGACGCATATCCGTCCGCACAAGCAACACCACAGTCTCAGCTATTGCCGCTGCTGGAGCGTGCTACAAAGGCTTTTCTTGCATCTCCGCACTACAAGAATGATCCGCGCTACCTGAAGCTCTGGCTGCATTACATTCGCCTATTTTCAGATTCGCCGCGGGAAACGTTTGCGTTTTTGGCTCGCCACGGCATTGGAGAAAGCCTTGCACTATTTTATGAAGAATTTGCTGCTTGGCTAGAACGTGCTGGGCGGTGGACGCAGGCAGAGGAAGTCTTTACGCTCGGCATTGAACGTGAGGCTAGGCCAGCCGAGAGACTTTTGCGCAAGTTTGGAGAATTTCAGCGCCGGTTCGAGTCTCGGCCCCAAAACGACAACGAGCCGTCATCACCAGCCTTACCGACTGTTCGGCCAGCATTGGCAGCGAAGATAGACCCTTTTGCTTCTACAGCTCCTGGGCCAGTAGATCCACAGGCGGGTCAACCGCCAGCATTATCCAGCGGTAGTTCGCGACCAAAGGCTAGCCGACAGAAAATGACAATTTTCTCAGATGGTGATGCACCTGCCCCAGTGACATCTGAAGTCGGAGCAAAGGGTTGGGAGAACATTGGGACATTGGCGCACCGGAAGAAGGAGAATGTCATGGAGCCACGGCCGTGGGCTGGAGAGACGCTGAAAGCAGGTCGAAGGAACCCTGGAGTTCCCAAAATGCCCATATTCAGAGACGAGGTTGGTGGCCCTGTGTAGTCATAGCACAGTCCCCTTTCCTCCCAGTTTCTTATTTTTTTTTCTTTAACTGCTTTCTTACTCTTTGTATCTACGATCACAGGACTAATTCTGGTACTCTACTGGTTGATTATATTTAGTCGGAATCTCAAGCGCAATTACATACACAGAATGTTTTGCCACCAGCACCAAGCAGTCAGCAGGAGACGATTAACCCAAGGACAGGGAAGATTGAAAGGGTATTTGTGAATTTAGAGGCTGTATATCCGAACCGAGACGATCCCGCGGAAGAGTACTGTTTTGATGAGCTGAGGGCACTTCATCGGGGCTGGCTTTCTGTTGACTGGAGGGCTGAAAACCTGAAGCTGGCGGAACAAGAAATGCATGAGGCAGAGCAAGAAATGCGTGAAGCGGAGCAAAATCAAACAGTCAGTGAAGCTGACCTTGCACCAATCGAAGAACCCGAGCCTCCGGCTTCTGTAGAGAAGGAGAATATTGAGGTGTTCCGGGATATTGGGGCCCAGGAAGAGCAAGATGAGAGAATCCAGCAAGAGAGCCACAAACCCAAGGTTTTGGAGGTGAAAGGCGAGACTCAAACAAGTAGGTTTCAGAATCTGTTTGCCAAAGGGCCTAGGCTAACTGTATGATAGTCCGAACGAATCTTGATTCACCTACAAAGTCTAAACCGAAGCGAAAGGTCAATGCAGAGCCAACCATGACATTGCATACCAAAGCTGCCACGGATGAGATATACAGCATGTTCAACCAACCGCTGAAATCAGCAAAAGTTGACGAAGAAGAGGATAATAGTGCTGACGATACGAGTGATGGTGACGACGACGATGACGATTACACTAGTGCTGGGGAAAGCACCTTTACCGGCAGGACGTTTACTCGCAGTGAAGCGGGAGATGACGATCACGACGATGAGGAGGACAACAATGATGCGGAGAGCAATGCTGACAATGAAAGCGATGGTGAAGATGCTACTGCATGGTCCGATTTCACAGCTAGCAAGCATGTCCCGATGACGAATGAAGAAGAAGCTTCTGAACAAGATGAGAATGGCGATGAAGAAGCCAGAAGTGAGCCAGATTCGGTGAGAGAAGATGACACGAATGATAGTATTGGGCTTGCTACACCACGACAAGCAGAGGGACAGAACAACAAGTTTGTTCCTCTGCCGCCGGCGGGGTATGAACATCCAGTGGGCTCGTACCGCGATGTTGCCCAGCTGCCGCAGAACCGCTTACCATTCATGACGCCTATAGTTGAGAAGACGGAGTCATCCATTGCACCTGTCACCGTCAAGGAGGAGAAGGATTATTTCAATTCAAAGACACCCTCGAAGAATGCTGTTGCGGAAGAATCTATCGCTGACGTCGAAGAAGATCTTTTGGGCAGTCCGATCGAGGAGAAGATTGGAAAATTGGAGGTGGACGATGCAAAGATCCCACAGCCGGACCTTCCAAGACCAGCAAAAAAGACAACAGACAATGTTGGTTCAAAGCGTGGTAACTTGATGCGAAGCGCGGCGCCGGCCAATGAAGAGATTCCCAAAGGACCAATAATCAATGACACGCTCTGCAATCCTATTGACGACCATATCCGAAAGACTGTCTTCGAGCACTTGCGGCCGCCTCTCTCCTCCTACGACGGGTTCAGCGAGAGTGACGAGAAGAATGGAAAGGGATCCGAGATTCGAAAATTCATCAAGGCCCAGGGAAAGACGACCAAGGGCAACAGCGACAAGACCAGCTCAAGCCAATTAACGGGGCCTGTACTCCAATTTGAGGGCTCCGAACGAGAATACACTGTCAAGCGCGAGCTCGGTCAAGGAGCATTTGCACCGGTATACCTGGCCCAAGCCAGTTCTCCAGAAGATGACGACGATCAACAAGACGAAAACGGACCCGCCGTGATGGGCAAAGGCAAGTTTGGAATCGAACGACGTCAACTCGAAGCCATCAAGATGGAAGACCCGCCATCCGCATGGGAGTTCTACATTATGCGACAAGCCAAGCGCCGACTGGGCGTGTCTCGGGCCGCAGAATCCGTTGTGCACGCCTACGAAATGCACTTGTTTGCCGACGAAGGCTATCTCGTCGAGGAATACAGAGACCAAGGCACTCTTCTCGACCTCGTCAACCTCGCCAAAGCCGACGCCCCCGCCGGCGGCGTCATGGACGAAGCCGTCGTCATGTTCTTCACCGTCGAGCTCCTCCGCACCGTCGAAGGCCTGCACGAGCGGGGCATCCTGCACGGCGACCTCAAAGCCGACAACTGCCTCGTGCGCTTCGACCCTGTCCAGGGCCCTAGTTCCTCCAGTTCCTCTTATACTGGCGTTGCTACTGGTTCCGGTTCTAGTTCCAGCTCCGGTTCCAGCTCCGCCGGCGAATGGACACCCCACTACAACCGCGACGGCACAGGCGGCTGGAACGCCAAAGGTCTCGCGCTCATCGATTTCGGCCGCGGCATCGACATGAAAGTCTTCCCGCCCGACGTGCAGTTCGTCGCCGACTGGAAAGCGGGACCCCAGGACTGCGCCGAGATGCGCGACATGCGGCCCTGGACGTACCAGATTGACTACCACGGCATCGCGGGCGTGGTGCATTCCATGCTCTTTGGCAAATACATCGATACCCTTGCCGCCCCCGAGCAGCGCGGCGTCTCCCTCGGCTCGGGCGCAACCCGCACCTACCGTCTCCGCGAGCCGTTTAAGCGCTATTGGAATACAGAGATCTGGACCGCCTTGTTCGATCTCCTCCTGAATCCCCTCCATCATGTCCAGGCAGAGGAGGGTGCGAAATTGCCCGTCCTCAGGGGCATGCGTGGAGTGCGCGCCCAGATGGAGGACTGGTTGGAGGCGAATGCGGAAAGGGGGATCGGGCTGAAGAATCATCTGAGGCGGTTGGAGGAGAAGTGTCGTGAGCGGAGGCGTTGATTTGTCGTGTTGTCTTTTTTCTTTTTTCTTGTTGTCTTGTTGTGGTGCCTTTTTTCTCTCTCCAAATGTCCATCACTCGGGTTTAAATTTGTTGTTGTCGGTTCGTGTTTATTGTCAACAGGAGGGTTTCATGTGTTGTAGGGACTTGATATCTTGCTAAACAGGCGTTGAGGCGCGTACTCCCTCTTGTCATGACCAGCTGGGGTTTCCTGGGTTAAGTTCTGTATATGTCTGGTTTGAGTTTGCTGGTAGATTTAATTCCGTGACTTGTTTTTTTACGTCATTGGCAAGAAATCTGAAAGGGTATGTAGTGAATCAGTTGAGTTGTATTTTATAGATTTTTATTTTTAATTCCGTTTGAGTTTTACTTCCTTGGGTTCAATTCCATTGAGTTCACTCAAGTTCATTAGAGTTTAATCAAGGCCAAGTTCATTTACAGTCAATTTCATTCAGATTAACCCAAAATCGAATCAACTCAATTCATCTAACTTTGATTTGATTCATTTCATTTCATTGACATATGTAACACCGTAGGATCCGTAATCATCCCAATTGATAGCAAGTAACCACAGAGTAAAGGCTGATAACGATGATGACGATGATAATGAAAGCAATGATGCACCACCACCACTACAACAACGATAATGATAATGGTAATGGTGATGATAATGATGATAATGATAATGCAATAAAATAAAGTAAAGATGGTCAAGCAAGTAAGGCGAATCAAGCAAGACCGCATCGACATAGAACCGGGGAGACGGGGGAAGAAAAAAATATAAAAGACGTATTAAAAGTTTAAATAAAAGAGAAAAGAGAAAAAACGAAAGGGGGGAAGAAGAAAAGAAAGAAATTGAGCATCTTTCATAGCCCCTTGATCACTCTTCTCTTTTCTTCTCTTGTCTATCAGCCTTTTCATATTCCTGATTCCTGCTCGAGTGAAGTGACCTGCACTTCAAACGGGCGGAAAAATGGAAAACGGGCGGAAAAAATGAGTTCACTTTACCTGTCGAAAGAACAGGTCAACTCAGCAAGAGAGAGATGAACTTGGAGAAGAACAGAAGAAGGGATGATGAGGAGCGAGACAAAGTGGAGTAAAGAACCCGGAAACGAAAGCAAACCCGGAAAGAAAAGATGAAAGGGCGAGACAGAAGGGGATGAATATCGCTGGCCAGCAGAGAGAGAGAGAGAGAGAGAGAGAGAGAGAGAGAGAGAGTATGTATGTCAGAAAAGAGGAATGAGTAAATAGAAAAGAAAAGAGCAAAGAGTTAAGCGGTATGAGAAATGAAAAGGGGGAAAAATGGGGATAATAAATGAAAAGGGGGAGGAAAAAGGCTAATGGATAAAAAGCTAATGCGCTATGCAGTATGCGATATGCGATATGCGATATGCGATATCCAGGCGACATGGATACGCAATTCGAACCATAAAGACATGAGTATGCATCTAACGCCAGTGGAGATGAGAGGGTGATTGCAATTGGTGGTCAAATGCTAATAGATTGTTCGAGATCCTATCATATGCAGTATGGCAATATGCCAGCGCCGAAGACTATGATTGCAAAGTAGAAAAGGCGCACACTATGACAGAAATGCATAGACACAAGTGAAAGTCGATGACAATGAGAGTAGACTTTAGTATCGTCATTTTGTTAAAAGTGACTTGAAATGCATAGCGAGTAGTCAGAGAATGCTTGCAAATCGCAATTCAGCAGTTATGAGAAAAATAAATGATTCATTCTGTCGTCGTAATGTCGTTACATGATAATTTCCCTCTGAGGGTTGTGATCTGATGACCAGTAGATTTGCGTGAAACAGTAGATGTAAAACAGGTAGCAGGTCTTGTCAAGGTATCCGCCATCCGCCTTACGCGCCCCTTTAGATCCTAATAGAATCGCAGTCTTAAACGGCTGATTAGATTGCAAGGGAAAAACTCAAGTTTCCAAGCGCCAGTAAAGTATGCTGATGAAAAGATGAAGATGAAGATGAGATGTTCATGACCGCAACCGCATTGAAATCTGAGGAGATTGAAAAAAGTCATGGATGGAAAGATTGGTGCAGGAGTACATTGAGGGAAATTTTGTTTCGTCATAATTCTTCGTGATACCATGTGTGCATGCAGTTTTGGAGTGTAGGTCGTATCGTAAATCGAGTAACACGTCGCGTCGTATGTAGATTTAAAAGAAAAAAAAGCAAATACAGTCCAGAAGTCAAACACCGTTTTGACTCCCGTACTTCGAATGGACAGATGGTGATAGGACATATTCCCAATTACAACAGGCGGTCTTTGCGGCGCAAAACGCTCTCGTCCCGGTAGTCGTCCAAACGTTGTTGAATTGAAGGAGTTTGGGGGACGTGGTAAGTGGCCAAGTCAGGAAGCGTGGTCGAAGACGAAAGCACGGGCTTCTGATAGCCGCCAAACGGTGAGCCGAGGCGCTGGATTCGATCGCGGTGCGAATGCAAAGCCGGAGTGCTATCAAAAGAGGCCGAGTATCCAAACGCCGCGTCGTCGAGTCTGTCATACAGGGGAGGCGGCGTGGCTAAGCTGTAGTGTCGGCCAGCACTACCGACATCCCCAAGACTGAATCCTCGGCTGCGCACGCGCCTATGGCTAATCTCGGCCGGAGCTCCAAACAATTCATCGACAAAGTCATGGTGGTCGTCGCTCTCCTTGGGGCTCATCTCTCGCTCCCGCTCGAGCTGACGCCGAGCGCGTCGGCGGGTAAGGCTCGGATATGAAAGCGGTTCTTGCAATTGAGGTGTCATAGGGGAGCGGGCCTCCTGGCTCTGGCTCCAGTAGCTATTCGTAGTAGCAGTTTCAGAGTCCGTCTGTGGAGCAGACTCGGTCCTTGGAGGCGACGGCCGCACGTAATCGTCGTGATAGGTACGCAGGGGCTCGCGTTTATGATATTTGTCGTGGAATGGAGAGCCAAGCCGAGGGAATGTGTTTGAGCCATTCAAGCCACCGATTCCGAGACCAAGGGAAAGTGCCTGTCGTTGCTTAACTGGCAACGTGGCCGAGATTGGAGCCCGTTGGAACCACCCATTATCTTCAGCCTCCGGGAAACTGCGGTCATTGTCCTCTTGGGCAAACTGAAGGAGTGGATTGCCAGGTTGCATCATTGTCGACGTGCTGGTGCTCAATGACATGTTCATGTCACGTGTGCCAAAAGCCGGCCGTTCTTCAAATCCTCCAAAGGGAGTCGAAAAGCGAGAGGAGCGAGACTGCGAGCGAGACTGGTGGAAAGGCGAAGGACTTCGAGAGTGGAGCAAACGTTGATAGTGAGTCGAAAGCGTCGGCTTCCGCTTGCACAGCTCTCGGAGTCTCTTTCTGGTGGCCGACTCGGAGCTAGGCCATTTCGAGATGGGCTTTCTGTTGGTTTGAGAGGCCCCAGTAGGCGTGTTGCTTCCACTGCGCGAAGGTTTGATCGTGTCGGGAGAATCGCTTGGAGTGATTGCATGTACTTCATCATCGTTATCATCATGAACGTCTCTAAGAACCTGCTTGCCATTACCGTCAAGCGAGAAACCCATCGGAGAAACGGGCGTTGCAATAGCAGCCGCGGCAGCATACTTTGAGGTACGCCAGCTCTGCTTTGCTTCTCTCGCGACTCGATGACAGACGCCCAAGGGTGGGGTGCAGCCTGGCAGCATCTTGAATGGGGTCATAGTAGGGTCCTGGAGATAGAGCAAATATGTAGCCCACAAATGACTGTCCATTTCGGCAGTCCAATGTGAGTGTTTGCGCTTCTTTGAACGTTCATGACTAGTTTGGAAAACGTCATCCGAAGTGGCATCAGCAGCACTAGCATGGATGATGCGACTCTTTCCTTTGCGTGCAGATCTCAAGCCAAAGGGATCGGGGATATCACTTTCAGGGCTGGTGCAGCTGCCGCCGGTAGATGGAAGAGAGGCAGAGCTAGTGAGTGAAGACTCTGAAGAATCAGAAAGGCCCGAACAAGCCGAGCTGGGTCGACTGATGCTCTCTCCAGGGCTTGGCTCTGCCTTTTGGCCCCAGAACACGCGGTCCTTGCTTGCATGGACATCGTCAAAACCCGTCTGGATTTGAGCAAGCGGCGTCCTTGGGGTAGACATGTGGCGACGAGGAGGCACTGGAGCAAGATATCCCTCCTGTGGTTCTGGTTCGGGGGACACGTTGCCTGAATACGGGTGACTTAAAGCTGGCTCCGAAGTTTCGATTGTGGGGATAGGGACATCCTGAGGCTTCGTCGGCAAAGAAAACGGCTCATACGAAGAAATTGATAGATTTGCCCTGGGTCTTCTGCGAATGCGATACCGTGGAGGCGATGGCTGTCGAGGCTCCTCGGATTCCAATGTCCTCTCAGGTGTCTTGGGAGGTTGACCCTCCGTATAGTGAAAGGTGAAATTGCGAGGAAGCGTAATGGATAGTTTGGGGCGCACGGGCGGCATGATGGCGACAAGGTTTTATAAGGTTGTCGTGGCCTGCAAAAGAACAAACGCGCGCGCGGACGAACTCCTTGATACGCGCTAGTACCTTCCCTCAATCGAGGGGTTGCAGCAGTAGGGCTCCACGCAAGGAGGTCACGGAGCGAGAGGAGTAAAGAGCCGACCCAAACAACTTTGGTCCAAGAGCTCGTGTAGAGAGCAGTTGCAAGTCGATAGTTGCAGATAGGATAAGCTGCAAACCCCACTCTAGAAGGGGTGTTGTGGTGATGTCGCGATGCCGCGAACCAAGTCCGTTCGAAAAGGTTGGTTGACTGAAGAAATTATGCGCGTCCAAACACAAGGGAAAAGATCGCGCGCAACAGTATTTGAAACTCTGCTATCACCCTTTCCTCTGGTGACTTTTTCCTTATCCCATAAATGACAGATGCGTCGCGCTCGTTGAAGGCGATCGAATTGACGATGATCCCGTGTGAGCTCCGATCGGCGGCTGGCTAAGAACTTCAGAGGATAAGAGAAGAGACGGGTTGAGAGAATGAAGCTGGGGAGATAAAACTGCGCAAACAGGCTCGAAAGATGAGCGATGCAGCAAAAAGATCCGTGGTGCAAGCGTGACCAGTTTGCTTCTAGAGCGCGATTTAATGAGCGTCAAGTCAACAAACAAAGAAGGGATCGATGATCGCATACCTAAAAAGCTTTAAAAAAAACGCGACGAGATTAAGATGAAGCAGTTTCTTCAAGATGGTTTGGCGCGATGCGCACGAGTGCTTTCTGCGAATGCGAAGAAGCCCACGCGCAAGTTGTGCTTTGAAATCGCAGTGGCTGGGGATGCGCTTCGAGACTGTGCGCTCCAGAGGGTCGGATAGAGGTTTGCCTTGAAGCAGAATCGCGCAAACGATTGACTTATCGACGCGCAGCGATGGCAAGGTGCCAGGCGTGGCCCCTTTTGATGAGAAAGATGTTGGCCAAGAGCCAGAGTCGCATGCGATCGCGATAGAATGAGAGGGAGAAGGCGAGCGGAAGCTTGTCGAGGGGATGCGCTCGGCCTCTACTTTTAGTTCGCGCGTGATGGGACGAGACTCGCTTATAGCTGGAAGTGGATAGCCTCCGACAGGCTAAACCCGGTGGATAACACCTGGGAGTCCCACTTGAACAGCGGTGAGCCTCTCAGGGTCCAGCGACACGACAGATTGATCTGAGTGGATCTGCCGCGTGGAGATGGAACGCGAACGATTGTTGCAAAGGTGGATGTAGAAAGCTCACTCGAAAGAGAGAGTTCTGAAGGCGTTGGCTTGTCAAAAGCACCGAAGATGGATGAAGAAAAACGGTTGAGGAGAGAAGGTGAGGAAGCGAGGGAAAGCAAAGCAAAGGTATATGTCGGGAAATTATAATAATAGGGAGATAGAGAAGAAATGAGACAAGACAAGAGAGCTCCAAGAACCGGTCACTGCGAGCATCTACCTACGGTACCTGGTAGGCTGGACAGACTCGGAAGAGGAAAAAAAAAAGGTATCGGGCGTGTGCACGCCAGACTCAGCGCCACCGTTAACTGGACGTTCGAGTCGGCGCGGCACGCTCCCGTCACCCTCCTTGTCTGAGTGCTGATGGAGGGGGGAGGGTGGGAAGAGGTCTGGGAAGAAATTCCGAGACGACAGATGGTGTCGGTTTGACGGGTGCCAGCACGGATGCGCGAACCAGTCCAGATAGATTATTGAAAGAGAAACCTGTCCCTGACAGCACAAGCTTGGTAAGGATGTTGATGATTGTTTGTGGTAGCGACAGGCACCGTCCACCAAAACATTAGCAGATTAGACCACAATAATAAGGTAAACGTTAATGTCTGTGAGGGGAAAAGAAGCAAAAGGCACAAGGGAGGAGGGGCGGGGGATGAAGGATGGAGACGTTTGAGGCGAAGCTGGACGCGTCTGCAAGGATCAAGTTGTGTGGTTGTGGACGTTGCAGGTCAAAGGGCCCATGTTGTTCTCTGCGTTCCATGCTGAATTGTCCAGTGAATGGATGAGGCCAACAAGATTCGAGGCAGCTGGATTAAGACAATTCAATATTGACAGGTGTACGGAGCTATACCTTCTCCATGGTCCATCTGTACGGGTTTCCTTGACACACACACACATACACGTCAACGACTATGATCTATGGATACGAGGCATTAGTAGGCTCAGGTACAAAGTGTATTCCGCCAAAGTACAGTCTTCGTGTTTGTGTGATACGAAAAGAATTGCATTGGCACCGGCAATTGATGATTCGTCCCGTTTGTCTGCCGTCTTTTCTTCATGGTCAAATCTTAAAATGACCGAGTCTGCTCGTGCCTGAATATGGCCGGCGGATGATAATGGCGACACAGGGACCAGCAGCTAATTACAGTAACTAACAAGGTAAAGATTCAGTCAGGCACCGTACTACACTACTGTCACCCAGAGCGGGGACGGGAGAGCAGCGGCGTTTTCTGGTTCGGAAAGGGATCGCTCCACTGGGTCGAATCACCCGCCAGTCAACGCGACGCCCCACTGCTTTGGTGATCAAATCACCAGATACAAAACATAATGACAAATGACTAGATCAATTCCAGGGAATGAACAACACTCAGTTCTTACAATTCCAGCATCCTCCCAAAAGCAGAAGTAGAGACAAATACAACAGCTGTCATTCCAAAGCGTGACAATGTTGATCTTTTTGTGATGGTGGTTGGTGGTTGGCGGTGGTTGTGGGAAGCTGAATGTAGCCAAAAGGCCTGACCGGGATGGCGCGTCAGTTTCGCGTTTTGCGCTAACACTAGCGTGGCACCACACGATACCCCTCACTACCTCACCTCCCAGACAGTTGTGGGTATATCGATACCATTGAGTACCTTGCTAATCTTATCCCGACAGCTACCGTAGTACTCAATGATGCTGCCTTCAAGTACTCTTGGAAACAACTCTACTTAATCATCAAGTAACTTGTAGAAAACACAGGTTGAACCCTTCCCTGCTTTGTCCTCTCTCTGCAGCCCGGTCCGTTCTCCACTCCACTAAGGCACATGAAGCACTTGGTCCTGTGAAGGAAAACTGCACATGGAAAAGCAGCGCAGAGGAACAGCAAGTACGCACAACGCTCTTTCTCGTCATTGGCCGGCGGGCACGAACCCTAGAAACCACCACTGATCTCTCTCGTGTGACGAAGAGCTATGCTGCATCTCAATTATCTCTTCAGCGCGTAAGATGTGCTGATGATGCTTTTTAGAAACGTGTGCCGTAGACGAGCAGTGAGAAGTGGCTCCGATTGATCTCCAATCCCGTCTGCTTCAATTGAAGCCAAAGCAATATTCTGTATTTTCTTTATTGATTGGTCGTTAGAACTTTCCCACCAAATTCCCTGCCGAACCATCAAACCGTAAACGGTCCTTGACTCATCATATGAGGCGCATGTTTATTCGGGACTGAGAATTAAATTGGTATACGTTAGATGGTAATACACATAGAGAATCTTAAATAATAGTACAGTACTCTTTTTGACAAGAACCTCCATTTTCAAAACCTCATCAAAACATCCTCAAACTTTTTTCCCGTCCAAAGCCATGAAACACCAAATCACCAACTCCACGCGCAAAGATGAGGAACGAGTAGCAAGCGAGGAAGAGTCTCTGTGCTCCTTTGCTTTGCACAAGTCCTTATGTCCGTAATTGGGCAAAGATCTTTTCACTCGTCCAAAAGAAACACCTTTCAAGCAGTAATTCATTTTCCAATAGGCCAGTGTTTTCAAATGCTTCTTCCACGCGGGCCACTCCAGAGGTGTGTCCGCCCAGAACGCGAACATCAACCGTCTCTGGAAACGTCACGTTGTGTGCGCTTTCGTAGGCCTGGGGCCAGCTCAAGGATCCCGGCACAGAGCCAGTGTGAGCAAACATCACCCATGTATTCGACATGTTGTTCGCTAGCTCATCATCGCTCTGGGTAGTGTTTTTGTATGTCGAGGCAGTGTCAAATACATATGGAAGATCAGAGGTATGCATAGCTATATCATGGAACGACCGTTAGCATGGCGTCTCAGGAAAAAGTATAAAAAATAAAATCCCATGACTGAGTTTGGTGATACTTACTACAGTCGGCACGCAGAGCCGGGTCCGATTCATCGTAGAGGGTTTGATTCAAGTCAAAGAGGTAGGATCGCGCACCGTATTGATGGACTTGGTTGGCGAGCACTATCGATGGACACACAAATTCCGCATCTCGCCAGATCTGAGCAAGTCGGTAGTACTGAGCCGATATGCCGTATTTTGCTGAGAAATCTGAAGTTTGATAGAGGTCAAGGATGTAGGAAATGCTCGCGTCGGTCAAGCCGGGGTAGTACGTCTTGACTTGTGCAGCCACCTCGGCGTCAGAAGAGACCGTCTTGTTGACAAACATGGTACCATCATTCTCATTCCATCCGACGATGACATCGATATCTTTGTAAAAGTGTCCTTCGCGCACCATCTTTGACGGTGCCTCAGGAATGAAATCTTCATCGACGGTAGGCAAGCTTAAGCACACATCAGCAAACTTGAATCTGATCCAGTAGAAAGTGCACCTTACAAAGTCTCGAAACCTGATTCAGGCACCAGGTCCAAGGAAGCCTCATCCGCTTTTTCCAATATGACTTCCATGGGCAGCGACCGAAGACACTTCAGAGTTTCAACATTGGTGCCATTTTGACTTGTGCAGTTGGTAAGTTCTGCAAGTATATCCGTAGCATTCCATGCCAGTTGGCTTGCAACTTGAGGCATTCAATTATTAGCTAGAGTACGTAAAATCGGGGCTTGGCCTAAGCTTACCTCCAGGGTCAGCGGCCGGCGAGCCACTTTCCATGATTGCTCTTTTGAACGGCGCATGACGCTTTCCGCCATAGGCAGTAAGCTGCAGACCAACATTCGTGGCTGATGACCCTTTAGTTTAATCCACTGTTATGTAGTCGAGAAGTGTACACACCTCCGTCGGATTCTCCAAAAATTGTAATGTTGCCCGGGTCACCGCCAAAGGTCGCAATGTTTTCTCTGATCCACTCGATACCGAGACGCTGGTCGAGCAAAGCTGCGTTAAGATTGCCTTCATCTGCCAGAGCCGGCGAAGCAGCAAAACCAAAGGCTAGCGGTGTCAGTCAGTCTACTCGCAAAAGAGGTCGATTGTGTGGATATACCAGTCACTCGGTAGTTCACGGCGGCATAAATGATGGGAGCATCCCTGGCCGCAGCCTCTTTGACAAGGTTTGTTGGATCATATAACTCGTCGTAGATCTGACCAATGGTGTCTCCACCTATGCAGAGTTAGTGAGCTCAATTGGAAGTGCCACCGCCAAGATGACCATACCTCCATAAATCCACACCATGACTGGCAGCTTCGCATGGTCTGTCAGGTTGGCGGGACGACTGATACGGAGAGTAAGACAATCCTCGGATATGTTGGTTACATTATGGAAGAATGGGAGGCCGGGCACGGGCACTTTGCGTTGCGGGCATGCTGCACCCTTGACTGTAGCGTCCACGGTAGAGTTGGGCTCCGGCTGAAAGGGGATAGGTCGTCGAAACCGATTGAAACCACTGGTGTCCTGTGCGAATTTGATATTCAGAAAGGATTCGACCTCTCCTTCAGGATCGGTATATCCTTTGTACGTGATATTCGCAGGCTTCAACGTAGCAAGAGGAGCTGCCAGCGCTTGTGCAAGCAATACTGAGATAGGTATGAAGTTCGCCAGAAACATATTGGAGATGGGAGACAAATGATCTGCAAAAGAAGTATGAATGCTTGGATATTTTTCATTGCTTAAGCGCAGAAGACAATTCCAGAGGTTATGATGCTGACCCTTCTTATAATAAATGGCATTTGGGACAGAAAAGATTCAATGATTGACGGTATAACCCTGGGGCATCAGGAACCAGGGCGAAAATTCTTCGTGGCCAGGCATTGTCGCGGATATTTTGCCGGCAATTCATCATCGACTCGTCCCGGGCTTCAGGTCCGAATAGTACATGGATGAGGATCTCGAATGGATCTTCATGGGCAAGACCGGAAATTGGGGATCCCATTGAAAGGTTGAGTCCTCTGGGGCAGCGCTGCTTAGTGATTAACAATCCGACGTCCGAGAGGGCGGCCGAAAGACGTAGGCCTCCTTATCCTGCCAGGTCTTTCTCAGGGTCCAATTCTGAGAAATTCAACGCTGTGTTTGGGAAATTATCTGGGCGCTTCAAACATGGCAAGGCCGCCGGCGAGGAGCTCCTGTGGGGGTGGCACTCGCCCGGACCATTCGGACCATTCTGGAAAGAGACCAGCACACCGATATTTTGCCGCCATGATGGAGGAATATTGAGGCAGGGGTGAGTTCCTAGCGCGCGACAAAGGGATTTTCTTCCGAAAGTTAGAATCTCAATGGGGAGCGAGAAAGGACCGAAGAGAATAATCAGGGAGAGTGAAAGATTAGGGAGAATTGAAGTTCGGGAGGGGGGAGCGTACGTGGAAACCCGACAGTATGGTACAGAATGACCTCAGAGGCCCCAATTTCCACCAGTAAACCAACGGAGAGAAATTCCACCTTGGGAATCGTCAATGAAAATAAACAGTCAGGGGAATTTCAGCTGAGTCAAAAAGTGTCCGACACGGCGTTGGGGGGAATGAATTGGATGAATTTTTCTTGATTATTGGACCCTTCGGACCCTGAAATTGAAAAGCTTCGTAGTACGGACCATCTCGTGATCCGGGCCCATCGGATCACATCCGTAGCAGGAAATTGAAGCGTTTCCTGCAGTTTCAGGCCTCAACCCCCTCCCGATATATGTTCGTAGCAATATCTCTTTTCGGATGTGATTGTCATTGCGTGGGGGCATTACTCGCAGCAGTCCCTTTTCAATTCCCCGACTCTTCTTCGCATAGTTGTACAAATGATGCTGGATCAGGAGACCACCCAATTCGGAAATTTCGGTATCGACAATTCCCAACACTCCCATTTACCCCCTACTTCGATACATTAGGAGATGCTTGTAGTCAAAGGGACAGAGGCCGATCTAGTTAAAGCCTGTCATAGCTCTGGGGTTTGCGGGTCTGTGGACTCTAGCAGGCGGAGTCCCTCTCGAATCCACAACCCATGCAGACTGCAAAATTCGCATTGATTTCTTGTTCTCATCTGAGATCTCGTCGTTTCTAATGATCCCTTTGCATGTCATATTACTATGATTTTACTTGCTGATAATATTTAGCTTCACTTGTGCCTGAGTTTGGGAGAGCGATGGAATGGGTGGATTTGGGACTTACGTAGTATGTGGAATTGCTCGGATGAATATCCGAACCTCAAAGTTCGATTCGTGTGATGAGAGACAGCAATTAGTGGGGGCTTGATTCTTCGTCTGAAGTGTTATTCCTTTGGTTTCTACGGCAAATTAGCCGCTTTGTGATCACAAGCAATTCGTCATAGCCAAAGCTTAAACGTTTCTTGTCGCGATGAGGGCTTGGCTTACATGGAGTCATGAAATACTCCTGTCTTGCTTGCTTATTCTCATCCCGCCTGTTTAGTGCTTCAGGGTCCCTAGACGACCCTTGGTACATCCCTCGTTCCCTAGCAAAGAGCTCGTGCTAAACCAAAGCTTGAATGCAATAAGCACAAGCCAAACGCACTTTAAAATTTGCCTTTTGGGGGCCATTTCATTAATCGTTACGATTATAGGTTTGGGCTTACTCGACAAGGCAGATGCAAGACACAGTCGCACAACATTATCTGCAGCGTCGTTAAAACCAACATCGCCTTGTAAAGGGTTTGAATTCGTTCTCCCTCTACGTAAAATTCTAGCTGAGTCTTTCCTCCCCAGCGCTGGAATTTTCTCCCTTCGGCCCAAAGTTGAGGCCGACAACCGACGGACCCGAATTTGTCGCTGCATGGCGATCGCGGTGAGGTATGAGATATCTTGCCCATTGTTTTTGGACAATGACCTACTAGAAAACCTATGCTCGGCCCCAATGCCGACCTTCTGGTCCGATTCGCATCACGAGTGACACGTCAAACGTCATCGCATCACTTGGCTGAATTTTGACACATAGCTGTCGTTTCGTCATGGATGCCCCGCTGCACCGCCATACCGGAGTTTTACCGGCAGCAAAGTTGCCGAGATCCTTGGTATAGCAGACCAATTAAGGTGGCTTACCTACAGAGTCAATTGACTGGACACTCCCGTTGGGATCAATAATTTATTGGGGAAAACCCCTGAGGATCAGGATCAGTAAAAGCTTGCATCTCAACATAGTTCTGTTCCTTAATGTAAAAGTTGTTCAAGGCGGCATGTTGTTGGATGCATTTTCAAGTCGTGGTTGCTGAGATGTTAACTTGGAAATACTCCCTTTCACAGTGGGGGGGAAAAATTCAAAATAAAAATAAAAATAAAATAAAATAATTTGATGTGCTTGGAATAAAATTTCATTAGAACAGTGATCCTTCGAAATAAAGGATTCAAAATTCCGATCGTTCGTAATAAATATTGCACACCGAATTTCAAAGAAATGAAAGGGCGCTATCTGACGAGAACCGGTTCAACCAAGAATCTTCCTGCGGCTCACGAGTCACGATCACCAAAATGCTTCGGAGCTAATTGCATTACTGCACTTGAAAAGAAGGATAAGCCTTTCGGACTGTTAAAATGAGAGATATATCACATTTACTGGGAATTTTGCTGTGATTATAAGAAAGAAGCCTCTCGTTCGACAAGCGGTTTCCCAGGCGCGCGGGCTACCTCGATTCTCCTGCTTGGCTGAGCCGACGCGCATATGCAGCGGTTGATTTCCCTCGAAGTGAGAGGTAGACTGCTCACTCCTTCAAACAGACAGCCTCAGGAGACGGAGTCTCTGCATAGAACTCGAGTCGCGAAGCGGCATCAATCGGTAGGATTGCGCCACTTTAAGCCAGCATTGAAAGAAATGGAAAATCGTGATGACAACGAATATTCCATGGTGAAAACCTTGTCGACAGAGATGTCCGGTCCTGTTTTATACGTCTATTCTACTTCTACTTCTGCAGCTGCTTCTTTGCAGACGTGCACCAATTTTGCCAATCGGTGAAAAATGACGGTTGAACGCGGCATTTCTGCTCAAGTACCCAGCGTGTCTGTGTCTCTGCGTAAATAAGGAGAGCACGCTTGAGGTTTTCCCTATCATCTGCCACCAGTGCCTTCACGAGCAAGATGCTTAGCTGGCTACAGGAAGTGTTGTGGGCATGGGAGGCCTCTTTCATTGCTTCCGCATGGACCTGTTCCAGCAGCTTCCAGGCGGCGGGGACATCAGATGGCGCAGGAACGTCTTTGCCTTTGCACGCCTTGGCGTATTCGCGAACCACGCCGCAGGCTTTGTCGGAGACCACCTTGCTCGTGGTAGTACGAATGAGCGTAAGCAAAGGCAGGATGAGGTCAAAAGCGAGCGGGTTAGTGTGCTGCTGCTTGACGAAAATCTCCATAAGCTCCAAGACGCGATTCTTAAAATTGATAATGTTTTCCTTTGCATCTTTCTTCTCCTTCTTTTTGTTGTGCTGGCTGGCTTTTCTTCTCTCCTGAAAGACTTTGGCGAGATGCGGCTCCAGCGCCATCATCTGATCGTCATCCATATCTTCGTCGGATGACTCGTCATTTCCCGCATCTTCCAGATTGATTGGCCGCGTTCCAAGAGCCTCGGCCAGCTTAGCGTCGAACTGAGCCAGCTCATCAGCATCCGCCTCATTATCATCTTGTTCCTCGTCCTCATCCTCCTCCTCTTCATCGTCATCGTCGTCTTCTGCGTCCTCCATTGAAACATCAGATCCGTCAACTTCCTCTACATCGTCATCCTCGGCACTGCCCTCCGAAGATTTATCAGATTCTTCGTCCTCATCACCTTCTTCGTCTACATTCTCATCGAACATCTCCTGCTGCCCAGACAGGCTCTCTTTGGTCTCCAAAATCTGTTTTTGTATGTATTAGTCCTGTGTACCATAGTCGTCTTGACGCTAATTACTAACCTTGGTCATAGACTCCAAACTTTCTGCGCTAATTTGCGAGGCAAAGCTTGAGAAGACCTGATGTGCCAGTTTCCGAAATAAGAGTGATGGCTTTGACACGAAGCTGAGAAGTACCTCAACCAAAACCAGGGATGCGTCGATATCTTCATCATTCGACTTTCGCTTGACAAGGCTCTCGTAGCATATGCGCAATTCATCTAAGAGGGAGACAGCGTCCGCCTCGCCATTATATACTTGGAGGATGGTTAGCGAATACAAGAGTTCAAGTGCTCCGAGATGGGCTTTTTTGTTTTCCTTCGATGATGAAGCCTTCAATTTGGAAATAATTAGCTGACAATCTCTCTCCAAATCCAATCCATCTTAGACAACAGTGCATAACCGTACGTAGTAGGAGCAGATCTAACATACCTTCGAATGTATTCTTTCAACCGTTTTCCAAGCACGCTGCAGGGTTTTGTCGACGTCTTCATCGGCGTCGAAGAGGAGCTTCCCTCCGGCAAGCACTTTCTGGGACTGAAGAACCTGCACGACAAAATAGGGAAGCCCCGGCCGTGTAGATATGAGGTGACCCAATATAGAAGATATCCGTGAACGGAACATACTTTGAGATACAGACGACAGAGGTGGGTTCGGGGCGTCATCTGCTTTGGACGCTGCCTCGATAGGAGCAAAGTATCCCAGCTCGACGAAGAACTTTAGAATTTGATTGACCCAGTCCTCGCTCTCCACTGCTGCAGGAGCTTGGGCGGTAGCCTTTTTCGTGCGGATGGTAGAAAGCAGCTGGTCCGCTAAAAATTGTCGACGGGCCTCTGCAGCCTTTGCATCCGCAGGAATTGGGCGCAGAGCAAGGCTGCGATAAAATGGTATGATCTGCTTCAAACCAGTGTTGCTGGCCAAGGACAGCAGTTTTTCAGTTGTTTTTGTTTTCGTAACTTGGTCGAAATTGAGAGATCCTCGCTCCGAGAGGAGCTGCACAATGATAGGGAAGGCTAGGTCGGGGTCGGCCTCGACCCGCGCAAGGATTGCTTTTACAGCTTTTTGAGCTGCTCCATGGAGGTACCTCGCTGAGCTAGCAAGCTGGTTGATGAGGCACCTCAAAAGATTCTTGCTAAAAATTGTCGGGATAAGCTCATCCGACGCAGTGTGGAGGACCGTGGAGAAAATATTGAAGCCCCAGAACTTCCGTTCCTCCGAAGAAGACGCAGCAAAAAGTCCATCTGTGCCTGTCAGAAATACTCGCGCATTGCCGAATTTTCAAAGAATCCGTTACTCACCATCGACGACTTCGCTCCAGAAAGCCCCAAAACTGAGCCGTTTCTTCCCAGATTCCTCCAGCGGGGCTGCAAGCAGTTTGGAGATAACGACGTTCCAGGCAAAGGGCACACGAGATGTCCACATACCCTTTTGAAGATTCTGTTGGTTGTTGTTCTTGTCCTCTTGTGTGACAGTCTCCCTGAGCACTTTTGCTAAAGTTGATTTCTCTTTCGAGTGCAAAGGGTCATCGTCGCGCCAAATCCCCTGCACCAGTTTCGCCGTCGGAAACAACGACTGTACAGATATCCAAATAGCCACGCCTTCGGATGTCTTTGCCATATTACTCTCACATAATTTTTGGACGAGCTTTTCCGCATAGCTCTTATCAACTTGCTTTGCCGCCAACACATACACGGCGCCATTGAGAATCCACCCACATTCTTCACGTAGCCATGACTTTTTTTGGGCCAAACCAAGTATCATATCCACAATCTGAGACCATTGTTCAATCGAAGACGTTGGAGGGAAGAGGGCAGCGGATTTAATTAACGCTTCAGCTCCGAAGAGTCGTCCCAAGTAATGGTCCCGCTCCTCCTACGACAGCAGTCAGCATAAGCAAGAACTAAGCATTCTGGTACTCTTACCTGACCAGACACATTGCCTCCAATCTCGGTGCGTGTTTTGAGGAGCTCAATCACACGGTCAAAATCGATGCCCAAATTTTGTCCCAATTTACGATCAGCCACGAAAAGCTCCGAGAGAACTTCTGTGAGTGCAATTGAGAAGCCGATGCGAGCAGCTTTTCGGCCACTAGCTAAGCCACGGAACAGGCGGTTTAACACATTTTCTACGCTTTCGCGATTTGGTTCTTTCTCTGGTGAGAGCTTCAAGAGCAATGACTGAGCTGCTTTCAGCCTGATGTTTTCGCTCTCGTTGGCAAGATCTTCGAAGATCTCAATTAGCTCTACGTCAACAGTGCGCGGCTCTCTCTGTCTTTTTCTAGACATTCTGATGATCAAATATAGAGATAAATTTTGTATATCAAGATTATTCAATGTCTTCGGACTGCCCCAAGCTCTTCTCGAAAAAAAGTTCGTTATCCAAAAGAATTGGGTACTAGTTAGGTTAAGCGTGAAGAGCCAAAATCCGGAACATGCCGTCTTTCAGAGCTTTCAAATGTTTACTATTATTTCATCCAACGCTTCCTGCTCCTGAATCCTGAGCTCTAAATAATTGCGAAACAGCGTAGCACAGAAAAGCTGGCAAGGCCTGAATCATTTGCCGGCGAGGAGACTATAAGAAACGGGGCGAGAAAAATTTTATCGTCTCAGGGGTTCGGTTTCTAATACTGAGCGGTTGAAAGGATTTAAGCTAACAAAAGTTTTCGGCGTCTACCCCACGCTTGAGAAAAAAATTGCTCGGGATAACTACAGAGTAGTAGTAGAAAAGGGTTCATTTCGGCATCAAATAACTTAGTCCTTACTTTTTGGGTCTTGAAGCAACGGTGTATATGGCTATCAGATGCAAGGGCCGGGTCTTTGAGGATGCACGGACCTGATTCAAAATCTTCAAGGACCGGCTGCAGTCTAGTTAGTAAGGGATAAAAGCTGTTGCTACCTCAACCAAGATCAAAGACGTTTTATCTGGCCAAATTAACGAGAAGGACCCGCCAAACGGTCCATAATAATGCAGCCGGAGCAAAGGAGCATTCGCAAAAACCAATGCGAGAAAATAACGAAAATGGACCCTGACAAGATAATGGGTGCCCGGCTCCTTTTTACTTTCGACCCCACAATTGGCTGCACGGTTCCAAATCAGTCAAGGCAAATTTCTCTGAACAGTATCCAGATGGCCAATGGAACCTGGGGGTCTAACGTGGATTCTGCTAGAGAGACCAACGCCCGACGATGAAATCCATTTCCGTGGTTGCTTGAAGGGTTTGTGGGCCGCGTTTGTGCGGACCGATGCCGATGGTCACGCGGTTTCGCGAGCATTTCGTGTTGTTGACTACCCGAACCTACGCGAAAACCCAGCGAACTCTCAATGGCTAGAACGACTCAAGGAGACCCGGGACAAAAGGTGCCACGCGTTGCGTTGCCCCGGACACTGTGCTGCCCACCTTGCGTGGATAGTCTCATCCCGTACCCGCAAAGGGGGCCATGCAACCAGCTGACAGAGACAGATTGGTTCCTTACGTGGGCCTTGACCCGACGGTGCGTGCCGCGAGAGCGAAATTGGATAGGTACAAGGAAAGTCAGACAGGATAGAAACCATCAGCTCGCCCAGCAAAGGGTTATTGGTCCCAGATGTGCGCTGCGCAAAAGACGAGGAATTAGACTGTCGGCTCCTGTATCTTCGAGAGCCAGATAGTCTGTTGCTCACGCAAGTTATGGCTGTCCACTGTTTACAACGAGCCGCAACGCACCGACCGACCAAGTGCGGGGCTTCATTCTATTTTGAGCAGCAGAAAAACCCGTTTTTGATCACCACATGCCTCTCCCCATGACGATACTCCTCGTAACCTGACGATCCTCACATGGAAAACGGAGCATACTTGCTCTGCCATGACGTCGTTGCCCAAGAGAGCAGATCGAGCTCAGCATGTTCGATCTGAGGGATGGAATGACCGTCGGGCATCGGGACAAAAAGAGCTATGCTAACGGGACCCCCGACTTTGCGCCATGTGGATCACAGTCAGCTCAGGACATCCCATAGGGCTCGAGGATCGCTTCGTAGCTACAACGACAGGGATCACTACATTAGGTGCGCGCTTGGATATCTGTGACGACAGGGGGTGTCTGGACCAAGGACAGAGCTCAACCCGCACCTATCATATGTCGTCGGGACGGAGCTATCTTCCAAGGAAAGCCTCTTGCCAATCAACTGCACAGCTTGAAACTCAGACCCGGTGACGGCATCCTTTTACAAGGAAGAGCGAGGGAGCAAAGACCAGATTGACGTGCCCAATGCGGATGCGCCTTTGCCAGTCAAAAAGGCTGCTGTACTTACTCCACCTCTTCTTGCACACGGACCAATGTTGAATGTTCCAAGGTTCGTCTTTACAACCGAGGGTTGTCCTGGAAGCGCACTCACCATATGTAGAAATATGTTGATAGCTGCAGCATGCCACTTGCTGGACTGTGCCGGCACCGAGGGTTTTACTGACGCTTGGTCTACGGTATTACCATATCGATGGGTAATGGCCCCAAGTTAGACTGGGTGCCTTTCTGCAATGAGGCTGCTGCCGAGTCGGAACGAGCACCAAATGTCAAGGCAACGGGGAAGCGAGATGAAATGATCAGCCAAACTAGTACTGAAACAGACGACGGGCGCCGCAGAATAAAAGATGACCCCAGATGCAAAAAAGAGCATTTTCTTTGCCAAAGCGGCTAACAGTTCGAAAAGAGTAAACGAAAAGAATTGTAAACTTAGTGCTAGCTAGAAATCTAAGCCCGCCCGATAAAGGCAGAGCGCCATTTTTGCAGTAGAGACATCTGCACGAGTTCACCTTGCAGACGCCTCTGGAAAAGCTAATGCGGTAGTTACCGTTGCGCTCTTAGAAGAAGCCTCTGGTCAATAAAGAACCTCGCGCTCTTGTCAGCTTTGTTGGTGGGGACGCTCTTCTTGCCTAGTAAGCTCCATCTTTGCGTTGGTAAGCGCTTTCAGCTTCCATCGCAGCTGGGGTTATGGTTTAAGCATGGGTGGTCGCTGTTAAGCTAGTAAACGACGGGCCAAGCAGATACCTTGGGTTGGCCGACGGAAAGTTGACTGACTCCTTGATCGCTCTTGAGTGTTACCAGTCATGCATCTCTACAACCCGACAAGAGTTCTTCATCCTGTGCAAGTAAGCCGAATAAGTGTACAGATCTATACGTGAAATCAAAAGCCCACTCCCGCAAAGCAAAAGGAGCATTCTCTGTAGAGGGAGCAAAACCTGTTGTTGGGAACATAAGCCAATCTATACCCGTGCACGACACCATCGAGATCTTCGATCGTAGATTCAGCCAAGCATGGTCCAGCTTAAGACAGGTATTGACTGGCATAGTAGTGTCCTTGTCCTTGTTGGATAAGAGTAGGCATTCGTAAGTAACTCACCGGGTGCGTGTACAAATCGACGTCGCCATTGTGTCAGGCTCAAAGCCCCTCCAACCTTCCCATACGGCCACCGGCTTCCTCATTCGGGTTGCTTTGACAACCGGGAGTAGCCTCCACTTCAGCCCCGTCTTGTTCTCTCCATCCGGCTTTCCTCTAAAGATCTTCTTCTTCAAAACCTTTATTATTCTCCTCACAATCTGTTCACCTGTTCTCATCATCCCTCACCCAGGTCGACAACCGACGATCGGGCTTTGTCCCTTGCCGCCGCTGGCACTATCCTTGACCTGACCGGCCGATACGTTTCTAACCCTCAGCTTCACGGACCCCAACGACAAGACACGGCCTTGAACAAGTCATCTTGCAGCCTCAAAACCACCAGTCTCTGTGCTATCTTCACCCATCGTCAGCGGTCCTGTCAATGCTTACAAAAGTGGTTGAATCAAATGATTTAATCTGGTTGTCATTCGCATGATAAAGTGGAGTAAAGGTTTGCTGTGCAAACGTCGATACTCCAGCTCTCAATAGGTTCACTTTCCAAGCCGAAGAGGTTTTTGGGAACATTTTGGGGGATTATTCTTGCGCAATTGCGAAATCATCGCTGTTTTTTTTGCGCTTCATGGAGCATTCGTCGCCACTCGCTGCCATGCAGCCTCCGCCTCTACCGTTGGGTTCTTGGGGATACATGTCCAATGTTCCGACATCACATTCTCGACTCGCCGGGAACGCCATGTTTGGCCCGGGAAGCTTCAACTTCAAGGATCTGAGCATGAAGAGGTCTTCATCCGATTATTTCAGCATGAAACCAGTTCGAGGTTCGTCGCCAACCGCAAGCCTCGCCGCCGATCTATCCCAAAACTTTCATATCGACCAAAGGTATGCCGCTCTTGTACATGCTCGTCTCCCACTTTAACCCCCTTGCTTACCAAACGTAGTCCACAGCTTCCGACTCCTCGGCGTTCGCTCTTCACATCCAATTTCTTTGGAACACTTGATGGTCGGGGTAAGAAATCTCTTCATCCTTAATTTTGCCAAGTATACCCATTTATCATGACTAGAAACCATGACTACGCCGCCGATACCATCTTCCTCTCCAGGACCAGGAAACGACATCATGGACATATCACCGCTTCCGCACAAGCCGGCGTTCGCAGTAACCCAAATTGAACTCAGGTCGCCGACTCCCGAGACGTCACCGGCAGGCACTCCAATGGCCGTTTCACCGATTTGCTCTGGGCTCTCCCCGCTGGATAGCTCTCAGCACAATACTAATGCGGAGTGAGTACATGCGGAAGCCCATGAGGGTGATACTGTTCTGACGATTCCTTTGGTGACATAGATCGAAGAGAAGCCAACCTCGCCGCCCCATGTTGCCTCGAACCAAGGGTTTCTCAACCAATTCCGTTTCGTTCAAAACAACTGGCCTAGAGAGTCACCTTCCCCAGTTCAAGTTTGGTGCTGGCGCAGCCACACTTTCACCGCCCTTGACGTTGGATCAATGCTTCACCGACTCTCCCTCGCAAGAAGGCAAAACTTCGTCAAATGCGTCACTTATGCCTCCGCCCCGTCCCAGGCAGGCTTTTGCCGCCATGGCAGCGAGTGCTCGCAGCAACGGATCTCCTATTACCGGCCATATTCGAAAATCCAGCGGGTCGGCTATTCGCCCTCGCAAGCAATTTCGCAGATCCCTTAGCATGTTTGAGCATCCTGGCGATGTGATGAGCCAAGAACAAGAGGAGATGTGTTCCAGTAGTACCTTGCAGTCTATAATGGACATCGAAGACAACTTCAAGCCGCAGCTGCCACACTTTCTTCCGGACCACCCACCAGATAGTTTGCCTCGTATAACCCTGGACACATTGATAGATGTGCTGGATGGGAAATATGATGGCCTCTACGAAGACTCGCTCGTTGTCGACTGCCGTTTTGAATATGAGTATGAAGGCGGTCATATCAATGGCGCCATTAACTACAATGATAAGGAGCTTCTAGCAACGCGGCTTTTTGACCAGGCCAAGGCATCTAAGACTTTGCTCATATTCCACTGTGAATACTCCGCCCATAGAGCGCCTATGATGTATGGCAATTATTCCTTTCCATTGTTCTCTTGCGAATCCCAAACAAAGCTTTTATTTGGCGCATTCCTCTATTTCGATCCATCGCTAATGCTTCAATAGGGCAAAGTTTGTTCGGCAACAGGATCGTGCAGTTAACGCCGCTTGCTATCCCAAACTCACATACCCAGAGGTTTATATCCTTGACGGCGGATACAGTTCTTTCTTTAATGCTCACCGATCTCGTTGCTTTCCCCAAAATTATGTTGAGATGGATTCTAAAGAGCATGAGTTGGCCTGCGAGCGGGGCATGGGAAAGTTGCGTCAACGGGCCAAGCTGGGCCGGGCCCAGACTTATGCATTCGGCCAGAGCTTCCACGACGAGAGCCCAACGGCCCCAAGCAAATCCTCCAACGACTCAATGATGGGCAACTTCACCTCCCAAGACAGGGTGACAGACTTGCGGCGCATGCACGCGAGACGAATGGCATCTTGCTAGGCGCATGCATGCTCCGACTTCCCTTGAATTTCTACTAGGCGATATGGATATACGGCGTCCGATTTTATCTGCTGTGAATCCCTTCATCGGCTCGGCGTTTCCGGCTTCTATTCATTCTTCATCACGACCATTCATCAATATGCATAGATCGGCGTTCATTTGGGCAGCTTGATTTTACATTGAAACATTGATGCGGCCGATATCGTGGTCACGCATTTTATAGCTTCGGGAAAGCATTTCTCTTCATTTCCATGAAGTCGCATTACGCATCTTCATTCGACATGCACAGACGTTTCATAACTAACTTCCTTCTGTTGATTATCATAGACCTAGATGGTTAACCCTTTTATCCGTTAGGAAGACGTCTGGTTGTTTTCTTCTATTCTTGCATCCATCATACAGCTGCCAAGCTCATTTGGCACCTTTTCACGTTTCTTTTGTTATATCTTCAATTCACGGGAATGGGCATCACCGATAAATGCCACGAGCATTACAAACAGGAAGCCATACACCCTATTCGTGCTACGCGAAAGCCGCGTTTGGGCAGCAATATTTTGGTGGGCGCATTATGATTCGCTCATCGATAATTCTTTGAACGACGCTCTTTTATTTATTTTTTCCTTTCAACGTTTCACAACGGCGACGATCGTCAGACATTTCCTATCTTCCTAGTTGACATTGCTTGCCAAGCATTCGATACCTTTTACGCATTTCCCTTTTCTATTTCCTTTCCATTATGACTCTGCTGAACAATGGCAGATACTCAGTTCGAACCTGCACATTAGTTGGGAATCAATGAAAATGTCATTATATTGAAAAGAATGTAGAAAATGTGTCCGTGTAAACAACGTCAACAAGTGCGTTTCTGTGCTCCGCACTGTGCTAAAGTGTCCGCGTGCCATTTGTCATGATGTCATTCCTTTTCTCGAAGAAAATCCTCCCGAGACAAAAGTTTAGGCAGGCTCGAAAAAGCAATTAGTTTTTACGAATCTAAATCTTTGGAAAGCGAAGCCAAATGTTTTTGTCGGTTTACCAAAGCGGACAGGTACTCTTAGTCAAGGTGATCAACTACGGGTAGCAATGAAGGATCAACTTTTTCGATAATCTTACTCCGTATGCCCGTGAAATAGGCAGTTCCCTGATGGCTGGTCAGGTACCCGCTCGGGAAAGCTAAAAGATGAGATGATAGGATTGATTGTTCTGAGATAAGATAATCCGTTACTGACATCGCCGGCATATGCCGCTGTCAGGATATGAGATCTTCTGGACGCGTCGGGCAGGAATTAGTGCACCTTCATTCGCGTTCGCAATTCGCAGACGGTCATGGATATTGACGATATTCTTGCTGATATTGATGGAGGCTCTGGAGGCTCCTTGGCCACAGAAGACCTACAAGCTCTTACTAGAGCATGGGTCAACGAAAAGGGAAGTCCGGAAATTCTCACTTACCCGTCAGAGCTGATAGAAAGAGTTATGGACCGAATTCGAAAGCAAGTATGTCTGGATCTGGGAAACCCTGCACGACAAATTATATTCCTGAGAGGAAGAACCCAACTGATTGAAAAATGATTATAGATAGAGACAATAGAAATGCAGACCGGAGACATGGACCCTAAAATGAATTTCCGTTTGGTTATTCTTCAGACAGAGCTAGAGCGATTCAAATACTTAATTCGAAGTTTCCTACGCGTCAGGCTTGCAAAAGTATGTCGCCGTATATTTATTCAGCAGTGACTCAGCTGACGCCACAGTAGATCGACAAGCATGCCCTGCATATACTCACCAACAGTGAGGTCAAGGCGCGCCTCTCTGCATCTGAGATCCAATATCTCACAGCTCACCAGGCACTACTGCATTCGCATTATAGAGCATCTTTCTTAGCACAATTTCCCCCAAACCTGCAACGACTTGATGATACCGCTGGAGGAATTTCTATGGTTGAGCACCCTGACCTCGATCAAGTTATATTCTGCAGAGTTTTGCATGATGTTGCCGATCCTATCACCATTGAAGGCACAGACACTGCAGACGTCTGGCTAAAGCGTGGTGATATATTCGTCGTTCGTTGGAGGCATGTCGCGGACGCGGTGACCAAGGGAGAAGTAGAGCTCATTTAATCAACGGAAGGTTACAATGAGAATGTAAAAGGCTTTACGCCTCTTGAGCAAATTTTGGAGAGCGTGTTCGAGATGAGGTATGCTGAAAGCTCTCGTTGAACGTATATATAACCTGCTGATCATCAAATTTACAGAAAACACGAACGCACTTGGGGCTGAAGCCGCAATTTTGGAGCAGTAAACCTCAAGGCGTTGACCGCTTTGCCTCGACCATATATGGATCGGTCGTGCTAAAACAGTGATGAATGACAGGGCACGCTGCTGAATCTGCCAACCAGACAACTTTTTTCCACGGCTGCGCGAACTCGAGGCCGCCGCTGCTTGGTTGTTTGCATTGGCCACTGGAACCTTTTCGCACAGCATCTCGAAGTGCTCTATCTTCGCGTGGCGAACTTAGTTTAAACAGCGGAGACGTTCCACTACCAGTCTCGCTTTTAAAACAGCGGTTTCTCTACGTGTGTCACTATCGCAATATTCCCTTACGGAAAAGCAGCTGTGCCCTCTCTCTCAGCGATACACGCCATATTCCTCAGAAGTTATCCTCCTTTGGCGTAGGGGTTGCTGAAGGGAGCTCTTTAGGTTTTCTTTATTTGGGTAATCCAAAAAGGTCTAATAGCTCTTTACAGTTTTCCGTCGTTCAAGTGAACGCACGAAAAGCTTGCTCGATGATTCCCTATACCAGCTTTTCATGCCTCATAAACGTGGCATCCACCCCAACGCCGATGGGAAAGCTCACAGCACTTTCCCACTCCTGCGACGATAATTGACGATTCGAATGGAGCACAGTGACTACGGCATTCAACTTCTTCGCGCGACTTTACGGTCCGTACGAGGCAAATGCGATTCCAGATAATTCAAGATTTATTTACAATTATTCTCTTGACTATGATAGAAGTTCAGAGTCGAGCATAGAGGGCGAGGTATAAAGGCACAAATATATAGTACAGCAAAATCAACGACTGAATACCGGCTGATGACCGGCTTTTCGGATATTTAACAATGACCTCCTCCAGTGTCCATACACAGCTCCTTCATGTGCACACAAAGGCAAAGATATCTAACTGAGATACAATAATGCAGACTGAAACTTGGTATGGTATTGGTGAAATAGAAAAAAAAAAGGAAACCCGAAAGATAATAGATAGCACATGAAAATTTGTGCCGTGCTCATGCCAATGAGGCAGACGGGACTCCAAACGCCTTGCTGACCAGCTTGTGGGGTTTTGTCGAATTTCTAAGAACTTTTCTCCCAAAATGGATTTGAGGCGCGCAAGTGATGCGGGATTCTCCGCATGTCTCTATTCAAAAGGAAATGGAAGGTTGTAGCACCGCACCGACAAAGTTAGGCGGCGGATTTTCGGCGAATCAGATCTGTGCTGCACCAGGCACTTGCTTCTCTGCTTGGACGGCGTGACGGTCACCGGCGACACCAGTGTGTTCGTGTCCTGCATTGCCGTTGGTCTCCTCCTCATGAGGAGGATGACCGTCAAGCATCTCGCTGTGCTGTTGAATGCCATGACGGTCACCCTGAGCAATCTGAGGATCACCTTTAAATGGGTCGCGAGATGCTGGTGTCCAGGCCAGGTAGTCGCGGCGGACCTCGACATAATCATAAGCAAACTCTCCAAGCTGGTCATCGTCCATGCCGAGCAATTCAGCTTCTTCTGTAGCACGAAGATGGAGGCCAGGAATCCAGTTGATGACGTAGGCAATGATTGCGCTGACGACGAATGCATAGCCGGTGGTCGCACAAATATAGGCCACTTGGATGTACAACTGCTTCCAGTGGTGACTGACCCAACCACCCGGAATGGCACCAGTGTTGACACCGTCAAGGCCAATTATATAATCCGCTCCGAAAATTGCATTTGCCAGAAGACCTAGCATACCGGCGACACCGTGCTCCGCGAACACATCCATTGCATCGTCAATGCGGATCCAGAATTTGACTAATGACCGTTAGAAGAGTGATTCTTTTTTAAAACGAGAGCGATCTTGACTTACTCTTGGTGGCAAAGTTACAGACAATGCCCGTTACAATGCCCAAGACCACACTTCCCCAGGGAGTGATGAAACCGGATGCTGGAGTTGCTGCGACAAGCCCTGAAATGGCTCCGGAACACCAGCCGACCATGGACCATTTTCGAGCAAGACGGAAATCAAGCAGAACCCAAGAAATCGATGCAAATATGGCCGTCAGGTTGGAGTTCCAGCAGGCCATGGTCGCACGCAGATTAGCTCCGAATGCAGAACCACCATTGAAAGCTAGCCATCCAAACCAGAGAAAGACGGTGCCTAGGGTAATGAGTGAAACATTGTGAGGACGGAAGTTGAGCATCATCTTCTCCTGCCGTTTTCCGAGAACCATCGAATAGGCGAGAGCGGAGAGACCGGAGCCAATCTCGACAGGTCCGCCGCCAGCATAGTCAAGGACTCCATATGTGAATCCCCATCCATTCGTCGACCACGCCCAGCAGGCCAGTGGACAATAGACAAGTGTGGCCCAGCAGAAAATGAAGACCATGGCGGGCACGAGACGACCACGCTCTGCAGCTGCGCCCATGACAATAGCAGCGGTGACGGCGCAGAATTGCATCTTCGAGGATGTCAGCTTATTACAGGGAACAGACAAGAATGCCAAATCATCATTACCTCGTAGAAACTAAAGAGAAGCTCTGGGATCAGGGGACTGGCAGGGCTGGGAGCGCCAAGTGTCTTCATTAGACCAAAGTGAGTGAGGTCGCCGATGAAGCCATTGGTGGCCGTCTTGCTAAATGCTAGCGAATAACCCCAGAAATACCATTGGAAAGTGATGACGGAAAAAGAGGCCATGCACAACCAAATCATACTCAGAGCAGATTTTCTTCGCGCAAGTCCAGAATAGAGGAACCCCAGACCCGGAACCATGACAAAGACCATCGCCGAGGCAATGATAATGTACGCCTGATCACCCGACTGGAACCATTGGTTCAAATTCTCCGTTTCTGTTGAAAGTGACAATCCTTTAGCTTCTGTTTTTCAGGAACAAATAATGGAATAATTCGCCATGCCACCGAGGTGGAAAGCAAAAAGCAGCTCAGTTGATCATTTTGTCACATGCCGCCCCAACCTCCAGCCTCGTGAAAACCATGACTAAAAAAAAAGTGCTTACTGGAGTCTCCGCCTTCGAATTCCGTTCCATTGAACGGTGTGGGCGCACCGACCCAGGAGTAGGACATGATGACGCTGAAAAGGTCCTGCGATCTGAAACTATGGAGGTGTTTGACGAACGGGAAGAGTTGTGCTGGCGTTGGAGATAATCCGCCCCGTCGACAAGAGTTGACTCAAATTACTGGTTTCCGAAACCGTTTGAATCAAATGGAGCGGCAAACTGAGCGAATATTGGGAAGAGGGTGCCTCCGAGGACAGCACGACCGCAATTGAGTGCAATGGAAATAAGGGCCGGCCGTTACACTCGAGACGCAGCAGCAAATGCGGCGACGTCGACGACGAGGTGTTAAAAAAGCTGACAATGATGGTGATGAATTGGTTTTTTGGGTACGAGTCTGAACTATTATTTGGGTACTGATAAACCTAACTACGGTACCGGGATCATTTACCATCTGCCCACACCAGCAGCGGCAGCGGCGGACTAGGGATGGACTCCATCAAAAGGATGAACACCCTCTATACTCCTTTTGTCATCTTAGTGTCCTTGGGTCGAGGGCATTTGCGACAAGGGAAAGATTCGGAGCGGCTCTAGAAAAGATGGGCCAAAACTACGGAACTATTTGCATTGGTGGGCGTGATGGGATAGCGCGGGGTGGGGGGGTTTTTGTGTGTTGCCAGCGAGGGAGGAATGCACAAGTGGGACACAGCGATGGGGTGTCGATTGCAGTAAAGCACCAAGTATCTCAGTACATGCTGCTTTTACCTTCACCCTTGATCTGATTGGCCAAACGCCGCTCGCGGGGAATCGACTCGCCGTGTGCTCCGGCTGTGCCTTTTCTTTCCTACCTACATGCACGTAAAGAGATCAATGATGCAGCATCAAGTGGTCTTTCACTTGCTGCGTATTTGCCTTTTAAAGGCCCCGTTCGCCTTTTTGTTTCAATTTGGGGGACACATCAGGATGGCGGAGTCGGCCGATGTTCCTCTGGTGATAATACCTCCATACTCAGTGGCGGATTATTACGTACGGCAACTCTCCACTCAAAGTTAGCTTCCTGATGGCTTCCGAAATTCCTTCTCATCTTTCTTTTCCTGGTGAGGGAACGTTGGCTGGTGCCAAGAAATGAGCGACTGATGTCATGTTCCCCCAGCCGAAGCCGGCAGGGCGCAGAATCATCGGACAACTCGGCCCTGTTCTTGCAGCGACTTTGGAAGAACACCATCATATACCTAAATCTGTACCACGGTGCCAGGCAGAAATCCAGTACCGCCTTAGGATCCTTAGGTAAGATTTCCAACACTCAAATACTACGTAGTACGCGGGCACAGTTTTGAGCAAAGCGACCATCAGATGTTCCCAGGCTTGTGCTGGGTGGGTTCTCTTGAAAGTACTCGTAAAGGCAGCGATCACATGTGACCCTAGTTGGTAAAGCGTGGAAAAGATATCGGGCACTTAAACGCTTGGCATTTGCGTAGTGGTCCCTTTCCTTATCTTTGCCCCAGCTTACACCAATGCTTTAGCAACAGGCGAGAGAGAGAACATCGCCAAACCCCCCATAATCGGCAGTCGTCTTGTGCTTCTTGCTTTTCCCAGCAACCCTTGGTCTACCTAGCGCTACACGCCACTCCTTTTGCCTTCTCCTCGGCCGACTCTTTTTTTCAGTTCCTGGAGTCGAGATACTACCGGTGGTCTGATAGAGATGTGATTGGCCGCCCTTGGCAATTGCAAGGGTCATCCTCATCTCGGCAAAATTTTTAAGCTACCACGCTCACTCAATCTCCCGGCAATGTAACTGGCCGAATTCTTTCCTCGGAAAAAGAAGAGCAAGATGGAAATTTCGTAGAAGGTTGATAGCGTTTATTACCCCAATTTCCAGCTCGAAGTGGGGGAGTTTCATACGGAGTATTTGTACAATGACTGGCCGTCTTACGTGTCTGGGGTGCAACTGAAACTTCTGCCACCAATGTACGAAGGTACTCACATACGGAGAGTCCAATCGCTATATCGAAAAGCCGCAGACCAAGTAGAGACTGTACTGCGATATCGGCCTGGCAGAAAACCGCCCATGTCAGACTCCTGTTATTTCACGCGACAGTACACTATACAAAGTACTCTAGTCGAATCAACTCCCTTTTCTCTCTTCCTCTAGCCTTTGGCTGATCACTATTTCACTCATGCTTCATCTGCTCACAGACCCTTTGATTCCACGAGGAAGTCTGTGACATGCCGCGTCCCCTCATCGGACCCGACGCGTGTGGATCTGCAATGCAAGATATCAAAAACCACCCACTTGGGGGCCGTGCTTGTGTTTCTCATTTTTTCTCCCCCGCTTGATGCCCCTGTTCATGAGGTGCTTAAGACGCTCAAAAATTCCCGTCCCGGGACCCATTGAGGCAAGGATCTACTGACGTGTTCGATTGGGGGATCGTTAAATGGTGCTTTGAAGGCTCCGATATATGCAACCACTTCTTGGCTTGGCCAGCGCCATGATAGCTTAATCCTGCGTGTTCTTTACTCCTCAGGATATGTACATGATGACTTACTCTATGCAGTACCTTGTAAACAAGCAAGTTCGTTGGCAGCTCTTCTGCCGTTTACTACTCCCTATCTGCGGGCCCGGTTGACAACTACGCACGCGAGCCTGATAAGAGATATAACAGTACCAACCCTTGGTTGTTTCAGAGCGACTACAGATATATAATGACGTCGAATGCAACTTTAATCCTTGACACAACATCCCTGATGCCAATAATATCGCTTAATCACATCAATGACCATCCATTGTTCATTGATGTCTTTGTTCCCGTGTCATCATCATCATCATCATCATCATCATCATATCCGAAGTGCACACTTCCCCTTGTCTATCGGATTCATTTCCCCCCCGTCAATGGGGAATCCTTGATTCGCGCCATTCAAATCGTCATCCCAAAAATGGAGGTGAATGGCACAATGGACTATCACAATATCTAAAAAGCATACGATTTGTGCCAGGGATGTCGGAGACGGACAGGTAACATCCTAGATTTAAGTTACAGATAAGCTTCTGTCACCTAATTTGGCATTCCTCTTTCTTGCATACCGGTTTATTGTTCTAAAGATTACTCTGCAAGACATATGCCGGGGAAACCTCCATGGCACATAGCGAACCGACATTCCAATGAAGGCTCTCCAAAATTTCTGGGATTTGTGAAAGATAAGGCGCCGTGCCACCATGCTGCGAATTATGACGAAATTGATATGATCACGTCTACAAGATACCTCTCTTTCTAAACATCCGCGATTTGTGTCAGCCTCGATTTCGTTATCAGAGAGCTGATCAAGAACTGATACGCCATATTGGATGAAAGAAATCCGATGCTGAAATTGTTCACGTGAATAGGGTACTCCATGCCGGATGGTGACTTTCCAGTTCCTACCACTTCCAGTGCCTCTCTTTTTATAAATTCATTGCTATATATTGATCATGAAATGCTTGAATCGATGACAACAGGCAAGAGAGCTCCTCGAGGCCCGGAAATGGACAATGACTTTCTACTCATTGAAATGGAACAATCCACAAATGCCAAGCATCGAAAAAGAATTCAAAAACGTGAGAACTATATAAAAGAAAGTTTTATGAAAACATCAAAGGTTTAAAATATCGGTGCTCAGGGATACGCCGACAGTTAGTGAATATGTTTGTTCCGTTGCCCGCTATTTTTAGGATCTTCATCTTCGACAATGCTTCTTTGTTCACACCAATGATTTCATTATGCAGCTGTTGTTTTTTGTTCAATAATGGCATTCTATCAAAACAATGGGCCTTTGAACATCTAGCACGAGTTCAAAGAAATGAACCCGCTTGCTAACTTTGGCAACTCCAATTGACGCCAAACAATGATAAGAATGCAACAAAGAATCCAGGGGAAGGAGGCCATCTCTTTCAACTTTATGCTTCCAGTCTGACGGTCTACGACAACAAAAATAACAAGCGGGGCATGAATAAGGAGCGGTTCTGCTCCTGGGGACTGTGGCTGACATATTTAATCGCTCTACGAATGAGACAGATCCCTCTGCTCGATCGTTGTACGAAGTGTATAATTCATATGACCCAACCGCAGAGCTGGTCTCTCTTGTGACAATATTACGTTTATTACGGCACTTTCGCAACAATATTACTCTTTGCTTTGCGACGGTTTATCAGGAAGAGCAACTTCATTCCTCATTTTTCCTTCCCTCCCCTCTCGGCTTCTCTCAGCTTCGACGACTCCAACTCATATTCCTGTAAGGATCACAATATCACAAAGCATATCACAACCTGAGTTTCAAAAGTAACGAAAGCAAAATGGTTGGCAGCATATTTAACCTGGATTTGACGCGGTTTAAAAAGCCCTTTTTCGCATCCTCTCTCGCATCCAGCTGGCTACCTGTGTCTGCACCATCATCTCCGTCGAAGAAAATACAAACGCGGTCACAGATAAGGCAGAACTCGCAATTGCAAGCGCAATCGGAGCCCAGATCCAGTCCTACAGGGTCCAGTGACCCGCCAACTTCTACTTTTCCACCGACGTCAACAATCCCCAAGAAGCGGACCGCCCATGAAAACCACTGTGAACGTCTCCCGCCTCCCCCTCCTTGTTCGCCTCTGCCTTCGCCTCCGGCAGAACCTGTTCCGTGGAAATGGAAGTGTCATGTGTGCCGCTCAACTTACTCTCTGGCAGTCACGCGCCGGTGTTTAGAAGACGGGCATTACTTTTGTTCTGTCCAAACAAAAACAAAGAGTCGACGAACGGGAAGGGTGAAGAAACATGGGCCATGTCGGAGCCGGTTCGATTATGCAGGTTGGAAAAAGTGGGCAGAATGGCGTCGCATGCAGGATGATGTTATGCCGCTGCCGCTTGATCCTACAGAAGAGAGGGATTGCTGGAACCAGTGCGATTATCCGTCAGAATGCCGCTGGGCAAGACGGAGTCAAAGCGATGCTTGCGCAGAAGAGGAAAGTGCAAAAGGAAAAGACGGAGTCAAGACAGAAAGTGTAGAGGTGGCAGCTGCAGGAGCGAAACGGCACAAGTCGAATGGGGGATTTAGGGAGAATGAAGATGTGGATATCGGTGGACAGACACGTTCGGAGGAAGAGGTGTTGATGGACGTGGAAGAATCTGGAAATGCTACCGCAGACGAAGGGGAGCCGGATGTGAGTGAGCTATCTAATTTTGTGTAAATTTCATTGATATAATCCAGGTGGTGGCTATAGCCCTGGCTGGCGGTATTGCCGGCACGTGGAAAAAGGCGACCCATCAATGCGATCATGCTGCGATGAGGATAAGTTCAGTAGATAATGCAATTCTGTCGAAAAAATGCTCTGTTATATTCAGATGTTTCAATGTTATGCTCCGCTCAGATGCTTATAACGCCCCCTGATATGCAACTGACAAACCTCAACATACCTCAACTCCTTCACCAATCTATTGCTCCTTCTCCTAATAAAGTCGTCACCAACAACGCCCCCTGGCACCCTCCAATGACGCATTGGAAAGCAACAGACCCCCACTCGCTATAAGCTAGACAAAGAGAGCAAGATAATTGAACAAGAACATTGAAACAATTTATGCAAGATGAGACCGTTCATCGCCAGCATATGTACCTATAGATTAGGACTCCGCTCATGATCGCAAGTCCGACCATGAGCGCGAACCTTCAGGACAGGCGGACCATTGGCGGATACTCTTTGCCGTCAACAACGACCTTGGGCTCGCATTTGCAAGCGTCCTCTGGCGCAACGCCCTGCATGGCCAAAGGAATATGGAGGCCACAGCCGATCCTGATGAAGATGGAAAACAAAACGTAAGTTTTAATGAAACAAGAATCAAGATCAAATCAAACAGACGAGATTCTCACCATGTTCTAAGGCCTAAATAATCATTCGTGAGTGAAAAAGAAACAATGCAAAATTAGCAGAGGGAGATGCTACTTACCACATGTCCCACACGTGGCAGGACGACACATGATTGTAAACAAGGAAGGCCTTGTGGTTATAAAATCGACTATCAGTGTTAGTTGACGAATGTTTGGGACGGACCCAAAAAAAATAAAAAGTACGAACAGATTTATCTGGAAAGGTCCAAATCCCTTTACGTCTCACAGTAAGATCGCCAGGCACAAGCTGCGTGATTAGGCTCTTGCGTATGGTTGGGGGATGATGAAGTTAAATTTGCTGCTCATAGGGATGATGGGGCGTGTGGCCAATTTGCCCGCTGCCCCGCCTTCTAGGACTATTCGGGTGCAGGGTAATTACTCCGGGCAGAGAAGATCCAAGGGTTCCCGCTCCCGGATCGGCAACGTGCTGCCCCTCGATCCCTGTTCCCCCTCCATCTTCCCTTGATTCTGCATCCAGTGCGGTGGATTTAGCACAAAATACAGCAACTCAATCCTTTATCACGAACCAAACATTTAGCATCACGTGGATCCTACAAAGTCTTTCTTCTGGTGGTCAAAAATTGCTTACAAAGTAGAAAAACGCTTCACGTGCACCAAATGAGTCAATCACACAAGCGCCACATTGTTTCAAACATCAAAAGTTGAGCCTGTCCCACATAACCTGAATTGTTTCGGACACGTCAGCTTCCACTGGCCACACGTCAATGCGGAGATTCCTCCGCATTAAAAAAGAGGTATCGCCACAGCACTTTCTCACCACCCGAATGCTCTTTTGTCGGTGACGAACCCATTCGACAGCCACAGCAATTTTATCGCGTTCGATCATATACCCAATCACCTATGATGAGCCTCTTGGCCCCAGGAACCACCACGACGGCTTAATCGTCCTGCATCTCGAAATCCGACGTCAATTCGAATTTTTGCACCTATTTGCCCGTTTCTCTCGATTTCTGCAGGAGAAAATAATAGGGGTGCCCCTTCTCTCAAGCCACACTATGGCACTAGGATCCAAGCAAGCCGCTCAACACCGGGCATCAGAGTACCCCCCGCAACAATTCGATCCTCCTGGGTACCTCACAAGTTCATTGGGAGCTGGCTCCATCCCCTCTGAAACTTGCAGTATCTCGGAGCCCTCGGTCCAAGGAGAGTTGTACGGAAAAGTTGCCATTCCCCGAGTACAGAGACCGAATGCCGAGAGTGGAAGTCCACACTCTTCGCGCCTTGATGAGAGGCGGCGTGTCAGTCATGCTTGTGAGCCATGCCGTTTGCGCAAGACAAGATGCAGCGGAGAGCGACCGACATGTCGCCATTGCAAGGAGTTTGGTCTCTCCTGTGTATATGCGGGCGGGAAGCGCGACCGGGCAAAAAGGTACGGTTTCTACTGAAGTTCAGATATCTTGCCATCTCTATTCTTATGCTGATGCTGCCATCGTTACAGAGAGAACGAAGCGCTAGTCCAGCAACTTGAAGAATGCAAGAGATTGCTTGCCGAGATGAGCACTCGTCTTGGAGAAGAGGATAAATTTGCGATACAGGAGGCCTTAGGACGCGTACGTTTCTTCCGCTTATTAGAGAGATGGGAGATTGAGAGACGACAAAAATAAAAATAAAAAGAAACTGGAACCCGAGGAGCAGGTCTGACCAAGTCTGCAGGACATCACCCCGGATAATCAGTCCACCTATTCGAGCAAGCGGTTCAAATCTGAAGCAGATGATGACGAGAGTAATGGCGAGGAATACGAGGCTTCAGTTGGTGCAGGATCAAACCAATCTCTCGATCGGGTAGAAGAGGACCACAACCGTTCCGCAGCCACGAGAGCGACTGGCTACCTTGGAAAAAATTCCGAGATTCGATGGACCCAACGCTTAAAGGAACATACCATGTTTAATTTGCCGCGGGATGACGTCCCGGATGATGCCAATCAAAATTCCACTCCTTCCAGGATGGCTGAACAAGCTCAAGCGAAGCAGGATCATCAGACTCACCATGACGTTTCGATCAGCGAATCTACGTATCATCTGGATGACATGACGATCCTTCCAACTGAGCAAGTCGATGCCTACGAGTTGCCTCCTATTGAAACTGCGGAATTGCTGTTCAAATGCTTTTTGGACAATGTCCAATTCGCACATCCCTTCCTCGGCGAGCACACTTTCAAGTCCCAATTCGACAAATATCTGGCATCTCTCCGGTCTTCAGAAATCCTCCAGCCTGGACCAAAGTGGCTTGCAATTCTCAATCTCGTCTTTGCTATCGCCGCCAAATACTCTCACCTCGTCAAAGCAGCTTGGCGGGGAGATGAACGCGATCACCTGATATACTTTACCAGAGCCCGCATGCTTGCAATGGATGGTGACGGTCTTCTTTCCCACCCAGATCTGCAACAAGTTCAGGTTGCTGGTCTTCTTGCATTCTACCTCATTACGATAAACCAGATCAACCGGTAAACCCCCCCCTTTTCCTTTGTAAAAGCTCGTCGGCATGTGAACTGAGCCAAATGTTGACACCGATTTTCTTTTTCTTCTCACCAGGGCTTACACCATGAGTGGTATTGCCATTCGCTACTGTACTACACTAGGGTTGAACCTGCGAAACGAAGACAGCAGGATATCCGAACGTTCCAGAGAGATTCGTTGTCGCGTGTGGTGGAGCGTCTATGGCGTCGAAAGGCTGCTCAATGTCATGACCGGCCGTCCGAGCGGAATATCCGAGATTGATTGCACCGCCCCACTTCCGCTACCTGTTGACGAAAAGTCATTCCCAGTATCAGGAGAGCTGTACACCGGAAATGTTGCCTCCCTTTATCCTGGTATTGTCGATCCTCGTTCTGCTGAAGTCGCGCTACCAACCCCTTCGTCTCGTTCTCAGAATACGCCACAGTCCGTTCAAAGCAACCCGTCCTCGGCGTCGTGGTCCCCTAGCCGCGAAAGCGTCGTGCCGTCACGGGTCTTGTCGGCGAGCAATGCGTTGTATCACATTTCCTGTATCCAGCTGAGTATGCTTACTCGAGAGGTGTTGAGCCGGTTGTACTCGGCTGGAATTAGTTCCTTGAGCTGGGCAACTGTTCAAAAAACCATGCAGGACATGCATCAAAAACTTCAGAAATGGAAGTCGGAGCTTCCGAGCGAATTCGACTTTATGTTGGCCGATCAAAAAGATGTAAGCTTTACACGGCAGAGGATATGCCTTGGCTTTGCGTACTACAGCGTCGTCATGATCACGCATCGGCCATGTCTTTGCAGGATCGAGAGGCGCATCCCTCGCGAATCTGGCCAGTCCAAGCACTTCAACAATTCTGCCGCTCAAGATTGCGTCAACGGTGCTGTGCGCATGATGGGTCTTTTACCAGACGATCCGGATCCCAGTTTCATTTATCGATATGCGCCGTGGTGGTGCAGCCTGCATCACATAATGCAGGCAGCAACTATTCTCATGCTCGAGCTCGCCTTTCGCTCAGATCATATACCTGGTGCTGCGGCGGATCTCCTTTCGATCACGAAGAAGGCTGTGCAATGGCTGCGGGCCATGTCGCATGACAGTCTTGCAGCGTATCGAGCCTGGAAGATTTGCCAAGGCATGCTGGGCAAAGTTGCTGCTCTTGTCGGTGGTGATGTCAGCGACGTTCCAGCCGACAGTCCTGCTCCCGGATCGCAGCGCGTCATGGAAGAGCAGCACAAAGTTGGGACGAATTTCGATACGTCAACGTCGACCCCGGGCCCAGAGGAGCAAGTCGCCAGACAAAGCGATGTCGATGGCATGAATCAGTGGCTGGACACACAAGGGTTTCCCCGCCGATTTCCTGGCGAGCCCTTTTTCGGCGGTCCCCAGCCAGCCGCCCAAGGTACACCTTACTATTTTCCACCAATCTACACGTCTTACGATACATTTTTGGGACCATTTCAATCGTCTACAAGCGAGCCAAACAGTGCAGTGAATGCAGGTCCTCTCTTTCCCTCTCCTGAACAAATGGACAATTATGGAAATTTCTACAACGATGGGTTTGTCCCGCAGGACCCTGACTGGAGTATACCGGAAGAGCCTCCAACTTGGAATCAGAAACCTTAACCCCGAAATGGAGATTATCAAAATTCTCTTGTCCAGTTCTCTACAGCGCTCATTGTATTGTGGCTTCATGAGCCAGCTTTCCCTTAGCTTTTCCAGAAAGCGTTTCCAGTCAAACAATATTTTGACCAATTCTTCCTATGCTTGAATTTCTTGTTTTTTCCTTTTCCTCTTTCTTTACGCTTTAAACGGAACCTACACGATATCTGAGTATTCTAGCGAACATTGCTATTTGCTAATTTCTTCTTTCTATTTTACCGACAAGATTGTTTTCCCCTGGTCTTTGGTCCCGAACGGGTCGGCGTACGACACGGAAAAAATATCAGGATTGGTTTTCAGGCGGCCAACGGATCTCTTTTTTGCGTTTCCTTTTTCTTTTCTTGGTTTGAATTGAATTGTCGGCCAATTATTTTTGCTCTCTTATTTTCATCCACCAACTTCTTCTCTTTACCTTTTGTTTATATACTTGTGATTTTGCTTTGGAATATAGCTTGCGCCGAAAGCCAGCCTCTTTTCGTTTCATCACCATACCCCCCCCCCCCCCCCCCCCCCCAACCATATTTCTTTAGCCTATACTATTTGATCTCCAATTTGCTCCAACTCACTTTCCAAGATTGTTTTTTACTGTGTTACTACCTAGGAATGTCTGCTACACGTTTCAAGCGGACATGATTCACCTATTTATTGAGTTGTTGAGTTATTGGCACATTTACTTTATAGTTGTAACTTTTGACAGAAGTCGCTACGTGAACACTGATTGTTGAAACGATTTATAATATTGACCCCCATTGTGAGATATTATGCTGAGTAGTGGCTTGCTTTATTCTTTTTCATTTTCTATGACCTTAAATTCTCAGGGTTGAAAGTACCCGTGTCGTTGCTTGATGCCTATAGGAGTCTGCCTCAAACTGTCAACTCCTCCCAACTCCAGGTAGGTACCTAGATAATGACAGCACGGAGCCTCCGGCTCGCCAGGAGAGTCACTTGTAGGTAAGAAGTTTCCGGTCAGAGGGAACTAACTCGCTTATACGTCAGTTGAGAAGTCATCCTTGTAACTTTTGTTATCCGGCCTGGCAGAAATGCGCGTGAACACTTCTCATCCATCGGCATTTATTACTTTAATCACGAGCGTTAATGTTCTCCCAGTTTTGCAGATCATGAATTGGAAACTAATATGTAACACATACAAAAGCTCTTTCAAATATTCAAATGCATTTTCATCACGTCTTAGATACTTAAACTCTACTTGTTTATCCCGAATTCAGCGCGCGAATGTGACCACATTTCACAAGTGTCAACCACGTGTGTTTTCAAGTTCGGGGTTCACTAATATAGACTTATCGAAACCGATAGAAGAGGAGACACTGCCTGACTACTTGGCGGAGCGCTATTATCCAGTTCATATTGGCGAAATATATAATTCTCGGTATCAGGTAGTAACAAAACTCGGTTTTGGCTCATCATCGACGGTGTGGTTATGCCGGGATCTGTAGTAAGCATCAATCTAACCTTGTCTACATGATTAGCTGACATGATGGTAAGCCATAAATGCTATATAACCTTGAAGGTCCATGTTCGAAGTCGACGGCCGATCCCGGAGGTAGAAATCTCAAATTACTTGAGGACCATTCAGGACGTCCATGGCGGTGAAAAGTGTGTACGGCTTGTACATGATTCATTTCAAGTTCAAGGGCCGCATGGAGTACATCAATGTCTTCTCTATCAGCCTGCTGGGGTGGATATTAGTGACTTTATGCACTATCTTCCTGAAGGAGCTTTACCCGAATATCTCCTCAGGCCTGCCATGCGCATTGTTCTTGTTGCATTAGACTATCTTCACCAAGCCAAAGTTGTCCACACAGGTAGGTTTTGTTTATGTATCAGTGTATCACTTTTGGCCCTTCTTAATTATTTTCTTAGACATTCAACCGAACAATATCCTCCTTGGCGTTGATGATGTATCAATCCTTGCAGAGATGGAGGAGGACGAGATTCCCAATCCTGTCCCTCGGAAGCAGCTTCAAGATCGCATCATCTATACGTCTTGTTCAATGCCATTGACCAATGGTGAGCCGGTTCTCTCTGATCTCGGAGAGGCACGCTTCAGCAAAGAGAAACAATGCGGTCTCATAATGCCGAGTGTCTACAGAGCACCGGAGGTAATGTTGGGCATGAGCTGGGATTATAAAGTCGATATATGGGCCGTGGGTCAAACGGCACGTATACCTCACATCTACCGCATGTGTATATCTATTAATCTTGCACAACGCAGGCATGGACTTTGTTTGAGCAAGGGCATTTGTTCAAGAATAAGAGCCTCGAGAGTACATCCGACCATGCTCATCGCTTTGCGGAAATGGTATCTCTTCTGGGACCGCCCCCACTGGAGTTTCTCAGACGCAGAAAGAAAGCCTCAAATTCTGGGACGAAAATGGTGATTATCATACGAAATTTGCCGGCAACTATTGCTAATACGTGGCAGGCAACTGGAGGAATCTCGTGCCGATCCCAGACCAATCTCTAGAAGGCCGGGAGTCGCAGCTCGAAGGAGGGGAAAAGGGGATTTTCCTGCAGTTTATACGAAAAGTTCTCCGTTGGCTGCCTGAAGAGAGGCCTACTGCCTTGGAGCTTCTTTCTGATGAATGGTTAAGAGGAAGCGAGTATTGAGACTACGCTGTATCGATCTGGACATATTCGGTTCATCTTATCTCCGAGGGAAGCATGGAGCGGAGCCATGAGGTGACCGATCCATGAAAATCTGCTGTTTGTAATTCCGGCGTAAATCCTTTGTCTAGATAGAAAGGCCAGAGCAGCAGAGGTCAAAAGCCTAGAATAACTGGCTCGTCTGCAGCAATAGTGCTCCTTTGTCGTCCGTGGATATTTTGCCCCGGCTGACAAATGACAAAGCCTAATTGCCCCACGCTAGAATTCCGTCTTGCTAGCGCCACTCCACCCCACGGGGAACCGATAGACCGTGAGCTCACGACCTCTGGTCTCTGCGCAAATGAGAGCAATGACAAGGAATTTATTTTTTGGATATGGCTGCAGAATTCTAATTCGATCTCACTTCTTGTAATTCGTTCGATTGATGACACTTTGGCTGTGGCCTTAGCAGAAGCAGGGATCCATCTCTTTTTACATGTGATTGGCCGGGCAAATGTCTCGGCATCATGGCGGGAAGAAACCTCCAATCCCATATCGCCGTTAGTTATTTAGTCTGCAATTCTTATTACCTCAAGAAGTTGACATTTTTGATACTAGTGTGATGAGTGTAGAGCTCACAAATTCCGCGTAAGTTGGCCGTCGTGATGTTCTCGCCGAATATCTAATTGACCATGATAATCTTTAAGCTGACATTGATAATTTCAGTGCTCAAGAGAGCGACCATCTTGCTCTTGGTGTGTCAAGCACAATGCACATTGCGTTTACAGCTTGAAACCTACCCGCAGCAGGCTCACTCGAGAGTATGTTCGCTTGAGACCTTTGCAAATTCTCCGTGGTTCCTTCGCTCATCAGTATGACAGATATGTGACTTCTTTAGAAGAGCGTCTTCGCGAATATGAGGATGCGTTTGCAAAATTGTTCCCTGGAAAGGATGTCGAATCTCTGCCCAATCTGGGACCTCTAGCGTCACAGAGCGGTGATGAGCAGAAGAGTAAAAGTACCTCCGAGAAAAGCTCGGAGCAGTTATCTGAACGAGAGGCTCCTGATTCTGCAGATGAAACTTTTCCGGAAGAGGCAGAGGGTTTTGATTGGATGGAATATGATCCAGGCCACACGCCATTCACGGATGGAATGGCAGCCTTGTCCCTCAATCCTCGAGGACGAGGGTATCTCGGTGAGTGCTGTTTCGCGTCACACGCTTCCCATTTAGCCATCTAACATGCTACTCCCAGGAGTATTCTCCAATTCGTCTCTCCTGCGAGCGCTTCATTCGCATGGGTGGCCGATTGAAGACCCCGAGCAGCAGCAAGATTCAACGACATATGAGAAGGGCCAAACTCAAAACCAGCCTACTCCTCTACTGATCAATCCATCTTCCTCCCGGCAAACCAATCAGATTCTCATTGATGCTTACTTTCATTTCTATCATACCGCTTACCCTCTAATCCACGAAGCCAGCTTTAGAGCTCAGCACAATGAGCTCATTCCGCGGCCACCAGGCCGTATTTGGGAGATAATTCTCCACGCGGTCCTCGCAAAAGGTGCGTGGAGCTTACGACAGGGTGACTCCGTTCTCGAAAACCCTTTTTATCTCGAGGCACGCAATCTTTTAAAGGAAGCTTTTATTTTCGAGTCTGGAAGCCTTCCACTGGTTCAGGCATTGGCCCTGCTTGGCAACCTCACGCAAAAGGAAGACAAGCCCAATACAGCATATAACTTTCTGGGCTTGGCTGTCCGCATGGCAATTAGTATCGGCCTTCACAAGGAGCTTCCCGACTGGAATATCAGTTTGCTCAAGCGGGAGATGCGAAGACGCGTATGGTGGATGCTCGTCATCTTCGACAGCGGAGCAGCAATTACTTTTGGACGTCCCATCACATTGCCAGCCACGAGAACGACCGATGTCAAGGATATGTTGAATGTACATGACGCAGTAGGTCTCACGTCCAAACGGAATTTGCAAATAGATGGCATAGACTGATATCTCTTTACTGCCAGGACCTTACCGCAGCAACGTCAGCAATCCCTCTAGATCCTAACGAACCAACATTGTATTCTGTTCCCCTAGCAAACGCACAATTCAGCAAGCTAGCTAATCCTATATACACACAACTTCTCGCAAAACCTGCGTGTTCTGCCGAGCGCCTGAGCGAATTCGACCAAATGATTGAAGCAGCAATGAACAATCTCCCAGAATACCTCAAAGAGGATCACATTTCTTCATTGTCCACCGAATGGCTACAGTTCAACGCCACGCGATTGATCTGGCGGTTTCGCAATTTCCGGATTCTCATAAACAGACCCATAGTCATGCGATGGGCTATTCGCCGAGCATCCCGTCGCCAATCCGAACATGGAACCCCAGAGGAAGAAGGAGAGGAAGACCACTCATCAGCAGAGCAACGTGCACGACTGGCATGCTTAGAGAATGCGCATTCGACCATCATCTCTGTTCGGGACTTTACTCTTTCTCCTCAAGCCAGTACTCTCATGGCAATCTGGTACGCAATGTAAGTATCCATCTTTTATCCTTTCTATCATATTACCCTTCTCTACTCCTTTCCCCTTAATTTTCCTCTTCGCAATCCCTCGTCTGGAGTCAACATGACAACTACGTTTCCATGTCAAATCCTGAGCTCTGGCCCCATTGACTCACAATATAATGTCCTGTCCGTTACAGGTACTTTCTCTTCCAAGCCAGCATCATCCCCTGCATCTTCATCTGCGCGGCCCCCGAATCGCCCGACATGCCATCCTGGCTGCATGACGTGCAAATCGCCCGCGAGGTCCTCAACGCTCACAACCACGCCGCGAGCAATACTAATACCCGCCTTCGCCTCGCGAGCAAGTTCATCGCCGTCATCAACCGCCTCTGCGCCACGCTCGAGGGCAATCACGACACGTTCCCGCACAGCGCGGGCCAAACGGATTTTCTCAACGAACTTAGTCTGCAATTTGCATTTGGTGGCCACCACGATAATCTTAGTGGTGATTATGATTTGGATATGCGTGAGTATTTTGACGGCCATAGTCCTCTTACTGCTGCTGGCGGTCGTCCTGCTCCTGCTCCTGCTCCCGTTGGCAGTGCTCTAGAAGAAGGAGGTGTGGGAACCAGTAGTTTCAATGACGAGTTTTTGTCAGTCGCAGAGGACATTAATAGTCTGGCTGGTTGGATATGAAAATTTTTTTTCTCCTTTTTTTTTTGTTTTGAGTCTCTGCATTTTCCTGCACAAGAACAAAAGAGCGCAGGAACGACTCCGAATCTTTGATATTATCCCGAATTATACAAATTGCGCTGGTTACTCAAGGACACAAGGTAGCATACTTTTCGTACACAAATATTTGTCTCATAGTTATATGCTAAAATAAATTGGACATACGCTCATGTAACAGGGACGGAAAATGCTAATTAACTACCTTAGATGATGGTATATCAATATATGCTGACAAGGGAATTGTAATGTACGTGATATAATACGAGGCAATGCGATGCTTTGCTGCTTTGCTATGCTCTGCTATGCTCCGCTATGCTATGCAAAAAGAAAAAAAAAGAAAAAAAGGGGGAGGGAGAAAGAACATGCCAGGACATAAACACATGGGAGTCTAATGCGTCATTTGTCTCCTCGTTGCTCCTCATTAAAAACATAAGATTGTGTTGCGTTAAAAAAAGGCGGAATGCACTAAGTTTAATTGAAAAGAAAAGAAAAGAGCACAAGGCAGACCTCCTACGCCTGAGAAATGCCACTGACAAAAATATCCAAACTTGGGGGTTTATCACGCTCAGACTGATGCAGCGGGAAAACGGAAACGAAACCAGGGCGGGGGAATACAGCAAGAGAAAAGAAGGGAAGAACAAAGGGCAAATAAACTCATAGCTCAATGAGATCGACTTCGGAAAAGTCTGGTGGACTGCGGCGGTAGACGACTCTGCCTTTGCGATCTAGACCGGTATATTCGTTGCTGATCCAAATGTGCTTGCTGAAATTCTGGGTGCGATAAATCTCATCATCACTGACGCCGAGATCGTCTCGGGGGATCCAGATCACGGGCCGTTTCGCGCGGAGTGCCTCGTGCTGGAAGGCGCGTTGCACCAACTTGTCGCGCTCGTCAGGGGTGAGATCTTCGATTTCGTCATTGATTCCTGAAAAGAGCGCTTCGGCAATCGGGTTGATGCGCTGTGCTTCAATGTCTGTGGCGCTTTTCTTGACGTGGTCATGCGCAGTGGATTTGGCGGCTTTGGGGTCCTTGGGATTGACCATGTACGATGCCCGCCGGTTTCGAGACCGGTCGGCCCATGACTTGTCCGGGAGCATTTTGCCGAGCTTTTTGGATGCTTGGGATGCGATTCTGCGATGGCGCCGATCGGGCTTGCCGCTTGCTTGCTCCTCTTCGGCCCCGTCAACTCGGGGCTTCTCAAAATCCTCTTCTTGCTCTTCTCGAGAGTCTCGCTCGTTGCGTTTCAGCGTGTCTTCCAAAGTCTCGCCAGGCTCCTCATCATCCACCAGTCCAAAGCGTTTCGACTGAGCTCTTGCAAACTCTTCATCGCGCCTGACAGCGTCATCTTCCAAAGTGATTGGCAAGTATCTGAAGAGAGGTCCAAAGGCTTCATTTAAAAGAAATTGGAATGCTACGGTTAGGATGCCGACAACAATCATGACGATTGCCTGGGATTTGCATGACGCACGATCGTGCTCATCGCGAACGAGGAAGAATAACCCGACTAAACAGAGCTCCATGATATAGAGACCGGTGAAAAGCTGATTGATAGCTCTTGGGTAGAGCAGACCGCCAGTATCGAAACGGAACTTGGTCACATAAAGCGTATTGTATCGATAAACGACCCAGAATAAGCTAAATGTGATAATGTCGAAAAGGAGAATGAGGGGTGAGATCACAGAGTAAATCAGGCCTGCGTGACGAAAATTGTTAGTTCCAACTGTCTCCCCTTGAGGGGTTCAATGGTTCTGGGTCATACCAATGGCAGCGAGTGTAGTGTAGACTGGGAAAAATGTCCCCCACATCATCTGCGGCAAGTTCGTTTGCCGGGCCCACTTCTGTCTAGCAGTATTGTCCAACAGCGGCGCAAGAATAAACCAGCTGACCAACCCCCCAATCTGGACAAGAGCTCCTGCACTCACAGAGAAAGCTTGCAGTAGCATGTAAGAGAAAAAGTAGTTGCTCGCCTTGGGTAAATTCGCAGCGAGTAATTGGGGCGCCGAGCCGAGATTGTCGGACAATTGCTTGATGATCGTGGTAATTCCCGAGGAAATAGAGACAACCAGAAAGACTTGTACAAAGAGGAACGCAAAGTAATAGTTTTGGACTGACAATTCAATGGCCATGCCCGTGTGCACACCCTGCTGCCTTGCGAGAAAGCGAAGTGTAATGGGGAGAAGTGCCAAGAGGGCCGCAAGCAGAGCCTGCGGTAGAACACCCTGCACGAGGGAGAGAACCCACTTTGGCAGCTTGCGGATCCAGCCAAGCCAGGGGAACGTGGTGGTGAGGTAGCTAATGTTTGACAACAGACCAGTAAAAGTGACTGGGAACGCCCATCCAATAATCAGAAACACGACCAGGGCCATGACGGCCGCAGTACGAAGGTAGCGCTCCCACCACTTAACGGACATGTTCTCCCACAGCACATCATCTGGCGAGATCTCTACCAGTCGAGGAGCCATTTGCTTGGGCACATGGTGACTGACAGCCTGACAAGCCATGTGTGCAGCCACCTGATGATTGAATTGGACGAAGGCAGAATTCATAAGAGGGAACTTTTCAGGCTCTTGCTGGTCGCGTTCAATCTCGAGATTTAGCCTTGCAAGTTCTTTGCGGCAATGATAAATTGTGTCGACCTTTTTGCCAATCAAAGGAAGGGCAGGCATCCAGCCCCAACCAAAAATTGGCAACCGCATCGTGTCTCGATCACTCTCTTTGACATACTTGCGCCAGAGAGGCTCCCCGTACTCGTCATTGTCAAAATCTTCGTTGTAAGCTGCAGGATATTCCTCGTCTTCCCGACGATCACCTTCCTTGGCATGTTTTTTAAACGGATTTTTCGAACTCTTCTCTCTAATTTTTTCTCTCTCCGCGTCAGGCCCGTGTTCCTCCCCGTGCACAGTAGCCTGGGTGGCGGTGGAGGGAGCAGTAGGAGAAAGGGTTGTCAAGGGGTATTCATCGTCCTCACGCCCCTTAGGCTGCGGACTCGGTACGTCTGAAGTCTTGGACTTGCCCCTCCACCACCAGAGCCAGCTCGATTTCGGGGGTCCTGAGGAGCCCTCGGAGCCCTTTTCTGGATCTGGCGTCCTCTCTGCATTGCGGACGCTCGAGTGGGTTTCTTGCTGCGCGTAGTCTCGCTCATCAATGGAACGAGGCCTTTCAGGCTTGTCAGACGCATCAGACTGATGCCGAGCCTCCTCTGCAGTATGAGCAGTATCTGTCGTATCGACATGCCCTTGCAGGGTCGACGTGCTTGGTCTCGCGGTTGTGTCAAGAGATTCGGTGCGCTCTACGGCCATGTCCCTCCTTCCCTCATCCATGCCGTCAACCGGGGCTGTGGCGGCCCTGTGGACAGCGGGAAGTCCATATCGAGGGTCATCATCGTACACAAAGCCGTTACTGTTCGTCAACCGACCGTCGACATCTTTCCCGAATCTCTTAAAGCCTCCAGCTAGTGAGTGCCCAAAATGTTCAAAGCCATGACTCATCATATCGAGCCCTTGCCCGACAACTGGGACTGGAATGCCATGGCGACGCTGCCCTTTTGTGGGCGAAGATGAGCGCGAGGATGAACGCGAGTTTGCTCCGGAGGCATCATTGAGCGCTTCTTGCAGAGTGTGTCGGACCTGGTGAGGGTTTCCCGAACTCATACCAGCTCCGTCCATCATCGCCAGCGCTGCAGCATTCTCTTGAGCTTCCTGGCGGGCTTGCTTGCGTCGCGCCCTCTCCTGTTTGGACAAGTCTTTATTCGCCTTTTTCGCGTCCTTTTCGAGTTGCTTCAACTGCGCCTTCTTCGCCTTTTTGATCAAATCAGTCTCAGCCGCCTCAAGCGCTTGAGCCAGCTTGTTGCGAAGCTGGACCTTTTCCAGGAGTTCATCAAAGTTGCGATTGATCCAGATATTTCGAATGCCGCCCGGAAACACATCGTACAGACCGTCGAGTGCTTCAACTGAACACCACTTTTTGGGGATGGCAGATACTAGCACAGTAGTGGCTGATGCACGCAACCGATGCTGAGGCGAAGTCAAATATGCTTGACGCAAGCGGATGTACCGGCGGAGCTCGTCGTAGAAGACAAAGCACACGTAGACGACCACAAGTATTGCCAAGACTAAGTGTGCCCAGTATCGTCTCGTGTGATTGGGGCTTATATTGCTCCAGGAGAGCGTATCAAGTCCTGTCACATTGTTCTGACCTGAGTTGTCCCCGGTTCCAAAATGAGAGCCCCGTCCAGATATGTGATTTAGAGGAAGTAAGATCGGCAAAATGACAATCGCTAGCGGAATGAATATTTTCAGGAGAGTCCGTAGGTAACGAAGGAAGAAATATGCGTCCAAGCCGCATTTCTGGATGAATTCAGAGCTTGAGGTTGTAAAAATAGGAAGGATCCATCCCAATCCGAGAATTCCTGAATGAGGGGCTTTTGTTCGTTCGCGCTCCGGCACCAGGTATGTACGAGGTGAGCTAGGAGAGTTTGTCAGACTGCGAATATCGACTTTGGGAAAACAGAGAGCCTTACTATATTCTAACGAGCTTGTTCTTCAGCAGCACGAACACGAGAAACTCGGCGCCAAAAACAATCGCGGAAACAGCGACCGAGGCCAAGAAAGAGTTCAAGGAAATGCCTTGCGAACCCTGACCCTTTCCTGCGGAGCCATTCAAGGCATCAGAAATGTCGGATCGAGCTTCCAGCTGTGCCAAGACGTCCATTTTGGCGTAAGATCCGTCGGGACCAGCCCGGGGCTCTTAAAAACGTCGCTATCGGTGCTATTTCTATCGATATCTCCAGCTGGAGATGTCAAATTGGAAGGGCGGGACGCGGTGGTTAATCTGAGAGAAGACCGAAAAGAATCGACAGTCCGCCTATTTCAGACACAGTCAACAGGAGTTTGTTTGGAATAAAGAACAAAATCAGGAGAACCATGCACTAGAGTGTCGAAATGGATATCAGAGAGAAGAAGATGACGGAAAAAGATTATCTGGTAGAGTGGCACAAAAATAAAGATAACAATAAGATGAGTGGGAGATATGTGACAAAGGGAAGAAACGAAGTGCACATGTCAACAAAAGGCAAACCTACCCGTGTCTCTGTTCAAGCAGGCGCTCAAGCTTCAAGGGTTCGGTATCCTTGAATACACAAGCGCCTGAAGAAAGGCAGTTGAGGAATGTTCAGGAAATATTCCTGTGCAGGTCATAATAGCACAATCCCGCAACCCCTTGGGCTTCTCCATCTATCTGCCCAGCCTTTTTGGCGAATATGTATTTCCCCTGGCGACTAACAGAACTCTAGTTCAACAATCGCTGGTGACAGTTGAGATCAGGGAACCGCCGAATTCCCAAACAAGAAAGAGCGCCCTGGATAACGTCCATTTCTGCCCAATCAGAGACGACCTCGTCAGTGCCGAGTGATGTCATTTGCATTGACGTGTGAAGTAGCGGTACGCTAATTTGCTTTTACAAACGGAGAGAAACACGGTTAATTCAAATGACAGAAAAGTATTTCTACTTGTGGCTTGGTCTCTGACTTCACTGGCGTTTCCCGTCCTTCCTGTCTGCTGCTGTCTCAGCGAATCAACGAGAACTTCTCCAAACCGCCGAATCAAGGACGTTTCATTCTTCTGTGCCCTTGATGTTTATTGAGCTATCTTGCCATTCTCAGGCTCACTAATATGCTACCCTACACTACTCACTGGGTCAAGTATACGCGCAGAACTTCATCAGTACGGCGGGTAGCAAACAAATTTCCCTTTAATTTTGAATCGTTCGTCTGGTGGACCGCGCGAGTTTGTACCGAGACGACCGGGCTGTCTGCACGTCTTGGCAGATGGATCAGCGTGGGTTCTTGGCCCAGTGCAAGTCCGAAGTGAAGAAGAGCGGTCAGGAAAGCCAGAACCACGAGGCAGAGAGAACCGCTGAATGCAAGTGTCACAAAAGTCTTCAAAAGGGAAGAAAAATAGCAGTCGAAGAGACAGAGCGTAAGTATACTACGCTCTGTCTGACTTTTTGAAGTATTTACACTGTACATGTGCGAAGACTCGGTGCTGGGGGGAAAGACCTCGCGCTGTATCAACTGCCAAATGATTTTTGTTGAGATGTGCAAAAGCCATTCGTGGCAGGCAAAGCAAGCAGTCTTATAACGTTTGCTGTCGTGTGAGCCTGCTTTTTCACAGTATAAGCATGCTCTGGCAGAGAAACGCGAAAGTAAAGCACTGTACCCTAACCACTGGTAGATTACATGCCTCACAGGGTTGTCTCAAGAAAATACTGAAAGAGAATGTCTCTGAATGTTCGCTCATGCGGATGATTTCCGGAGAATAAACTGCTTTTCCGGCTGCAACATTGAAGGACCATATCTCAGGCAGCTACCTAATATATGATGCCATAGTACTCTTATGGATTTGAATTGAGCTGGATGAATGCAACGCGGCCACTTGGGAGATATTGAGCAAATGGTACTTCCAGATTATGACCTTTGTGCAGGTTACCATGATCAAAATTCCTCACTCTAGAGTTGTGCTGCTGTAGTCAGCATGTTTGCATAATAATTAAGGTATCTAAATGCAGCACAAATTCATAAAAAGCATATTCGGAGACACGTGGTTTTTGTGCGCGACTACTTATTGACATCCTCGTGCTCTGTTTTAGGTGCCGCACTGCCGTTGGCATGCCGATGGGTTGGGGGGGAGAATAAATTTTCCCTTTGCTTTGGGCATCCCTGGAGCCCCCCATGTTCAAGGCTCTCACCGCCCTCGCAGGTTTAATCCGATGCCGTGTCTATCACTTCTCCGGCTCCCCAGATCATAGATGACAACGCCTCGAGGAGCTATTAAATCTGGAGATGACTTAAAAAGGTCAATACGGGGACCCCGATCCCCGCGATCCCCGTAAATTCCAGCAATAATGACAAGACCCCAGAGGATTCCAGAATGATGGTGGCCAAGATCAGTGGGACGACGGAGCCCCGCTTGATACTGGAAATGGCAGCTCTGAAGAGGGTCCAGGCTGGTGGGGTATGGGGAACGAGAAGCATCATGCCATCCATCGAATGAGCCAGGGCTTGGGACGGCATAACCACGAGGGATTAAGGTGCGGTTCTCATGATCCCGCTAGGGAATTGACATGTACGGATCCGAACAGATGATCCGAGCTGTTCTCGGCGTGGCTCATTCTTGTAATACCAATATACGTTACAGAATATATTGGTCCATGAGAATGCTATCCCGTAGGCGCAAATGATCAATCAAAACAGTAGCCAAGTCTTGGATGCATGGAGGATGGTACTTTAATGACTATCAATTTCAATTAATAGAGATAGATGATTTAGTCAGTGGAGACCATGCTTGGTGGATGGCCCTTGGGTCCAGAAGTCTGACCGAATTGCTCCATTGAGCCATTTCGGGAGGGGTGGAAGAGCAGGGGGCAGCAAAATTGGTAGCGGCACTTGGCTACCGACAGTTGGGTTGCGTTGGTTGGATAGTTTAGCCCTAGAGCAAGAGGATTAGGGTGTGTCCCTGGCAGTTATGCGACCTTTTTCTCCTTCTTCTTACAGTGACCACGCTAATGCGTGTACGGACAAGCAGACTACCGTACCCGTATCGGTCTACTGTGCTCCGAAGGTAAGTTAACTCACACCTTCACCCAACGGCGACTTGGAATTATTGGAAAGAGGTTGAATGGCTCTTTCCACCTTGTCTGGCACATGTGAGGTAGCCCATCGACCCCTCTAGGCAAGGAAGGACCCCAAAAAGTAATGCCACTTTCGGGCGACAGAGATCACCCTACTGCACACCTTCCCCCCCTGGTTTACGTGGTTAGGGCAGAAAGAGGTAACGGGAGGTAGGGGTGTGTGGGTGGGTGCGCGTATGATTGCCGCTGCTGCTGTTGCTCCTACCGACTCAACTTTATTGCCCAATTGACGCTGGTACAGGGCTCTGCAGCTGGTAAAATTACTTTGCATTGTAGGTATGGAGGTAGATACTCCTAGTAATGCTTGTAGAGCGTGCTTCGGTGTTTGCTATGATTGTTGTTTGGTGCTCTGCCCCTCACCGTAAAACTCGACCCATTAATCTCATCCCACTTACTATATATGATTCCCCACCCCGCCATCATCCTCAACTCAACCCGTACCGTACGCATTGCCATTCAATTGACTCTCAACCTCCTTTCTTCTCATCAGAGATTGATTATATACAGGTGAGTAAGCATTTATCTTTGTCAAGGTCTTGCACTGCCCAAATCATCATCATCACTTTCTTCATCTCCAATCACCAACAGATGGAGGATCGAATGTCCTTTTGCGCGACATCGGGCGAGATACCCCACCGTGATGCCATGGTGGGGCACCTTTGAAAGAGGTTGCGGTGCGGCCCAGCCACTGAGTGGCATCAGCTACTACCTCTCGGCTCGTCCGTTGCCATTATGGCATCTCCTGCATCTGGCCTTTCACCACTACTGTATTACCTGTACCTCCGTCATTACCGCATTTAATCGGTCCCAATTACCCGCGTTCTTTCCTTTTTCTCCCATTTTGAGACCAACACAACATCACCTCTGATTTTTGACGTACGCTCTTTGATTCGTTGCCCGCCTCTCTCTCGTCTAGGCGAATTTGCTGACCCTTTTCTCATTTAGGAGGGAACGATCGTGCCACCCGTTCCTTTTCAATTTCGAATTTTACCAGTAGATCAATAGATTGTCAAAATGGTCGGACTCGGTCCCAGAAAGCCTCCGTCCCGCAAGGGTAAACTCACCATGCTGAGCCTATCGACGAGAATACCCGATACTGATTCTTAATGCGCTGTATCAAGGCTCCATGATGGACGTCCCCAGGGACCTCCTCGACCAGATCAAGTGGCTCGAGGAGCAATTCTACATCCCCACCGAGAAGCTCAAGCAGATCACCAACCACTTCATTCATGAGTTGGAGAAGGGTAAGGATACATTGGCCTCTGAAAACGGATCTTTGAAAACACTTTTGCTGATTAAACCGGAATCGTGCAGGTCTCAGCGTTAAGGGTGGCAGCATCGTTAGTTCAGCCATTCAACTTTGAAATTGTGCGCATTGACTGACAGGAATTTTCCTTCTTATTAGCCCATGAACCCTACCTGGGTCATGAACTACCCCACTGGCCACGAGACTGGCACCTTCCTTGCCCTCGACATGGGTGGTACCAACCTCCGTGTTTGCGAAATCAGACTGCCCGAGGCCAAGGGCGAGTTCGACATTATCCAGTCCAAGTACAAGATGCCCGAGGAGTTGAGAACCGGAACCTCCGAGGAGCTCTGGGAGTACATTGCCGACTGCTTGCAGCAGTTCCTTGACTACCACCACGAGGGCGAGAAACTCCACCACGAGCTTCCCCTCGGTTTCACCTTCTCTTACCCCGCTACTCAGGACTACATCAACCACGGTGTCCTCCAGCGGTGGACCAAGGGTTTCGACATTGACGGTGTCGAGGGCAAGGACGTTGTCCCCTTGTTCGAGGCTGCCCTTCACAAGCGCGTAAGTTGAAACCTCTCGAGACTCGTGGAAAAGCCGCAACCTTGCTGATTGTTGTTGGTTGTAGGGTGTCCCCATTAAGCTGACTGCTTTGATCAACGACACCACCGGCACGCTGGTCGCTTCCGGTTACACTGACGACCAGATGAAGATTGGCTGCATCTTCGGTACTGGCTGCAACGCCGCCTACTTTGAGAACTGCGGGTCGGTTCCCAAGCTCGCCCACATGAACCTCGATCCCGAGATGCCCATTGCCATCAACTGCGAGTGGGGTGCCTTTGACAACGAGCACGTTGTCCTGCCCCTTACGCAGTTTGACCACACTGTCGACCAGGAGTCTCCCCGTCCCGGCCAGCAGGCCTTTGAGAAGATGATTGCTGGTCTCTACCTCGGAGAGATCTTCCGTCTTGTGCTGGTCCACCTGCACGAGACTGGCCATGTTTTCGAGGGCCAGGATATCAGCAAGCTCAAGAAGGCTTACACTCTCGACTCGTCCTTCCTTTCTCTCATTGAGGAGTATGTATAAGGATTCCAGTGATAGAATCAAAATGGCGAAAATATGCGGAATGCTAACTGTCATGCCACCAGGGACCCCTTTGAGAACTTGTCCGAGACTGCCGACTTGTTCCTGAACCGCCTCTCTATCCGGCCCACCCAGCCCGAGCTTGAGCTCGTCCGTCGTCTCTCCGAGTTGATTGGCACTCGTGCTGCTCGCCTCTCTGCTTGCGGTGTTGCCGCTATCTGCAAGAAGAAGAACATTAAGTCGTGCCACGTTGGTGCTGATGGTTCCGTCTTCAACAAGTACCCCCACTTCAAGGCCCGTGGTGCCACCGCTCTCCGTGAGATTCTCGACTGGCCCGCCGACCTCAAGGAGGACCCCATTGACATTCGCGCCGCCGAGGACGGTTCGGGTGTTGGTGCTGCCCTCATTGCTGCTCTGACCCTTGAGCGTGTCTCCGCTGGCAACCTTGCCGGTATCAAGGCCGAGAACGCGTAAACGAAATGAAGAAATAGAGAATAAGGGGGAAAAAAGCGAAGGAAAAGAATCTTTTTATTGGACTCGTATATATGATGGAGAAGTGTCTCGTTTGGGGGAGAAGCTACACGGAAATGGTACGATCGACATTGGCATGGAGATTTGTCGAATGAATTTCCGTGGGAATACGCTCCAAAGGCCTTTTGCCTCCCAGAATTAGGCTTGACGCGTCTTTTTGAGAATATCTTTTTTTCTTTCTTTCTTGGAGACTCGCATGTCGCCTTGATTTTTCTGGTATTGAGGCACGGGGCTTTGGAGCAAGATGATCCGAGGGCGAATTTGTTCTTGACACTCTTGCTGTCTCGACTTTTTTGGGTGGTTCTCTCCCTGGGGACATGGGAAGGTGAAGACCATGATGACATCTTACTTTTCTATGTTGGTCATTACTGTGATGGCTCTTTTCTTGTCTCTTTGAAATATCTTTGATGTTGATGATATATTTATTGCCAAGGCTAGACATTTATGAAATGAAATTTTTAAAGCACCCTTTTTGTCCAGACCTTCTTTTATTACCAAAAGTCATGGTACTGTCTGGTTTCATGACCGCTTGTTTTCAATAGTCGTGTTGTACAAAATGTTGAAGTGTGATTCTTTGATGTACAGTCTAATCTATCCAGCACCTTACCTTTCTTTCTTTCTCTCTTTCTTCTCTCCCCTTTTTGACTACAAGAAAAAGCTGTGTCTTGTGTAGCGCACTGTAATTGTGATTTTATTTGCAATCGTACCTGGCACAGTCATCATAATCGCTGCACAAGTATATCAAATTGACTTGGAATCGAAATTGTATGAATCATATTCTTTTATTATACCCTACGCCTTTTTTCCCCAGATGATGAAAATCTAAGATCTAAAATGAAAATATAAACCTCACCCCCTACCAAGCAGACAGGGAAGACAAGAGGAAGGGAAGACAAGGGAAGGAAAGACGACGAGAAAAGGGAAAAAGGAAAGATAAGGAGGGAAAAGACTAAGCCCGAATTTCCCATAATCGAATCTTGCCCGCCTCGTTGGCCACGGCGAGCATGCCGCCGTCAGGGGAGAAGGCGACAGATGTGATGCGGCCCAGGGGCGTCGCGGACGTGGGCCAGTTGCGGTAGACGGTGCAGGATGGGAGGTGGACTGTTTGAGGAAGTGGCATTAGCATCGTATCTTTCTTTTTTCTTTGGGGAGAGCGAGTGAAGGGCTTTTCGTGGAAAGTTTTGAAAGAATAGAGGTTTTCAGAGAGAAGTGGAAATCTAAGGGGGAAAAAAAAAACCCCCCGAAAAGCCCATAGAACATTAAAGAGAAGGACAAAGGAGGGACGGAGGAGAAAAGAATAAAAAAAGGAAAGAAGGACAAAGAAGAAGGAAGAAGGACAACATACCTAATCGGAGAGCGTCCTTTTTCCAACGACTGCTAATGGCCAAGAGCTGCGAGTCTGGCGAAAAGACAATATTGCTGACGGGGGTAGTGAGCTGTTCAAACGCGCGAATGGGTTTCGGGGTCATGACAGTCGCAGGATGTTTAGCGTCATTTTCGCCCGCAACCGCCGCCGCGGCATTACTGGTCCAGGACCGGCGGTCATATATATTCACGATACCGCTCGAACTTCCGATCGCGACCCAGCGATCAGGCCCGACGCCATCGGGGCGGACAGTCGAGGCGCCGCTGCGGTTTGCGCCGCCGAGAGCGAGCACGGTGGTGCCGACAGCGCCTTCGTCGCGCCAGCGCGCAATGACGCGGCGGTGCTGGATGCTCCATTCGAAGACCTCGCCGCCTTTGCTGGCGGCCGCGAGACCCTCGCCGTCGGCCCACCAGGCGAAATCGGCAATGCCGCCGCGTCCCTCGATGCGGGCTTGGGCGATCCATTGCAGGGTCTGGGCGTCGAGAATGTTAATGTAGCCACCGCCTTTGCGGGCGGAGCCGACGAGACCCATGTATCGTCCGCAAGGGGACAACTTGAAGCGCTCCATGGATTTTTGCTCCTCTTGGTGTCCGTAGATGCGCGAGACCTTTTCGATGCGGCCAGAGGATAAGTCCCATACGTGGAAGTAGCGTCGGCGGCCGGACAGGAAGATGCGTGATCCTGTCGTGGGGCTGAATGACGTGCTGCTGAGTGGAGTACGGCGGAGGTGGAAAGAGGTGATGAGCGGGTTGGGGTTCGGTGGGACAGGGGAGATTTGGTGCAAAAAGATGGTGGAGGCGGGTCCAGAGGAGAGGAGAAGAGGGTATTTCGGGTGGAACTCGAGAGAGGTAATTGCGGACTGTGGTAGAAAGGAAACGTCAGTTAGAAGATCAACGTGGCATGGGGATATACGGGATCTAGAGGGAAGGAGAAGTGAGAACATGGAAAAACTCACAGGCTGCGTGCCGCCAACGTCCTTGGTACGCTGAATGTCGAGCACTTCAGGTCGTAGCTTGCCGCGTTTGCCATTTACGCTGTCCGTGCCGCGGACGAGACTGTCTGCATTGCGCAACAAGTCGGCCAAAGGCTGCTGCGAGAGCTCCTCGTCCACATCCATGTCCTCGTCTGAAGTCTCCTCGCCCGATGATTCCGCTGCGCCAGAGTTTCGGCGGCGCTTCTTTCGTGCAGGTTTCTTGGTCGCCGCGGACGGATTGGCCCATTCGGGCACCGGGTAGAGGCGCTCGAATTGCTGGCGTAGGCGTCGTATATATTCTTTGCCGTTCACAACGTCTTCCGCCTCGGCGACTCTGAGCTTCCGCAGGCGCGGATTTGATGCGAGAGAGATTGCCATTTTCTCGTCGTCACTGTCCTCCCATGCAGCTTGTTCTTGTTGGTCGTCTCCACCTTGTTCAGCAATTGATTTTCCAGCCGCGGGAACCATCGCATCCATTGGTGCCGCGTCGGGACCAGAGTCCATAAAGAATAACTGCGCAGCCAGATGAAAATGATTAGCTGCCTGCTATACATGATTTCTAGAATTGATTGAAGGAAGAAGGAAACGTACGTCTGCATCAGATATACCGGTAAGGCCTGCTTCCTCCGCTCCGCTTTCCTCATCCCCTGCACCAGAGACACTCTCATCTTCTTCAGAGTATTCGCCAGCGCGGTGAGATTTCAGCCCTTCAAGAAAGCCGCTCTCATCTCCAAAGACGAGTTTCTCCAATTCGGCTTCGGTGCTATCCTTTTCGGGCATCTCATCGTCGCTGCGGCCGGCAAAACTAGCTGCTTCATCCATGACATTGTCCTGGCCTAGTTCTTCTGGTTTCTGGCGAGAAACGGCCTCCTGCCGAGCCTTCTTTGAGCCACGGGCTGCCATGATTGGATCAAGGCGCGCTCTGTGTTGGTTTCAAACTGTTTCTCCAGACGGTCTTCCGTTGCGACCTGCAAACAATAATCATCGTCAAGTCGCATAATTATTTTTGACCCTAAACCCTTTTTGGACGGCTTGTGCAGTAAAATCAAGATAAGATAAGATCGAATTTCCTTCCACTTCAACTTATGCTCGAGCTGAAGACCAAACAAATTTCCGCTACGCAAGGAATGCTGGGGATAAATATATATATGTGCGTGTATAAGAGAATATCGCTGGTATTGAGATTGCCATTGAGGCTTAATTTGTCGGACTGAAAAAGAATAATCAAGTAATTGCGAGTGCAAGCATGGAAAATCTCATGGTTATATCTAAAACACATCCTCTGGGGCCGGATCATCTATAGTCACTGAACGGAAGAAATAAACCAAGTTCATGAGCCAGATGCTAATCTATTTAAAAGATGTAAAGGGACTCTTCTATATTGTTTGGTAAATATTTGGTAAATGAAGATGCCGATATCTGTGCAAATCCTCCGTATCCCACGCTAGAAAGAAAATGAACAACATGTCCGATTATCGCGCTGCATGCTCAAATTGGTATACTCGCACATATTCACAGCTTTGCCGTTCCCAGCCTTTCCGCCTCTGATTTGACAGTCTCCGGGATATCCTCGACCAAGCTCCTCTCGACAGGCTTCCAGCCAAGAAGCTCATTAGCACGGAGAGACTCTGCCCGTGCGTTTGTGCCCAAAACAATTGAAGCATGGCCCACTAGGGAATCAGCCTTGGCAGGATCAACTGACTCGACATCAACGGTCTTAATAAAGCCCTGTTCATGGGCGGACTGAGCCACGCGCCGAGAAATTTCACCAAAAGCCTAATCGCAGAAGAAACCATTAATTAGCATCGCTGCATGTGATGAGACTTGCAAAAGCCGCTTAAACGCAGAACGAATGGTTACAAGGAAAATGAGACTTACGATTTCTCCGTTTCCTGGGAAATAAATGCCGCCTTGGTTCCAGATCTTTTCGTCGGGTTGGCCGGCCAGCGCATTCTCAATCAACAGCACAAACAGGTTGCTCAAATCTCGGACATTGACCGTATGCCACCTGTTCAGACCCTTGTTGATCTGGAATCCGTAACCCTGTTGCAGCGTAACCCTCGCAGTTTCAGGCACTTGGATACTGCGCTGATTGAATGGGCCTCTGCCTTGGCCATAGATAATTGGGCCAAAAATAAGGGCCGTCCTCGCATTGGAAATCGTCTTGTTCAGGCCAAGAACGAAGTTGTCGACAACCCGGTTAGGGTTACCCTGAATGACATTCAGGACCTTATCGACGCCTTCAAAGTCGTCGTACACCTCTTCGGTTGCTTCGCCAAAGATTTTGGACTTGATCTCTGCAGCTGCCAGAGCGCTGGCCCCAGAGATTTGGATAAAGTAGCCTTTGAACGCGTCAGCTTGAATCTTTGCTCTTGTTGCACTTTGAACATGGCGTATTTCTTTTCCTTCGTACTGGTAATCATAGCTGTAGGAATGTGCAACGGGTGATTAATTACTAAGTACCTGGCTTTTCCCGGCTTTGGATGCCTTGCGCAATCGCTTTGGCGGCATTGATGTGACTGGACACCGCTACTTCTGCGGCGTTTAAAGCAGATTATCAGCTATTGTTAAACACGAATGAATGCATATTCTCCTGAGATAAGAGATGTGCATATATAAAATCGGTGATACTTACGAATCGTAACATCTGCTTGCGCCGCCTCCGAACGAAGCACATCGGCGGAATCGAGATCACCGATGACCGGACGAGCATTGGGATACTCCTGGACAAGTTTCTGTCCCTTTGTTGCGTCTCTGACTAGAGCCGAAACATGGTATTCGGGATGCGCCTTTGATAGCGCGAAGAGCAAATCTCCGCCTATGAGGCCTGTAGCGCCAGTACTGCAAGGATAAGCCGTTAGTACAGTCGATTTCAATTTTCCCTTTTCTCCTTATTCTCAGTGCATAGAGCATACAGAAAGATTCTTGCCATGATTTACGATATTTTAATTACTATGGTATGGGCCTGGTGTGCAGGGGAAGTAAGTGAGATGATAAGAGAATTATAAAACCAATATGCAGCTAGAATGGAAGAACAGATTCTGAATGAAATCAAGAACTAACGGTGCAAGTCACACATATAAATACAGAACCATCAGTGACGCATTACGAATTCCATGCTTACCTAGAGTATCCATGCCCGACGAGAGGATCGCGCAAGCCATGATAACTGAGGAAGGTAAATACCGACGACGATAAGGTAGGCACGAAGGGGTACGGAGTAACCTAAAGCCTTCCTTGGCCTGCAGTGAGTTCGGACCGAAGGTTTCTCCGGGTACAGAACCAAGCCAATACAACCACGTCACATGTCTACCTTATGTCGTGCTTTATGTACTGCCAGGCTAACGGTCACGTGGAGTTTTTGGAGGGGATCTGGCAGTAGCGCTGATCACTATCAGGGTAGTATCAGGAATAACAAAATTATAGTGGAAGAAGCAATGATAAATTCCTCCAAAATCCACCCCCATGGGGGGGGGGGGGGGAGATGGGGGGATGCAGGCTATTTAAGCAATCTTAGTAGGCCCATTAACTATTGCTTAACCACCAATATCAGCTTATAGTTAGCCCATTAGCTATTACAGGCCTGCAATAGTCCACTATCCCATCCCCTTCCCCCATAGTAAGCTGGCTCCTTCCTCATTGCCCACCTCCACAGTACCCTTTTTTTAAACCATCTCATCTTCAATATCCGTTTCCTTTTTTGTCCGGATGATTTTGGCTTTGAAAAGGAATTTACGATCGATCGAATCCTTACCAAATAGCTATCCCTCATGCATGAAGAGTCTTACGGTAAAGGATTAAACTCTAAACTAGCTTTTCACGCTATACTGTGTTGATATCCTCCGAGTCTACTACCCTTCGGCAAATTTCTCAATGGTTCAATCGGAAGTAAAAGCCATTGCCACTGAGGGGATCTTACGTACAGACTTAACTACCAATAGTTAAAGCTTTGCATTGCATAAGACATTGCATAAGCATAGATGATAGCATAACCTACCTATAGACATGGGGGAGCATGTAACCTATTGGGACGTTCTGTTTCGTATAGTAAGGCATCCACGGAGTTGCCTCAGCATCACCTACCTACCCACCTACGTTCGTCAATGACGAGCTTAAGTGCTATCGAGGATTGGAGCATCTAGCACACTGCAGCATCTTATCAGAGATGGCAGCCCCCGCTCGCAAGTTCTCCAACATTCGTCGTTCCAGGCCATCGTACAGCTGTGAAAATTGTCGAGCGAGAAGAGTTAAATGTGATCAGGTATTGTCATGTCTCTTTTTCGCCTACCGTGCCAAGTCCTAACGACAGTAAAACACCTAGATTCATCCCAAATGCACCAATTGCTCTCGGAATCAGGTAGACTGTGTCTACGCGGATACAAATCTAAAGCGTAAAAGCCCTTCTGGAGACAAGGAGGATGAATGTTCCGTCAAGGCAGTGCGGCGAAAAGTTGAAGACGACAATGCCGGGTCCAATCAAGGATACCTGTTGCTTCAGAATGGTGGTCGTTCTAGGTATATAGAGAATACGTTTTGGGCATGCGTGGACGTGAAGGTGACTACTTTCCCCAGCCTTAATGTTACTGAGATTCTCTGTCTGAATGTATCCAATGGCAGGGTCTGGAACTCGAGTCTCTTCTATTCGATCTCCCGCTATTTCCCCTCGAAGATATCTGTTGTACTGCTGGCCAAGGGAGCCACGACAACACCTCTCTTCATCCATGCCAACATTATATTGGTACGACCGAGCCGAATTTTTCTTTCTGGGCTTCTCGACGTCCGACCGGTTTGCGATCAAATGCTCCAAGCCTCTCGTCTATGCTCTCGGCATTGCCTCCCCGAGAAACCTGTGATTTTTTCTACGAAAACTTTCTCGAATGCGTCCACCCGCTTATTCCGCTAATACATATTACCACGTTCGATTCCCGATATCGCCAATTCTGGGACTGGCACAAGAACTGGAAAGTCGGAGACGCCCCAGACGGAATCCTGTTAGAAAATCCGAGCTTCCTGCCCTTGTTACTCACAGTGCTCTTCACCGGTTCTGTTGCACGCTCAAAAATTGACGTGGGTCTCAATATGTGCCCGCCGCTTGAGACGCAGAAAAGGCTCTATCAGATGATACCACTAGCATTGGCTATGGTTGGGTTCCCTCACAGCCCAGCTATATATTCGCTGATGGCATTTATACTTCTCAATTCCATGCTCATTCGAGAAGAAGAATCCCTGAGTTCGTGCTCATTCGTGGCTGTAGCATTTCGAATCAGCCAAGCCATGGGTCTTCACAAAGACGGTACGGACTTTGGCCTGGATGATATCCAAACTGAAGAGAGGAGGAGAGTGTGGTATCATCTATTGCACCTTGATGTCATGACAAGCATCGTTTCTGGACTACCCCTCGTTGCCTCGAGCGAAATGTTCAGCAATACGCGCATGATTGGCGAGCTACGAGATGAGTATATCGGCAAGGTGCAACTGACAAAAGAAGTCGATTGCAGCCCGATAATCGATTCCAATTATATCCTCACAGCTGGCCGCTATGACTCCACCTCTTGCATCCGAAGCATCCTCCTGCGACAATTCTCCCCCAGCCCGCTAGGTCTTAGCGCCGTCAAGAACATGGAACAGACAATTGAGGAGTTACAAACTCGAATGGAGGAGCGCATCAAGCGGCTCAATTCGCAGTCTCGTGAAGAACGAACCAGTGCTTCTTCGAGTCGTTCGAACTCGGCTCCCCCAACAGCTTCTGATAATGGCGATGCACATGTTCTGAATCTTTGGGGAAGATCACTACTGAAACTAATGGTCGAAAAGGCTTATTGTCTCTTGTACCAGCCGACTATGCGAGATTCAAATCTGTGGATGGAACTACGTGCCAAGTAGGTTTGCCTCTTGATTATTCAACTTTGGTTATTTGCTAACTTGCCTAGGGCCATTCCACGGTTCCAATCGTTCCTATCGATATTTATCGACATGAGCTCTACGGAGTCCTATCTGCCGTTCCAATGGCTTTATCCAGGAGCCTACCAGCCTCTCCAACCAGTTGCTGTTCTCCTGATTGACCTTTTTCATAACCCTCATTCTACAGAAGCTCAAAAATCTCGAAGGCTTCTCGAAAGAACCTTTTCTCTTCTGGGCCCTGAAGGCCGCATCACGAATGGAACTTCACATGTCGCCTGTTGGCCAGAACAGAGACATGCTTCAGCCGGCGCCAAACAGGCTTGGATGAGATTGGAGAGGTTGAGGTCGAGAGTGTGGCAGAAACTCGGTCTGGACTCGAGTGTGCTCTGGACAAGGTCGTTTGGAGGAACTCCTAGCCGGCCTGATAGCAATAGCGCCATGGAGAGTGGGAATTTAGATGAAAATTTTGCGGACGGTCTGATCCAGCCTTTGGAATATGACAGGAACTCTGATGGGAATGTTCTGGTCTCTGATGGGTCGCAACAGTATGTTTTCCCCCCGCCTTGGAGAAAATCAATGTAGAAAGACTGATTTGCGTGAAGTAATCCATTAACTGTGTCTCCCGATGATGGTTCCCACCTTTCGCATGAACACGCCTTTCCAGTCTTCGAAGGACAAGGCAGTTCTGTGGATAATCCAAGTGAAGGGCCTGAAACTGACTGGCAAACTCCAGGATTTGGAATAGATCCAACCGACATCATGTCACAATTTCTAGGGATGAACCAACCGGACTGGTTTGGTTAGTTCAAGGCTATACGTGTGTGTGTGGATGTCCGTTGTACGACTTTCATAAAAAGACATGGTTCAGCAGAAGTCTAATCGACATTTAATATACTAAGCGATAAAAAAAACCTATTTAATTGCTTTATAGACATTTAAAAATCGTTCTGTGCGGGATTGCCTGCTCGATTTGGCCACTTTACTTGAAGAGGCTGGGATGTTCAGCCTTGATCAAATCAGCACCCTTCTCGGCAACCATGTATACTACATTCTGGATTCTGCAGTCCGGAATGACAGGGAAGACCGAAGCGTCAATCACACGAAGGCCCTTGATACCATGGACCTTCAAGTTGGAGTCGACAACGCCTTGCTCAATGTTCTTGGACAAACGCAAAGTACCGCAAGGGTGGAAGCCGGTTTGCGAGCGCTCAAGAATTGTCTTGTTCATTGCCTCATCCGAGTTGCGCGGCATCGGCCAGGGGTAGTCTTCACTGATTATATCCTTCAAGCCCTCGCCGTTCCTGACAATATCGTCGATGAACCGAACACCCTCACGGAGTGCAACAAGATCGAGGTCGTCGGAGAAGAAGTTCAAGTTGATGTATGGTTGTTCGAACGGGTCGGTGGAGTTAAGCTTGACTTCTCCGTTACGGGACAAGGGACGCATAAGATCGACAATGACAGTCAACCAATCGCCGGTCGGGGGAGTGGGGAAGTGCCATTGGAAGGCATCAGCGAACATGGGCTAAAATCGTCAGTCTTCTCTGCTGGATGATGGCGATAAGTTTCCTATTCTGTACTTACAACAAAGTCGACCTCGAAGTGCGGCTGTCCAGCAGGGCCGAATGGATCAACACCACCATTCTTCGCCAAGTATTCCTTGTACTCCGTAGAACGATGGAGGTATTCATCGATTCGGGGAAAGGCAACGAGTTCGAGCAAGCCGCTGCTGTAAGGGCCTTTTTTGTCTCTTCTGTATGCCGTGGTAGCGCCATCCTTTTGGGGGCCGTTGCGAAGGAGATGGCTATCGAGACCATATCCATCCTTGAGCTTGAATACGTGCGAGAGAATCGGGTGGTCCAAGAGGTTCTGGCCCACGTGTTTGGAGTCAAGGTAAGGCTTGACACCCTTGGCCTCCAACTCGGCCTTGGGACCGATACCAGAGAGGAGGAGAAGTTTGGCGGATTCATAGACACCCTGGGAGACAATGACCTCGTACTTGGCGTGGAAGGTATATTCGTGGCCGTCGGGGCCAATGACAGCAACTCCAACCGCCTTGCCGTTCTCGAAGACAAGGTTCTTTGAAGTGGTCGAGGACACGAGAGTCACATTGTTCTTGCCCTCGAGGAAGACGGCAGAAGTAGAGCGAGTACCCTTATAGATGCTATTGACACATTTGAACAGACCCTTCTGTGTGCCGTTGTACACATCGACGGACAGCTCTTGACCCTTGCTAACCCAGGCCTTCTCCAAAGCGTCCCGGAAAGGCTTCAGCTCAGGGACCAAGTCCGAGTGAGAGATGTGCAGTGGGCCACCCTTGTTGCCGATCTTGGCAAGATCAGGGGCGTAAAGGTTTCCGTCATCGTGATATGTCGCAGACTTGTTAAAGTAGTCCTTGGTGTTGGCCCAGTTCCATTCATCACCACCGTACTCGGCCCAGTCATCGAACGTAGCGGCACTTCCGCGAACCCAAGTGTAGTAGTTAAGAGAGCTACTGCCACCAAGGACTTTGCCGCGGGTGTTTGGTTTCTCGACACGTGTGTAGTCGGGGCGATCGATCATGGTCGTCTTGTAAGACCAGTCATACTGACTTCCTCGCAGCTCAAAGGCGCGAGCTGGAGTGGTGATCTCGGGAATTTCAGGGGTATTGCTATTTCAATCAGTAGACTGACCAGCCAAGAAGCAGTTGCTAACATTTCAACATACTTTTTGCCAGCCTCAATGACAAGAACAGAGACCTTGGGGTTTTCGGCCAGACGACCAGCTACAACACAGCCAGCAGTGCCACCGCCAACGACAATGAAGTCGAAGTTCTTAGGGGCGTTCTTGGGGAGTGTAGCTGCGTGAACCATGGTTGCTAAAATGGAAGATTTGATCCTAGAAAATTCAAACGATGAATTGTTAATGTTCAAGTTTATTTGCAAGTCTATTTTGATTAATTTCAAGCATTTCGTGATGACTTCATCCTCTCCTTATATACCAATTCGGCATCACGGAAGGCTTTTGCAGAATTGACTGCATGCATTAAAACGGCCCGCAACCCCACATCTCCAGTGCCAACATGTGCAATTGCAGAAAAGACGCGTACTGCTTATCGCCCCAACAAATAAAGTTTGAGAGCCATCCGGGTGCGTGAGTGGGTGGTTTCGGACGATATGCTGCATTTCGCTCGAGAGGGAGCTTTGTTTTGGTGTTTAGGGTTGCTTAGAGCTCGAGAGGGTCTCGCGCGAGAAGTCGCTCTCGCGCGAAGTTACGTAAAGTTTCAACACCACGTCCACAACCAAGATACTACATTGCCTGCACTAAACTCAGACTTGTCTACTTCAAAACTGCTTTGAAATACAGTGGCAACATGCATCGATGGCAACATGTGCAATTTCTGCATTCTGTTTGGTTACCAGCAAAGGCGTTATCTATCCACTTGCCGTCTGGCCGAAGACCCCGCAGGCCTGCAGAGACAGGCTAGATGGCAAGGATGTGTGATGGCAATTGATGCAGCTTATAAATGCGTGGATGCTCATTGATCAAAGATGAGACGTAAAACAGACTGATATTCCTGAGTCAAAGAAGCTTCTTGCTTGTACCGCTGCATTTCCCACTAAGTTATTCAGAATCACTACACTGTCTCAAGATGTCTCATACACCTCACAAGGATGATGTACCTACATACACACTCTCTGAGGGTCAGCTTTTATGCAATTGAATACAGAAATGCAAGCAGAGACTGATAAAATGTACAGGTTGTCCCGTGGCTGACCCAACAACCGCTCAACGTGTCGGCAGCGGTCCCGTCAAGGGTCTGATGCTTCTTCAGGACACTCAGCTCATTGAAACCCTAGCTCACTTTAACCGTGAGCGTATTCCCGAACGCACCGTACATGCGTCTGCTGTGGGCGCTTGGGGAGAATTTGAAGTCACTCACGATATCTCGCATCTCACCTCTGCCAAGTTCCTCAATAATGTTGGTAAGAAAAGTAAGGTGCTTCTGCGAGTCTCGACTGTCGGGCCAGAGCGAGGAGCCTCGGAGCCTGTGAGAGATGTTCGAGGCTGGGGCATGAAGATCTTCACTGAGGAAGGCAATCAAGATTTCGTTTTTAATGATATCGTATGTACCCCATCTCTTAAAATTGGTGGTGAGACTGAGCAATTGCTAATGAAATTTGAACAGCCGGTCTTCTTTGTTCGAGATCCGATCAAATTCCCTTCTCTCAACCGTTCTCACAAACGTAATCCGGCTACTAACCTTCCTGATGCTTCTATGGTAAGTTCTCGAATTTATGCCATTTGAAGGCGATCAATGTAGGCTAACATATATATATCTATAGTTCTGGGAGTTAGTTTCCTACCTTACTGTTTGTATAGCTTGGCGTCTTACAATCATGCAGTTTCCATAACAATAACCAAGAAGGCATCCATGCCCTCATGATTCTCTTCAGCAAACGAGGTATTCCCGCATCGATACGAACCATCAACGCATACAGCGGCCACACATATAAATTCACAACTGAGGTGCGTCTCACATAGATATATATACCGTGACAGTTGTTCTCGAAACTCACCATCAGCAATTAGGACGGCTTCGTCTACGTAAAGATTCATCTGAAACCCGACCAAGGAGTCAAGAGTCTTTCTCAAGACGAGGCAAACAGACTCGCGGGTGAAAACCCATATCACCATACCGCTGACCTCCACGATGCCATTGCGCGCGGCGACTACCCTTCATGGACCATGTATATCCAGGTCATGAAGCCAGAGCAGGCTGAGAACTACCGCTGGAACATTTTCGACATGACCAAAGTGTGGCCGCATGGTGACTTCCCTCTGCAGCCCGTAGGCAAACTGCGGCTCAACCGAAATGTTCGTCCCCAAATACCTCTTGAATGCAGACTCTATTTTTTTTTTCTGGGGAATTTGAAACATTTACTGACAGATTACCAGCCCACGAATTACTTTACAGATATCGAGCAGGCTGCATTCTCACCTTCCACCATAGTCCCTGGCATTGCTCCGTCTGCTGATCCTAGTATGCTCCACTATTTATTCATTTCCTCCCCATCCCATAGTACCCTTACAACTTAGCTAACAATATCCTTTTCTTATCAAAGTGCTACAAGCTCGCATGTTTGCCTACCCGGACGCGGCCCGCTACCGGCTCGGTGTCAACTATCAGCAACTTCCTTGCAACGCGCCCGTCAGCAAAGTCTACGCACCATACCAGCGCGACGGGGCATCGCGCCACGACGACAACTATGGTGGCGACCCTAACTACGTCGGCGCCTCGCTCAAGCGGGTCAATTTCTCTGGCAGCCGCGTAGGCGCCAATGGCCATGCGCCATTTGGTGGAGGCAGTCAAGCCCATGAGCAATGGGTCGGACAAGTGACGGCCTACTCGTCCGAGGTGACGGACGAAGACTTTGTCCAGGCGCGCGAGATGTGGAAAGTGCTCGGCCGTTGCGGGGAGCAGGATGAGTTTGTGCACAACGTGGCCGGACATCTCAGGGGCGCGCTACCGGAAGTGCAGCTTGCTACTATCGGTAAGTCCATCTTTTGATCTGCTCTTTTATATAGTTTGCGAAAGGTTTTGCTACAAGGCTTGATTACTGACCATGGCTCGACCAGATATGTTTAACAAGGTTGACTCAAAACTGGGCACGCGCATCCACGAAGCGCTCGTCAAGGAGTCATAGTGCTGTGCGCTTGTGAATATTCATGATGAGTGAAAAGCAGGAATCAGTGATATGAGTATTGTACTGAAATGAATAGTTAAATTGTAATGAATATCAAGATGATTCAATTATATCTTATAATCAACTACCAATTCACCATCACCATCTTTAATGTATATATGCACCTCCCCAGACTACCCCAGACTAATTCTATATGCAGCTTTGTCAGTTGGCTTGATAGTCTGTCTAAACTTCATTAAATAAAACTGTAATGCACTCATCCTTGGCGTTGAACATTTTTTTGTTGCGTTATTTGATGGGATACCCATCTTCTCCGATATCGATATTGTATTCTGTCCTGGACTCCTGGCTGTATCTCTCGCAGATAGTGAAACGATTTACCACTAAATTTCTCTCAACGACACGGAAATACCAATGGCAAGTCTAAGTTGGAAACTTGGATGATCCATGAAACTGAGGCTGACTGTGTGTGCGATATAGCCGCGACGCACCAAAGAAGGTGTATACAATGAACCAAAACCTCCACCGAACATATGCATCCTAATGATCCTATCTGGAGGATTACCTAGGTCTTCGTTATTGACCTTTCTACTCTATTACGTACCTACCTTTGGAGACTAAAACAAAGTCTACCGACGAGTTGGACCTCAGTTACAACTTTCGCCAACTTCAAGGGTACGAACAATGACCATTCATATGCTTGACAAATAAAACCCTCAGGCCTCATCCAGTAGTAGCCCTATCATAGCTGCAGTTGGACGACATGTCTGCTGTTGTATCAGACTATCCGGTCCAATATGTCATAACGTGGCTGGAGTCTGGACGACTCGTGGACCCGAGAAGATATTATCAGCTGTCACTGCTACAGCTCGAACCTAGCTCTTCACGTCTGGGCTATTCTTGAAAATAACTACCATCAAGATAGAGCAGCGGTACAACTTTTTTTTGGAAAAAAATACTTGTATTATTGCTCCCTCAAAAAGGCAAAAACCATGGCATACAGCACACTCCACTGAACTTAGCCTTCAAACATGCCGCACGCAGCACGCCTTCCAGTAACAGGTGTGCTATTGGTGATGAAATTCAGGACCTCGTCAAAGATTCATTAATTATAATTTATACCAACGCATGAATCGCTCGTTCGGAGTTCCAGAATATCAAACATTACATGCTCCGAGGCGTTGTCGAGTCGTCGAGTCGTCTTCAGCTTACACGCTCACTTATGCTTTATTTATATGTTGCATTGTTGCTTTTACGCCGCTCACATGGTTATTCGAATCAAAGAACCCAGCTCAACCGTGTGTGCCGGGCATGTTTTCTATGCGAGCATTAAAGTTCTGGCAGCCGGTAGCCATCAAGGCACTCCTCGACTTTCAGCGCAGTGGGCTACGAGGAGCTGTCCGGCCTCTCCTTGCCGACAATATCGGCTTGGGGAAAACGTGGACGGTTGTGGCATTCCTTGTCGCGACACAGAACATCTGGCGCCGCCAGAACCGCGGGGGAAGCCTTACCCAGGAACAGACAGTCAGACTGCTGACAGCTCAAAAACTCGCCCGACCCTGGATACTTTGTTATTTTTATGTCGCTTTGCCATAACTTTTTGTCTTCGAACCAGGGCGCTCGGAACTTCGGTGGCCGGCCTGTTAGGGGGAGACGTGATGTGGGGTGGTCCCTTCTGTAGGACTTCATATTGATTCAGGGGTTTTCAAGAGTGTTAGTGCAGACCAATACTTGCAGTGGACCAAGGCAAGAAAAAGCAAAATTTACATTTCTATTGCCTGATAATGCAAAAAGATTAAAGAGATTAGATCAATACAAAGCTACTAAGATCTCTGATGAATCTATATCTTGTATCCTATAAGGCTGTGTCTAGACATTCCATATTTACAATGTGTTCTTGTTTCAAAATCTACAATGCTCTTCCTAGTGAACAAATATGAATGCCAGGCCAGCTTGCTTTAGTGTTTTTAGTCCTAATTAGACAGACACTGTTTGGTAGAATATCCAAAGAAAGTTCTGGCTAAATTTCAGACACGTCTTCGTTAGAAATTGTCCACTTCGTAGACATACTCAATCGAGGCCGCTCATGAGTCGTGATAGCCACAGAGTCTCTATGTATGAAAAGTACAATTGTACAGCTCTGTCAGTCGATCTGGAATCATATCTTCGAATAGACCTTCTGGCATCTTATATTCATACTCGAACACTCTCTCATTATTTATTCGTGAAGCATCCATTGGACCATTATGCCACCTTAAATTCTGTCAAATATGTGTAAAATCTAGGAGGGGCTGGACATGTATCGCCCAGGTGGCTACCATCCTGTCTCTTTGAGTAACGCCTTCAAGAATGACTGGTACTGAGTTGTGCATAAGCTAGGATGGGGAGGATCCTCGACCGTCTGGCTTGCTAGAGATAACTTGTAGCAGCAACATGGCAATGCTTCGCGCAGCCGCTCTACATTCCACTACTGCTTAATTCATTTGATCATGTTGAGCCAAACGGGTCTCAGAGTCATCAGTGTCTTGTCCTCGAGCTTCTCAGACCATCCGTTGATGATATTCTTGCTGAATATAATGTGGAGGGAGACCGGCTAGAGAATGAAACACATTCTCAGACTGACAAAGCAGTTGTTACAGGCTATTTCATTTCTTCATCGACAGGGATATGTACATGGAGGTAGGTTCGGTCCCGACTCTGTCTCCAGAGGTGGGAGCAAACTAAAACGGAAAAATAACCAAGTTCCCAACTTCCCTCCTAGGGTGTCCGTTGGTTTGGTCTGGTCTGGGTTGGTCTATACCTTAAAGACCAACCTCCAGACTGGGCATGGGTGGTTTTTTTTAAACTAAACCCATCTATGCATAAATCTGGGATAAATGTGCATGTTTTGGGCAAATCACCCACATTCTCAGCAGAATTCTGCTGACTGATTGTTAATGTACTTTCTAAAAAGGTAATGTTGGTGATGGGATCACGGACCGGTGGAGGGACGTTCAAAAGACCGTCCGACCCAAGGTGGTCTGGCCCTACTTTCAAATTTCCCAACTTGGTCTGGGTGGACTGCATAAAAGACCAAGGACCAAAAACTACCGGTTTCCACCGGTTCCACCGGCCCCAACGGACACCCTATACTAGAGTCGGGTCAAAAGTATTTGTTTACTTGTAAACTTATCAATTTATAGTAATACAGTTTGAGAAATAAAGTAGGACTGTAGGAGCGAATAGTACACAAGGTAAAAGCAAAAAAAAAAAGAGTAAATCCCCCACCAACGACGCAGGAATCGTAGACGTTGCATATCAAGCAGTTCAAATAATCCGCGATCCCGTAGGATCGTATCCCATGTCCGATTCCAGCAATGCCGGCCCCGTGAAACTCCCCGTTTCATAAGTGGTATGCAACCTAATTTCGTCACAGAAAATGCATTCGTGTCATTCAAGGTATCAGAACAAATCCCAGAAAAATATCCGTAGGACAAGGTACCCCGAATGAAGCGCTATAAAAGCGCGTTAACCAACCGAAAAGAGATGAAGGAAAATCCAAGAAGAAAAAGAAATGTCCACCTAATACAAAGAATAAATAAAAGCCAGGAAAAGAAAATCGTAGAAAGAGATCATGGAAAGATTGATCCAGCTACAAAACAAATCGGAAAGTAGGACCATAATTCTCCTGTGCAACAGCAGTCTTTGTGCCCGTCTCGGTGTCATGTGCCGGGGGAGGGGGCAGGGCACCGTGGGTACGATCCAGCTTGCGGTTTTCCCACCACAGCAGAGTCCTCAGGCCAAGCGCCAAAAGGCCGGTGAAAAACATAAACGCCGCGCAGACGTAGTGGCCTTTTTCATAATTCGGCGCCTCAGATGTGGGATACAATCTGGTGCCAAGCAATGGGCCACACTGGCCTACGAGATTGAGGAGCACGATTCCTGCGCCGCGTCGGTTGTCGGAGCCCTGGTTATTCAAGACCCATGGAATAATGTTTGCAATGGCGGGGAAAATTCCCGCTGCGGCGAGAAAGACGCCAAAATACCGAGGTCCCGTCGTGCGTGTCGATCCAAGGATAATATATCCGACTCCACCGATGCACGAAAGCAGTATGATGGTGATGCCGCGCTGTTTAGTCCTGTCTGCGACCCAGGTGGAGAAAATGGTGATGAGAAAAGAGAGAAAGTATGGAGGTGCGGTAAGACCTTGTGCGTCGATTTTGGTGAAGCCCATCTGGCTCAGAATGGTTGGGAGGAAGACTGGAAGAGAAGAGAAGCTGACGTTGCAGCTAAAGTACATGAGCTGTTATGGAGTTAGTGGTTGATACATGAGGATAGTGAAGCCAGATAGGAAGGGTGGGCTCAATGGCGACTTACAGCTGTGAACCAGCACTATAAAGATTAAATATGTTAGCAAGGCAGAAGCGAATGTTTAAAATGGTGGTATCTTACCTTCACATCAACCAAGGCAAGCCCAATCTCTTTAAAGTTGACGCCACCTACACGTTCGGTCGCACCAACTTGTCTGACTCCTCGCTCTTTGGCAATTTGCTTTTCCTCAGTGGTGAGAAAACGCGCCTTGTCGGGCGAGTCGGGAAGGAAAAAGTACGCCACAGGGGCCATGAGAATTGTGGGAATTCCTTCAACGAGGAAGAGAAGTCGCCAATTGGCAAGCTTCGAATGGCCCGATGTAATTCCGTATGCCAGGGCGCCAGCAAAACAATTGGCTAGTGGAGCAGCGGAAAGGAACATGCCAACCCGAAGACCGAGCTCTTTGCGCAAATAGAAGAAAGACAGCAGGTATGGAACGCCAGGTCCAAATCCAGCTTCTGCCAAACCGAGGAAAAATCGACAGGCCATAAGTCCTTGCCAGTTTTGCACCGTGGATTGGAGTGTTGCTATGAGACCCCTATATCATAGTCAGTTGGCTGGACAAATATGTACACGGGTATTTCAAATCTAAACAAAAAAAAAAAGAGGATGAATTAAATCAATACTACTTACCATGCCAAAATTGTAATACCGGCCCAAATATGCGGAGGCAGGATTTTCCACATCATGGTTTGGAATTCAAAAACAATATACGATATGTAGAAAATGGTCAACAGCCAATCGTATCTATCGCCCGTAAGCGATAAATCGTCTTCCATGCCGGCAATTCGAGCGTTCCTAAAAGGCTTGGCTTAGTTTGACGCCTTGGCAGCCACTGACGGAATCTTGGCCACGTACCCTATGTTTGAACGATCCAAAAACGAGAGAAGATCTGATGAGTTGAGAAACGTGATCAGCTTGCGTTCTTGCAATAAAATTTATATAGCTTGAAGGAGTCGGGGCGACAAACATAGTGCGCCAAGTAATGGAGGTATCCGCCAATCCATTTTTCGCACAACCTTTTTCTCCGCCAAAGGGTCGACGGCCTCTCGGTGCGCCGAATCCTGAGTGGTCGCGACATTTTCAAGCTGAATTGCCTCGAATTTTTTGTCTTCCTCACTGACCCTCCTGTCAGAGGCAGCTGGATTCGGCTGCGACTTATGGATGAATCCCATGTTGTGTATATGCGATCGCGAAGAGCTCTAGAGTAAAAGATGGGCCGTCGCAGCCAGAGAGACGCTCCAAGAGTCGCAGAAGAGGTGTTAAATGGAGGATTTCCAGGACCAAAGAGCCCTCCTTGCGTCTTTATAGGCCTTGTCCCCGAAAAGGGAAAATCCGGGGTAGCAATGAGATGCGCCTCAAAGCGTGGGGTAACTTCGTCACAAACGAACAGGGTTTCTCCACAATCCCCACAACTCGCTCTCCGGATCGCCCCGTAGCACTGCGACCACAGTTCAACAAAGGAGTGTGCAATATATGAACGCTTAACCTTGGTGACGAATTCGGTCTCAGACTCCCCCGCCCGGATCGCCCGTATCTCGAGCCGATTGGATAGACTTGCTTAAGCGGCGTCTAATAGGTCCACAGGAAGGAAGACGGCATGTAACGGTGTGGAGGTAGGATTGGTGCAAAGGCAAGAGATTTCCGAAGTTTTGCCAGTCGCGACCCTCTAAACGGAACGGCTCGATTTGCATTGCCCCGAGATTCCCAGGGTTATGACTTTATACCCTGCCAATATAGAACCTCTTCAGACTAGATCTTCTTTAGAGTTCGTCGGAAAGTGTCTGGGCTGGCCATATCTGGTCAAGTCCGAGGATGTAGTTCCTGTCAATTCATTGGGAACCCGGAATGACGCGGGGGGTTCCGATCGCTCGTGTGCATATTCATTTAAGGTCAAACAGTAAGCACGTAGCTGAATAAAGATTAGTTTCGAGCTTCCAAGGCGAAACACGGATGAAGCTCACGGATTTGAGATATCACTTTAACTTTAAGTCGCCTTGGAGTTCATCCATATTATATGTATTAATATGTCTCTGACAGCTCTCAGTTGACATCGGGGACTCGGATCAATTCAATTCGAGAAAGACATTAATAATTCATGCTCAGTTTGTCGCCGGGTTGGAGGTACAATCCTTGAAGGATCTGTGGAAGACGCTAATTTCTCTAAAGATTCCCTGAGCATCTCGTACACGTGGTGATTGACAGGATGAGTTGTGAACCTGACCGTAAACTAGACTGATTCAACTCAGCTCCGTCATATCATCGGACAATGTCGGAATATTAGAGAAACACCAGGAAAGAAACAGATATTTGCTGGACAATCCTGTGAGTATCGTTTCAAAATGCTATTGAGATGTCATCTTCTGTGGGTTTGCTAAGGTATGTAGTCGCTGCATTGAGCTGCAGAAGATCGCAAACATATTACTCTGCACTTTCGATACAATCAAAACCATCATGTAACCATCTTAAAGGTATGAAAAAGCAGGCAATCTTTAAAAATAAAGAGGCAAGAACTAGCTAGAGATGTTAACCTCACCTACGAAAATGTGCGAATGTGATACAACCAAGTCATACTCAATGTGGGGTTGCAAGCGAGTTACCTAAGGAACACCCCGACGGTAGTCGAGTTTACAGTGGGGTTGTGAGAGGGGAGGCAACTGTGGGTTGAACCAAATATTGTTGAGCTGGCTTAACGATGATTGGGATCTTCGCTGTACTCATAGAAATTACCTAATTTGATGGACAGTGCGGAGTTGCACCTTGAATGATTACATTGATGTGGATCATCAAGGCAATGAGGGATGTAGATGATCACTGGGTCAATCCGCGTGATCAAGATGCATTACAGTACCTCATTGATTGAAAGGGTGTTTTCCGTAGTCCTTGTGAAGAAGCCAACGAACTCCAGTCCTTGCCATATACACCTTCTCGTCGAAGCAACTGCTGAGAGATTAGTTATGCCACCTTCGGAGTATTTAATTCGGATCATCATAATCAAAAGAAATCAAGGAATTCCATATAATCAACTGATCGCGGCAGTTCGCTGTGGGATTGCTCCAAAATAAGAACGCTTTCTTAAATGCAACGCTATACAAGATAGGAAACCAAAATTACCTGTAGGGGCAGATTTGACAAAGCATATCTACCTACCTATATAAGCAAACACATGACGATGCTTCCCCGAGATCAAGTTGCGTAGGCAAAAGTCTTAGAGATGTCCAACAGCCTATATGGATCATCGCCTTATCTCCCCATTCGAGTTATGCATTGCCGCTTAATTACCGGCCAACCTGCAAATTGGCTTCGACGCGTAGTCCCCAGGCCGGTTCACCAACCCAGTTCTTCTTCTTGCCTACTTTCTCAACACGTTCCACGCTTTTCTTGAGCGACTCATTGCTGTTGGGCACATGCACCGTCAGCTCGACGCCCATATCGCGCGCTTTCTTACCAAGGTCATGTCGCCAGGCGGCAGAAAAAGCTATCCGTGGTGGCTGAGAACCATCCAAATCAGCATTGGGAATATAGCCCGCTGGATACGTATCCGCCAGGATCGCTGCGACGCGACCAAGATACCGGGCCCACCATGCAGCTTCGTGTCCAACTATTGCTTGCAGACGTGAGAAGAACGGAGTATCTGTGCGACTCAAACTTGCTTCTCCGCCCCAGCGCTCGCACAGGAGCAACGACAAGATCGCCCGATCATGATGACTAACGCCGTGGACACCAGCGAGAAGGCCTGTAGTTGTACATCGCAGTGCAGCCGCAGCCCGCGATTCCTTTGGCAGCGAATAGTGAACGTAGACGAGATTGACGAAGGCGTCGAGAAGATCTGGTGTGTATTCTTTGGAGATCGCCGAGACGGTTGACGAAGGCGGGATTGCGTCTTGTAGTACCCGTGCAAGGCCAGGAGCGGATCGAGGTGCTGAAGTCAGCGTTGCTGTCTTCAGAGGGGGTTGAGCGCGCACTTCGGCCGGCAGAGAGGTATATAGCGCTCCCTCTCGTACACCGCCTTGGCAGAATCGGACTTCCTTAATTTCGGGAAGGACTTCTGCCAGCACTGTGATTAGAAATGCCACTGCAGGGACTTGGCTCGCTCGCCGGCTTGAGACCCGGAATACATCAACATCATCATCTTCCGCGAGGGCTTGCACCTGGACAGTCTTGAGAAACTCGCTGCGCTCAACTTGAAATCCATTGATAATGGGGATTGGGTAAGGATCGATATGGTGCTGGCTCATCAGAAGATAACCCCAGCCGCGAAAGCCGCCACCGGAGAGGTACAGCGTGAAGCCACCGTGGTTCTCCGCTTCATGACGGAGAGCGTAGGGCACGTCGAGAGACTGGTACGCATCACGTAACCGAGTGCGCATTTCATCCTTAAGTGCAGCGATTTCCTTCTTAGAGTGCTTCGCTGATGATGCTTCGTCCAACCGCCGAGTCATGGCTGCAGCACCATAGGGCAGGCTGACAGCACCTCTAGAAGCGGTTTGAACCTGTCCATTCTCTGCGACCATCCAGGTAAGCTGCGTACTGCCTCCGCCAAGGTCCATCACCAGACCCTTGACGGAGGAAAAGCTACTCGCGATACCCATAGCGCCGACACGCCCTTCATCTTCTTTTGACAGCATTTCGACTTCCCATCCTGTGGAGGATTTGATGCGTTGGCGAAAATCTACCGAATTAATGGCTTCGCGAGTTGCTTCTGTTGCTAGCACCCGCACATTGTTGTCCGCGACGCCAAAGTCGTCGCATGTTGTTTTGAAGTGCCGCAGAGAGGAGACAACTTCGGAGATTGTTGACTCTGGAATTGGCGCTTTGCTTCCACTCCCGTACTGGGCGTCATAGAGGGAAATTCCTACGCGGTCTTGAAAGACTGTGGGAAGGATCCGTGCTGTGGGAGGGGAGAGGTCGGAGATTGAGAATCGAATCCCATTACTGAGATAGCAAAATTAGACATTGTTGCAAAATATAGTGCAGTCATGGCCGATGAAAGATACCCTGACTTGGATGTTTACGTGTTGAACGTTTTCTGCTGAGGACGTTACCTTCCCATGTCCACGAGGGCTCTGTATCCAGGTTGTTCGGTAGTAGCCATGGTGCCGGAACTTGCTTGAGCTCAACAACGTTTCAGTTCAAGGCTTACGATTGAACATGTAGTGACCACTCTGGTGTTGACATTACAATTATGAAATTTGGTGCTTTGGTGGCTGCTGCTCAGGTTTCTCAAGCCCGCCATGAAGAGTGCAGTTGAGACCATAGCAGCCAGCAAGCAGAAGTGCATGTACACAATATTGGCGTATCACACAGTGGAAAATAAAGTAAAGATACTTCAGCAGAGCTCTCCCGAAAAGGAAAACAAGGCACCTTGTCAAACGAACAAACACCCCACTTGTATGCTCTGTTTGTCTTCTACGGCGTCGGTCATTGCTCCTTTTGGCATTGTTATTCCGACTCTTCCGAATGGAATAATATCACACGGAGAAATGCCCCGCCAAATGAACATTCAAATCCACCTGTCAGGTACAGCTTTGGATTACGAAGCTGCCTGCACATGAAATTTATTGCTACTTGTCTGCGTCATCAAATAGTAAGGTTTGACGTTATCTTTCTTTGAAGTAGATCTGACTTTATTGCAAAAGCAAGAGTGTATAAATCTTTATCTTCCTGATAAACCTACGTGGTAGGCTTGCAGCTAACGAGAGATTTTCTTTTAGAGCGAATTGCATCATCGTATACCCCTCGCTCTGGCCGCTGAAATTGATTCTTATCTTGCACATTTCCATGGTGTAATCTGACAGGTTGGACGATCATTATCGAAGGAGAATGTCATAATATTTCTGCTGTGATATTGATGTTTCTTAGAGTACGAGTATGGTTTTATTGATGCGGAAATTGAGCTACTGGACTATGCATGTTGGCATACAGCCTACTGATGGTCGAATTCAATACCCTACGAGAGTATCAGAAAACTCCACTTGACCGTGGTGTTGGCGCCCAAGCCATGCAATACACTACGCGTCCTGAGCTTGTGGCACTCTGTGAGGGGTGAGGTTGGCCAGTCGTGTTGGTTATTGGACACGGGATCAACGGTCCGGGACCGGTACTACAGAAGCATAAAGAGCGGGTCTGCAGAATCAAGACGGGAAAATTTGGCGATAATGAACTAACACTGACGCTTATTGATGAGGAAGTGGTGAGCCCCCTGGTAGAATATGTATGCTTTTGCATGCAGAGCTATTGGAACAGCCTTGGCTCGGTAGCTCCGTAGAGGGATTTCCATCTTGATTTGTGCTGTTGCTTCTAGCGTTGCATTTATCAAATGTTTATCTATCGAAAAAGACTTTCATACTCGAAGTCTATTAGGGATTGGAGAATCCAATGATGAAAATGGCTCACCTGCTACTCGTAGATCGAACGTCAATGACTGTCTTCGAATCGAAGATCAGCATCGGAATGAGTTGACAGTAAAGTTTCGTAGTCGTGGTTGGCTGATAGCTCCTCTAGTCGTCCCACATTCCCACCCGTAGCGGCTAATGCCGACCCAGTTTTCTATCAGTCAGCAACTCCCACCAACCATAGACGACAACCCAAGCTCACAGTGCTAGTACGAAAAACCACCAAAATGATCGAGGGATATGCCCCGCACCACGAAATCAGATCGTCTCAGTGTCTCCACATCGTACGAGTTCTGAGAGATGAGCCACGGAGGGGAGATGGGAGCATATAAAGGACCAGCTTCTCCCCCTCCGAAATCTCCTTTCCTATCATCATCCATAACGTTTCTAAAGTCTTAACTCCAACTACGAGTCTTTTCGTACGCCAGCTCCCCTCCCTGCTCGGGACGCCCCTGCTAACAGCATGATAGGGTCTTTATCTTCGAAAGAAGCAAACCGTAATGCTCCCCCAGTCCATGGAAACATGGCGGGAGACATGAGTCCCAATGACTGGGATTGTTCGATATATGGTCAAGGTACTATCAGGTAACGTTCTGATTGCATGAACCGGTGTTCGTTCTCTTTCGTTGCTCCTTTGCGCCTGTCCCATCTTTCGTTTTCCGCTCCTTTTGAGCCACGAAATGGGCAGTCCAGCGTGTAGGGGGTTCACAACCCAAGAGTTCGTTCTGAGATTATACGGTCATAAACTTGATCTGGACAATACCAGCGAAAGGATCATGCGCCCGCCCCTCTCTATTCCCCTCTTGACACTCACTGACATATTGAAGTGTAACAACTTCGATCAACGAACAAAATGTCTCCCCCTTCTGCCATGTTTGCTGAGCCCGCGCCCGTGAGCGCTCCTCTGCCCACCAAGGCCCCTCTCAAGGACCAGGTGAAGGTTGCTGGCAACTACTCCAGCACCTCGACTTTGGCCGAGGTTACCAGCGACTGGGAGAAGTTCACCTTCAACCCTATCCGCGAGAGCCAGGTCTCCCGGGCTATGACCAGCCGGTACTTCAAGGACCTCGACAACTATGCCGAGAGTGACGTCGTCGTCATTGGCGCTGGCTCGTGTGGTCTTAGCGCTACCTACATGCTCGCCAAGGCTCGTCCTGACTTGAAGATTGCCATCATCGAGGCTAACGTCTCTCCTGGTGGTGGTGCTTGGCTCGGTGGCCAGCTCTTCAGCGCCATGGTCATGCGCAAGCCTGCTGATGCCTTTCTGCGTGAGATTGGCGTCCCGTACGAGGACGAGGGCAACTTTGTCGTTGTCAAGCACGCCGCTCTCTTCACCTCTACTCTTCTGTCCAAGGTGCTTCAGTTCCCCAACGTCAAGCTCTTCAACGCTACTTCCGTTGAGGACCTGATCACCCGCAAGGATGCCCAGGGTAACATCCGCATTGCCGGTGTTGTTACCAACTGGACTCTGGTCACCATGCACCACGACGACCAGTCTTGCATGGACCCTAACACCATCAACGCTCCTATCATCATCTCTACCACTGGCCACGACGGTCCTTTTGGTGCTTTCTCCGTCAAGCGTCTCGTCAGCATGCAGCAGCTCGAGAAGCTCGGTGGAATGCGCGGCCTCGACATGAACGTCGCTGAGGACGCCATCACCAAGGGCACCCGTGAGATTGTTCCCGGCATGGTTGTCGGTGGTATGGAGCTGTCCGAAGTCGACGGTGCTAACCGCATGGTAAGTTTTGACCAACCTCTACCTTTTCTTCTTGATATCCAGGAATTGACATCTCCTAAAGGGACCTACGTTTGCTGCGATGGCCCTTTCAGGTTGCAAGGCCGCTGAGGAGGTTCTCCGTGTCTTCGACGAGCGCAAGGCTCAGAACGACGAGTAAATTTTGCCAATTGGAAGGTTGATTTCTGTCCCGCCAAGTTAGCGAGCGGAATATGAGTCGATGAGATGTTATGATTTAAATTTCTGAGATTAGATAAGAAAGGACTATAATTTCCTCTGGAAACCCCGGGGAAATAGTCTTCTATACCTACCTTACCTTCCTTTATATACCGTCCGTCGTTTATATTGACTGGATTAGCAATATACTCGCGTTTTTCATACTTGACATCTGAATGTCTCAATCGTTCACGTGAATTGTGATCATTTCCTACGTTTTAATCTGTTGCTGGTATATATTTCATTGCTGGCGGAAGTGTCATTATACCGTTATACCGTCATCAAGACAACACATGTATGGATTTCGAGACACCACTTGCATGTTAGCTTGTTAACTGTCGAAGCATCGAAGCATCAACTCTTCTATCTAGCCTCAAGTCTGACTATGCTACGGACTCTTATACGATATATGTTTTGACACTACTACGGTTTAGCATGCAGCTTAAATACCATGTTTAAGTGTTAATCTAGTACATACGGCCATAGACTGAGGAGAACTGGGCATCCCGTCCGCTCTGCCATACATAAGCCTCAGATCGGCGGACTAGTAGTTGGGTCGGTGACGACCAGCGAATCCCCGCTGTTGTATGTTTTTTATTCTTTTTTTTGTCTCCTTATTTTCATTTTTTCTGTCTCTTTAGTTTTTTTCTTTTTTAATTCTTGTTTAAGGGTTAAAATTCTCATTTGGTGTTTTACACGACATCAATTGTACGTTACAGAATTCATTGGAACATGCAAGCAGCAAGACAAAAAGTCAAATTGAAAGAGCGTTATTATGACAGCGCAGCGCGCTGCTTGAAGCATTGGGACAAGTCATGGCCTCACAGTTGTCAATTAAATACAAAGATATCATATTGAACAATAGACTATTGGCAAGTATGCTTATTTGCAAAATTGCAGACCATGTACACCTTCCAACAGTCCGACCTATATTCTGATTGCTGCCTGTGTTATTGAACACTGACAATTGAAGAACTTGGTCAGCAACCAGTTTGATACAAATTATAATATTGTATCATTTGATCCAGTGATTCATTGTATGACAGTATCGTGTATTTTTCAGTTTTGAACAACTGCGCAAAGGTTATTAAGTTCAACTTGTTCGGATTGCTTTGCAGTTGTGAGTTGACGATGGTTCAAGACTCGAGACTTCGAGTGCATAGCGGAAAGCACCAAAATTGTTGATTTATTACGCCGTTACGCAGTAACTTGGTAAGTTGGAAATTTTCCGAGTCGGGTGATCCTGCGGCGATTCGATTGAGAATTGCTGCGTATCGGTCGCGGCGTAGACCCAGGGTATATCCTTTTTTCCCTGGCGGCTTTAACGCAGCACGCTTTTGAAATGCGTTGTTTGAATCTTGAATCATGAGTCTTGAGGCTTGAATCTTGAATTTGAATCTTGATAATACCCAGAGCCCAGGTACAGATGTAATCTGTTGCTGTTTCGGGTCGGCGTTATGTATACACTATACAGTGTACTATGTAGTGGAATCTTTGCTGTCTGAGATACTGCTTATGTCATTTGATTCATTTCATAATGAGATTCTTTGGGAACAAACGGCAGCAGCCCCCCATGATGGGGTTGTGTAGCACACATGACTGCTTAGGGCTCGCAAAAACTGGAGATCTAGCTTGGTGCAACGATGCCAATGCGTATCAAGATGCAAGACAAATAATATTGCCTGCGAGGAATATTCATTGCCAGATCTTTTGCAGCGACTTTGATCAGTATGTAATTTTTATTTGGTAGTACTCTCTACAAGAGCAAGTACACCGGTCCAACAAATTAACAATCTCCCCGGAGGGCACAGTCAGAAGAGAGGCAGTGTTCGATGCAGAAGACCATATCATCGCCTTCTCCTCGGATGCTTCATATTCTTGGACAATACAGAATCAGTCATGCAGCCATGCTGATAGGTTAACATCAACTGAGATTCTAAGTCTATCTCCAGTGTTGGAACTTGGGGATTAATATGAGTGTCAGCGTGAATGGTTCTGGGTGCTTGCTCCATGGCTTGGAACTTTGGCTGCCACTTTCAAGTGTTCGTACTCTAATATTGATTTATTCTTGATCATGTGTGCTTTATCTAGAATAGCACAGTTGAAACAGCCTTTCAGCGAATCAGGCTATTCTAGGTCCATTGTATTAGCCTTCGCATCCATTTCCACTTCCTGATTCGTTCATCCTGTCCATTGGCGCTCCCATGGTGTGCCGACGTTGTTATGAATTTTGTTCCGGCTTTGGTAAAAAGGGTATTGAAAAATCCATGGATAAATCGTCGGTAACGGTCGGTAATGAAAACCTTTGGTATGCCTCGTTTGGTTACCACCTTGTTCCAGAATAACAGTGCTCAATCCTTGTTCGCCAGTCCGCTTTTAATGCGGAATTCGGAGTTTGATGGCGGACGATGTCAGTTGATAAGTGTTAGATATGTTGTGATGATTACAGAGAGTGATAGACTGCAGCACCGTGTATTGGTTGAAGTCTAAGAATGAGCTCGGTGATATGTAGATATCTGAAGATTGATCTACTGTGTAGTCATCTTCTTGCTGCTTGTTCGGATATTCTGCCTTTCTGGTTGCCATCCTGGTGATGGATGGTCAACTGGATCTCGACGTATGCATGGTGGACATCTTGAATGCGCAAGGCCATGTATGCCTTGACCCCTGGTTCTGCTTCTGTCAATGATAACAATCTTAAGGTCAACGACAGCGGAATCGTTTATTTCGCCTTCTTCGTAATAGAATACTACTCGATCCGTCCTCTGATTTGTGTTGCATCTCCCTCTATTGTCAACTCGTCCGTAGAAAATGGGATACGACATTCGATTTATATTCCCGTCTGGACAGATCTCGGAGAACCGAATCAGTCAGGTTTTCCATGGTTGTCACCGGTTATCCCAGTCTGTAGACTCCCCTCGCACCACTTTGGCACGAGGTTCTGGCCGCGAGACGCCAGTCAACAGAAGCTCTCCAATCCGGCCACACAGATCAATCCACAGGTTTAACAGCAAAAGACACTGAATGACATTATGCATACTTGCGAACCCCAGCAATATCCTTGGGTGGAGCAGGTTTTAAAGAGACACGAAACGACTCAAGAATACGCCACTGGCTTCGGTTCTGGATGTAGATTTAATTCGTCTTCATCGGCAATTATTCCTGACAAGTAGAGCCGATACTGCTCGGTATCTTCGAGTGGGAATGGCCTAGAGAGAGTGTTAATTTAACCTTTTCAAAAACAAACTGATGACCCTCTATATTACTTGTTGAAGTATTTGACTGCCCCCCAAACTGCTTCCAGATATCCAATCATAGTGCTGAGCCTGATGGCGCTGTCCCTTCTCACACCAGAATGTGATCTTGCTATAAATCATAGGAAGTTTCGCACAATCGGCACAGATGGCACTGGGCCATTTCGTTCAAAGTACTTCTGTGTGTCATTTTCCGGTATTTTTAGATACTGGACAGAGAAATCCTCAAACCAGCTGAGGACAATTTGATATTTATCCATGGTTCTCTGAGCAGTGCTTTGGATAATAAATTGGTCCCACCATTTCTTAAGTCCTTGGGATGATCAAGATTTTGGTCTGCCGTAAGACTGCGACAAAATGGACTGCGCTGTCTCTCGTAAAGACAGATACCGTTCGTTGGCCCATTTGACCATGAGCTATGTTGAAAAGCTTCACACTCTCGAGTCTCGGATCATCCAGCGATCGCTGGCACGCTGTGGTTGGCCGTCCTTGTCCGGCCAGACGGGTATAACCGTATATGTCGTTTTGGTGCCCCATGCAGCATGGGAGAGTGTTTCAGCAAGGGCGTCACGGCGGCGTGCACCTTTGGCGTCCTGCATTCTCAGATTAGTTATACGTTCATTCAACCGTATATCATTCTTCTTTGGGATATAGCTGTGTTCATTGAATCATCTTGCTTCCTTTTACCACCTACTTACATCGCATATTGCTTAGAAAATCCAGTAGAACACATCAAACCGCGGCCGCGCGATCGGTAGCGCAATGATGCTGGTTGCCAAATGCTCTCTCCCGAGGAGTATCGTCCAGAGTTGAGCGGTCAGAGCTGATTGTTGACCATGTCAGATTACGTGTCCCAGGCAGATTTCCCGACGCAGATGTGCTACCCGCCATGAAAAACTGGCAAAGGATCCGTTGAAGGAACCAGGTTTGAAGTTTTATCAGAAACGTGTAAAAGAAGATTGAGATGAAGTTTTGAAAGTAGCTGGTGTTGGCTAATATAGATGGATATTTAGCTGTCCATCAAGAGAGTTGACGTTTGTTTACAAATAAAGCACAAAGCAAGCCCGGGTTTCTTCCTCGTTTCTTTTTCGGGCATGTTTAAATGCAGTATGTTTTGCGTTTGGTTTTTGACTGCAAATGTAAGATGTAAAGTAATCTATTCGAAAAGGAAATTTGGGTTTAAAAAAAGATCTTATATCATGAATCCCCCGACGTGCCCGAGAGTAGAATAAATTACAAGTTGAGTTTTATCTAAGTGGAGGCGCTGTTATGGGCGAAAGCCAAGTTTCAACCTCTCCATACCAGCGGCCACAACCAGCTATATATACTAGGAGCGTCGGAGTGACGCTGATCTAGTGAAGCTGGAAAAGGTATACAGCCAGTGAAGTTGGACAGTAACATCGTATATTGGTAAAGGCAGTGAAGACTGGTAAAACCGTAAACGGTAAAAGTAAATAGGGCGTATACCCTAGAGTAGTGAAACGAGAGAACGGCGACTCGCATCGAAACAGATATTCCGAACAGCCCGATGCGATGAGAGCGAATATCTTAAGGAACAAGAACTTACCCATCGGGAGAAAGAATCCGTTTGTCCTTTGTCGTTTTCCAGCCGCCGTACGGTGTACCCGATCTTGGGATTTCCAAGATAATACATGGTTCTTCCGCTGCTTCTTCATGAAGGCAATCAATGCACGTGAAGTGATGGATTGTTGGAGTCAGTGAAGTCTGCCTATCCAACTCCTTAGTGAAGTAGTAAGCTTGGTTGGGCAGTGACGGATCTATTAATTAAGGCCGCATCGTCTGTGAAGCGCTGCTGCCTAGGTATTTACCAGTGCAGCCGCTAAAACCAGTGAAGAGGATGGAAAATGGCGAAAATATAGTGATTAACGAGTTCAGAGCTGGAAAAGCTGGCGTATATACCTGTTTCGTAGAGATACTGGTTGAATCTCGTCCGTGGACATGTCATGGTAAATCCTAATTTTCTAAATAAGACAAAAGGTGTGTAAGTTGGCTTTGGATATAAATTTACAACAACCTCGATGACAATTTCTATGATTGTATTATTTTACTTTTTGCCTATCATACTTTCATAGCGGATGCAAGAGGATAATAAATTTGTAAGTTTGAAATAACTTGTTTTATTAATTCCTAGAAGTATTATTTTCCATCATTCGTTCTCTTTTCTCCCGAATTGCAGCACTATCCTGGTTGAACGCTTCTTGTCATTTTTATCAGATATATTTGCTTCAATTGAGTCAAGCGGCACCACATGTTGCTCAGCTTCCCGAGACCGCTTCCTCCTCGTTCCCGTTCGCCGCTTAGTAACGCTGCTACAAGCACGCTGCACTACCATCCCTCTTTCTCTTCAGGCTTTTAAACCGCTACAATCTCAAAAGATTGCTGCTTGGAATGTATCACTGTTGAACGGTTTTGGGAGAGAGCTTTCGCCTTACACGACTCGGCGCCGTCTCGTGACTCTTCTTTTGTAACGCTTTCCAGATCAACATATCGATCTCCTCATTCGTCAAATCATCCCTTGCGAAGAAAACACCCTTCTTGTCCAGCTTATTTTCTGACCGGACCATGTATAAAAATCTTGCGTAATGGTCGACGATGTCCCAGTCTGACTTGTCCAGCTTCCTCCTCGAAAATGTCTGTTCGCCACCCCTCTCTCCTTCGACGAGAGTGTATTGCACAATGGACAGTCTAGGCCCACGCGGGCGACGAGTCCCGGATACGCGTGCGGAAAGTTGAGCGGGAGCAATGACAGCCTCGTAGAGTTCTTGCCAATAGGGCTGGAAAAACTCGCTGTTCATCCATTCTTTCACTTGCTCGGGGCCAGACAGGTTAAGATGCAACGCAAGCTGAGACCATGAAAGGACGTTGCGTCTAAATCTGGGATAATTTCTAGGATTGCTGGGATCCATAAAGACAGCGCTCGCGCCGCTTTCATGTGCCATGGTAGACGATTTAGGTATTTCTTCTGGAGTGATTGTAGATTTTTAAGATATTTGGTATGCAGCATTCGCTGTCACAATGCGCAAATCTGAGGAAAGTTGTCAGCTAACTTATGTGGACAATGGCGGGAGAAGTGTCAGGGCATATGAAGTTATCTAGAGAGAGTTTTCAGAATGGCCATGCAATTTACCTGCTGATGAATGAAGAATAGGAGCGAAAAGGTAAATTGCGTAAAAGACTCTTTCCGTCCAAAATGACAGAAAGCGTTGAGCCCTTCTGCTTAAGCCCTTCAATGATATTAATGAGCATAATCCCGAAAGTTCAAGTAGAATAAGCGTCGAGTACATACAAGAGCTCAGTACATACAAGAGCTCGCGGGGTATGTGTATTGTGTAGAAAAGAGGAGAGGAAGAGAAGAGGCCGAGGGAGGGGTATGGGGTTATTTATACTCGAGGGAAGGCTGGAAGTCTCTCCCAAGAGAGCCTGTAGGCTGAAGGCATTTAAATAATTGAGGGTGAACAAACCGAGAAAGCGAGGACAAGTAGAGTGGAAAGGTAAAACCGTAAGAGAAAATTGAATGAAGTGAAGATAAGCAAAAGAAGCAAACGAGGACGAACAGAATGAGAAAATGAGAACCAAACGCGCGTAAACGTAATTAGTAACGGTAAGTAGAGTGAAGGCGGGGGATGAAGAGAAAGAAAAAAAAAAAGGGAAGACTGAAAAAGAGATTCGAAGACGAACTGGATGCGAAATGTGGGTAAGCCGAGTTGTAAGACCGAGGATGAATTGAATTGGAAATTCAAGACAAACGGAATGCACAAGCGGGAAAGATCTGATTGCAGTCGATGAAGATGATGAAGATGATGAACGGGGACGATCAGATGAGCATGATGGGACCGAATTTCGAAAAGATGAACGCTTTTGATTTATTCCTTAACCCTAAAGTTGGTCAAGGCTATCCAAGAAGCTTGAAAGAAGCTCACAGTAAATACATACAACCAAAAATGTATATACTGCACAGAGCAAATATATGAACTAAACAGCGAATAAAGCTCTACTTCCGAAATAAAGACACCATAACGCAACGCCAAAAATATGCGCCCCAGGCTAGATGACAAAGGAAAGGGTAAAGTCTGAAACCGTCTTCCACCAGTAACGCATGCATGTCCGCTACATGCTCTAAACTTCCGCCTCCGCTTTATATTAAAACGCTTAAACTCGCAAACACTTTTGTCTTGCCTTCTCAGCCTCCCCAGTATACAGATAAAATAAACTGAACCCAGGTAATCAGGCAATGAAGATCTAAGGACCAACGTCAAACTTCATCTTGATTCCCATGGCGGCAAGCTCGACATCGAGATATCTCAGAACACCAGGGACAGCAACGAGCGTTGTATTCTCGCCGCCTGTCCATCGAATGCCAGATCCATCCTCCCAGACTTCGCTCTTCGACTCGTAACCTTGTGCATGGTGAGCACAACGGCGACAGCGAACAGCACTCGTGGCTTTGCGTTTCGGTCCAGCTTCTGCAACTGTCGGAGTAGTCGCCAGGAATGACCCGCAAGTCTTGCAGATCCAAGCCTTGGTGTAGTCTGAGCAATTGAGAAGACGATCTTGCAGAAGGAAGGCGGTTCCGTGGGCGAGTAGAGAATCACGTTCCATTTCTCCAACACGAATACCACCACCCTTCTTACGACCCTTGATCGGTTGACCAGTCAGGGCAGTGACAGGTCCTGTAGTACGGACCTGGAACTTGTCGTTCACCATGTGACGGAGACGCTGGTAGTAGACGACACCAAGATAAATGTCTGCGTGAAGCTCCTCTCCCGTGATACCGGAATACATGGGCTCGTTGCCGTAGTAGTTATAGCCTGCCTTGCGAAGCTGCTCGCCAAAGTAGTTGCCTGCCGTATTGGCTTCGTCGAAGCGGAAAGGCGTACAGTCTTGCGCAAGACCGTGTAGCGCACCAGCTTTACCGGCGAGTGACTCGACAAACATTCCAATGGTCATGCGAGATGGGAAAGCGTGAGGGTTGATAATAACGTCGGGCTGCATGCCGGATTCGGAGAATGGCATGTCAATGGCCGGCCATTTCTGGGAGCAAACACCTTTTTGACCGTGACGAGAAGAGAATTTGTCTCCAATGACAGGTGAACGGGGAACACGCAACTTGAGAGAAATTGCTTGGCAAGGCTCATTGCCATTCTCAGAGCCCAGGACGCGGACTTCTTCGACAAAAGCGGTTTCCGATTCCTTGTACTTGTGGAGCTCAGTCTCACCGTCACGGTTGATGTAGGTACCGGTAGCGCCGTCATAAGTGACAGAGTGCGAGGCCGCGATGATATCTCCTTCGTTGACCATCATTCCGATGTGCGGAAGGCCGTCTTCGTCGAGGCGGTTGCGCCATTCAGCCTTGACAGCGCCGCCGGGCGCAAATCCAAAGAGCTTGGAAATGTTCTTTGACGAGCGGGTACGCGTGTTCTCATCTAGGGCAATAACCTTGGTCTTATAAATTGTACCGTGGCCAAAGCCGCGCTCGTGGGCGGACTTGTTCAGAATCATGGCATCGTCCATATCGTAGCCTGTGTAGGAAATAACGGCAACGACAGCGTTCATGCCGTTAGGGAAGTTGTCTAGACCATAATCATTGTGGAGCGGCGAACGCACAACAGGCGTCTGGCCGGTTTGCAGACGGTAGGCCTTATTATCTGTACGGTAACGGAGCGATGTGCCTGGTGTACCCATGGTTTGTTTACTCATCTGACACTGGTACATGTTTCTGGGCGACTGGTTGAAGTCGGAAAAGGGTGTCATGTTGGCGATGATGGATAAAATGTTGGTAGGATCATACTCGACGTGCGTCGATACGCCAGACTCGATTTCGGGATCCGTACAGGCAATCGACATGAAAGGCTGCTCAAACGGCCCTACATAGTCCTCACGGTCAAGGGGCAGGTATTTGACTGGCCGAATCATCCGAGCTGCTTGCGAGAACATGTAGACACCGGGATACTGGCCGCCATGCGAATTGGGAATGTATCCGATTTCGAGCTCGACAGGAACGCCGTTCTTGCCCTCAACCTTCCAGTGACGCAGCGTGTCTGCAATGACACGGGCTTGCTTTGGCGAGCAGAATCCCAGAACCCGTCCGTCAAGCTGAACAACTACGTTCTCGTCAACGGAGGCGGACGAGTTATTGGTGACTCCCAGTTGAGAGACCAATGCAGGGAGAGCGGAAGCATCAACACTACTTGTGGCAATCTTGCATTTGTGAGCGAGATGGTTTAGCAAACCACAAGGACTACCGTCAGGAGTGTGGACTGGACAAAGGAAGCCCCAACTTTCCGGAAGCAGCTTTCGAACGGTAGTGGTCTTCAGCTGTGCGAAAAAACTACCACGATGGACCATACGGAAATGGCTGATGAAGCGGTAAAAGTTGATCTTTTCGGCGACGACAGTATAACCAGAGGTCTGTTGCAAGTCAAGACCGCTGGGACTGACTAGGTTTCCGGTCGAAAGGAAGTACTCCATTGCTCCACCAATATTTTCGTTGGTCCGCTTCAGAATTCTCGAGGGGAATTCCTTCAAAAACTCTTGGGTATTGAAGTTGTTCTGGGTACGTTGCAGCCATTCGTTTGCGGCAAATCTTATAGAGGAGAGCCATTCATCGAGCTTCTCTTTCAGGATCATTCCGTACAGAAAGCCACCCAATAGAATCTCTTGATTGGAGACTGCATCAGGATTGTCCATTGCACAGGTACCAGCAACTAGAGCATAGAGCTTGCGAACCATGAAGAGGAGCATCTTGAACTTGTCCTTGTCCTGCTCCTCAGTCACGTTGTGTGATCCAAGGTGAGGAAGAACGATTTTACGCAAGAACTCGTTGCCAACCTCCTCGTCAGACATGTCGTCCGGGACGCCCAAAACGATCCGGAACTTTTCACCCAAATATGCTCGAGTCTTGGCCTTGCTGTGAATTCCATAGGCCTTGTATGTGCGCAAAAGAAGCTCAACGCGGTCGGTAAGGAAGGTATCGGCGACACCCTCCGAGCCTGCTGATCCCACAATCTCTTCAAAAATTTCTCTATCATTGGTCTCCACCAGAGCCTTGAGGATCATCATAACCGGGACAAGGAATTCATTCTTGCGCCAGGAAAATCTGAAAGTCGCGTTGCCGTCGGTCAAGTAATGCACGACGTTTGTTTGCGACGTCTGGTCAGGACGGACGGATCGAATTGAAATACCGTATTTTGAGTAAGTCGAACCACGATTTTGGAACGAGGGTCGAACAATGGCCAAGGGATAATTCCGTCGAGAGACAATGAGCATACGAATGAGTTTTTCAATGCCATTGACAATAAAATAACCTCCAAGCTCTTCAGATTCTTCCTTGTGTTGTACCAGCTCGGCAGGAGAGCAGTTCTCCAGATGACAGCGGTTGGTCTGATTGCAAGAATTAGCACATGTGAGACCCAACAGTATTGTATTCATCTTAGCTAAATCGTACCATGAGCATGATAGGGACTTGACCCATCTCTCTGATCGTCTCTTGCCAGTCTCCATTGTTCACCCGATACTGAACTCGCGCTCTTAGTTTTCCTCGATAGGTAGCATGTCGCTCACGGCATTCCGATGGGTAAATTTCTCTGTTCCGGGTCGAGTGCTTGTTCGAAGGAGGAATGGCGGCCTTTTCCAGAAAGACTTCGCTCACTCTCACAGAAAGTCGATTTGGTGAGGGTGCTCCGGCTTCCGTCTTGGATGGGTCCGCATCCAAGAAAACTTTGGTGCCGATGTCCTTAATTCCTTGTTCCAAAAGCCCTCCAGGTTCCATCAGACGGTTGAAAGATTCAATATGAGGTTGCAAAGCCTCTTGCAAAGCTGGATAGGCACTGCGGTCCTTCGGAGGATCGCGAAACAGCTTTTCACGTCGAACAGTATCATATTCGACTGACCAACTTTGGTTAGTCGGTGCTACGGCCGAGGGCGCCATGGCGGGGGGTTTCGGCCTCAAGCCAACTGTCTGAGTTTTGAATATAGACTCCCTTTCTCGTCGTCAGTTACTTGAGACCGACGTGAGATGCTCAGGCAGCATGAGCAAAAAGGGCTGGGCAGAAGAATTATCGTCGGTTTACGACTTTACTTTGACCGGCAAGTTCCTTTTCAGCAACTGTTTGGCAAAAATTCACGGAGAGTCGAACAAAAATCCCGAACTGCTGTTTGGCCAATCAGATGTTTGCCGAGGTTTTCTCGCTTGCTTTTCGTCAAACGCTGATATAAAAGTATAGATACTTCTTCATTACGATTAAACTGGATATTGTAGTAAGTAGCAATACGCAAAGCCTGCGCGGCGCAGCAGCGCATCTGCAGAATCCGAGACAACCCAATCAGCGCCTTCCCCAGCACCCAGGGCCTTTGATCTATCCGGGAAGGATGACGGAGGGAACGAAGAAACGAGCGTTAGGCAATGAGAGAATGGGGGAATGAGGGAGGGAAGGGAACGTGCTACTAACGTGCTAAGACTTTAACGAACCAACAAGAGACCGATGAGGCGCTGCTTTTGCTACTCTGTGGGGTTCCTTTCTCTGCAACACTGGCGGCATCTCTGCACTACCAACCGTAGCTGCTACCTTCGACTTACGTGACTCTACTTGACCTTCCCTACCTGCCTGGCTTGGTTCAAAGGTCACCTTAACATACCTTTCCCCTTCCTGCCTGCCTACTGGGGGCCACTTCCCGAGATTTACCTACCTCCGCGTACAGAAACCCTCGAAAAAAAGAATTGCGCGCTTGGGCCTTGGGCAAGTCTCGTGCGGCCTGCCTGCAACTTGCTCTTCCGCTCTCCGCTCGGCGGCTCCCATCGTGGGTGGCACTTAGTGTCAAGAAAAAGCCTTGTCGGTTTCCACACACTCTCTCTCTCTGTGTGCACCTCTCAGGATCACATCTTACAGACGCTGGTCCGTCGAAAGCTTGTGGCTCCTCTACGCTTTTCGTGTCGGATCTGACACTCACAGTGTTTCTCTTGTCGGCTTTCAAGCTCCTTCTTTCTCAGTTAGACAGCTGCCCCACCTCCGCAGCTGTTTCCTCAGGCACCCGCAACATCAATACGAACGGGTTAGACGCCCCCGGGTCTCACCACCCCTTCATCAGCCTGTCTACCTTTGACCGATCAAACGATCCACTGCATCATAGCATTAGATTTATAATATCATCATCATGGCCGGCTTGCTTAAACGTATTTATGATTGGCTCTTGCGTTTGTTTTGGTTAGCTCCCTTTTGGTCTCGTCCGCGCCGATAACTGCTACGATCAAGGCAGCTGGCTTTCAAGTAGAGCTGCTATAGCTGCTTTGAGCTCGACAAGCTATGGATCAAGGTGTATTGGTGATTTCCACGGCTGACATGTGTCTTCAAATGGCTGCAGGGCGGCAGAGATGGATATTACGATGATCGGGCTGCAAAATGCAGGCAAGACCTCGTTATTGAGAGTACTGGCGGTGAGTCCTGAGCTTAGAACCTGAGTGCATGAGCAAAGCATGCGCCCACCGCTTCGTCGGGAAAATAGATGCTGACGAGAGAGACTGTTCCAGGGCGGAGAATTTACGATCGAGTGTGTCTTATCCGTTTCTATGAGTTCCGTATGGCATGTCCCTGACAACAGCGTCCTTTGTAGCTCCATCCCGACCGTAGGCTTCAACATGAAGCGTGTTCAAAAGGGCCACGTTACGCTGAAATGGTGAGATAGTCCAGTTTGCCGCCGCTTTGATCAGAACACGATTCGAGCCGACACCGGCTCGACGCTTGGACTTTTGCCTTCAAATTTCGCTAACTTGGGAGGTCGCAGTTGGGATCTTGGGGGCCAGCCCCGTTTCCGGTCCATGTGGGAGAGATATTGTCGCGGCGTCAACGCCATTGTGTAAGTTCCGGGCGTTCTTGGTACGAGGAAGATGTGCTGATGCGCGCTCAGTTTTATCGTCGACTCGGCAGACCGTGAAGCACTACCCGTCGCTCGAGAGGAGCTCCACTCCCTGTTGGAAAAGCAGACCCTCGAGGGAATTCCGCTCCTTGTCCTCGGTAATAAGTCGGACCTTCCCAATAAATTGTCAGTTGATGACTTGATCGACGCCCTCGATCTAAAATCTGTCTCGCACCGTGAAGTCAGCTGTTACGGCATTAGCGCCAAAGAGGAGACCAATCTGGACGCGGTCCTACAATGGCTGATTGCGCGTTCCAGCAAATGAGAACAGGTCATAAAAAAGCTGGCCTAGAACCTCGACGGTTGACATCCTCTGATGATTATGCCTAACGACATAAATCGCTTTGTTTTATCTCCTGCATCCGGAACCGCTTCTAACGACGTCCACGAAATGATGCAACATGACCTCGGACGGCAGAAGAGCTGCTGTCCGTTTATGCCATATAAATTTCCTGTGCTCACAGCATCTTTGTCGCGTCTCTTTTGTCATTGCACCGCCAGCGGATATGTTGACTATGTTTATGATTTTCGCACAAGTTGACGGGTCGTAACCATTTGAACCATCATGATGGAAATTTTTGGTGCGAAGGCGTATACGCGAGGGCGAGTGATTGATTTCTTTTTGGGCGAATAAAGCTATACTGTAATGACTTTTATGACGTCGCGTTTTTTTATTCTTCTCGTGGATATCTTCCAAGCATCATTCCATTCAGAAAACGCGATGACTTGCTCAATAAACTCGCAGGTAACGCGTTCAACAGGCGAGGCTGTTGACTGAAAGAAAAAAAATAATCGGAACTATTTGTTTTTTTAAAGTGACGATCAACGAACTCCGGACGAAAGTGAATTCGCGACGTGATGAGCGGCCGAAAATGGTGGAGATGAGCATGCAGAATGAATTCAGGAAGCAAGTGAAGGAAGAAAAATGAGGGTTAATGGCGTAAAAGTAGGAGAAAGGAAGGCGAAGGAACAAGGACGCGGACAAATGATCGGCGACAGAGGCCGGGGGATTGGAGAGAACACGGGCCACCCTATGCGTTGGCAGACTGATGAAGTGGCATTCGCCGGAGCCCTTGCTAGCGTGTCTGGTGTGCATCTTATTCTTTCTCTTTCCCACTTAACCAGCGCCCTTTCAATTATTTGTTCCTCTGCCAAAAGATGAGTACATTATGAGTGACCACTTCTTTTGGTTGCTCCGTTAGGAGCATTTTCCTCTGCTGTGTCGAGCTTTTTGTGATTGATGATTCGCCCGGAGACGAAGGTAACTCGTGGGGGAAGCACAAATCGGATCATCCCACTATTTGATATACGATACTTAGTCGAGCGAGCTATTTGCGTAAGAGAGTTGAACCCTCTAGTGCAATACCGAGGTAAGTGTTTCTTTAAAGTACATCTAATAGACTGTGATATGCATTTTCATATATTCCGTCCCTCGCATACATAACTCTGCATTAACTTGGTCAGGGCAGATGTCAACCCGCTATCGTGTAAGTTACTCATAAATACCGTGTACGAAGGTATTGTAGCAGGCCAATGACGTCCAGCTAAACCGGACGACAGGGTCTGCAAAGGCTAGTATTGCTCTTACTATCATTGAACATTATTGAGTGATACAATAAGCTCTGCTTGATTCCATGACTGGATTCGAGAACATGAAAAGGTCAGAGTTGCCGTCAGGTGCCATTGGGGCGTGGTGAAGAGGCACAGCCACACTGGACCCTGGACAGAGTGATCACCACATGAGCTATCCGAAAAGGCTTACAAGTTCAGGGAACCGAGCGCCGCTATGAAAACAACCTATAACAACGGGTAGACTGTACCTGTTTAGCTTGCTGCCCTACCAAATGAGCCAAGGCCAAGAGTTCAAGCCAAGAGCCAAGAAAGCCGGCAATTCCTCTAAAAGTGAACAAAAGCGGTTGACTACGAAGAATACTGACTGATCTTGACGCCCCACTTCCCATTCTTTCTCTTTTCTACTTTCATCTCATCTTCTTTCTTTTCTGCATCTTTTGCGAAGAAGAGACTTGGTTTATTTATTTCTTTTGGGTGTCTCCAGTTCGTATGCCTTATTGAACGTTACGTGGACCCTTCTTACCGAAAGAGGCGCAAAGTATCAAGTACCCTCTACCTGGCGTCATCAAAATCTCGTTTGCGGTGGGAGTGCTGCGCCTCGCGTCATACATTTTGGTGGGCAAGAGTAGCGATATACGAATTGTCTTTGAACACATTCCCAACCTTTTGAGTTTGTTATTACCTCTCTAGCATCGAGTGAAAGCGGCTGCGATTCATATTCGCAAAGATGTCGCCAACATTTCTCAGCAAAAGATACTAGTAAGTTTCCCTTGGTGCTTTCTCCCGCTGTGGCGTTCTTATGACCCTGCGCTGCTTGCATGTGAAGCTATATCGAGCAAGTTGAGCTGCATGCGCACAGCGACGCAGTTGCTACTTTGTTGCCTTTTCATCTCAGTATCATGGTTCTCTGCAAAAGAGATGCACTATATTTCATTTCACGGACTGCGCTGACGCTCTACACTCCTGTAGCTGCAACAACTATAGCTATTCGTACGTCTTTCCCATCCCTCGACACTTGGCATCATCGTCATCGTCAACCATCACTTTCTATCCACCTTTCGGCATACGGATTATTAGTTATGAACTCCCCTACTAATTTATTTCTAGATATGGTAGCTACAATTGCAGCAGCGGATGGTACAATTGGGGTCGATGGGTGCTACTAGCTATCCTTATCGCTCTCGCATTTCTGTTCTTTTTCTTCTTCTCGTAAGTCTAGTCTCTCTAACATCTTGGCTTGTACACTTCTGCCTTTCCGTCTTTACTTTCCCTTCGCCAATCTTCCTACAAAACCATACGTATATTGTTTTTAGGAAAAGCCCGCTTCTAACATGCATATGTCGCAATAGATGCATCACGTCGCGTCGACGACGCCGCGCAGGTCGCCAGCCTTTCTACGGCACCGCCTGGCTGGGGGGTAAACCCCCTGTGGGCCACGGTCCTGCAACGTACAACAACAACAATACCAACAACAACCCAGGAGGACCTCAGCCATACTATGGATCATACTACCAGCCTCCTGCGCCGCCGTACTCGCCTCCCGCGAATCACACTTACTACGGTAACGGGCCGCCCCAGCAATCCGGCGTCGAGCTCCAGCAGCCGCAGAATTCGTACCAGCCGTATCGCACCCCCGAAGACAATGTGTATTCGCCTCCGCCGGGACCCCCTCCAGGTCATCCTAAGCAGGGAGATGGGATTGTGAGATGATGACGATGATGATTATGACTCTATTTCGCTACGAGTCCGTCAATCAAAGTATTCTCACCCTACCCTTTGGACTTTCTCGGGGTTGTAGCGCAAAGATGCAACCTTCCCAAGCTCTCTATGCTTTTCAAAATTTCGGCGGTACTCTGGTCAGGGAATCACGGCGTAAGGTCTATTGGGATTCACATTCGGCTCTTGGTTTAAACTCTTTTTACCCTTTTAATTAATTATGCTCTGACTGGTTTTCTTCATTTCTTCTCGGGGTCGGAGGTCGGAACAACTAAATTGTAAAACCCAGATTCGTCTTAGCAATCGCAGTCGATTTGGGATATACCCTCCACAAGCTTATCTTTCTTTTTTTTTTCTTTTTTCACTTTGCTCCTACAAGTCAAAAACTGTGTCTTGTTTTCTCCTTGTTCATGAATTTTTTCCGAGTGATTTTTTGGATTGGTTTTTGAAAGTATTGAGTTCATAAAGAGGGTTCAGGATAGTATCAATTCATTTAATCGTTCTTCTTTTTCTCGATAAATTTTCAGGTTGAGTGGATACATGAGTATGTGCACAGTGCCTTGAGGGTCCAGAAATTTTCAGGTAGGTATTATTGAGAAAACCGATAAGAATGTTCGAATATAATACGGTAAACTATTACGCTTTATGCGCGGTATGCTTAAGATAATTTTCGTAAAAGCAGGCCAAAATATGCGAATTTCCAAACCAACCACTCGAAGAAGAAGGAGAAGAAAATTGTGGGAAGACAAGCAGAAGTTGAAAAATTGATGCGGTTTTAAAGGTTAGATTGTACATCTTTCATGGTATAGTGGTATGGATGTGTTTAAGCAGGGGGCACAGCGGCAGGGGCTTCGGTGCCGGTGCCTGCGCTGTTGGGCGGCGGCGGGAGGAAGAGAGGGAGGTATGTCTGCTTGAATGTCAGAGGTTGTTAGATAGCACCGTGTAGGCGTAATACGTACCACGACCACAGCGAGGACTGTTTTGCAAGATTTATTCGTCAGTTATGTGAAACTAAGACGCGATGTGTGGGGATGATATATTGAGGAATAATAGGAATACGTACGGGCCATGAGAACGGCAAAGTAGCCTGGTGCACTACTGTTTTTTTGTCCGGGAGTCTCGGAGAGCCAGTGCTGAAGGGAGAAGACGACGGAAACCCTGGATATAGCGATTGTGATTAGGTAAGGTCTTTGATATGGGATAAGGGCTGGCAATGGGCTGTTGTGAGACGTACCATCCGACCATCCTATATGAGACGAAAACTCGATTGTTAGTATTACTCCAAAGCTAAATATTGTTGTGCGCGCAGATGTGTATGTATGCGTAGATAAAGCGACAGGGAGGGTAATGGCTCTGCGATAGAGTAGAGGGGGGATCGAGCTGGCTTACTTGTTGCGCGTGAACATCTAGGATCGTTTTCGTTAGCATTGATTATATGGATCCTTGCGCGATTGTAGCTTCATATAAAGGTCTGGATTAAAAGGGACTTAACGTACAGCGGCCATGGGCAGAGTAGTCGACATGGTGCCTTGATGTGAGTGTTAGCGGGGTAGCTCGTGATGATCTTTACTGCCAATCCAGGGCGTACTCGAGATGTCTCCTTCTGACTTCTCCTTCTCAGGACTAATATATGGAATGACTGTCATCGTAGAAACCCAAAGTTAGCAAGTCAATTGCAAGGTATAGCGTATTGCGAGCTCATAGCTTCCGCGGATGAGAGTGGGAGCTATTGCGAGGGGCGTCATACCGAGGTCGACCCTCCGCATATCCTTTTTGGAAGCCATTGTAACTAGAGGGAGCAAGGCTGATTTCAAGCTTCAGTAAGAATTTCTCTGTTCGTCGAAGAGGCTTGGATGAATTGAGTGGTTGAGGTTATTGAATGTCGTGATAAGTGGACGGAGGTGGAATCGGATCGGGAGATCTTCGGCTCCGATGTGGTCTGTGTTGGTCCCTGAGATTGAAGAGGTGGAGACGACTGCCTTGTTCAAAGCCTATATACGGATAAATTGCAGACAGAAATTCCGTATAAGATCGGCGTGTCGCTAGTGTGATAGAGTAGGAGAGTTGGCCCCAGGATAACCGTCCCGCATGCGTAATCTCCCTTGCGACAAGAGGCGCAGCCCTCCTCCAATTAACTTTTCGGTTTTAGTTCGTACACCCTCTTCGTATCCGTGATTGCTTGAAAATTAAAGTCTTTTTCTTGAGAAGCTATTTTCTTTCTTTCCATCTGAGAATATTCAAAGCTGTCGCTCGTTTGAATCACTTGTTCTGGGACAGCGCCGTCTGTTGTCTTATCTGGCTGCAGCCCTACCTTGTACAAACTCTCCGAGGCAGTGCCTTGAACCCTGTTCGCTGTGCGACTTTAACTACTCTCCTCAAATCACCAGAGACTGCAATTGAAACGTTAAAGCCGTGTCTCAAACATTCGCAATACACAATGCCGGGAGCCATACGGATCCGAGATGCCCTAACTTCAGTCGAACAAGCGCCCAGCACATTCTCCAGTTGGGATAAATGCATGCAAAAGTCTTATTGCAAGTAAGGATTCCTTCCCTATCAACTCTGATTCAACGTTCAACCATTCGAGTTGCAGCAAATTGGATGGGTAATTAACATGACTATTTCAGATGGCCAGCGATTGTCGGGATCATTATCGGAGCCGTCATCATCTTCTCCCTCCTGTGGTGTCTGATCCGATGTCTCTGCTGCGGTGTGTCGTGCTGCTGTGACTGCATGTCATGCTGCACCTCATGCTGTCCGAGCGGCAGAGGCGGCGGCCGTCGGCACAACAGACGCGACTCATATCAACCGGCGCCATACGCACCTCCATTCCCACCCACTGGATACCAATCCGCGCCGCCTGCGCCAAGCTACCAACCGCAGCAATTCGCTCAATTTCCTATTAATTCCCGTGGCGGTGCTGGGGCCGGCAAAACTCCCACCGCTGTTGTCAACGAAGATGCGCTCCCTGCGATGCCGACGTGGGGAACGGCGCGCACTCGCCACGAAGAAGACCATGCCCCAAATAACGATTCGGCAGTTGAGCTGGGCCACTTGAATCCCGCGAGGGCTACCAGACCTCTCCAGGAGGCCGGAATGGGAGCCAGAAGCCCAGGAATCTCAAACGCAGCAGCCGCAGCCGCAGCAGGACAAACATCCCCTATGCTTCCGCGGCAGAACTCATACCCGCGCGCGCAATTTACGCCACAAAGCAACGGTCTTACGCCCGTGAGTCCTCAGAGCCCGCCAATGGTTCCGACACCGCATGCACAGGGTTTTGTCGAAGCGGATTCGAACACCGTTGCTGCGCCTTACTCGCAATATCAACCCTACGGCCAAGGCTATCATCCCCGGGGGGCCTCGCCTTATCAGCCATACGAATTGGCAACGTCCACGTCTCAATCCCCTACTGGATACGGCGGCGGATACCATTCCCCAGTGTACGGTCCGGGAGAACACCCCGTGCGCTCGCCTGTCGGTCCAGGCTATCCTCATTCGACATCTCCCGTGCTCCACGGAGGATATGCTCAGCCTACCTCGCCAGTGAACCAAGGAATGGCTCAAGGGGGATATCATCAGCCCACTTCGCCTGTCCAGCAGCAGGGATACCATCCTTATCAGGCCCACGGACAGTACTACAGCGGTCCTTACCAGTGATGTGACTGTCGCTCGAGTCTTTAATCCAATATCACGCTCCAGACCCCTTGTATGCTTTGGCAAACAAGGTTCATTTGCTGTATATACGATATCCAGCTTTCCTTGTTGACCCAGCGGTCGCGAGAGCCGACCGGCCAGTTGTCCAAACTACCCACCAAATCCGCACTCCCTCTACCACGCTCTACCAGCGCCCGTGTCTTTTATTCCGGCAAAATTACCGCATATCTTCAGCAAAAATCCGCGACCAATTCCAAACAGACCCAGCAGGCTGGAACTCACATACGAATATACGTCTCAAGCCGCTGTGCGTGCTGCTCTCTTTCTACCGTTTCTCATCTTTCATTCATTCCTCCTTCTTCTCCTTAACCGCGGATAGGCTACCGAGCCCAGGTGTCTTACTCCCATTTTCCCATTTTCCCATTTCCCCACATTCCCTGTGTCGTTGAGACTATCTTGAGACTTCTTACTGGTGTATTATCACATATACCTCGTATACCCCTTTATTTTCTTCGACGCTTCTCAGGTTCGATAGAGATTCTTTCTTTTTTTTGGCGTTTCCTTTTCTGATGGAGTACTATATTTTACTATACTCTACTGTACTATTGGATCAAGTTACCTGTAGATATATACGAATGGAATCAAAAGTATTCAGAAAATAACATACACCTATCTATTAGACAAACCATTGACCATACCAGTATTGAGACAGAGATGATGTAAATGGGTATCGAATTACTCCATGGCTTTTTGTTCTTCTTGCTACTTGCTTTTGACCCTCGCTGCATAGTGTACAATACTAGGTATATAACAATTCGCCATTCAAAACACTCCCCTAGCAGATGACCGGTTTTAATGTTGGGTAGAATCGGTTTCTGACGTGCCTGTCACGAGTCGTGGCATAAATCTTCTCCTCGAAATAAAACGACGAAGCAAAAAGGGCTACTCCTTGAACGGGAATGGATGACGCCGAAAAAAAACAAAAGGCGAAAATGAAAGTGAAAATGAAAGTGAAAACAAAACTAGTAAAATTAGATAAAGGGGGGGGGAAAGGAATAAAATAATAAAATAATAAAATAATAAGAAAAAGATAAAGATAAAGATAAAAATCCTAGACTATAGTAAAAAATAATATAAAAAATAATATAAAATAGAATAAAGATAAAAAAAAAAAAAAAAAAAAAATACAAAATGAAATAAGGATCAAAAATAGCTAATAAAAATAAATAAACTATTCCTCTAACGAAAAATCAAACGGCTTAAACGCCACCTTGAACTCCTCTGCATCCGCGACCTCGTCCTCATGCGACTGGGAACAGTCTTTCCAGCTGATGCGGTCTTCAAGGCGGAGTAATTTTGCGAGCACGCGTCGACCGAATTGTAAATCGAAGCGGAAAGAGGAGTTTATAGGTAGGATAATTGACCGTTCGGTGCCGGTATTGTTACTAGTGGTACTGTTTGTTGGTGCGGTATCGTCCTTGCTTTCAGCCACGGACCGGCCCTCTTGAGTCGCAGGAGTCGTGGGACTCCATAGCAAAACTCGAAGAAAGTCACCAGTTTCTTCTGTCCCTGCGCCAATATCACGGGTTTCGAATTTAGGGTATTTCTCATTCTCTGCTTCGACGCGAAATGCAACGTCAACGAGGCCACGATCAATCAAATCTGCAGGCATGGGTAGGAATTGCCAGTGCGTGTGAACACCTCCGCCGCGACTGACTTCCCATGTTACGCCGCCTAGCGCGCCCTGGGACTTGGAGGAGACCATGGCGTGGAGTGCGCTCCGGTAACGCTGCATTTCATTGTATGTTGATTCTCGTGTTGCTGGGTCAGCGATCGATGCGAGTGTAGGTGCATGCTCAAAGGGGATGATGAGCATGTGGCTGGGGAAATTCAGTTGAGGGAAGGTGTTCCGTTTAGTGAGCGGGCCTTTGGCAGTGGTGAGGTAAGTTTCGTTGGCAATGGAGGTGATGAGATGCGTGGCAATGTTGGGATTGGAGAGGCAGAAGAAGCATTCGGCTTGGGTGGGAGGCGGTTGGCGCTGGCGTTTGTTTCGGTGGTGGCCGTGATGGCTGCCACGCCCGTCGGTGGAAAAACGCGAGTATGATTCGCCTTGGGATGGGAGAGCGCGTTTCTTCGAGGGACCGGAAAGAGGCGATGCCGTGATACCGGCTGGAAGAACTGCTGGTGGTGCGGCTTTGGGGTCGAGGGAGAAGGCGTAGAGCCATTTTTGCTTGTTGGGGTTGTTGAATGCTGCGAGACTGAAAAATCGGGTGATGGGTCTTATTTCGGGCTCTGCTTCTGTCGCGACGTGGAAAAAGGGCTCGCGTTCGTAAAAGACGTCGCTGGTGGTGGAGAAATGGTAGCGTGGTCTGAGGGTAGCGCAGAGCTCGGCGACGCATTGCTGGCTCGTGGGCTGTACATGATCGGGAAACGAGACCTTGGATCCCGTGCGCACGGCTGCTGGCCAGTCGTTTGTGATGAGGATATCGGCGGTATTTGCGCCGCGTAGAGTCTTCGCATCGTCTAATGTGTAAAATGGCATGTATTTGTCTTTGGAAATCCCTGCGGTGACCCGGGGATCGAGTGTGCCGCCCAATGCTACAATGCGCACTCCCTCTGACGTCTTGATTGTGGTGCGCTTGCCAAGGAAGAAGAGGTTATGGCAGACTTCGCCGGCGTTGGACTCGAGCTTCTCGATTATTCGAGTAGGTAGTGCATGGGATCCCAGCGCAAAGTAGGTGGGAAGAGGTACTTCAATTTCGCCATTGAGTAGAGATGTGACGTTATCATCGTTGGAAGAAGTTGCTTGCTGCGGGTCGGCGAACAGATTGCCGCAGATGATGGCCAGTGAGAAGGAATTCTTGGATTGGATGTTTTTGAGCTTGTTGAAGACATTAGGAAATTGGCCGTCGATGCTCCCGAGGACTACTCTGTCAAGGTGTTAGTATTCGCAAAAACATTATGTACACTTAGTGTGCAGAGTAATATGATCGGACTTGCATTTTTGAAGCCATGGTGGCTGATTTTCTGGGAGAATAGAAAAGCAATGACGTTTATTTGGGCTGGGGAAGCTTTCTTGTGAGACTGCCGTTTTGGTGTTTTTGGATTTTGCCAAGATTTCGCGGAGAAACGAGATGCCGATCTCCGACGGATTCCGCATCTTTTCTGTTTTCCGCCTTTTGAATTTATCCAAAATCTCCAATTACACACGAAAACGGCTTGTTGCCGCAATCAATACCTTTATTTCTCCCTGAGAGATTAGCAGCTGTTGGTGCTGCTGATCATATCATGCCGGCCATGTCCTCAGGAAAATCGAAGAGACCGACAAAGGTCGTCAAAGGCGGCACTGAATCGTCACGCCGCCATCATTTTGAATCCTTTTCGCAGCGTATTGCGAAACTCAACATTGATCCTATTCGAAGAGTCCGTCGCCATGATCTTGACGAAGAAAGCTTGTCGACAACTGCGTCGTACTTTCGACAGTCGTTGGACGAATGGAACGATCTCAATTTGTCCGAGGACTATACGACCTTTGCAGCGCGAGTGATGCCGCTCTGCGAGAGCTTGCCGCAAATAATATACTATCAGGAGCAGATAATGGACCTTCTGGAGGAGTATATCAGGCATCATGAAGAACTATCGCTCGAATCGCTGTTGAGTCTCCTGGCGCACTTTGCGCATGATCTCGGTGCAAGATTCGAAAAATATTTTGCTCGAGCCGTCTCGGCCGTATCAGGAGTCGCCGCAAAACACCCCAAGGTTGAAGTTATTGAATGGAGCTTTACCTGCCTGGCATGGCTGTTCAAGTACCTCTCCCGACTCTTAGTACCGGACCTTCGGCCCTTGTACGACTTGATGGCTCCTTTGCTTGGAAAAGAGCATCAGAAGCCATTCGTCACTCGGTTCGCCGCAGAAGCAATGAGTTTCCTAGTAAAGAGGGCTGGCGCTGGTCATCACAAAGATAAGCAAGCCCTTCCGCGCTTGGTGAAGCATGCATTCGCAGACTTAGAGACGACATCGGAGAGCAAGGACGTAGAGCTCTATCTCGAGGGCTTAATGAACCTTTTCGCCGACGCGATTAAGGGCATAAAACGCGGACTACACTCTGGCGTGGAACCGATACTGCAGACCCTGCTTGATGGCTTAGTTGAAAATGATTCCGTGCAAAAGGATAACTCGCAGAAGCTGGTCTTCGGCGTTTTGGTCAACGTTATTCACCACGCAGAGGCTGCTACATTCGAACCAGTACTTAGGGTCGTCGTCACCTTTGCGACGAATTTAGCAGAGACTCCATCGGATTATAACTTGCAGCTCGCTGCGCGGTTGATCACCATCATCATTGGCGGGCGCAAGGGTTCAAGGGTTGAGAACTGGGGTGATGTGGTCCTGACCATGTCAAAGGTCCTGACCGCCGCAAATACTCCCGGCAGCTCTCTTACTGAAACCACAATCAACCGAATTTTCTTTGCTTTGGCTCTGACCATGCAGTCTGCTCCTGTAGATGTGGTCCTCCCCCATATTCGCTCGACTATGGCAGTTTCCACAAACGGTCATTTCAAAGCTCATTTCTTATCCTTTTGCAATGTCTTTGCGGATCTTGGCAGCGATAGGTTTCAAACAATTGTACTGCCATACTTTCAGAAGTAAGTTTATATAAGCATCCTTATTCTGCTTTTTCTCTAGCTAACAGTAAATTGCAGGTTCATCGTCGCCGAGTGGAAGTCCTTCGAGCAGCAGATTTGCTTTCTGGTACCAAAACTTGCAGAGGCTGGATGCTTAAAGAGAGCAGGCACGAACACTGATCTTCTCAACTGCTCTGGACCTTGGCAGAAGAGAATCGTTGGGCTTTTCAAAGGCCTTGTTTCTGCGAACGGCACAGCCATCGAAACTGATTCGGTCCTACTCTACGCCTATCTCGACGCCATTCCATCTTTAGCTCTGGATCAGTCGGCAAAGGATCAAGTAACAACATACCTACATGACTTGCTCCGTCTTGCCATCCAGCCTACAGTTTCAATAAGCGAACGAGCGCGCCTCTTCGCTGTAAGCAAAGGCTTTTCGCGCTATGTAAGCAGTTGCGGAAAGGAACATCCCTTAGACATTTCTCTTTGGAATGGCCTGTGTGCCTCTGCAAGCCAATATGCGCCACAACCCTCATTTCTTCAAGCACTTTACGACTATATTACGCCTCTGTACAAGAAGTTGGATGTCTCCCCAGAAGTGATTCAACCTCTTGTGTCAGCCGTCACAGCAAACCTTGAGAGTGACTCTCATGTTCTAAGGTCTATTTCCCTGAGAATTTTGGACACGCTCTACACTCTAGTCCATCAGGAGCAGTGCGCTGCACTCACGACTGCTCTGATAGTGGAGGATACTGAGCTGAGCTTGCAAAGCGCGCGGTCTATCTCAATGCACATGCGGAAATTGGGCTCCAGCTACGCCCAAGCAAGCTCTGATCCTTGGGTCAAAGAGGCAATACCAAGCCTCTGCTTTGGTCTTCTCACTGTCAAGTTCACGCCGCTATGGGAAGACTCGAGCAACGCTCTCAAAGAAATCTGCGAATCAAAGGATGGAGAAGCCACAGTTTCAGCGTTGGCGTTCAAATGGCTGGAGAGGTCCCCGTTGCCCAGCGAAGAAGTTTTATCCCCTGGAGCGGCAGAGAGTCGCAAATATGGTTTAACTGCCTTTGAGGATTCGAATTTGGAGCGGCTGTTCACCTTGGAAGCGGAAGATGAGCAAGAACTTTCGCAAGTCGAGCAACGACTGGAAGCTAGTCTCACAGAGGACACAAGGCAGCTTGCGCTCCTAACCCCGATCGCACGACGGCAAGCTATTAGGGTGCTTAGCAAGATACCCCAAGTTGCCGAGAGGAGATCCCGGGAACTGGTGCCAATACTCCTCCGATGGAGCCTTCACCATGATGAAGATAACTTGCAAGAAGCCCAGGAAGAGAATGGCGACCAGATTGACAAGGAATCTACATCATCAGCGAGTAAATGGTCTCGACGGGATTTGAAGGCACTACTCAATCTCTTCACTCAATTCGTCAACCCCAAGGTCTTTTACAAGTCTGCAGATGTGTACACCGGCTTGTTGGCACTGTTGACAAATGGTGATGCGGAGATTCAAAAATCTGCCCTCAAGGCTATATATACCTGGAAATCTCCTAGCTTGCGACCGTATGAGGAGAACCTGTTCAACATTCTTGATGATGCAAGGTTTCGCGAAGAGATTTCGATTTTCGTTAGAGGCACTGCTGATGCCGCCACAATGCGGGAGGAACATAAGCCAGAATTGATGCCAGTCTTATTGCGTCTTCTCTACGGTAGACTCGTCGTAAGAAAGGGATCGGGAAGCGGTAGTCAGGAAGCAAGAAGAAAGGCCGTCCTAGAATCGTTGGCTCAATTCAGCGAGTCTGATTTTGAGGAGTTCATCAACATTGCACTTGGCGCTCTCGGCTCTGTAAAGATTGTCGAAAATGGAAAGATTAACCCAGAGCTTCTGCGCAAAGAATTGCTCGACACGCGAAAGCATCTTGGTCTTATGAATATGATTCAGACCATGCTCAGCGTGGTTGGAACGCAGCTCGAGCCTCTTGCTGGTCGTTTTGTTGACCCTGTGCTTTACTGTCTTATCCGAGCATCAAGAAAGCTTTCAGCCGATTCTGAGGAGCAGGATGAGGAAACCGGGCAATCTATGCAGGTATCCTTACAAAAGTCTGTTCGCCAGGTCGGATACCGCTGCCTAAACCAACTCTTCTCTATCGCTCCTGGCCTTGCATGGGACAACTACATGCCAACTATTTTTGAGGAAATAATCAATCCGCGACTGGATCAGCTTCCGGTGCAGACGGCTCAGTCCGTCTCCGCTCCTCTTCAGATTTTCTCGACCTGGTCCTCGTCACGAAAGTTGGTCATCTTCCTCACGAAATACAACAGCGCAGTTCTGCCCAAGGTGGCCGACTGCCTGAAAGTTGTTTCCGCAAAAGAGAATGTCAAAGTCTTCGTTCTCAATAACATCGTCAAGCGAATCATCCAACTCACAGAGGAGCAGGACGTCGAACCAAGTGAGATCGGAAATGAGGATATAATCTCACAGGTTATCCAGCCGAGTGTTGATCACTTCCTTGTGCCTATTGGAGAAATTCTGCGAAAGAGTCCCGGAAGAGAACTGCTTGAAGCTGGTGTTAATACTGTGTCGAAGATTGGACCAATAGTCTCCGGCTCATCTGAGACTAGGAATCTGGTGGATATTTCCACTTTCCTCCTAGACCAACCATCGAATCGTGTCAGTCCAAAGACGAAGAGCGACCTGCTGCGGACCCTGAAGCATTTCCTTCCCTTGAACGATATTCAATCCGATTTCCAGCTGCGCGACAAGGCATTCCGGACTGTCTCATCTTTGTTCGGGTTCTTCAGGGATCGCGTTAGTCGAACCCTCCTTTCAGAGGTTATGTCTGTTTTTGCCGACAAAGACTCTTCCCTTTCTCAAGTGGCATCTCTTTGTTCAGATCTTAACGCTTTTGCGATGAATCGTCTGGATGAACCTGACTTCAACCGCCGTCTTCAAGCGTTCAATCTTATCAACGAGGAGGGTTACAAGAACTTTACATTGACCCAATGGCTACCAATCCTCTACAATATGCTGTTCTATGTCAAGGACATTGAGGAGCTTGCGATTCGCACAAACGCGTCGCTAACAATCAGACGATTTGTTGAAAGTACTGCTATTGACACTCAAGCGGGTGGGTCGTCATTTACGGAGCTTCTTGCGTCGGTGCTGTTGTCGGCCTTGAGAAGTGGGGTCCGTGATGCATCTGAATCGGTCAGGTCAGAATATTTAGCTATTACGGCGCATATTGTCAAGAACTTGCCCAATCTTGCGGAGGTCAAAGACATGGAAATACTCTTGGTTGGCGATGATGAGGAAGCATCGTTCTTCAACAACATTCTTCATATCCAACAGCATAGACGATTGCGAGCGCTCCGAAGATTAGCAGCCGAGTCCCAACTAGGCCACCTCCGGAGCTCAAATATCAGCCACTTCTTCATCCCGTTGATTGAGCATTACATTTTCAATCAAGCAGACGACAGCAATGCGCACAGCTTAGCTGCTGAGACGGTCACGACTATTGGTATTCTTGCAGAAGGCCTTGACTGGAATCAGTTCAGGGCTGTTTTCCGAAGGTACACTAGCTATATACATAGCAAGGCCAACATGGAAAAGACGGTGATTCGATTATTAGGTGTAGTAATCGACGCACTAGGTCGGGCTGCGAAGATTGAGGAGCCTGATCAAGGCAAGGAGCAGGCCTCTGAACCTCTGGAAGATGGATCGGCAGATACCATGGCAATCGATTCCGCACCCCAGACAAGCGCATTGGCTGTTTCTCTGCCAAGTAGAGAGAAGCTGGCTGCCGATTTGAATAACAACCTGCTGCCTCCTCTCACTGGATACCTTCACAACAAGGACGAGTCTACCGTCAGCCTCCGTGTACCGGTGGCCGTATCCATTGTTAAGCTTATCAAAATTCTTCCAAAAGAACAGCTTTCAGAAAAGTTGCCTCCTGTCCTGACGGATGTTTGCAACATTCTCCGCAGCAAAGCACAGGAGTCACGGGACATGACACGAAAGACTCTCGCTGAGATCTCTACGCTTATTGGACCGTCATGTTTTGGCTTCATTCTGCAAGAACTCAGGGGTGCGCTCAAATTTGGATACCAGCTTCATGTGATGTCCTTTACGGTACACTCGATCCTGGTAGCCACTGCGCCAATCTATAAGCCGGGAGATCTTGACTATTGTCTTTCAGAAATCGTTGCCGTCATCCTGGATGACATCTTTGGCGTCACTGGGCAAGAAAAGGATGCAGAAGAATATATCAGCAAGATGAAGGAGGTCAAGAGCAGCAAGAGTTTCGATTCGATGGAACTGGTCGCAAAGACTACAAAGGTTACGCATCTTCCTCTCCTGATACGACCAATTCAACAATTACTGCGGGAAAAGTTGAACCTCAATATGGTGAAGAAGGTTGACGAATTGCTGCGAAGAATCGGTGTTGGCATTATGCGCAATGAGGATGTTAGAAGTCGAGAAATTTTGGTTTTCGGCTGGGAAGTGATCCAAGAAGCACACAAAGCTGCGAACCCTAGCTCGAACAACGAGCCCCAGGTCAGTGAGCAGGCCAGGCGATATCTTGTCAACCTGAGGATGGCAAGTAAGTCACAGAATCGCGGCAGCACCACTTCGTATGCGTACAAACTTGCGCGATTCGCCATGGAAGTTTTGCGATCAGTGCTGCACAAGCACAACACGTTGCAAACGCCATCAAATTTGGCTGGTTTCATACCCATCATTGGCGACTCCATGCTCCAAGCGCAAGAAGAAGTACAAATGGCTGCCATTCGACTCTTGACTACAATTATTAAGGTCCCGCTGGCGGAAATCGACCGAAACGCGCCTGTATATATCTCTGAGGCTGTCAAGATCATCAAGGCCAGCCCGTCGACCAATACGGAAATCGCTCAGGCCGCGCTGAAGTTGATTTCTGCAATCCTTCGCGAGCGACGGAGTATCAAGTTCAGAGACATTGATATTGCCTATCTTCTTGGCCGAGTCAAGCCTGACTTGGATGAGCCAGACCGGCAGGGTGTGACTTTCAACTTCCTCAAGTCAGTCATGGCGCGAAAGATTATCATTCCTGAGGTCTACGATGTGGTTGACACCATTGCTGCCATTCTGGTCACCAACCAAACACGAGTGTCGCGCGATCTCTCACGAGGAGTGTACTTTCAGTTCATCATGGAATACCCTCAAGCCAAGGATCGTTTGAGCAAGCAGCTGGCCTTTCTGGTCAAGAACTTGGACTACAAATACGAGGAAGGAAGACAGTCCGTCTTGGAAACGGTTCACCTGCTGGTCTCCAAGGTCGGCGATTCCCTCATCCAAGAAATCCTCGGCACGTTTTTCGTTCCTCTTGTGATGATGTTAATCAATGACACTTCCGCTTCTTGCCGCGAGATGGCCGCCGTGGTTCTCAAAGAAATCTTTGAACGAGCCGACAACGAAAAGACACAACTCTTCCTGAACCTCCTCCGAACATGGCTGAAGCAGAGCGATCAAGCACTACTCAACCGAGTTGCGTTGCAATGCTACTCTCTTTACCTCGAAGTCAACGGCACCAAGGGCGAAAACGAAGTGTCTCTGCTCCAGGCTCGCATTTATGAGATTCTCGAAGCCAACAACCACTCCCAAACCGAGGATTTCAACTGGGAACTCATCTACTTTTCCCTTCAGGCCTTCTCCAAGGTCTGCCAGCTTTTCCCGCAACGCGCATTCAGCGCCAAAGCCGGCCCCGTCTGGGGAGCCGTCCGCGCCTGCCTCTCCTTCCCACACGCCTGGATCAAATTGTCAGCGGCCAAGCTGGTTGGACTCTACTTTGCCGACTTTGCACGCACCAACGCCGAGCGTGGTCTGCAGCACGTTCCCCTAGCTGGCTCTGGCGGTCTACAACTCACAGACGAGGACATGGTCCAATTGACCCGCTCTAGCGTCGGCACGCTCAAATTCCCCGGCGTCAGCCAAGAACTCGCCATGCAAGCCGTCAAGAACCTCGTCTTCCTCAGCCGCTGCTTTGGCGCCAACAATCTCGTCTGGAAGTCTGGTCAGGACATCTCGCCCGAAGCAGCCGCAGAAGACGAGGAACTTTTGGAAGGCGAAGACGAAGCTGATGTCGATGCCGAAGACGCAATTGAAGAAGAAACGGACGCCCAGCCTCGTTCTCCAACACCCCAGACAAAGCTCGCACTGCAATTCCTCTTCGAGCGCCTCTCCGCCATCCTCCGCCGCGAAACACTAACCACGCGCGCCCCCTCGCTCGTTCCCAAGACCGCAAGCATCCAGCTCATCGCCGCGCTCTGCAACAACTTGCCCACCGAAGCGCTCACGCCGTGTCTGCGAACCATCTTGACCCCGCTGCACCACCTGACCGACCCGTCGATCCCCGCGCCCCATTCGACAGACCCTGACTTCAACGAGGCGTATAAATCTATCACCTCGACCGCGCAGGAAATCATGAGTCTGTTGCAGAAGCGGCTCGGGACCTCCCAGTTCGTCGCAGAGCTGAGTGTCGTGCGTGACGCGGTCAAGCAGCGCAGAGAAGGACGCAGGATTAAGCGCCGCATTGAGGCGGTCATGGAGCCGGAGAAGGTCGGAAAGGATAAGAGAAGGAAGTTCGAGAGAAAGAAGGTCAAGCAGAAGGAAAGAGGAGCAGAGCAGAGAGGTCGTCGGCGGGGATGGTAATTGAATGTGGCACTTTCTTTCGCATATGCATGTTTGCTGGAGTTTCATTTGTTGTCTCGGGAACTATCTCCTCTTAAATCAAGAACGGTTTTTTTCTTTTTCTTCTTCTATTTTCTTTTTTTTTGTATTTTGATGATTTTCTCAGTTTCTCAGTTTCTTGGCGCAGGATGGGTCTTACAAAAAAGTTTTTAACTGTCATCGTATGCAATATTAGTATCCAGTGTATATTTTTACTTGATATATTTGAATAATTTACCATACTTTGAGATCCATACATGTCGAGTCCCTTGATCCTTGAGTCTTAACGCATGAAAAAGCATCATGAGTGTATGAAAGTACTCTTGTTTGTATTGCCAAACTCCCAAGAAATCCCAAGGAAAAGAGGAGAGTCCATATAATACATCTCTCTATCTACATTTATCTAGTATACATATCTCCCTTTTTTTTCGACTCGAATCATTCGAATCGGCAACAGTGAGCAGTACCGACTTGTGCGCGCTCCCGCCTCGCTATATCTTACATGTCGTACATATTACACTTTTATCCGCCATTCCCTTTCTTGTTCGCCCGCACGTACATGTTTTCGCTGTCCTGCCATCCTGTATCGCAATCGCATTTTTGCAATTCTTTGCATTGGACCGACAAATTAAGAAGAGAGGCACGCTCATCAGACGACAAGAACAAACAGGCGTGGGTCGGAATTGAAAAAGGAGGCTGCTGAGGTAAATAACGACAAAAATTACTGAGTCTGGCGCTCAGTCGACGTGCCATCATCCCAGAACTCCACGTCGCCGTCTGTTCCGAGAGACCCCTTTTTCACGAGCTGGCCTTTTTCCCGCATCAGGTCTTCGATGGTCATTGGTTTGTCGGAGAAGATCTAGTGAGTTGACATGACGGATTAGCTTCTCGATTCCTGGTTTGTCTCCGCGGTCCTTCAATTGATGACAAAGTAGCAAAAAATGGGTTGCGGAGGAGGAGTATGGATGTGCACATGGAACACAAACATAAAAAGGGGGGGAGGGGGTTGAAGCTGGGAATAGAATCGCAGGAGGAGACAAGAGATACAGAGCAAAACACTCATGTAGGAAAAAAAGAAAAAGGGAAAAGGAGGGGGGGAAGTAGTATAGGAATATAACCTACCTTCAAATGATCACTGATAACATGCCGATTCTTACAACTCGGGCACGTAATCAGGACTGTGCCCTTATGATATCCCTGCTTCGACACGCGGTGCGCAGACCGATGCGAGCAGGGCTTGCACGTAAACGTCAATTCGTACGCGGGCTGTTGCTGCTTCTCCTGCTCCTGCTGCGCTTGTTCGCTCTGTTGTTGTTGTTGTTGCTGGCTATTCACTGCGGGCGCAGATGTACCGGATGAGGGCGCATCGCTGGCAGTCCATCGAGCGCATGTCGTCGACAGCGATCGCGAAAACGACGACGACGGAGAGGCGACGGAAGAGAGAGCGGGGATGTTGTGTCGCCGCAGATCCCGAGTCTGGTTGGCAAGCGAGAAGGATCGAGAAGATTGGAAATGACGCGGAGTTGTGCCGTTTCTTGCGGCGGCAGTGCAGGTGGTGCGTAAGGGAGAGCTGGATCCCCGTGCCAGCAGGGCGATGGAGTGGCGAGTAGATTGCATGACGTGAAGAAAGAGATGCGGGTGGTGTTCTGCGATAAGCCGGATGCGAAGGGTGGGGTGGGTAAGGGAGTGGTCGTGGGCGTGATAGGAGTTACTGGTATAGGAGAAATAATTTTGAATCTGGGATGTGAAAGTATGACGATGGTTTTGGTTTTGGTGTTGGAGGTTCGATGGGAGATGAGATTGATTGATTGACGGTGATAAGATATGTTATGATAAGATCCTACAGATCCTACGTCGATCTAAGGAATGGGTTAGGGTTTAGTTAGCGGTGGCAGAGGATTGGCATGGTCATGTATTGGATTTTGGGAGGGCTCAATATATAAATGAATTAAAGAAGTAAAAGTTCTTTGTATTTTAGATCAAGGCTACTATGGAACTGCCGCACAAGGAAATACGTCGAAATTATTGATCTGGGCGTTGCTCTATTCGGGAGCAGATCAAAACTTGGCTTTGAAATGATATTCGCTCACAGAGGTTATATTATGGTGATATATGAATGGAAATGTCTACACCAGAACGAAATACGCACTCGCTCTCATATTACGGTAATGACATATATAGATATGAAATATTGTCGGATGACGCGCTGAATGATGCTGTCTAGAGAAAAAATGATACCAAGTGAATACATAGAGGGTATAGAAACAGTGGGAATGATCATGATGCGCAGCGGCAGGCTGGGCGAGAAACCATCCAGAGGTCACAACGCTCATGTGCCAGTGATTGCATGGGATTATGGCTAGTTCAAATACCCAGTTTCGTGTCTACGAGCAGACTTCGACCTGGGCCCTCTTCCACGCCCGGCCCCAGATAATGTCCTCTTAGGACGGTGGTCGGGTGTAGCAAGCTCATCAGCAGACGTTGCAGAATCGTGATTACATACAGCATCTGTTGAATTTGAAGGCGTTGTTTTAGTTTCACTTGATGCTTCTCGTGGACGTCCAAGTTTCTCTTTCTCGTTTGCAGCGTTTATGAACAGGTCCCGTTGTTCCTTTGCGAAGTTTCTGGCATTCCTGAAAGCGCCGACACCTTGACGGAATTGGTCAATCGATCCAGGCAGGTACCAGCCTCCAATCTGGTTCATGTAATAGTTAGTCTTCCTTCCAGGAGCCTCGGATAGGCCTGGATGAACTGTGTATAACGTCAACGTGCCAGTATAATAAATTGAGACCAATGTGTAAGCGTTTCCATCGTACCCCAGGTCCGTGTCAAATGACTGTAAGTGAAGCATTGCTCTAGCACCCAAAGCGCCATCATATAGAGCTTGCCGTGTAGCAACTGTCATCAGCCCATCTGGTCCCTTGCCTTCGCAAAAGAAATTTGGTAGTATCGGAATGTGAAGCTGTCGTGACGGGATAATATAATGACTCAGCTCATTTCGAACTTGTTTGTTGAGTTGTTCTGCGCGCGCACCATCGTAGAAGTCTGGCTTGGCAGTGACCAGCTCGCGGGATAAAGGCCTCAGGTTTCCAAAGAGCTTATCCTCTTCACAGGGGATAGAAGAATCTCCTCGAATGATTGGGAAACATGAATTCATCAGCTTTGTCTCACTTCGAGCTTCTCTATGCCTTTCAACAAAATTCTCAAATCCTTCATCAGAGAATCGAGAAGGAGAGAGCGATAGTCTTCTTTTTCCCAAACGATGTTTGATAGCATCCCAGTTCTCTGGCTTCGGGTTGCGGCGGCCCGCTGGGTCACGGTATCCATCCGGGAAAATACCGCTATCGATGAGACATTGCTCAAAATTAGCGTCATATGCAGAGGACCTTTTCTCTGTTGTAATTGGCTTTGAAGGATCCGACGAGATACCACGCAGCCAATGTGCCGCATTGGCCCCTCTACCGGCGGACCTCGATCGACCTCTCGACCTTGACCTCCCTCTGGACGTCATGCCCGGCCAATACTAGTTAATATGTTAGATATGGTGAAACGTATGAACATGAAGCGATACGCACCCCTCTAAGGTCAGAAATATCAGGTCCTCCGCGTCGCGCAAATCGTTGCAAGCTTTCTATCTCTTCGATACCTACAGGTGGCAGGCTTCGTTCATGCAGTGAACGGCTGAAAGAAGGCGACGACGCAGCCTTAGATAGCCGTCTATCATGTTCTTTCAACGAATTCCCCGTAAGATATACCTTGGAAAGACTATCCCAGTATTCTGAACGAGCTGAGCCGTGGTCTTCCTTGGGGCTAGACTTCAGCCTCTTGGCGGGCGGAAGACGAGATTGAGCGTTTCGAGGATTTAATAAACAATCGTCTCCTCGGTGGGAGCGTCGTCGTTTTTTCCCGCGCGATGAATTTGGATACATAGGGTTCAGCGAAGAGAAAAGAAAAAGGGCATGTCATAATATATTAGCGGGTGCCACGATATACCCTGCGATTGGAATTGGAGATGTCGTTCCGTCTGGGGGTGGGGGCTGCTGCCTGCCTGCAAGTGGACGAAAGGAGTAAGTTAACTAATTGATTGGGTGTTGCTCAAACGGGAAAAATGGCCGCGAGTCAATAATGTCGATATATGGTAGATTAAAGTCCATTATATGGCTGCACGTCGAATAATAATATGGCAGCTAATTCATATTTGTGTTCCTGCTCCGTGGTGTTGAACTATGAACGGGGACCTCTTCTCCCCAGATCATCACGATCACGTGATATGACTTTCGGAAACTAGAGATAAGCTTAATAAATAGTTTCAGTTAAACTTCACTAAAGCAATGTCAATTCATCTAAGCAAACACAATCACTGCCTTGATGCAAATGGTCAAAAGCATCGGCAATTCAGACTTCCCACGTGGTCATTCAATGCTAGTTGACTTGCGGGGGCCTCGACAGGGATTAAACAGCTGAAATGGATAGCGACCCCGCCGATGGTATAATTTTATCACGGATTATTCGCAATCCGTAACCTAAGCCCGAGCTTTCTAGAGACGACTGCCATGGAGTGCAGCAACGAGTACTTGGCAGACATTGGTCTGGCAAGTTGACCAAATGTGTCAGGACAAAGGTTTGATCATGGATATACATCAGCATCTACATTAGGGCAAAACTGACTTGGATGACTGTCACTTTTACGGCTGGCACATACTTAGCTTGCAGCCTTGTCAAAGATTCCGCAGCTGTATGGGCGCTCTCTGATTGGTTCCAGCTCTTTCAGCGTGTCATCAACCGCCAATTATCAAGCTGAATGGTTGTTGTTCGCTGTAACCTATGTCATCAGATCTACGCAAAATACTGTGCACAAAATGGATAAGACTAAGTTGTCCGTGAAGGAAAAAATCGAGCATTATCGTCAACGCTTGGCAAAGAAGAATACCAGAGAGGTTCAGAATGGTGCGATAGGTAAAGCCAGTTCTCCGCCCGTTATCCATGCTTCCCAGATTGTAGTGTCTACGACGAACCGTAACACCTCAGAACCACAGTCTTCAGAAGCGTTAGGGAGTTCTGTCCAGGGACCAGCATCTGCCGTCCGATCTGGTGTCAAAAAATCACCTACTCCAAAGTCTGCGACTCTACAGAAGCCCACTCCGGCCCTTGATCCCGAGGCACTTTGGGACTTAGCCTATGATGCGCTCAAGGCGGAGGATTCAGAATTGCTCAACGACTACGAATCGATCCTGTCTCGCAAGCTTACCACCTCACAGGAAGCTGAGGGAAATGTCATTGCGCAGGACAACCAATCGGAGAGGCGAGTGCAGATGAAATGCCTTCTGGACGCTGAAATAAAAGGTTTGGAGAAGGCCGCCGGCGTCGAAAGGAAGGTTGGCAACGCGATACGTATCGTTCTGTCTGCCAAGAGTGCAATTGGCACAGCTCTAGACTCAGTTACGGTCGCGGCTCTGGCGTGGGCGGGTGTCTGCGTTGCGCTACAGGCAAGTTTTCGATCAAGACACAACAAGGGTCAGCACTCATCATGCTCTAGTTCTTTCTGAACCCCATCGAGGAGACGAAGGCGAATAGAGATGGGATCATCCAAGTCATTTATAATATGAAATGGTACTCGAGCCTTTCAAAATTCCTTCTTGAAGACACGGTCACATATGACAATCCCATTACAATGTTGCGTTCTGCCTTGGCCGATCTCATCCTTCACCTCTACAAGGAGCTCCTCAGGTACATGGTGAAGAGCATCTGTGCGTATAATCGGAATAAGCTACATCAATTCTTGAGAGGTATGGCTCAGCTGGACGACTGGAAGGGAGAACTTCATGGCGTTAATGTGGCCGAGAAGGCTGTCACGACTGCCGTCAGCGATTATACCGGGCGGCAATCCAATTCGTACTTGGCATTGATGGCCTGTATGCATGCTACCGAGCAGCAGAGTAAGGTCATGCAGCAGCTGTGCATAACGGACATGGGAGCGGAAATTCAGTCCCTCGAAGAACGTAAAGATCAGTTGGTCGCTGACGCTTGGCAATGGATCCTTGACACAGAGGACTACAAGGAATTCGTGAAATGGCCGGACAGCAACCTGAAACAGCGTTTATGGATTAAAGGCGATGCGGGAAAAGGAAAGACGATGCTTCTGGTTGGCATCATACGCCACCTGGAAGCCCAGCTCGAAACGCACCCTGATCAGCCTAATCTGTCATACTTCTTGTGCCAGGGAACAAACGATAAATTAAATACAGCTACTGCAGTAATGAGAGGATTGATATGGATGCTTATACGGCAAGAAAAGACGCTTGTGCGACACGTGGAAAAGGTGTACAATGATCTCGGCTCAACGCTTTTTCAGGATCATAACTCCTTTTACAACCTGAAACAGGTTTTTTTTTCCATGATCAAAGATGATAATTTGAAGCGAGCATTCTTGATCGTTGACGCACTGGATGAATGCCTCACCGAGGAGCCAGGGCTTCCGCAACTCTTGCAGTTTATCAATGAAACGTCGAGGAACAATGATAAAATTAAGTGGCTCATTTCAAGCCGAAACGATTCTGAGATTGGATCGGTGCTTGCCCAAAGCCAAGCGGGGACAACGCTCTCTCTTGAACTCAATTCCGAGTCAGTTGCCGGTGCTGTCAAGGCTTACATTGAACATAAGATGGATGACTTCAAGCAAAAACACCGCAGGGCTTTCGCGGCGAGCAAAGACCTGTCTCGTTACAACAAGCTGGCAGGCGTCCTGGAAAGAATTAGCAAAGAACTGCTGCAAAAGTCTAATGGTACCTTCCTCTGGGTAGCATTAGTGTTCAAACAAATGGAAGGATGCAGAGCATACGAAATCGAAGACGAATTCTTGAAGCTAGTGAAGAATCTTCCTCCAGGACTGGACCACCTCTATTCAGCAATGATGCGTCGCTTACTGAACTCTCGAGATGCTACGCTCTGTACTCAAGTTCTTTTGATCACGTTCAATGCTTACCGTCCCCTCCACATCTCTGAGCTGGCCATGCTTGCCCAGCTACCAGATCTGGCAATTCATGAAGAGATTGTGGCAGCTTGCGGCCTGCTTACCATTCGACAAGATGTTGTCTACTTTATTCATCAATCTGCAAACGATTACCTCGGAAAGTTCAAAGCTGAGATTTTACCTGAGATCTTTCCCTCGGGACTTGCGCAAGGCCATCGCGTCATGGTGACGCGGTCATTGGACGCCTTGTCAGACTTGAAGAGGAACATTTATAATTTGGATTATCCTGGCTGTCCTATCGAGGAAGTCAGAGTTCCAGACCCAGATCCCCTTGCTTCAGTTCGCTATTCTTGTGTCTATTGGATTGACCATCTTCGTGAAATTGAAGAGAGACAGGGTGAAGTTGGCCTCTCTGATGACGGCGCGACTCATCAGTTCCTGAAGAAGCACTTTCTCCACTGGCTTGAGGCTCTGAGCCTAATCAGCAGCATATCGGAAGGAATCCTTGCCATATTGAATCTTGTTGAATTTCTTGCCGTTAGTCCATACCAAAACACCCAACCCATTTCATTCTAGTACACTGACCTAATTTAGCAAACGTTATCCGAGTCAGAACTTCTTCGCCTCGTTCAGGATATGCGGCGGTTTGCGTTGGATCATAGAGATGTGATCCAGAATTTTCCCCTTCAAGTCTATGGGTCGGCTCTAGTGTTCAGCCCTTCTTGTAGCTTGATCCGAAAGCTTTTCGAGAGGGAAGAGCTACAATGGATAATTTCTAAGCCGATTATGCAGGATGACTGGGGCGCCTGTCTCCAGACTTTTCACCACGGCGGCCACTTCGTTTTGTCAGTTGCCTTCTCGCCAGATGGTGAGCGAGTTGCATCTGCATCGGCAAATGGTACTGTCAAGGTCTGGAATTGTAATAATGGAGCATGTCTCCAGACACTTCACCATGATAAGGATGCCAGTTCAGTTGCCTTCTCACCAGACGGTGAGCGGGTTGCATCTGCATCAGAGGATTGTACTGTCAAGGTCTGGAATTGTAATAATGGAGCATGTCTCCAGACACTGCACCATGATAAGGGTGCCACTTCAGTTGCCTTCTCACCAGACGGTGAGCGGATTGCATCTGCAGCAGAGGATGGTACTGTCAAGGTCTGGAATCTTTCCAATGGAACCTGTCTCCAGGAGATGCAACACAACAATGCAGTTCTTTCGGTTACTTTTTCACCAGATGGCAAGCAGGTTGTATGTGCATCTTGTGAGCGGACTGTCAAGGTCTGGGATTGTAATAATGGAGCATGTCTCCAAAGTTTCCGAAATGATGGCCCAGTAGATTCAATTTCCATCTCACCAAACGGTCAGCAAATTGCAACAACTGCATCAGATCATGGTAATACTGTCAAGGTGTGGGATCTTTACAATGGAGCCTGTCTCCAGAAGATGCAACATGACAATCAAGTTGATTTGGTTGGCTTCTTGCCAGATGGTCGGCAGGTTGCATTCATGTCAGGCAGTCCCTCTGTTATTGTCAAGATCTGGAACCTCAACAGTGGAATCTGCCTGAAGAAGCTTGAACTCGAAAACCTGGCTTTTGACGGCGCGTTCTCCCCAGATGGTCAACAGGTTGCAACTGTATTAGTTGCTACTGTCAAACTCTGGGATCTTAGCAGTCACAGACCGTGCCTCCAGACATTTGACCACCATGGCCAGAGAGTACATGGAGCTCTTATCTCACCAAACGGCCTGCAGGTTGCCTCTTTTAGTTCTCAAACTATCAAGCTTTGGGACTCTAAAACGAGCACCTGCCTCCTGACACTTTACCATGAAGGTGATTGGGTTTCTTCGGTTGCATTCTCACCTCATGGTCACCAGGTTGCATCTGGATCAAGTAAAGGAACGATTCGGATTTGGGATCTTCAGGATGGAGCCTGTCTCCAAAGATTTAACGATCACGAGGAAGAGGTAAGGTCAATTACCTTCTCACCGGATGGGTGGCGGATTATATCTATATCGCGTTATGAGACTGTCAAAACCTGGGAAGTCGATAGTGGAGCATATATCCAAAGTCTCGAGAGACATCATGGCAAAGGAGTTTCTCAAATCATTGTCTCACCCGATTGTCAGCGATTTGCAACTTTATTAGACGGTGTTGGCCCTGCTGGCCTTGACATTATCAAAATCTGGGACTCTGGCAATGGATCCTGCCTTCAGACACTTAAAGCCCGTACCAGTCTATTTGCATTTTCCGCCGATGGTCAATGGCTTCTAACTGCCTCAGATGTAGGGCCTACCAAGCTTTGGGATCTCAACAATGGCACCTGTGTCCAGATACTGGAAAATATAGGATTTCGTCACATCTACAAAACATCATTTGATATGGATTGTTTGTCCTTTTCGACGGATAGAGGCACCGTTTTAATAGATCTCTCGCCAGCTTCACCCGTCACATCGAGTGGAACACAGCCGTTGAAACTACATTATCGAGGCTACGGTTTGAGTGCTAATCAAGATTGGATCACGTGGAATGGTCGAAACGTCCTTTTCCTTCCATCGGAATATCGATTAGTTGATAATCGTTCTGGAGAAGTTCATTCGTTCAATATAGTCATTGGATCTCTTTCAGGTCGTGTTTTAATCTTTACATTTTCTTCAACGGTTTTTCCTTTCTGATTTATCTACCCCTTCTTTTTTTGCCATTTGCCCTTTAGCCTTTGGTTTACTTCGCTTTTGTTTTCTGCAATTGTTTCGTTTTTAATAGCTTCCTCGTTCAATCATCCAACATTCCCTGCATGCACGGGCTTGATGACCTATCAATTGCGATCTTTGACTCGGAGTTCCAAACCAGTTCAGTCCGATACTTTACCAAAACAGTTCCAACGCGAGAGGCTATAAATAGAGCAAAAGAAGGATGGAAGTAACACGGCTGTATGGCGCACTCGAGTTGTGCCATTAGATCGCTCTTTGACTCCTGGAGTCCTGCAGGCCTGGGACCTGACCCTGACCACAGACACGACCACAACTCCGATCTTGTGACTTTGCGATCTTGCGACTTTGTGTTTATGTTTTATATTGTGTCTGTCATTCGCGCTACCACCAGGCCACGCCATCCAGGCCACGCTTCACTCCTCACCCCTCCCCCTCAACTGACAGCCGCGGGACCAACCTCATGAGATCCGCCCCCTCCTCAGCGAATGCTCTATCGACGCAGTGCCTTGATCTTTTGTCAGTATCACTTGTCCAATGAGCAGTTTGAACCTCCTGCATCCATTAAACCCTTGAAGAAAGGAAAACTCTACGAAGAATCTAGTTGCGGATTTTTACTTTTCTTTTTTATTTTTTTTATTTTCTTTTTCTTTTGTAAGGTTATTCTGGTTTTTTCTCGGGCCCGGGTTGGAGGTTTTTGGACCCAGTGAGAGGAGGAAGTTCAGAGGAGGATACGGAGGGAGGGAAGTCGACGCCGGAGAGAGGCCCGCTGAGAATAGGGACGGGGCGGGGTGCTGCAGAGGTAGAGATGCGAGATGCGAGATGTGAGGTGCGCGAGGCGGAGGTACTAAGAAGTGAAGAAGGAAAATGACTAGACAAAAGAAGAGTAGGAGGAAAGATGGACGACGAAGGAAGAGAAAAAGAAATTTTGAACCAAGGGGAAGGGGAGGGAAAAGGAGAGAATAAAGACATCCATGCTGCATTGCTGCCATACCATACTATACGCCGTGATTCGTAACTCGTGACTTGACTCCGAACGCTACAATGAGACTCGCAATGTGACTTGCATGACTTGCAACCGGACGTCAGTCAATCTCATCTTGATAGTTCATTAATATGACTGTCCATGAAACATGTCTTTTCTATTTTTATTCAATTTTATTTTATTCGATTTTTCTTTTATTTATTCGTTGATTTATTTAGTGACTTGGTTGATACTCATCTCTTGATGATATAGCTACAGCCAGCAAGCACAAAGTACTAAGCGCGAAGCTATATACCTAGCCATATACCTAGCTAGCTGAAACTCGGACAAGACATAGAGCTAGAGAACTAAGACACCAAGAAAAGTTACAGCTGGGACAGAGAGGGTACTGTAACAGTGAACAGTGAACAGTGACAAGGAAGAAGTAGATATGAGTGTCGTGTCAAGTGTTTAGCAGTATGGTAGGATAATAGGATAATAGGATAGCAGGATGGTAGGTAGGCAGACAAGTTATATGGAGGTACGAGATATCTTATGAGCGATGAGCCAGAGTAATGAGCAACAAGCAATGAGCAATGAGCAACGGTGAGAATGACACGTTACACCCCAGAAACGAACAAGGAAAGAATAAGAAAAGAAGGGGGGTGTGGAAGAAAACAATGGATGAATAAGAGGGATGACAAGGAGGCGGGAAAGTAAATAATGGATAAAAGAGAGGGATGACAAGGGGGTGGGAAAATAAAATAATGGACAAAAAAGAGCAAGAAAAGAAGAAATGCAAACAGGAGGGGAAACAAAAAGAAATAATGGATAATTAAAAGCAACCACCAGACTATGCCAACGCACACTGGGTTCCATTCTGCGTACAAAACACCATCTGCACCGGCCCGGCACCAATGCCCCTCGCGACCAGCCGCTCCCTCATCTCCGCCAGCCGCGGGCTCGCCTCGACCTGGCTTCGATTCTGGCCCTGCGCATCTTTCGCGCCCGACCACAGCACCTCCGCCGCGGCCGCCGCACGGGGCCAGAGCATACTATCGAGAATGACCGGATCGGTCTGCTCGCTCCAGATATGCACCTCGCCGCCGAGCACCAAATGAGTTGCATTATCAGGCACCCCCGCTAGGGGATCATACGAGTATACTAATCTCCAGTTCTTCGTCGGGGAGCAGTAATCCGCGTACGGCCAAAACGAGCTCTGCGCGGGACCATAGAAATCGAGCCACTGGCCTTTTCCGCAGTCGAGGTACCAGTAATTGTAGTTTCCCGCTAGGGCTTTGTGTCCCTTGCTCACCGTGTCTGCGACGGAGGCGTCGGAGAGCCATGTCTGCACGATAACGGAGGAATCGAGAGTCAGGTTCCAGACGAGAAGCATTTCCTCCCAGACAAGGGGCGTCATGCCCTGTGCGAGAATGCGGGCGTGCATGTTTGACACAAAGTCCTGGAGCAGGGGCTGGATGACGGTGGTGGAGTTGGACTGGACGGTGTCGTCAAGGAGGTACGCGTTGACGTTGACTTCGTCGCCGCCGGTGTGGAAGGCGCTGCTGAAGGGCGATACGCGGGGCAGGAGGTCGGCGAAGAGGGCGTCGATGAATTGCGTCACGGCGGTGGAGTTGAGTTTGAGCTGGCCCGAGGGCGGCTCGGCAGAGTAGGTGTCCCAGTCCGGCTGGACGTTAAACGCGGTGATGAGTTCCGGGTAGGCGAACCAGATGGAGGCGGTGTGGCCGGGCGTGTCGATCTCAATGTAGACTTCGACGCCGCGGTACGCGCCGTAGGTCTGGATCTCGGCCAGGTCGTCGGGCGAGTAGGTGTAGCCTGTGCGGTAGGAGCCTTTGAGGGCGAGGTCCGGCAGGGACGGGATTTCCAGGGGCCAGGACTGCGCGTCGGTGGCGTGCAGGTGCAGTCGGTTCATCTTGTTGTAGGAGAGTGCGTCGATGGTGCGCATAATGTCCTTGGGCGTGTAGTAGTTGCGTGCCACGTCCATGTTGAGCCCGCGGTGGACGAAGACGGGGGCGTCGGAGATGGTGACGGGGGCGTAGGGCGAGTAGACGCCCGCGCCGCGGTGGGAGTGTTGGTAGAAGAGCTGCGTGAAGGTTTCCAGCGCGCGCAGGATGCCAATGGGTGTGACGCTGGTGATGTTGACAGCGCCGTCGGCGGTCACGAGGAGGGTGTAGGATTCGTCCAGTTCGCCGTCGGTAGGGTGGAAGAGGTTGTTGTTGTCGGAGGAGGAATTTGATGATGAGGTAGTCTGGTTTTGGTAGATGCTGACAGTCTTGATAAATACCCTGCCGTCGGTCACGGCGGGTTCAAAGTCAGAGTGCCGCGGGTGGAATTTCCAGGGGATAAAGTTTTCGGTGAAGATGGTATAATATGCCCTGTCCACGGCCGCTTGGACGACGGCGTGAGCAGAAGCAGGATTTGAGTTGTCTTGGCTGGAGTCGGAGTCATGACTGCTGCTGTTTTGGTTCTTGCCCTTGTCATTGGGCTTGTCTTCATTCTCATTCTGATTGTTACTTTGATTCTGGAGAGGGGGGTTAGTATTATAGTTTGCTTGGATCTGCAGCTGGAGCGCTGATTGCGACTGCAATTGCAACAACTGGGATTGTGCAAATGATGGAGAATAAGGCAAGGAACACTGTACATTATCCCCTACTCCATTGATATCAAACCGCACATCGGGACTGAGCCAGACCACAGACGTCCCGTTGCTGTAATTTGATGGGATTGGCCAAAGCGCCGAGACAGAGGGGAGCAAAAGTGACAATGAAAAGAACGCAGAAAGCAGCAATGATTTCATCATCAACGCAATGTCGGTTTGTAACTTGATGTTGTGGTTCTCATTCAATTCATTTGACGTTTACAACAACAATAACAGCCATCAATTGTCAATTGAACTTTTGTTCAGTCTGGACTCTGGATAAAATAAGAGAAAACAGAATCAGAGACGGCACTGCAAGGTGTCCGTGACGGTTGTGACGGTCGTGGCCGTTGTGACCGATGAGCGTTAAACTGCAAAAGAATGCCAAGTGCTGCAGGTTACCACGGTAGACCCTGCGATGCCGGCACCACTGCGCCTAGACGTCCGTGTCCTCGTGGAGCTTGGAGCTTGGAGCTTGGATCTTGAATCTTGGATCAAGCGTAGGCTCGTAGCTATAGTTTATCGTATACTATATCGTATATCGGCGGGGTAACGTTGAAAAGATTAAAGGCAACCCTCTGGGGGTAACGTATCACTGTGGATACGCGAGGATTGTGCAGATCTATTCTCATGAACCATGGGACAGGAGGGTTTAGATGAACTCCCTTGGTTCTTGGCGAGGCTTCAATTGTTTCTTTTGTGTTTATTTTATTTTATTTTTATTTTATTTTTGGTTCTTTTTCTGTTATTTTTCTGTTCCTTTTTCACTGTTCTTTTTTTGGTTTATTGTTTTTTCTTGGCTAGCACCCTCTAATGCCTCCGCGACTTCTCAAGGGCAAATGTGTTGGATCGTGGAGGTTACTCGCCAACGTTGCAGACACCGGTGAACGTTAAACCCCAAAGGTATAACTAGGTAGGTAGGAGGGATGCGGGGTTTCTGGGCAGAGTTTATCCTTGTGGTAAAATGCCACACCTTTGGGGTATTAAGATGAGTATTAAGGTGCGGCAGAAGATGTAACCTGTAGCCTGTAACCTGTAGCCTGTAACCTGTAGCCTGTAACCTGTAACCTTTGCGCTGGGCATTTAAGATACAGCGTCACCGGCTGCGGCAGAAGGAGGAGGGTGGGCAAGGAGGAAAGAAGGGAACCGGACCCAGAGAGCAATCGGCCATAAGCAATTGAATACTCTGTACTGTACTCCGTACGACAATCTCTTCTCTTTAAATTGCTTGAGACGAGAAAATGCCTGAGAGACAAAAATTGCTCGAGAAACAAAGAAAGATCATGGATCTCGCCTGTGACCTGTCATGTCTATCAACTCCCCGACGTGACTATCCCAATTGACAATTGACAATTGACATTTGACATTTGACATTTGGCTTTGACAGAATGGAGCAGGGGAGCCAGCTTTATCCCGTCGTGAGCTCGAGCTCCAGAGCTAGGAGTACCGACAGTATACTACAGTATACTCCAAAAGTGCAATCACACTGACACTGACGCCAAAGACATCCTTGATCATAACATACAGAGTACATCCACGTCAAATGCATCGACAGATACGACGCGACCATTATCATAGACAGGCATTGTCCCTGTTCTTTACCCCGTACTGCGTCACTTATCCCTTTTCACTGAATCAATCCTTTCAGGATGGGACAACACCGAACATTCACAAAAGCACGCACACGCGGAAGCACAAGCATCGACGCAGAGCACAAGGCACGCGACGCATGACATATAACACATGAAAAGACACTTCGTTTAACAACCACACAACACGTCATCTCATGATAGGCAATACATGCAAGATACCGAATATCATTGTCTAACTCGTTTTTTTCTCAACTTGCATGGTCATCATTCGTAAAGAAGATAAAAAAAAAACACAACAAAAGTCCAGGTCAGTCTCGTCTCAGACGAGAACCCGACCGCATTTTACTTTCCTCTTTACGACTCAACTTCAGGCTCCACTCATCGTGAGACCAGCTCCACGAGAACTAGTAACCCAAAAGTTCAAAAGAAAGAGGAAAAGAAAAATGTCAGACCCTTCGCTATGCTGCTGCTGCTGCTGCTGGCTGCAAAAGAAGAAAGTAAAAAGTTGAAAAAAAGATCATAATGCAAGTAAGCTAAATGAAGCAAATAATGCGTGGTTTGGAACCCGCTTTGAAAAATCGAAGATGGTGATGATGAAGATGATGCAAAATCTACATGTGATCAGCTCAAAGACCACCAACCAGAACCAATCCTGTATTGACACGAGTGCAGGCCGGAAAGCAAATCTTTTTCGTAACTGTCGTCGAAAGAAAGGTGGAGACAAGTATGAGAAAACGATTCCCCCCGTTATCCAACCTGACCATTCCGTAGTAGCTCCGATAGATCCCATGCAGAAAAATTTCATCACATCACTATAATGATCTTGCTCATCCAACTGATACCTCCCCCAATATTCACACCAAAGACAAGTCTAAGAACTCCCAGAGAAACAATGGTCTAGTTGAAAAGTTGACAGACAGACATTGCTTAGTTGCTGTTGTAGAGCGAGCCGAGAGCCGAGAGCGCTTCGCCCTCAATGAGCATGCCGTCGGCAACCATAAAGTAGGCGTAGCGCTCAACATAGTCTTGGGAGTCGAGCCAGGGGAGCATCTGGGAAAGGAAATCCTGAGTGTCTCCAGAGGTGGGAGCAAACTGAAACGGAAAAATAAATTAGCCATTGCCAAGCCAGATTCGATCCAATCTACAGCTTACCTCAGTAACCCAGATGGGCTTGTTGAATTGCTTCCAGGCGGTTTCAATGTGGCTCTGGAGGTCAGATGCCTCAATACCGTACCAGTGAAGGTTGATATAGTCAATCTGGCATCCATCGCAGGCCTCAATAAAGTTGCCCAACCAGGTGAGACCCATCTGGCCACCACCGTTGGTGACTGCGGGGGAACCAAGCTTAGCCTTGCCAGCGAAAGGCATCATGTACTGCTTGTAACCGCTAGCGGCGTCGGAGGGAGACAGGTTGGATTGGGAGCTCTGGTCGGGCTCGTTGAATCTAATGTCGTTAGTCAATAAAGTTCAGTGGCCAAAGGGGGGAAATAAGAAGGTAAATAATAAACATACGACATGAGGTGGGTGGCACCATTCTCAATGGCAGACGAGGCAATCTCGCTCCACTGACTGGTGAAGTCGGACGAAGTGCCCCAGAGCAGAGGAACGTAGTTGAAGGAGTTGCTCAGACCGCTCGAGGAAGAGCCCCAGTTGTAGCCCCAGGAGACCTGAGAAGATCCCTCGAATCCGTCGCAGAGCGCGGCGGAATTGTATGCAAGACCACGCTTTCCGTTGCCCGAAGCAGTAGGTGTAGCAGAAGCGGAGCTGCTAGTGGAAGACGCTACAGTCGAGGATGCGGCAGCAGTGGTGGTGGGAGTGGTCGACGTGGTCGAAGAAGTCGAGGAGGATGCGGCCGCAGTGTAGAACTGGCCGCCAGCAGCAGAAGTGGTGCTGGAGCTAGGGAGGGCCGACGAGGATGCCACGGAAGAGCTTGAAGGCGCAACATACGACGAGGAAGACGGGTTCGCAGAGGTCGAAGCTGCCGCAACCTCGGCAGACGAAGACGAGGGGGGAGCGGCGTAGCTGCTGGCCGAAGGAGAAGCGTAGCCGGAAGAGGGAGCGTAGCCGGTGGAAGCGGCGTATCCAGTGCCCCATGACGAATGCTTCGAGTGCAGAGACAAGTGGCCGTAACCGTGCGAGGACGAAGCTTGCGCGGGAGCCAGATAGGAAGAGCTCGAGGACGAGGCAGCTGCTGCAGCGGAAACCGTGGTGGTCACGAGATTGGTGGCAGTCACAGTGACGGTTTGGGGAACAGGGCAGCTGCCGACAGAGCTTGCAAGGACAGAGGAGCTGAGAGCCGCAGCGGAAGCCGAGGGAGCAGAGGAAGAGGTGGGCTCGACGGTGACAGTGAAGACCTCAGTCGTGGTGGACGAGTGCAGATTGGTCACGGTCGTCTTGGTGGTGTAGGCGGTGCCAGCAGCAGAGCCCGAGGACGCGACTGAAGCGGTGCCGTTACCCATTGAGTAAGGACCAGAGCCCCAACCACCAGGAGATCCAGTGGGGTTCTGGCCCGAGGGGAGAGCCATGGCAGCAACAGCGCCGAGGGAAAGAAGACCGAGATGCTTGAGAACAGACATGGCTGATGAGTCTTTCGAGATGTGAGCGAGGGCAAGATGTTATTGTTGTTGTTGTTGAAGCTGTCGATGTTTGTTTATCGAGCAAGTGATTGCAGTAAGACGGGGGCTGTCAACAGCAGAAGGATCGAAACAAATTCGCAAAGTCGACAATTGGATACCAACCAGTGGCACCTTCAAAGACACAACACGCGGGTGCTTTGGGAAAGGATGTTGGGGGATTGGGAGAAAGGATTGAAGCGCTCGACAGCACGAGAAGCGTCGAAGCAGATGGGCAACGATAGGCCTAGAGAAAGGAACGAGCGAATGCTCTAGTTGAAAGGGAGCGACAGCAGCGCAAAGGATGCAGCAGACGAGAGAACGTAGGCGTCGACGGAATGGGAAGAAAGGGAGGAGAAGGAGGATTGGGGGGGGAAGGATGAGTCTTAAAAGGGAGAGAGAGAGTGTGAGAGAGTGAGAGAGGGACGGGACGGGACAGGACGGGGAACCGACAGGGCAGCGAGTGAATTTGAAAAAGGCTGAAATGAATTGACTGGGGGGGTTGTTGAAGCGAAACCCAATCTGGAGAGGGGGGAAACCGACAACAACACACGGCAAAGGAAAAGAGAGTGTGCGTGTCCCTGTGTGGGTGTGTGGGTGTGTGTGGCTCGAGCGAAATACTTGTACAGAATCGTAACACTGCTTTTTCAAGATTTAATTTGCATGAAGCAGCCTTTATAGCTATTCTATTGTATCGTGATTGATTGATTCATTGATGGACTGACAGTCCCCACGTCTCTGTCTCACGCGGCTCATCTTACTCCATGTGTTTGTATCAGACGTCGAAGATGCAATCATTTCCAAATCTCATCATTCGTGCCGCATGTTCTTTATCGTCGTCATCATCGTCGAACTTTCTCAACTGTTTGAAGTTTCTTCCTCCCGATGACTGTGATCCACCCACCCATCTTCCCTTCTCATGCATCGTTGTTCTCGCGCGCCTGCATGAGGGGGCGCTGTTCGGGTGTCTGAGCATCTGGCCCAAGAGAAACCCCATTCATGTGGATCATCTAACGTGGACGGCCCAAGAGAGGAGGGCGGTCAGTGGGCGTTAGACTGGCTGCCGTCGGAGCTTTAGGTGACTCTGGTGTTGCGCTCCGACGACTTACCGGTCCATCACCCGTGCACACGGGCCCGCCAAGAGAGAGCGAATGGGAAATCATTCGGTCGATCCTCTCGTCTCTCCAGATTTTAATCATTTTTCTTGATTCTTCTCGTCAGCTTCGATCCTTTGATTTCGCTTTTCCCCTTTCCTTTCGTTTTCATCTCCGGTCTGGCTCCCGTGTTTGTGCGTTGGAATCACCTTAGACCCTGGACGATCAAATCCTACCAATTGGTAAATGTGGTCGAGGGCGGTCAGCCACTAGTCAGGTACCGCCATCCGCGATCCAATCACTTTGATAGAGAACTCGGGTACCTGAGTGGTTCGATCACATCATTGGCTCAACCCCAGTCACTCCCCAACGACCGGCTTCTTTTGGCGCGTTTCGCCTTGTCCCGTGTATAACCATGGTCGCCCCCTAACTATCGTCTCTGTTCAATCGACCCGAGGGCTTTCGACTCGGACGTTTTCCTCACCTTTAGTCCATCCGTAGTAGCTCCACTCACTCTCGTTCTGATATCGAGTAACATACTCCGGTACAGTTTCCCTGTGCTTTGCTACCTCGTAAACCTCTCCGTAATCTTTCATCGCGATGACACAGCCTTAGCACCTTCAGAGCAATATTGGTTGTGTAAAAGCATCACATTAGCTCTCCCTTTTCATTCCATATCGCTTGCTACGGTGTTCACCGAGAGCTGTAACTCCGAGCCATCATCGTCATGTCTTGCATAGCCACGATATGGCATCATTTTTTCCTGAGACTGTCAACAACAATATCATTCTCTCTTAAACAAAAACGCCGCCTTTGACATCACTTCATTGCTCGCCGCATACCTAATGCCAAGCTTTTTCCCTTCTTCCGATCGGCCACAATGTCTTGGGCTTAGAAACCCTTCTCCTTTATCGGCAATGGCGCACGCGCTTCATGCCATCGGGACATTTCACATTCCAGTCAAATAACGTTACCGCATTCCGCCGTTGCCAATAGTGACAACTATTGAAGAGTTCGCTGTAGAGTTATCATAAAAGGTACAACTTGTGCTCTTTTCCAGCATCAATGCACGAGCTGTTCTGTTGCTTCAACTTAGACATTTTGGTTGGTGCGATCTCCTCAATTTCCGTAGTGCGCAAATTGTTATCAGCTATAGCATCGAGTCGAGTTATCCCCGAACAAACAAAAAATTTCAGTTTGCACAGAACAGTCGGCATGAGCGTTCTCGAAGCATCATGAAAATGACCGAAACAGATGGCCAACATAGTAAACGACGATATTTGCATAATATTTCCGTGCCGTTTAAGAAACAAGATAGACCCACAGTGTGTTCCAGACCTTCCGCTGTACTCACTGTAGTGGATGCATGGGGGATAATATGTTCCGGCTTTCGGGAAGCTGAACCGATTAATGGGACAGTACCTGATTTCAGTAGCGTTGCTTCGGCGTACTTGATAGCCAAAAGAGACCCCTGTCTTTCAGTAAAAGGCGTTCTGTAGTGCGATTACCGCGTCCACGTAATCCATGCCTCCGTCTTTATCAGTAGGCGCCAAGGCAAAACACCGTTATGGCCTGCCGTGTCGCACCACCTTTTTCTTTCCTATGAGAGTGGATCTCCATCGAACGGCTCAGTTAGAGTACCTTCGGTAGGTGAGTAGTGTGCTGTATTGTTGGTTGCGCAGCCATGTGGCAGGTGTGGAGCAAGCACAAAGTCTCCATTTTTCGAGGCACAGAGCGGCAGAAGTGGAAAATGGTGGAGGAACAAGTAAATAGAGCGGAGGATGTGAAGCGGCAGTAGTGCCGAAACAAAAGCCCCCACTCTAACCACTTAAGCGAAACACGCTTCCCCAATTGGTCCCCGCAGTTATGCCAGCTGTCGCTCTTGCCTGTTATCTTTAACTGTAGCGACCATGGCTGAGCCCACTGCACTGACTCAAATACCATTCATTCCATCTACGTCTACCGGAGTACCGACTGCTGCCTCACGCGGACACTTAATGTTTCAATCTTCCTGACAACTTTTCCCATGAACATGATGGATTTTCCGTGAGACCTGTTCTCTATCCCATGTCTCAAAATCACGTGGGAGATCGTGTCTCTACCCAAGCCCAGGGCAAAACCAGTCCTGAGGAAAAATGATATACTGTCTCTCACCGCTTAGTCTGAAACACAGATCTACAACACGCCAACATATGCATGAGCACCGGGGAAGAAAACACAATCATGCCCGGGCCATCGGAAACAGACAGCCATGCAGGGCAGTCGGAACACTGACCATCTGAATGCAGCGTTGGCCTCCCAGGACGCAGTAGAGATCTCTGTGCGTAAATGTCCACAATTACAGAAATCCACATGCATGCACGTAAATCGATAGGAAGAAAATATGTACACCCAAGAGGGGAAAGAAAAAGAAATGTATGTGTCGAATATGCACACCCATCCGAAACACCAGGATCCGATCGATAAGAAGAGAAAGCGGGGCAAAAAGAAAAAAGAAGAGGCTTTTGTGCAACAGTTGAACAAAAACGGCAAAGTAGAGTGTCTGAGGCGAGAAAGAAGAGTCAAAACCCGAGACTCTGAAGAATACCAACAACAGGGAGAACGTATGCTGATGACGGGGCAAAAACAAAGGGCTGAGACAACATGCTCCATACAATACGCTTGCCTTGCAAAATACGTACAAATGCCTTTGAGAAAAAGCCCGTGAGGATGTGGAATAGACCAGTGACCACGAGGTAAAAAAAAAAAGGTTTGGAAAGCCCGAGGACCAAGGAAAGGGACGAAAAGAGAAATTTTTTGAAACAAGACGCAGGGATTTTGGCAAAGCCAGGACAAAAGTCTTCGGTCCAGTCGATGCCTGAATTCGTCAAGTCATCATGTTCATCCATACCGAACCCGCGCCTATGAGAATTGAGTATTGTCGCTGGGCAAGAAGCAGCGATAATCATGGCCGGAATAGCCGGAAGAAAAAGCAGGAAACAACATGATTTAGATACTAAACCACAGGGGAAGAAATAAACCAAACAATGAATTACGCCACTCTATGCAAGATAGCGATATGCAGGCCGTTCAGCATCTTCCACTCGCTCAAGGTACTCGCGTTCAATCAGGCTCTCAATTCGCTTCTTGACCATATTCACGTCCGGTACAAAGCGACTCGCCAGTTGCGTAATGACTTCTGTGATAAGCTGCTGATGCGAAAGTTCTTTTCTCTGCCTATAGAGTTACACATCCGTTAGCATTCGGTCTGCTTTTGAAACTCAGTGCCCCTCTCTGTTGCTTCTTTCAAACTTTGGCATCGATAAGGGAGGGAAAGAATATGACATGTCACGTACTTCATTGTTCGCACAATGGCAGCTTCTATTGTGCCACCTCGCGAATCATTATTTTTCTTTTCCGTCTCCTTGCGCTCTTCTGTACCTTCGACCTTGTTGCCGCTCGACACCACTCCCACCTTGATCTTGAGAAATTTGCTGTGGAAGTTCTCGTTAAAGTAAAACTGGTCGGTAGGCTTGATATCCTTGCTCATTGGCTCTTTGATGAGGATCCTTGTCTTGGGTGCCACCGCAAGCGATTGTAAGTTCCGAATCAATTCGTTGGTTGGAATATTTGTTCGTCCCTGAACGTCTTCAAACGTGTAGCTTTCACCAGGAGGCAAATCGTTGAACAACAGGAGAATGACCATGGCATAGGTTGAGACATTGAGCTCATGCCTTCGCTCCTTGCTGGATTCCTTGCCCGGTACCTTCGGAAAAGTCGCTCGGACGTCGGCCGTACCCATGTTGGCCTGCCATGTGAGCACTCGACCATTATGCTTCTCCATGTAAAACTTTTCGAAACTCTGCTTGACTCGCTCCACCGCTTGAGGGAAGATGCACCTAGCTCGGCCTTCTTCCCCGCTAGTTGATGGCGCCATTGCCTCCAGGGGCCACATTGTGCTGGTGAGAACATTGATGGCGAGCTCAATGCGCTTCTGATCGGGATCGCCGAGCTTGGCAATCTTGTCTTTGAAGCTGGACGTGAGATCCTCGGATACGGTCATATCCTTGAACATTCCTTCTAGTTTTTGCGTGAAATGGTTTCCGACCTCCATCTTCATCCGCGAAATCATTTGCCTCTCTACATCACCGCTGACGGACTTGCCCATGAGTAATCGTCGACAAAGATGCTTTTTGTAATAACGCTCAAACATATCCTTATCTTGAATGTACCGCAGCAGCGTGATTGCCTTTTCCAGGACTGCGTCAACTTCATTCTCTGTCTTACCCTTCAATCCCTTCTTTAGGTTTTCATCCAAGAAAAGTGAAATGTACTCGGAGCTTCGAGGAAAGGCATTGATAAAGTCAGAAAAGCTCCGTGTCAAGGCCGTCTGCAAGCCTTGATCTGACCCAAAAGCCCTGATCCAGATGTTGTCATATTTGTCCTTGAGCTGTAGCACATCGTCTACCCACTTGATTGCGGCAGCAGTCTGCTGATTTACTGGCCTCTCAGCAGGAGGCTTTGCATCACCTTTGCCTCTGGTCTCCCCATTTACTTCTGGCGGTTGAGGTGGAGGGGCTTGAGAAGAGTTGATCGCAGCATTGTTAACGTCACTGCCGAGCTCAACCACGCGTTTCTGAAGCGCTCGACGTAACTCCTCCTTCTTGGGGTCCACTCGCGCGTTCAATTCATACACCAATTCCAGCTCTCCTATCCTGTCGTTGTCGAGCATGTGCTCTACCCCGCTGCCCTCCATGTCAATTACCTCCCGAATATTGCGTTTGATGAGCTCATCCTCGACAACAGAAGTGATTTTGGGTGCTGTAAGAGGCGACAGGGTAGATCTACACCGATCCTGTTCTTCACTGATCCTCTTCCTCGTATGTCGACAGTATGTTCCGGCGTCAGAGGATCTGAGGTGCGACGCTCCCTCGGCCTTATAGAATACGCGGCTCTCGTCCAGGAAATCCGGTTCGAAGGATGTTAAGTAAAGCTTTGTGCTTTCTTCCTCCTCTTCCGTCTCGTAGAGGCCCTCCAGCATGTATGCGCATGATCGAATGAGATTCTTGTCGATAATGTCACCTTCGCGCTCCATCCGCACTTGGTCAAGAATGACAGAATTAAGTATCATAGCCACGGTTGTAGGATCCTCGGCCACCAAAGGCGAGCGTAATACGCAGTCCCGAAATAGCGCCATTGATGCAGCAAAGATGGACGGCCGTCGGTTGTCCGTACAGTACACCCGATCCTGTGAATTAACCATGTAAGCAGCCTGATGCTTCTACCGTGGCTCTTTATTAACATACCATATACATTAGGACATCTGTTGTCATATTCATGCAGAGATTGTGGTCTTCCCAAGCCGATTTCAACGCTTTCATAAATTTCTCCCCTGCCACTCGTCTTTCGTTGGCAGTCATGCCGCTTATGGATCCAGCCGCGCCAGTTAGAAGACCGCCGGTGAGAGACGATCGGATTCGTCCACGAACTTCGGTGCTGAGCCAATCGTGCTCGAATTGTTTGACCTTCTCGTACAATGCTTCGCCCTTCTTTTTCAGCACTAGCTTATAGGCATTTCGATACAGCTCTTCAAATGACAGCTTCGAGGCATTCTTGGTATGTATCTCGCGTAAAGAGGAGGCAAGGACTGCCCACATGGAGTCAAAGTCGACATTGTCTCCCGGAGTTGAAAGACCCTACACAGTCGGATTAAATTAGTTACGGAGAGCTGTGAGTACCAGGAAAAGGCGAAAGCGATGCTTCTCGCTGTGGCAAGTGTCTCTGGATTAAAATCATCTCACTGGGGTAAGAATCAATCCGGAGAAAGTACTTATTCCCAGCATCCCACAGATAGAGAGTATTTGGTATGCGCTTACCCTTCGCGGAGCCCTGATCTTGCCTCTTCCTCGGCCTGTGAGCATCCTAAAAGCGTTCCAACCAACGCTACCGTCTGTACTTAGCGTCCTGGGCCCAGTTATCAGAAATCAATGAAATAAATTCTAAATGGGAGGAATGGTGTGGCAGAATGAAGCCTCTCTAGGCAGTGAAATGGAATCAAGAGATGCTTGAAGCTCGAGACGGCGATTGCCGGCGGGTGTTTCTAGTCCACGCCAGTCCTCCAGTTACGTAGGCAGATGATGCCGGAACCTTTCCTAAGATATAGGATCAACAATCACAACTCTCCTATCAAAAACCCTTATCACGCTGGTCAGGGAGTGGATATCTTTGACACAGCTCCTTCTGACATGCTTCCGTTGCTCTACTTTTGGTTTTACGCAAGATGTGACCGCATGGGTTTATTTCATAGTTATGTTAGTTCTTCTAAACTCCGCATCTGCCACCCCGCGCCACATGTGGCTCCGAGTTAGCTACCGGGTGGAACCGAAAACTCTCAGGCAAACGAGGCCAATAGCCACAAACCAGCAATAACATCCCTATCAAAGGAGAGAGATTGAAGCACCTTCTGTCTCGTGGTGGACAAGACAAATTTTGGGGATTTACATCTCAACCTATAGCACATTAGCCATGATAAATTTATTCCTTGTTTAATTCTGTATTCGTTTTTATGTATTTATTGATTGATTGATTGATTGATTTTTTTTTTTTTTTTTTTTTTTTAAAAACCGAACCTTAATTTTCCGAGCTGGTGAAGCCATTGAGCACAAATTCCACTGAACACAAAGACCCTTATGAATGTCATTACTTCGTTACTTCATTTTAGTAAAAGTTGTTGTCCTCGTAATGTCAATAAAGACACAGTGTGTACAAATATTATTAATCCCATATCATAGCTTTCCCCATAAAACCTTCATGTCATTTTGAGAGAGAAAAAGAGAAAAGAAATCGAACGCCGTCACAATAGGGAAACATTCCCTCCCATCATAATGTCATGTATTAAATAATGAAAACCTCCCGTAATTTATAAATCCGCAATACCTTGCCAAGCCCAGTGCCCTAGTCCCGGTTCCCATTGTGTCCTTCATGTCGCGTTAAATCCTCATTATTCATAAGCCGTTTTGAATCATTCATTTCGAAATCCATACGGATTTCAGCCAATTTCCTAAAGGGCCAGGGTGCCAATTAAAATTGACATGATGAAGCTGATCCAAAAGGTTGTTGGAACAAAGGACCGAATACTGGGCTGCGACACACGCGAAGACGACAAGGATACGTGCCTCGACACGGCGCCACTGGTAGGGTGGGCATTGAGCAATGTGACCGACTTGGACGACCCTGCAGTTTCAGCAGCAGCCGCATCAGCGGCGGCGCTTTTCTGAGAACTTGAACCACCTGTAGTAGCAGTCGAGAAGGTTGTCGGCGTAGATGTTATCAGAAACCCCTGTTGATCGTAGCTCTTGGATTGTGTGGCTTGAGCAGCCGGGATAGTGACAGTTGTCAAAAATCCTCGCTGGTCGTAAGTTGTATATGTCTTATAGCCTCCTTCAGGGGCGCCAGGAGCAGCAGAGGAAGCCGGCGATGAGGCTTGCAGCGAGGAGATAGTATGTTCGGGAGGGGAGGTCGACTTGAAGAATCGAAGTCAGTTGCATGTTTTCCCCCAACATATCGAGTGAGTGAAAACAATTCAGTGGAAATGAATACTGGGGTAACGAGGCACAGAGACGGGTAAAGTAAAGAAAACAGGGTGGCGTACTCACAGGCGCCGAGCTTGGCGGAATCAAGTGGCCGTTGCTCGAAACCGTCCAGCCACTAGGCATGCCGGGGTAGTAGCTCGGAACGGAGGAGGTGCTTGTCGCTAGAGTCGATGATCCTGGCACCCATGGATAGACGCTCGGAGTGGAAAAGCTCGTGGTTTGGCGGTGAGTGCCTTCAAAGGGTGCAGGGGCATTGGTCATGGATGTAATGGCCGGTGCGGCTGACGAGGCAACCTGTGTTCCGTCTCCTTGAGAGTTGACGCTGCCACCTACAGCATCGATTTCTTGCCATGTTCCATCCGTGCCGGTATATTTATATTGGGTTCCGGTAGAGTAGTCCGTCACGGCAATGGACTTGACAATCATAGTAAAGGGGCCTTTGCTGTAATCGGTCGGACCACGTGCCCATTCTGTGACCATCAGTATTTGCAAGGACCTAAGGAAAAGAAGTGGAATCTAGATATGATCCAAGACGAGGAAAACAGGGGAAACATACGAATAGTACCAGGAGAATTGGACGGATCACCGCCGCTCCAGGCACCAAATTTAAGTTGCATAGGTGTCTGGGGGTACTGGTTTGCTTCGGCTGAAGCAGGTGTCAAAACTCGTACAGTTTGTCCGTTAATCTGCCACACGATTTGATTCGCAGACCAGTCGACCGTATACGTCTTGAATTCTTCCTGGCTGTTTGGATCTTGATGAAAGGCACCGCGATTGTAGTCGGTGGTTAGGCCTTTGCCAAAGTAGTTGGATTGAACCTCAGGGTCATCGGCACCGAGCCATTCCCAGTCAATTTCGTCAAGATCGTCTGATTGCAGCACAACGGAGCTCACAATACCCGCGCCAGGAGCAGCTTTCATGGTCACCTCGACTTTGCCGAACATGATGTACCACTTTGACGTGAGCTGCGGGGAGTCGCCGGACTTGGCAACGGTAAAGGAGACGCCATTGGAATCATATGTAGGGTTACCTGAAGGCGTAAAACTGTCCGACTGGCCCTCTGTGAAATCAATATCGACAGAACGGCCCAGTGCTGAATCAGGCGGGCAGTTGCCTAACAGGTTGGATTAGCTAATGCGATCGGTTTACAGATGGGTGGGAAAAGGCGAGCGGGGAAGAAAAGTATACACCAAAGTCGATACGAAAATCGGGGACGTACTCTGTTTGAGAGGGTTGCAATTGCTGTATGTCTGCGCAAATACTGGGGATACTCTCAGTAACGCAGTCGCAGTGAGAGCCGCCAAGAACGAGGATGTGTAAGACACAAGTCTCATTTTGGACCGTCTTTGCTCCTCAGCAGTGTTCTTTTAAGTCGAGTGTGCTGAGGCTCAAAGTTGTACCGAACAATCGCAGCAGAATAAATGAAACGAAGTTACAGAAAAAATTCCACTGGTAATTAACAAGATAAGAATCAAATGCTCAACGTTAGAATATTATTGCCAAGAAAAACATGACGAGAAACGGGAAGCTGAAGGATTTTAAAGGATCTGTGATCGGTGAGCAGCAGCTGCATGAACCCTGTTCAGCGCTGTCGTGTAAGGCCTCGGCCCCAGCCACCTGCAAGTGAATGTGAAGAGGACGTATTTCCCCATGGCGGTCGCAGGAGCCGATATGGGCCAAAGAGAAAAGAGATCGACAGGGACCGTAATTGAGCGCTCAGTTTCTCAAGAACACACACTGAATTAGAGCAATTATGGAACCACGGGACCCGTTTCACACATCATCATCGAATCACGTAAAATGGTTGTGGTTCGCTGGCAAACACGAGGTTGGAGGGCACTTAAAAATCGAGTGGCGCAGTAGCAAATCCCCTAGTCCGGACTTTGGACGTTGACCACTCCCGCTTTCTCAGCAACCGGCCCAACGTTTCTCGATCGAATACGACTACTGGCTAACGACCTCTTTCGAGATCGTAAAACAAGTCGAATATTGTTTTCTTGGACGATCGTATTTAACACCTGTCGTCGTCGTGGTTTCGGCGTATGACAGCATAATGGAGATGTTGCCCTAGTACAGCTAGAGTTTAGTCTGTGCCTGTGCTTGTTTGTTGCCGAGGCAACTATCCTAGGTCCGAGGGGTCAGCCTTGAGATATCTCATAACTCTCCAGGCGAGGATGAGGGTGTGAGGCCAATATGAATGGAAAGAAAGCGTCTATCTAGGTGCCATTATGTTAGGAGTAGATCTTTTGCCTTTTCTTGCTTTAGATCCAGTGAATGATATCTCTCGATATTCTCAAATCGAGTCTTCATAACAGGGGACCAGAAAAAGTGATATTCATCTTACACGGGTAAGAAAATGCTGCAATGACCGCAAAGACGATTACAGCATCTGCATAACAAGCTATATTCACTGACTTGCATTCGGAATTTCGAATTTTCGAGCATTTTCTTAATCAATGGCTGGAGAACTCAGCGGTTAGGAACCTGGTGGTAAATAAATGACCATCATCGTTGAGCCAGCGTAACATTTTCTTCCAGTAATTAGCCCAGAAGCCACATCGCATGGACTTTAAATCCTATCCAATTATTTCGAGACTGCTGTAAAGTACTATTTTCCTGATATTGTGGGGAAAGAATCAAGGCCAGATGTCGTCAAGATTCTCGCCCTTGTTTTGGAAATTCCTTGAACACTATGATGACTAAGCAAAGTATGACTTCAACCCGGCCGCCGAAAGGAAACTTTACCATCCCCACGTGCTACCAGACAAGCTACTTCTTCACCGCTTTCTCGTCCCCGAAGCATCGGATCAAAATTCCCACCAGTTCTCTATCTCTCTGAGACATAAAAAACCTCCATTAGTCAAAATGGGCTCTGTCGTGCTGCCCCATCTCCCGACCGGCTGGCATGTCGACCAAGCCATCATGTCAGAAGAAGAGCGGCTGGTGGTGATCAGGTTTGGGCGTGATTGGGACGTCGACTGCATGCGGCAGGATGAGGTGCTGTTCCGAATTGCTGACCTGGTGAAGAATTTTGCGGTGGTGTATGTCTGTGACATTGATCAAGGTAAGTGTTATATGCCCTCACACGGGGTTGACTCTTCGCTCTTTTCATATTTCTTGGGAGCTCACACGGCTCGATAGTTCCTGATTTCACCCAAATGTACGAATTGTACGACCCCATGACGATCATGTTCTTCTTCAGAAATAAGCACATGATGTGTGATTTCGGAACAGGCAACAACAACAAATTAAATTGGGTACTGGAAGACAAGCAAGAGTTGATCGACATCATCGAAACCATTTACAAGGGCGCCAAGAAGGGCAAAGGTCTAGTTGTCAGTCCCAAGGACTACTCGACGAGATACCGCTACTAGTCCTCATTGGTTTTCGGACGGAGTAAAGGAATGTGTTGGAAGAGATATATTATGGCACAACGTTTATATTTTCATTACGCGGATATCCAGTATTGCTGCTACAAAAAGTACATCATAGACGCCGTTCTTTGACTGACAGATTTCAATGATTCAAGAAAATTCAAGGATTCAGCTTCAGATTTATGATTTATCGGTGAGAAAGGAAGAAGAGCACGCCCTATCATCTTCCTAAGGCGGGCTATCATACACTATGGAGGGACCTTTATCAAAGATGGAATGAATTCGCAGAAGGAAAAAGAAGAAGGTATCTCATGCAAAAATCAGCCAAAGAGATTTTGAAATTCATGAGTCGTTAACGGCAAAAATCATCCCGAGGCCATCTCCGTATCAGAGGGCACCTCGCTGGGAGCTTCATCCTCTCTCCATATTCGAACTGTCCCGTCCAATCCACCGCTAACGATCATTCGCTCTGTCGGATGCGTATCTACTCCTAAAACAACACCATCATGGCCGGATAGTCGCTGCAGGACCGCCTTGCTGGTTACATCCCACACAACCATATCGCCATCTTCACTCCCAGACACTGCAAATGCGCCACTGTCGTAGACGCCAAAAGCACCTGTGATGCTGTATTTGGAATTTTTATGGCCTTGGTACGTCTTGACACATCGCCCTTCAACATAGTTCCAAAGTCGGACGCACGAGTCCAGAGTCCACGCTAGGACGAACTTTCCATTAGGGGAGAAGCGCACAGACACAACAGGGGGATTATCCTCGTGAACGAGCGTTCTGAGACATTGACCTGTGCCCGTATCCCATATTCGGCTGCAGAAGAAATGGAATTAGCACAGGCTCTTTCGCAAAAGTAGATTGAAGACCATCTGAAAACGCACATTAAGCCGTCTCCTGCGCAGCTCACAACCATAGTACCGTCTCGTATGAAATCAACACCACCGACTGGATCTGAATGTGCTGGTAGTGATCTCAAGACTCTTGCTGTTCGGACATCCCACAAGAATACTGCTTCGTCGTACGATCCGCTTACGAGCATGTTGCCCTTGGGTGAAAATGCGAGAGAGTATACATAATTATGATGACCGAGAAATGGAACAGGGTATGCTTTGCCCTACAACCTGTTAGACCACCGTTGCTCAAAATGTGGGCTTGGACGAACACACCGTAGCAACATCCCAGAGCCTGATGGACTTGTCATCAGATCCAGACGCTATCAACTTCGAGTCAGGACTCCATGATATGGTGGATATTCCTGCCAAATGTCCTTCAAGAGTATGTGCCAGCTTCCCAGAACGCGCGTCCCATATCTTGATTGTCGAATCCGCCGCTGCAAAAAAAGTCAGCTCCCTGTGAAACGAGCGGTCTTAGGAAGACCAACATACAGCAACTTGCAATCCAGTTTCCATCCGGAGAAAATCGGACTGCGGAAACGCCTCTCTTATGACCTCTGAGAATCAATTTTGGCTTATAGTAGACCCTTGGTGGCTTTTGCGGGACCGGGGTTGGCGCCTGGTCTAGTGAGGGAGAAGGGAGAGTATTGGTTAGATCTCGCGAATCGGGAGTCTCTCGTGCTTCATTGTCAACGTATGAAGGAGGAACTGGCCCTGGAAAGGAATGTCTTCGAGACTCGCCGTTCGGTGTTTCCTCACTGCGGTAGAATGTATGCACGGTATGGTCGAGTTCATCAGGGCTTTCATCCGCTTGATCGTAGGCTTCATAGCTGCTGCGTCGTCTCTCGGACGCTCCTATGCTTGTGTTTCCCTGTGCGCCTGACTTATGCCTTGAGGAAGATGTAAAATTGGAGGGTTCTCCTAATTCGTCCGGAGAGCTGTAACCTGCGGGAGACCGATCGCGTGCTTGGTCATTGTCTGGATCAAGACGCTGACGCTTTGTCGGCCGGTCTACAGGCTCGACGGTCGGACTTGTCTCTGTTGATGTCGACCCAGACATTGAGAGGCAGAGACGGACGAGGGCTGGTCAGTGACGCGACTAAAGTCAAGAAGTGGAAGTTTTGGGGCTATGAAGCTTGAAAGGCGGACAGGATACCTCAGAGCCAATGACGATGGGCATTCGACTAAGGCGGTGAGACTGTTCGCGATGACCCGAAACGGAATCACCACATCCTCAAAACCCGTGCACCACATTTATACATATTGTTTATTTGACATAGAAGCTGCACGGAAAATATTATATCATTTTTCCTTTTTCTCTACATTGAAAAACTTTTCCTTCGATTTCGAATCCTTTATCAATGTTCATTTTATTCACCAGGCTACGAACTGATCCTGCGTGACCCTTACGCCGCCCGCTATGGCCAATGAATTGGTCGACCCATTTCACCTTAATGTATTAAGCTTGAACTGCTGGGGTCTCAGATTCATTGCCAAAGTAAGAAGGGAGCGTCTTAATGAGATCGGTGTGAGGATTGCGGCCAAATCCCCGCCTCCGCATATTGTCGGGTTGCAAGAGTGTTGGACGCAAGAAGATTATCTTGCTATTCGAGAACACACGCAACATATACTGCCATACGGGAAGTTCTATCATGGAGGAATATTTGGAGCAGGATTGGCTATCCTGTCAAAATGGCCAATCGAGGAAAGTTCCATGATTCAGTATCCTATGAATGGAAGACCTACGGCTTTTTTCCGCGGTGACTGGTTTGTTGGCAAGGGCGTTGCGTATGCTCGGATCCGTTACGGACCTGGGATTGCAGATGTTATCGAAGCATTCTGTACACATGTAAGTTTGGGTTTCTTTGGACGGCTCATTCTCAAATTTCTGCCGCTTACTCTTGCTTTAAAACGTCTAATATTTGATTCGAACATCTATAGATGCATGCCCCTTATGAAAGAGAACCAAATGACTCTTACATTTGTCACCGAACAGCTCAAGCTTGGGAATTCGCAAAGTTAATTCGAGGCGCAATTGAACGCGGTCACCTTGCTTTGGGCATGGGCGATTTCAACATGCTTCCATTGTCCTTTGCGCATGAGCTAATTACCAAACATGCTCCAGTTCATGATGTCTGGCGGGTGCTTCATCCGGACTCTTCTATTGGGGCATCTGTAGACAGCGCAGAGAAAGCGCGAGGCCGTCCTGTTCCCACTGTTGAGCAAAACATGCTTGAGAACGGTGCTACATGCGACAGTGCGCACAATACTTGGCGCTGGAATAAGGGACAACAACAACGTCTTTCTAAAGGCGAACGTATCCCAGTGCCACCAGATACGCCTGATCCAAATGCACGAAGATTGGACTATATCTTTGTTGGCGCTCCTTCGCCCTCAAGACAGGATGTGAATAGTACACTGCTACCGCCGATGACGAAAACTGCCTGGTTCGTTGATGATGTACGAGTGGGCATGACTGAACCGCATCCAAGCCTGGGATGCTCTCTAAGTGATCACTTTTCTATCGAAGCGTCGCTGTCTCGAAGGTTTGGGGTGGAGGTTCCGGAGTCATTGCACACCATTTCTTCACCGTCCTCGGAGAAGGCATTCCATAACTACTATCCTCACTCATATCAGACCATATCGACCAGTTCCCGACCAGACTTCATCTGTTCCAGGCCACATCCTCCCTCAACATCGCAACCACTCTCTTCACTGCCAATCTCTAACCGCCTACCTATCCAAACCTACACATCTATTCTTGGGCTCGTCTCTCATTACAATGCTCGAGAGCGGTTCCAAAGACACTTTCGCCTGACTCACTTTGGTGTTCAGCTTCTCATTTCTATTGGCTGTCTTGTGGCTGTGTGGTGGGTGCCACACAATTACGTCGCTTTTATCCTTATGCTTATGAGCACGCTGGGCCTTGCCGCAGGTGTTTTGGATGGTTTAATTGGAGGTTTATTTGTCGGATCAGAGTTGCGTGCATTGAAAGAATTTGAGTGGGAGGTGAGGAATGCACAGAAGCTTGCACTGGAGTCGAAATCACAATCCATGGAATCAAATGTTGGTAGAGCTGCACCAGCAACGGAGGCACAGCAAGAGCTACAGCATCAATCATTTCTGAATGCACTGTCATTCTTGGACCAACTCCATCAAACGAGGAATGGAGCGGAGGTGCAGGAAGAAGACAGGTATCATTATACTGAATATGATGCGGGCGTTCCAAATGAGAAAGACATCGAAGAGGGAGCCACGGCGGCGGCGCCAGCGGCGCCGGAGGAACCACCCGCCCCCATCGCAGGAGTTGGAACTGGCATTGAAATGGAGCGCTTAGGAAGGTAGGCTCGGACAGATTGATTTTCTCGACGGCTTTGCGGGATTCTTGATCTGCCAGCAGTTTATATCAGGTTTTCGGGTGTCAAATGCATACAGCCTTTGCATGTAACAGAACATAATGCATGATGCATACATAGATTTAGTAATAATTATTAATAGAAGTTTATACGTTAAGAAGGCAGTTTATACTTTTCAAAGGTTTGAAGATTAGGCTCGTTGGCTCCCAGACTGATGCCCGGCTGCTTAGAGTTTGATAAAGTAGATCAGATAAGATCTGCTATCGCCCAAAGTATCTAGGCGCAAGTTGGATGATTAGTAAGCGGGCAGAATCAATTGAAGAGGCAAGACACAAGCTTGTAGATCTTCGCGATGGTTGCAGCGTTTTGAGAATTCACCATTTCTTCGTTGTTGTAGTCAAGCTACATTGATTTCGCTTGGACTGATCGTGGAAGTACTCACGATACTAAACTGTCTTTGAGAAGGATTTCGACCTACGTGTTCTCTGAACGGCCGACTTTTCTTTATTCCCCTTCAGCGCCACCTCTGTCGCTCCTCCTTGCAACCATGGCGGTCGAGTTTGCGCTCAACACGCCTCTAGCTGACGCCTTGAACAATGTTTTACAACCGAAGCTGGTAGAGGTGGGATGGACCACGGGCGATATAGACGACTCCGCGTTGTCTGAGTATATCCTATTGATGCTCGTCAACGGCAAAACCCAGGACCAGATCGCCGTCGAGCTCTCCAATGACCTCCTCGGTCTGGATCCAGGCGATACTAGAGGAGCTGAATTTTCCGGCTGGCTCTTTGAACAATTACGGATACTGAACGGGCAGATAAATGGACAAACAGCTCAGCAAACTGGAGTAGCGGATGAAAACAGCGGCGTCTCGGCCGGAAACTTTGATGGGATTGGGAATGACCCAGAAGGGCAGGGCCAGGATGCGGTCATGGGAGAAGCGGGTGAGGGGATGGCGGAGGGTGGAATGTACGTACATTTTCTGGGAAGTGGTCGTTGTATCATCATGAAGGCTAATATCATCATATAGACCTACGGGGCCAAAATCTATGCGGAATGGCCCTAGAGGGAACAACAGACGCCTCATGGGCCAACTTAATAAGGCAATGGATCGAAACACAGACCCTCTTCTGCACCGCGTGCGCGCCCAACAAGGTACTGGGAGAATAAATAGTCACGGTCGAGATGCGCCCAAGGGACCTCGCAACCAAAGAATGGGTGGGAGAGGCGCAGGTCCGATGCTTAACACCGGAATGCCTCCTGGCGGGCCTGCAAATGCCTTGATGGGCATGTCACCCCAGCAGCAGATGCAACTTTTCGCAATGTACGAGGAGCAAGCCAGGATGATGTCCCAAATCCTTTCCCCTCAACAACAACAACAAATGTTCATGGGACCGGCAATGGGAGGTCCAATGGTGAATCCGTCTGGGCCTGGTGCTTTCGGAGGACAACATCAACAGCAGGGCAAATCGCTGTTCGAGCGCGTGGATAATAACCCGAGGCGAAATGGCGGTTTCAACAAGAGGCAACCGAACAATTCCAGACCCGATCAAGGCCAACAGGAATCCCGAGACACCAATCCGGCTTCGTCCATGGACGTTGAAAGCCCGCAGGCTGCGCCCGATCCAGCGACAACTGTTTGCAAATTCAATCTCTCATGCACGAAGGAGGATTGTTCTTTCGCTCACCAGTCGACGGCTGCGCCACCCGGAGTAACGATTGACGTCAATGATACTTGCAGTTTTGGCGTTGCGTGCAAGAACAAGAAATGTGTTGCGCGTCATCCGTCACCAGCGCAGAAGACCACTCATCAGGCAGCGCAAGATTGCAGATTTTATCCGAACTGCACAAATCCCGTCTGTCCCTTCCGGCATCCATCAATGCCACTCTGCCGAAATGGTGCAGATTGTACTACACCGGACTGCAAGTTTACGCACTTGCAGACCATGTGTCGCTTCAATCCTTGCTTGAACCCTGTTTGCCCCTACAAGCATGAAGACGGACAAAAGAGAGGCAAATTCGAAGACAAAGTATGGACCGCTCCTGGAGCGAAGGAAAATGAGCATGTTAGCGAAAGAAAATTTGTTGATGACAATACAGAGGAAGAATTGATTGTGCCTGGTGGGGGCGTTCCTGAGGAGCAGAAAGCGGTAGAGTCGGGCGTTTGAGCAATGAGCGGTTTTGTCTGGGAGAGGCTTCACTAAATGTAGAATATCGTTTTTGTATGTTGCTTTTCTTTGGTTTCGGTCACTGGTCTCGGAGGCGTTTGGCGGACTGAAGCCCATCGGGCTAAATACTTTTTGCTGCAAAAGCATGGCGTATGATGCAAAGAGGTTGAATATTCGTATCTTAGGTACTGATTGGGTGTCAGAAAACATCGGATATATCTGAAATGAAGATGATGCGACTTGAAATTTCGCTATACTATCATATACATATGGTCTCTTTTATAGAATGCTGATTATGATTCCGTCAAGGATTAAAACGCAAAAGAAGCCCTATCCAGCTAAGCCCAAGATTGTTTTTGAAATTTTCTTTTGTCCCGGTTGTACTGCGGAGGGAGAGCTTGCACAGGTACGCGTCCCCATTAAAGAATTAAAATGCTACGGCTTGATTAATTTTACAAATGTGTCAGACACCTATACCTTACTTGGATCTATTGATAAAGGTGAAAATAAAAAATAAAAAATAAAAAATCTTCAATAGAAATTTCCTGCCAAAATTCAAGTGTAAAATAAGACCACAATCATGATGTCTGGCCGTGGCATCATCATCATCCGAGCCCCATGCAAGCTTAAGACCCCAGGTGAATCCCGATTCGGTTGTTGAACTCACCTCCGCCCGCTCAGTTGACCTACTCCGCACTCGCAGTCTTTGTCCCGGATTGGGCCACAACTTGTCCCAATGGCTCCAAGACATCCTGAAAACCTCTTAGAAGTTCTCTTAAAGCAATGCTACCTCCAACCGCGTTGCGCTGCTGGTCAGCGACGCCCGCTACATGTTTCTCGATACACTACGCAAGCTGCGCACGAATACCACAAGCCGGATAGCTTCGCTGTCCTGGGCGGGGGGATTAGTGGTCTTGCCAGTGCTTTCTACTTGTCGAAGAAACACCCGGACAAGAAAATTACGCTTTATGAGCAAAGTTCGCGCGTTGGGGGCTGGGTACAGTCCAAGAAGGTCGATGTAGGCGACGGGTCAATAGTCTTTGAAGAAGGACCGCGGACCTTGAGGTGCACTATGCCCAATGGTATGGTAGCACTGGACTTGGTAATCATTAATTAATCCTAGTCAGCGGAAGAAAACTGCTTACAGGTCTTAGATCCGCCAGCTCGGTCTAGAAAACGAGATTCTGAGAACGAAGAAGGATGCAATTGCCGCAAGGAACCGTTTCATATACTATCCAGACCATTTGGTGCGCGTTCCTGGACCAGGATCGAGTTTCTTCTCTATACTATCTGCCGTGATTCGTGAACCAGTCTTTCGGGAGTCCTTTACATCCATCTTGCGGGAACCTTTCAAAACAGTTCCCTCGGCCGCGGGAGAAGACGAAAGCGTTGGCTCCTTTCTGGAACGTTATACCAGCACAGTCCTTGTCAACAATCTCGTTTCACCGCTCCTGCATGGAATCTATGCTGGCGACGTTTGGAAGCTGAGCGTGAACAGCATTTTCCCGATGTTGCCTTTCTTGGAAAGGACGCATGGCGGCCTTCTGCCAGGGGCCCTGGATCTGCTGTTTTCCTCAGAAAAGCCAGCGCTAGAGAGGGATACCGACTTGATTCAGCATCTTCTTCAGGAACAACCCACACTTCGAGGACAGCTCTTGGAGATGAAGGACACTAGTGTCTTCACACTCAAGGGCGGCCTTGGCAGTTTAGTGACGCGCCTTGAAGAGGTTTTGCAGCAAAATAAGAACGTGGTTATCAGGAAAGATGCCCAAATCGAGGCACTCGAATTAAATCGAACAATGGACACTATCCAACTGGTATGTTCTCACTGATTTTCAAAGGAGAGAGTCTAATAGGAGAACTGTCTAGACCACAAATCTCAAAGATGAACCCAAGCCAAATCACGCCTTTGCAATTTCAACCCTTCCAGCTCAAACTTTGGCCAAGCTTGCCCCGGAGCTGGATAGTCTTAATGACGTTCATTCCGTGACGGTTATGATTGTTAGCCTTTTCTTCAACAACCCCAACGTCCTACCCGCCAACGGATTTGGTTATTTGATTCCTCAGTCTATTCCGTTAGAACAGAATCCCGAACGCGCTCTCGGCGTCGTCTTCGACTCCGATGCTGCTCCAGGCGTCGATACTGCCAAGGGAACCAAAGTAACCGTTATGCTTGGCGGACATTGGTGGGACGATTTTAGTTCTTACCCTGATGAAGAGGAAGGAATGAGGATGGCAAGAACAGTGCTCGCTCGACACCTCGGTATCGTCGATGAGCCTATTGCCAACAATGTCCGGCTATTGAAGAACTGCCTGCCACAGTACACTGTAGGCCACCAAGCTCGCCTCGGCCGCACCCACAGAGATCTTCAGACAAGTTTCCGAGGTAGATTACGCGTCGCAGGAAATTCGTATGGTGGTGTGGGCATCAATGACTGTATACGCTCAGCTTACGATGTTGCGATGCTGCCCACGGAAGGCTCGTACTTTGACACATACACGGGACTCAACAATTTGGGACCGAACCCGCAATGGGTTAAGTTCAAGATGGTAAAACGGCAGGTACAGGTCAACACAGTAACAAAATAATCCGGGACTTGGCTTGATTCATTCTCCAATGAAGATACATATTAGCGCCCAGTCGAGGCGTAATAGAGCTTGAAAAATAAAGGGCGACCTAAAGTCTGAAAAGGCGCATCCTTTCATGTTCTGTCTAGATAATGCTCGACCTCGGGTCCTTCCACCTCAGCCGTGGCAGAGCATGTCCCGAAAGACAGCTTAAGCTCAACAATAATAAAGCTAGTCCATGCGTCGAAAATAATAGGACCCCAACACAGCAAATAGTCACGCCGGACGCCAGATGGTACTTCCGCGTCTAGCAATAGAATTGATGAATTTCTTGCATCCATGTCTCGCGCTCGAGCCAAGTAATGCGCCGCCCTGTCGAGTGTCGCGGATAGCGCTAAACGGGCTCGCAAATAGCGTATCATGTTTCATAATGCTAAAGGTGATGCATTGGTGATAGTAAGATATGCTCAGGATCGTAAGAGGTGATACAGGTCGTTAAGGTCTGGTTCCACCACGCGCCATGCGAAAAGCGAATGTCGTCAGCGGGGAGGGCCCGCGTCTTTGGGTTCATGCAAATGGATCGCGGAAAAATTAAATTGACAATGTCCCGCAAATATGATCGGCTGGACAATCTTCATGATTCTTGAGGCTCCTCGGGGTCAACGCCCAGCGCACTGAGTTGCCTTATCAATTCGCTGATACGAATAACTTTTTCGAATTGCTCTGGAAGCAATGACTCCCCGCTCTCCTTCTTGTCTTTCAACTCCCGGGCCTGTCGTAACTTCTTTCTTAGGTTTCGGGCATGTTTCTCCTTCTCAGCCTCCGCGTCTGCTCCGTCAGGCTTCGCGGTCGCCCTCCAGTTCTCCTGGACGACTTTATCTGAAGTGGCTGACTTCTCAACATTTCCATTGGCTGTGCTTGAAATGGGTTGCTCATCTTCCTCTTGCGTGCCGACAGCCTTGGCCTTCTTCCGTGCTTCCCTCCGCTTCGCGTTCTTGTTGCTGCTGGCTTTGGCAGCGCTGTCTGTCTTTTCATCATCGACACTAGCCGCACCAGGGACGCCACCAGAGCCCCGGTTTTTCCATGCCTCTGCTGCCCGATTTTTATAGAGTTTTGCGTCCTCTGGTGGTTGGTAACCGGGGCGAACCTTTATAGCTTTGCGCTCCGAGCCGTCTGCGCGTCGCGAGGCCGGAATGATGCGGTCGCCGGAGGCGGTAATTGTAATACCGGCATTTGAAGTCTCCTGAGAAGAATTTGGGGCCGGCATGGTAAGCAATTTGCAGTTGCAGTTGCCTTTTGGTTCAAGGGCACGACAGTAATAATTTGGGATGAGCGAGCGAGTTGAGAAGTGGATCAATGACCGAAACGCACAATAATATAGAAGTGACCCAGGGGTCCCACGAGTATAAAAGTTGTGCAGGTGCATAAATTAGTGAACTGTGCTCAGTATCAATTTGGGAGTAATTCGCGCATGATGATTGGCGGAAATTGCGGAAGAACGGTATATGCACGTGACCTGATACAAAAGCGCCAAATCTCCCCAAACTTCCCCAAAGGGCCATCACGATCTCCAGCTCCCATCGTCCGTCTTTGCTCCTTCGAATCTTCCTTTCCGTGTTGTTGACCGTGTTCGCGACTTCTCAAAATGGCAGGCGTATGTGCTCCTCTTTCAAGAGTCAATTGGTAGAAAGATGAATACTGACAGTGAAATCTAGCTGGCTTCCACCATCTACAAGTTCGTTGCATCAGAACTGCACTTCGACTTCTTATATTTCGCTGACGCATTGATCCGAATAGCTCCCTCATCCGGAAGAACACTGTCTTCCTGACTACCATCTTTGCCTCCGCCTTCGTCTTTGAACTGTATGTGAAGGGAACAGAACTGAGCCGACATTGTTGACCTAGCGCTGATGGATGTGTTTGCGATAGTGGCTTCGACTCGATCTCCAACCGAGTCTGGGACTCATTCAACCAGGGCGTACGTATTTCGCATGGATTCGTGACTCGGCAATTCACTAACGGTGCATGCAGCGGCAATGGAAGGACATCCGTCACAAGTACGTCCAGGCCGAGGAGGACGAGGAGTAAGGAAGAACCAATGGCATATTCTTGAGGAGCAGTCGGCATTGTATTGCTAAGTCGCATGCCGAAGACTTAGAGCGGGATCATTAGATTGTGTATTATATCAAGAGATCCAAATTACTGTCCATATCCTTGGACCGCGTTCTCAACATGTATCCGTGATAAATTGAAGATATGCGCCGATGAGAGGACGAAGCGTTGCGACAAAGTCTGACGTGAGAAATGAGTCAGATATTGATTCATTATATTTGCATGTTCACTTTCTTTCCATATGAATCTAATTTCCGTAAATCAAATCACATAAAACTGCTATTGTTGTAGAAATCCGGTGCCTTCGGCACTTCGGCCACCACAGCAGAGCTGCTCTCGCTTGCAATGCCGTCTTCACCTGCGCTATCCGTCATACCGCCCGAGTGACAACAAGAAAGAGCTGTTGCCACAAGGACTCAACAACATCAAAAAAGCGTTGAAGAAGTTTTCTTCATTTCATCATATAGTACGCTTCTGTTGTTTTTAATCCCCTTCACTGGGAGCTCAGTGGGGCTCGAGTTGTGAGTTTTTTTTTTTCTTTTTCCTGATCGATCTGCCTGTCCATCAACTTCGCTCACGCTCGACTTTGATTTGCATAGAGCTTCTCCTCGAATGTTCGCCCCTTGAGCTGTTTTTTTTTCTCGAACAGTAACTTTCTACCATGCGGCTGTCTGCTCTCGAGCAGCACCTCTGCCATATCCTCCGGGATTTCCCTAAGCAGTACGAATACCGGTACACCAAAGAGGCCAGCGACCATTTACTGGAGATACTTTTCCGGTCCCTTTGCCATGACAGCGATACATACTTTCGACTCTTTTTTCCCCAGGAAATTTCAAAAAATTCGACGACCTGGAGCTTGCGCGAAGCTCAGGGTGCAGTGGAGGGTGCAGAGTATACTGCGGGGGCGCGGGGTAAGCCATGCGGGCATATCTTCAAGAGCGGCGAGGCGACATATCGCTGCAAGACCTGCAGTGTAGACGACACTTGTGTGCTCTGCAGCAAATGCTTCGACGCTTCCGATCACACCGATCACATGGTATACGTGAGCATCTCACCAGGAAATAGTGGGTGCTGCGACTGTGGAGATGCCGAGGCTTGGAGATTGCCTGTCAATTGTGCTATCCACACTGCTGTTCCAGAAGAGGAATCTGCTGCAGCTGGAAAGACTGTGGTGGATAAGAAGCTTCCGGATGACTTAATCGAGTCTATCAGAGCTACGATTGCGCGGGCGATGGATTACCTTTGCGATGTCATTTCGTGCTCCCCGGAGCAGTTACGACTCCCCAAAACGGAGGATAGCATCAAGTACGACGAAGAAATGTCTCGGCTGACTTCAAAATGGTATGGTGGAGATATTGAACCAGAGGAAGAGCCTGATTTTGCTCTCATTCTCTGGAATGATGAAAAGCATACCGTGCTCGAGGTGGAAAATCAAGTGGCTAGGGCTTGCAGAGAAACCAGGAGATTTGGCACTCGAGTAGCAAACGAGACAAATGATATGGGCCGCAGTGTTGTCAGGCATTCCAAGGATATCAAGCACTTGCTTCAAGTTGCTAAGATTATCGAAGAAATCAAGGTTACGGTCACGATCAGATCGTCTCGAGACACATTCCGCGAGCAAATGTGCGGTACGATCATTGAGTGGCTAGTGGATATAGCGGGATGCAGTGTGGGCGAAGACCACGACATTCTCCGGCAAACAATCTGCGAAGAGATGCTTAAGGGGTGGAGGACCGGCAGCGAGGCCAGTAATGCAGAGATCGGTCGAAGTGGTATTGATGATCATGAAAAAGATGAGACAACTCAACTCAGAGGCTTTGCCATGGCACATGCGCTGCACAACATAATAGACATAGACGAGGGCGATAACGATGATGATGACGATGGCGAGGACGACGACGGTGAGGACATCGATCTTGAAGCCGAAGTAGTGGAAGAAGGTGATGAAATGGACTTGGATGAGCTAAACGCCGACCGGGACGGTGACGTTGATATGGATGCTCTCTCGCCGGAGGACGAAACTGAAGTGGCAGAAGCTACTTATGCGGGTTATCCGCCACCGCCACCCCCTCCTCCTCCGCGCCGGCCGTCACAGCAGGAGCAACGTGAGCATACCTCTTCAGATTCTGAAGGTGGTGAGGCAGGAAGTACCGCCAGTACTCTAGCCCGAGCAACAACAAAAATCCCAAAGACTCCGACAGAGCGCCCAACGGTGGTGCGGCATCCGAAACCGCCAAAGTACTGGCTCGAAAAACCTGCTGCGTTTAGCAGCAAGGAACCAATGCCTGTTTATGAGGATCTACGGCAACGCGTCCGGTTAGATTGGCTTGTTCTCTTCGATCTGAGAATGTGGAAGAAGGCACGCATTGATTTGCGGGACCTTTACATTGGAACCGTGGTCACTATTCCTTACTTCAAGCGCATTCTGGGATTAAGATTTGCTGGCTTATACACTACTCTCGCCCAGCTCTATCTGATTGCAGACCGTGAGCCTGATCACTCAATCATCAATCTTTCTCTGCAGATGCTTACAACTCCTTCCATCACCGACGAAGTGGTGGAGCGGGGCAACTTCCTCACGAACCTCATTGCCATTCTGTACACCTTCCTAACCACACGCCAAGTCGGTCATCCCGAAGACGTAGATCCCACAGCAACGTTGGCATTTGAGGCTGGCTCCGTCACGAACCGCCGCATGTATCACTTCTTCATGGATTTGAAGTATCTGTTTGGTTCAGAGCATGTCCAAGAAAAACTCCGAAATGAGGAGCGATACATTTACCAGTTCCTCGACCTCGTCAAACTTCACCAAGGAATCTGCCCTAATGTTCGCGCTGTCGGGGAACATGTTGAGTATGAAACAGATGCCTGGATCAGCGCATCCCTAATTACTCGGGAGATCAACAGGCTATGTCGCCAATTCGCTGAGTCATTCAAATGGAAACGTGGTGAGGACGACACCAGCATTTCCAAGGCAATTCGTATTGCGGCCAAGGCTGCCATCCTTAATTCCATGGGAGCGGAGCGGAAACGATTTGACCAGGCTGAAATCAAAGAGGAAACCCGATTCAAAACAATTCATGCTTTGGAGGCTGGCCCGGAAAATTGGGGAGATTCTGACCAACAATACGAAATTGTCGATTTCGTTATTGAAAAGGAGCCCATCAGTTTCCACCATGCTCTCCATTACACACTCTCCTGGCTGATTGATTGTGGAAAGAGCATGTCTAGGGACCAACTTCATGGACTGCTGTTATTTAGCTTGTCTGAGCTCAAGGAGCCACCCAGCACCAAGCAGGCCGTTTCGGAACACGAGCCTGAAAGTTATCTGCTCGCGTTATTCGACTTTCCCCTTCGAGTCTGCGCCTGGCTCGCCCAGATGAAAGCCGGAATGTGGGTTCGAAACGGTCTCAGCCTTCGACACCAAATGTCGACGTATCGAGGCGTCTCACAGAGAGATGTCGCTCACCATCGAGATATTTTCCTCATGCAGACGGCTATGGTGATCTGCGATTCTAGCAAGGTCCTCGCATCAATGATTGATAGGTTCAGGATGAGAGACTGGATGGAGGGCAATTACGCTGTGCCAACCGGTTACGAGGATAGTCAAATGGTTGATGTTGCCGAGGACTTTATACATTTGATGATAATCATCCTAAGCGACAGAACGTCTCTCTTGCCCATCGAAGACGAACCTAATCCCCATCTTGTTGCTATCAGGAGGGATATCGTTCATACTCTCTGCTTCAAGCCTCTCTCATTTTCAGAGCTCTGCTCTCGCTTGACTGAGAAATTCCAAGACCTTGAAGAGTTCCAGGATATCTTGGACGAAATGACCAATTTCCGGGCCCCTGAGGGTCTCTCGGATACAGGAACATTCGAACTCAAAGAGGAGTATTACGAACATATTGACCCCTATGTGGCGCACTATAACAAGAACCAGCGTGATGAGGCTGAAAACGCTTATCGCACACGTCTCGCGAAGAAGTCGAGAAAGTCGCCCGACGATGTGGTCTTTGAGCCGAAGCTGCGGCCGATTACATCGGGTGTCTTCGTCACCCTTGGAAGATTTACCGCGACACCTCTTTTTGCTCAAGTGATATATTATTCGCTTCTTTACTCAGTTATGTCGAAGACTTTCACCCCCAACATACCAGTCACTCGTGTGGAGACTTTCATTCAAGTGGTCCTTCACTTGACTCTCTTGGCTATCATTGAGGACCAGACTGTAGAGAATGAATCAGAAGAGCATCAGAATAACTCATTCTGCGCATTTGCGCTCACAAACAATGCCAAGAGCAATGGTCAACTGTCAGCACCAACCATCGTTTCTGTGTTGGTGAAACTGCTTTCGAATGAAGACTTTAAGGCTTGCGCGCCCAGAATTCGTCTGATCCTCCGCAAACTCCACCACAAGCGGCCGAAGTTGTATTCTTCGACGGTCTCTGCATCGGAAGTGTCTGCGGACAGATTAGGCACCGAATCTCCAGCAAATGCTGGTGCCGAAGATGTTGAGCTGAAGAAGAAGCAGGCCCTTGAGAGGCAAGCGAAAGTCATGGCACAATTTCAACAGCAGCAAAAGTCTTTCATGGACGCTCATGGCGCTCTGGACTGGGGTGACGAAGACTTTAGTGACGAAGGAGAAGAGATGGACACACCTCCTGAAGAGCAGAAGAAGGTCTGGAAATATCCTACCGGTACTTGCATTCTCTGTCAAGAGGAAACCAACGACTCTCGTCTGTATGGAACATTCGCGTTACTCATGGATAGCAATGTTCTGAGGCAAACGGACTTTTCCGATCCTGAGTTCGTCGCGGAAGCTGCTTATGTTCCAGATAATCTAGATCGGTCTGCTGAAGATATTCGGCCATTTGGTGTTGCTGGCAAGAACAGAGACACGGTCCGTAAATTTACTGCTGACGGAAGCGAGATTGCGGTGGAACGGCAACGTCTGGGCCGTGGCTTCCCCCCAAACCACGTCCGACGTGGTCCAGTGAGCACTGGATGTGGGCATATCATGCATTTTGCCTGCTTCGAACTTTACTATGGCGCTACTACTCGCAGACAAGCACACCAGATTGCTCGCAATCATCCCGAGAGACTGACTCACAAGGAATTTGTATGCCCTCTCTGCAAAGCTCTGGGCAATGCATTCCTGCCCATAATATGGCGAGGCAAAGAAGAAGTCTACCCGGGCATCTTACATACCGAAGCGTCTTTTGATGACTGGATTACCTCGCAAATTGGGCCGATCGTTTCGCGCCTGGAAAAGGGAGCTGAGGGTGACGGGCAGGAAAAGCACCGTTATCAGGAGACTTTTGTACAGTACGGCTCAGAAGCTGTCGTTCCTTCGTTGGCGTCTCGACTCGATCAGTTGGTCAGACCTGGCCCCACGAGCGCTGCCTCGTTAACGCAGCCGACCCGGCCAGCTATGCCTGGAAATTTCCCTCTTGAAGATGCTCTGACGCCTTTGCAGTCGCTGGGTCCACTTTCGCAACAGATTCAAACGCCCAGCCAGGCGCCGGGCGAGCAATGGGCCATTACAGAGCTGGTCGGAATCTACAAGAGATTGAGGGACACGATGAAAGTCAACCAACTCTCGACACGATATGCTTATCCGCCTGCTGCTGCTCTTTCACTGGAAGACCTCACCCATACCGATACGCTTGCTCGAAGTCTAGGCTTTTCAATTTCGTCCGTCGAGATCAGCCGAAGAGGAATGGAAGCGCAGCCGGGAACCACATTGATTCCTGGAATCCCTGAGTCAGCCTTGACACATTTGCGCATTCTCTCTGAGACGGTCTCCTCGTACATGGCAGTGGGCGGTCTCCGTAACTCTGGTGCTAACAGAACGGTTACTGAGTTCAGGGAACTGCACGGGAGACAACTTCACCAACTTTTCATTGGTCATCCACAGATCTTTGGCATTGAGGCTTTCACGCTTGAGCTGAAGCAGCTGGAGCCTCTTTTCTGTCAAGACATTTTCGTCTTCCTTGCTGAGTGCTCCGTCTGCATTGGACCGTCGCTGAAGCTGGATATTCATCATCTGCTCCGGCTCTGCTATATTTGCGAGCTCGTCAAGGTGACATTCACATATCTATGCGACACGAATGTACTTTGGCACCAGTCACTCTATGAGAAGATTCCGGACGACAGTCTCAAGACATATTCACTTGAGCAGCTGCAGAGTTTTGGATCTTTTATCGATGGCATTGGGGCCATCTCGGATGAGGCTCTCACAACATTACGGTCAGAAAACACGGAGCCCAAACCGGCGCCCAAGGCGGAAGACTTTTCAAAAGAGCACCTTGAAATATTCCGCACGTTGGTTGCGAACTACGCCCTGCCGTTCCTCCGAAAGGCTGCTATCCTGCTGTACGTGCGATACGGCGTCGACTTCCATAATAACGGGTACGACGATTTTGATGTTCCGGAGCTGGATCGTTTGACCAAGGCTCTGAACGTTCCCACATTGGAGGAAATCTTTTCTTTCTTTTCCAAGAACGATCCAGCAAATGTGACCATCAGAGCTATTGTAACTGGCTGGATCCGTCATTGGGCGTGGGCCAGAGAAGGAAGACGGCCAATCCATCATGCCCGGACGGCGATCACTTTGAGCCACCCCGGTATCCTTGAACTCGTTGGTTTGCCGAAACACTTTGACACTCTGACCGATGAGGCCATGAAGCGACGGTGTCCGACCACTGGCAAGGAAATTGTCGACCCCAGCATCTGTCTTTTCTGTGGCGACATTTTCTGCAGTCAGGCCTTGTGCTGCTTGCGGGACGGCCGATATGGCGGTTGCAACACACATCTTGAAAAGTAAGCTTTTATTGCTGTAGGCGGTATATGGTAGAGCAAGTACTAACTATATTTAAAGGTGCGGCAAAGACGTCGGTATCTTCATCAACATTCGTAAATGTACCGTTCTTTACCTCCACGGTCATAATGGCAGCTGGGGCATGGCGCCGTACCTTGACAAGCACGGCGAAGTCGATCCCGGATTAAGGTAAGGCCTTGCCTTTCCATTTATATCCCCCTTCTGTCCTCATGTCCAATATGCAACTCCTTGAGAAGAGGAATGTGGCTGACAGAAACCCGTACAGACGCAACCGGCAGCTTTTCCTGAACCAGCGCCGCTACGATGCTCTCATGCGTAATGTGTGGCTCTTGCACCAGATTCCAACCACCATTTCCCGAAAACTCGAAGCCGACACCAACAATGGTGGATGGGAGACTATATAGTTTTAGATGACTTGTCATTTATTCAATTTCTCGATTGAAACAATCTTTCGAGATTCTTGCAGATTGCCACCTTTTCTCGCTTTCCTCTCCCTTTACCTTTCTTTGCCCTCTCCATCAAACTACTTCTTTTATTTCAGTATCAGCATTGCATGGTGTTGCGGTGTGAAGCTGCTTTCTAAGGGGTGGTGATTGGTTTTTTTTTTTTTTTTTTTAAAGAGGGTTTCGTTATTTACATGCTTACTGTTTACATGCAGTGCTGGGGACCGGGTTCACTATATTTTACTTATCCCTCCATCAATCTTTTCATTTTTCTCCCCTTTTATATGCTCCTACTCTGCTCCTTTTTTTCCTTCCTTGTTTTCCTACGTGCACCTTTCATTATATTAACCTTTTCTACGTTCACATTTTGCTGTTTTACTATGGTCATATTTTGCTGCGACGATATTGCTTAGATATTTATCTTGCGTGTTACGGTATGAAAATCATTTGACTCCAGTCTTCCAGAAATGAGGTGCACGTGCTAGAGGTGTACGCTTCTCTTTGGCAAAAGAGAAATTTTCCAACAAGACGAGAGTTTACGTTCAAGCTGTCTGTTACAGCGAGACTATCAGAGTGGCGAGCCCCACGGAGAAGTTGACGGTCTGGACATTGGACCTGTGAGACTTTGATTCGAAATCAACAAAAATGGTATTATGGCATTGTGGAAAGTCCTATCGTCAAGGGAATTACCTATCGTAAAGAGCGTGAAGGGCGTGAGGACTAAATTGAGCAAGCAAGGCTGTGCCGCTGTGCGTCATAACAGGATGCAGGTTGCGGGTTGCGGGTTCCTTTTTGTTCTTATGTTTTATTTTTTTTTTTTTTCCCTTTCTGTTGATATTTATTTTTATTTATCCCACTATCTATTTGTTTATTTATCTACATTTTATTTGTTTTCAATGCAGCCTTTTACCGGTATCATTTGTATGCGGTGACGTAGCCCATTTGCTCAATGATGTGATCGTGGACGGAAGCTTTTTCTGATGATTTATTTTTGTCCTCTTCTGATTGGACTTTATCTTGTGGTTCGCCGTTTTACTTTTAGGTCACGGACTCACCTAGTTATTTTTAAATGCTACTATTATCCTATAATGGTATTATCTTCTCATTTTAGTAGCATCATCTAATTATGTTATTATTGTCTTATGGTCAAGAGTGTCTCCTGGCGGCCTGGGCGTGGTAGCAACCGGTGGTCAGTGGTTTTTGGTCTTTGATCTTTCTTGCAAAAGACTAGAGTCCAGACCAACTTAACTTGGGTTGGTCTGGACTCTGGACAATGCTTTTCAGGGTCTGCAAACATTTTGACCAAAAGAATTTATTCTAATTAATGGTTATTGCTACTACAAAATGCCTAGGCCCTAGGCTAATAATGACCTGTCTTTAAGAATCCTATAAACTTCTTTCCCCAAGCAGCCAAGCTACACCTAGCATATATTTTGTTTTTCTCTTGATATAAATGTTATGGCCTACGACGAGAAACAAAGTAAGTGGGTGTAAAGAAGCTTGATTGCTACGTAGTAACGTAGTCCACGATGACGACTCTATATCGTGGTCGTGGTCGTCGCCTAACCTACTAACATACTATGCGTAACAGTTTGTATTTTTCTAGTATATTTTTGGTTTTTTGGTCTTAACTAGTATGATAGTAGCAATGTTTGGAATGTCAAATTGAGTCCATTTAAAACTTGTATCAACTTGCTTGCTGGATTCTCTAATACACGTGTTGACAGTGCAGATTTCTATAGTAACTTAGTAAGTCTCTCAATAGAACAACCCATAGTAGCACCTTGACTCATTGTAGGTAGACGTATACACTGCTCAAGTTCATCAGCCAAGGGATAATATCCCTAACTCTAACCCTAAATTTAGTGTAGAGCAGAACCGTGCACGTATAGCTGTGCAAGATCAGCTATTGCATGTTTCATCGCAACCGAGTCTCGTGGCTTGATTTCATTCTAGGAAAGACTTTCTCTAATAGGGAGATGCAATTGATGCTTGATAGTGTTGCATCAACAGGCTCGAGTTCATCGGCTTTGTAGGGCTAATAATTACTATCAGTCTGGATGTTGCCTTGATCTTGATGTGTGGTCGGCTTCGCTCGCGGGGCGTTCTATGGCTTGATGATCTGGCGTTGTTATTCTCTCTCGCCCATGCATCGTCTAACCACATGGCGACTTGTCGTACCAATTGCGTTGTCACCTTCCCCGTCCTGTCTGATTTCTTTGGCGATTGTGTGGTACGTGGGAAACTGCGTGGGTCCACTTCTGATCAATTAATGACCAGTAGAGACAGGAGAAAGTTCGGATGCTCGCACGATATCAGAAGAGATAAATGCGTTTTCTATTTGGTCTTTTCGCCAGGGGCTTTTCCTTCGCTGGCTTTTCCATGGCTACTTGTCATGGTAGGCTTTGCCTCTTGGTCTACCAAGTGCATTATGCTCTCAGAAGCAAGCAAAGCGCTTTAATATTAGCAGTCAGAGTAGCAAATTTTGAGGTTTTCCCTAATGATCTGGATGGGAGTTGGTCTCATTCCGCGCCAAGTAATGAGAGTGTGATACGACGACCCGTCAAACTAGGAGCTTCTGAAAGAGTACTGGAAAATGCCCTGTTGACACTTGAGGCAAGCTTGCTCTTGTAATAGCGCAGATCCATAAAGGCTGCAGGTAAGATACTGCGAAATAGAACATGAATGCCCGCAGCAGCAGTTAAATAGGACATCGAAACAGTTTCACGAGCAAGAAAGCCATGTCAGAAAACGCTTGCTCGAAAGGAAATTTCACCTTTTGCAAAAGCAGCAAGGTCATCTTGAAGGCTGTCGGTTACGTCTACCATGGCGTCTGCAAAGTTTACCGTACGCTGGATGGTCTGACGTCTAGTTAATCCCTGAATGTCCGCTCGTAGAGGATCTCTATAGAGCTTTTCCGAACGGACTTTGGCTTGCGCAATCTTGAAGCTATGATCATCGTCGGTGTCATAGTAGTCCGTTACGTCAGTCCAGAAAGTATCCTGAGTGCTCTCGAATCTCCTAAAGAAAGAAACAATGTGCAAAAGTAATATGATTTTGAGGTGGCTGCTGAAATCGCTGCAGCGCTGCATATAGGCCATTCTCATCTAGACTTTTCTCTTTGCTTTGGATTGCGAATGAGCGACAGAAACCGCTGATATAAAAGAAAAAACATCACCCTCGAAACCTAGCTGATGTTCGGCGTTCGATATCTGTATTCTGTACGTTATTGGGATTGATTGTATGCTACTACAAGCTCCATTAGAAAATAGACATGAATGACGTGATTCAGCGGAACATAAGAGGTCCTAGAAGAATCTGGGCCCCAAAAGTAAAGATAAAAGAGAACTTTCAGAGCATATGATTTATAAAAGATATTGATTGAGCAAGATGATAGACTTGTTGACGAACTACCCACGAGAAAAGCGAGCTTTTATAGAAAAATTCAGAGTGGATTCACACTAGAAAAAAGAGATGAATAAGTGAAATTTCAATAAATTTGTTTTCTTGTAATTCATTTTTGATAGTAAATAACTGTATCAATAATGCCAGTGAAGAGCATGAGTAACTTGCTGTTTATGCTGAATGAGAGAATGCATACTCGTAGCTTCACCAAGAGTTGAAGTCAATTCCGGGGAAGGATCAAGGTTATCGCATCTTATCAGATCTTGAAGTGAAGCGCACGGGCCATGCGGACGTATGTCTCTCGTCTTCCACGACAATAATAACGTAAGTTGAACGCAACTCTTCCGGTTGGAAGCATAACGGCTTCAAGTATTTTCGCCTACAATGGATAATCAACAGTTCCGCAGGCTCGTGCTCAAGAACCCGAGCACGCAGCAACAAAAAGATGGCGGCAAAACACCCGTAGCGGCCACTCCGCGCTCCGCAACTCTCGGGTCTCGAATGCGCTCGAGCATTCCTATGACTCCGTAAGTCGACTCTGACCCAGTCCCTGACACTGTTCTCTCCGAGTGCGTTGCCAAGCATAACTAACTTGTCCTATTAGCCGCTCCGTAGGGGGCTCTACTGGCGTCGACTTTGCGCGCCAACTCGCCGAGCGGAACCGGGAAAGCCAGCCTCTAAAGAAATTCAAATCGTCTGCCGCGCCTAAAGGCACAAAACTTCCAACTGGATACCGCGACCGGACACTCGACCGCGAGGCGTCAGAGAGAAATGATGTAGAAGACAAGGCTGCGCGGATTCAGGCGCTCGAGGAATCGATGAAACTCGGACAAATCGACCAGGACACTTTCGAACGTCTCCGGGATAAGCTTGTAGGCGGCGACATTCAATCCACACATTTAATCAAAGGACTCGACTTTAAGCTTCTTGAGCGGATACGTCGTGGTGAAGACGTGTTGAACGACAAGCGTACAGCCGAAGAGCGCGCCGAAGCCGAGCGGCAGGAGAAGGAGCAAGAAGCCGCAAACCTCGAAGATGAATTCGAAAAGTTCGAAGAGCAAGAGGTTGCGCCTGTGATTAAACAAAAGACAGAGAAAAAGGGCGAAATGGCGCCACCGCCACCCCCCGGTGGCCCAACCGTTGCAGGAAGAAAGCGCACACGAGATCAAATCCTGGCCGAGCTCAAAGCAGCGAGGCAGGCTGCAAAGGAACAAGCTGCACAGCCGTCTTTGGGCCCCAAATTTCGTAAAGTCGGCGAGCAGCGAAACCAGCCAAACACGTCGCGAATCGAGCGCGACGAAAAGGGCAGAGAAGTACTTATTACAGTCGACGAGGACGGAAATGTGAAACGGAAAGTCAGACGTGTCAAGGAAGACGATTCGCGCAATAGGCACTTTTCCAAAGCTGCACGCGACGATGAAGCGCAATACAATAGTAATGGTCTTTTAATGCCAGATAAAGACGCGCAACCACTTGGCATGGACGTCTCGCATATACCCGGCGCTGTACCTACGACTGGAGAAGACGATGACGATGACGGAGATATTTTTGAAGACGCAGGTGTAGACTACGATCCTCTTGCGGATCTCGGAGACGAAGACTCATCCTCGTCGGAAGAAGAAGGAGAAGAGACTACTGCAAAAGAACAGGAACGCAAACCTACATTATCTCCTTCTTCGTCGCCTAGCGAACAAGAACCTTCCAAATCACCAGATATATCATCCAAGGCTCCTACAAACGAACAGCCCGCAACAAAGAAAATCGATTACTTTGCCAGCTCATCCTCCAAACCCACTGCCTCCACAGATGGACACGACGAGGAGTCACAGTCTAGAAATCCCCTCAAAGATCCTGCTATCCTCGCGGCTCTCAAAAAGGCTTCGTCTATTGCACCTATTGGAGGCTACGATGACGACGAAGAAGGCCAAGACGCCGAAACCAGAGCCAAAGAAAGAGAGGCCGCCCGCCGCCGACAGCGACTGCTTGAACAAGCTGCCCATGATCGTGACGCAGAGGACATGGATCTCGGGTTCGGCAGCAGCCGCATGGATGATGAAGAAGACATGGATGAGTCTAAAGTCAAATTATCCGCTTGGACTGGACTTGGCGGCGGAGACGACGAGGATGACGGTGATGGAGCCGGTGCAAGAGGCGGGAAGCAAAAACGCAAGCGCGGCCCAAAGAAGAAGAAGGGGGATGTAAACAATGCCGCGGATGTGATGAAAGTCCTGGAGCGAAGAAAAGGCAATTAGTGAATATATATGATCGCGCTTGATCCAGGTCCAGGTCCCTGGCTGTTTTTGATGATTACTGCCCACCTAGAAATTATCTATAACCATGTCACTTCTGCATATATCCAATGGGAATTGGTATTCATAGAACGGGTAAATCGGGATATGGGCGTCTGGATTTGGCGGACAGAATGATTATCTCTACCCCTTTGTTTAATTTCTATATGTTTAGGAAATACAGGTCTATTCATAGCGGGGAAGATATTGATATCAAGATTAACTAAAACCGAAATGAAGATTTCAGTGAAGGGGTAAAGGGCTTTTTAAAATATTTCTAATAATCATTCAGCCAGTCGATAAAGTGGCTGTTAGTTGAACTGACATGTTGGTTGCGTTGTGAACGGGAAGATTTTATTATGTTTTCTAGTCCCTGTTTATTGCTCTCTTGCTCCACGCGTCCTGGCATTTACATGCAATTATTTCCTTGCTATACTTTGTCAAGCTTGTTAGCGCTATCAAAGCAGCTGTTAGCCGCGTTGCGCTTGAAGTAGGCAAAGCTCCTTTGACTCTTATTATTCGTTGATTTGCTCGTTCGGTCGTTTATATTCCCCACTGTACTATAGGCTAGTTTGCTACCTTGTAACTACCCTGTAAACATTCCATGTCCGGCGTCAAAAAAATACCAGATAACTCCTCCAGAAATCCAATGATAACGAAGACAAACCGGCGACACTCCATTGGGAAGTTGTGGCTTCGTTGTAAAGTATCTGCTGCTGGGAAAATTGCGGATGAAAAGAGCGCTTACCAGAAACATGGAGTCACATGGAATATAATTAGATTCTCCTTTCTCAAGCGCTCGGGTTCAAATGAGCGCTTACAATGTGCTGGGAAGCACAATGTTGTCTTTCTGCACCCAATCGTACTTTTACAAAATAGTCTTGCCGTTTTAGATGTTGTAAATCTAAATAAAAAATTTTGGCCGATTGGTTGCAATTTGCTAGCCATCTTGGTTTGGCCCTTTCAATCTTCAAACCGCTGGGTAGAAACATGTTCAGGCGCTTATTGGTAGCTACCTAGTGAGCAGAGTGTTTGTAGATTGCTATATTTGCAATTGCCTCATTGTCATCGTAATGCCATCTATGATATGAAGTTATAATATTTGAGATAAAAAGGGCCTTGGAGTCCCATATTTCTTTTCACGGCATTCCATGTTTTATTCTGCAAACTGATCTACGTTACAAGTTAGTCGAGAAGAACAGAAACTTACAGATTGAATCTTACTTGATAGTGACCTTTCCTTCATTTGTAGCTCGCGGCTCACTTCGATTTCCATCTAATACATTCATTTGCCAACAATGGCCGAGTTACACGTCGCAATATATGAAAGCTCCCCGGACGACGTACCACACTGGTCCCTTTATACGATGGATGATTACGGAAATGAAATGGTCTTCGAAGCGCTGGGCAGCACGGGTGGGGAATTTAAATACAATAGCCGGGCCGTTCGAATGCTCTTGTCTGATAGTCTCTCCGAGATTCCAAAGATTGGGCGCATAGAAGCCGATGTATGGCCGGACGTGCCTGACTTGCTCAAGTATGTGCCAATGGGTAACAGGAAAGGGTGGAATTGCCAGAATTGGGTTATGGAGGCCATTGCTTCCCTCAAAAGGGAAGGCTACCTGGAAGAAAACGCGGCGGGCATGAATTATATCCGGTCAAAATATCAGAAGAAGCTTAGCGTTTAGAAGTGCTGCGGGAGTAAAAGATGTCACGCAGGAAAGTGGAGCATATGAGATTCGGATTCAGGATTATCTGGATGACTCGAGATGATAAGGAGAGAGATAAATTCGGAAACAAATGTTTAGAGCCGGGTCCAGTGACGGAGGTCTCCGTAGCTGGCTCATGCTCCCATAGCAGACGAACGAGAAATGCAGGAAAGCTTGTGATGTCTAAGATCTTAGAGATAAGAATGAAAGACTTTCTCTCGCAATATTCACCTTAAGCAACGATGTCAGCATTGGGCGTGACAAGTTTCAGGAACCAAGAGAATGGACAGACCAGGTACCAATTTGTTTTGACAACTGTGACGCCAAAATAAGGGAGCCCAATCATTATGTTATATTCAATTCACCGCCCTGTCAATGGAGCGGTCTCTTACATATTCCTCCTTGAACGTACCAATGCCGGTCTCTGGAAGAAATAGATGCCAATCTTTATCTTTACTTAACAACGCCATGTGAAAAGCCTTTACGTATTCCCAGTATTCCGGATATCCGCCGCCAGACTCCCAATCAATTATGCCAGATATTCTTACATCCTCTTCATTATTCACAATGAGGTTTCTTGGATGCAAATCCCCATGCGTCATCACAATCAGATGATTCTCGGGAAGACACGAACGTATAAGCTCCACGAGTGTCGGATGAGCGTGAGCCTCGGTCAAAAGAAAGTCGTTGAATTGGGCTTCATTGACTATAGGACCAGCGCTTGTCCGCAGCCAGCGTCGCCTATCTTGACAATGAAACGAGGATGGATCATCTCCGCTTCCCAGAAAACCGTCTTTTGAAGGAAGTGGAAGAGATCTGAGCTCAAGAAAAAAGGAGTTGAGCTGTTGCTGGATATGCTCCTTTTTGGCCAATGTCAGATTTGCCCAGACGCGATCGAGAGGTACGCCAGGAACAAACGTAGTGAACAGATACGACCGTTTCCCGATTTGAATCATTCCCAGAGTTTCAGGAACCGATATTATCTTATCCGTTTGCGAAGTACAAGCATGAATGTGTGCGAGGTTCGCCGCCTCAGTGACATCGGTGCCGCGGCAAACCTTGACCACAATGTCTGGTGCGATCCGAACAACGGCCCGTTGAAGCACCTGAGAAAGTACTTCGCCGCGTTTCAGAAGATCTGAGAGCGCAGCACGTGAAATGGTGATCTGTTTGTCCTCACCACGTTGGGAAGTTTCTTCCTTTGATTTGGCCCTTCTTTCTTCCTTTGTCGTGTCTGCAGATGCGGAAGAAATTTGAAGTAGCTCGGCGAGGCTAGTTGCCAGAGGCCACAGAATGGAAACGTCGCCCTCCTCGGGAGGATAAATGTGTTTTGGAAGGGCGATGTGGCGATTTTTTTCCACTTCTGAAGAAGCTGTTTCTAAAAAATAATCGATCTAAGTCAATATTTCAGTTTCGCTCTTTTTGAGGAAAGAGTCGTTGACTTACCGTCGGGCACCGCATCAATGGGTGCAGGTGGTTCCACTATGTTGGCACGCTCGGTTTTGTATTTTCGGCTTGCTTCTCGTAGGGACAGCCAGAGATCTACGGTCGGATCATCGTTTACAATTTTTTCCAGGTCACTGATTGTAGATTCGTTGAGCTCTTTTAGTTTGCGTTGTGTCTGTGCATCTTCATCAGCTGTTGCATTGTCTGCCATTATTCCAGCTTCAGGTTGATCGGTAGGGGGAGAACGTGTTCTTCTCCGCTTGTATGCTTGGGGCTGTTCCAGAGTATCATGACAGTTGGATTTCACGGTCATATTTGAAGAGGAGGGGAGTCAAGAGGGAGATGTTGAAGTACTCCGTATGAAGTTTCTTTCTTTCATTCGAAGGGGTGACTTTGTTTCTTGTTCGTTCTTTGTTGGGTGCGTGAGCCCTCCTGTTTGGGGTTAAGCTAGCTATATAATATACAACCATGTTTCAAAGAAAAGAGCCCCAAGTTATGATAATCAAGTATAAGTATTTTATTCATTGACACGTGATATTTACCTAACGTATTTTAGATGCTTTTATATAAAAAGGGGAAATCTATCAGCTAGAGAAAAGAAATGCAGGGAGACAGATGGTCCGCCACAAAAATAAATGGGAGCTGTCATAATAATTGACGGAACGCTTGAGATGGATCGAGGAATGGTCGAAGCAGTGTAAAATGCCCCTCGATGGAGTCAAATTTGCAAAAGAATTTTGCATATTTAGTTCTTCTCTCCTACTTTGGCCCTTTACATACTGTCCCAGTGGCCACATCTTTGGAAGTTTCTTTTGTTTGCTTTCATGGCTCATCTCCTTTTACTGTATATACTGATCATGACTGCTGGACCTCTTTCTGCGCAAGATCCAGCTTCTCCATGGCCTCCTCGGCGCTCTTGCCTACGCTCAACTCGGTTGCCTTGTCGCCCTTGAGCGAACCGTCAGGTTGAGCTTGGACCGGCGCGCCGTTGGCGGCTGCGGCTGCGCCAGGATGTCTGGTTCCCTTGTCCTTGGGCTTCTTCTGTTTCTTCTGCGGGGCCGCTGGTGGCGGGTAGGCCTTCTTTTCAATTTCCTGGAAGGCTTGCGAGGCCTGGTATTGTTTCTGAATGGGTTCGAGGAGGGTGGTGAGAGCAGCGGTGACGGCAGCCTTGAGGAGCTGGGGAGTGAGCTGTAGAGTTTTATATCGTCAGCATTGAACTTTTGTCTCTGGCAAAGTATCGAGGTGTAAGACAAAAAGGAAGGTTGGGAGAAACGTACAATATCGGCAATGTAATCCTTCTTCAGCTCTTCAATGTTGGAATAGACAAGCGGCTCGCCCTCGCGACGCTCGACGACAAACTTGGGCTCGCCGGTCTTGAGCGCGCTCACGGGAAGCAGGACATATTCGACAAACGAAATGACGCCGTTGCCCTCGACTTCCTTGGGTGCGGCGTACGCCTTTTTCAGCTTCTTCTTGATAGCCTCTGGTGCGTCAAGAATATCAATCTTGGAGTCAGGGTCGGACGCTGACATTTTGCCACCCGCGAGACCGGGCACCATGGGGTTCATGAGATGCGCGCGCTCCTTGAAGCCCAGTTTGCTAAGAGTTTCGGCCGCAAGAGCGAAGATCTTCCGCTGATCGGCACCGCCAAACTGCGCATCCACCTTAAGGTGCTCCTCATCGAGGGCCTGCATGAGCGGGTAGATGAGACCACTGAGCGGGGCATTTTCGGATTGCTTTACGACCTCAGCACCAGCCTTCTTCGAGTCGTGCTCTGAGACCACGGAGCTGAGTCGGAACAGGTCCATTGTGTATTCGGGAGTAAGCTGGTAGCTGCTTCCCAGGACGAACTCGAGTCGGTCAATCGGCACGTTGAGAGCCGTCAGCAAAGCCACAATGACCTGCTTGTAGTATTCGGCGCGGTAGTTGACTAGCTCAATCGGCGCCTTCAGGTTGTCCAGGAAGGCGTGAATGTCGGCGAGAAGGATCTTGATCCTACAACCAGCACGCAGAAATTGTGCCAGTTTCACCATGGGCACAAAGTAGCCACAGTGCGGTCGCCCAGTTGTTGCGGTACCTATTTAAAGGGAAAACCATTCGTCAATCATATGTCTTGGGGCATGTCGTTTGGAGGAAATGCAGAGGTCATTGGAATAATTGTAGACCCATAAGAAACACTCTCCAAAATATCACGAAAAGCAAAGACATTGCCAACATACCCCAGTAGAGGACCAGAGGCCGATTCTGCTTGACAATCACATCCTCGATAATCTCCGGCTTCATAATTTCCTGGAGATTCTCCCCAATGAGGGCAATCTTCTCCTGAGGGGTCAGGTCCGCCATGGTGGGGTTTCCGATCTGTGGGCGGGGCAAAGTTCGAATCTGAATTCTTTGGCAAATGACTGCAGTTTTCGGGAAAGAAAAAAAAGTCACAGAGACCGGTTAGAGAGCCGGATTTTTACCTGTGTTTGCTGCTAAAGGGTATCGACGCAGAGGAAAAACAAGAGAAAGAGTAAATGGTGAGTCAAGCAATGGGATTTGTTTCTTGTGACGGAGAATTGTGCAGATTATCCTCGCTTGTGCACGGATTTGTGCATGCACAAGTCTACCCCACCAACCCGCCTTCTCTCCTCCAGGGCGTCCACTTACCATGTTGCTCTACGAAGGTAATATTTGATCCATGTACAGAGAATAATATTGTTGTACTTGGAGAATTCGCTTGCACGATATCTAACCACCTTTTATGTTGGAAAAATTCATTCTTGGTAGCCATATTGATTCATAGCAAGTTTAAACAAGCATCGTGATGTTGGACGTGCCCCGCAAAAGGAATGATGGTTCAGTAGCACAGGCCCAGCGGATAATAATGGATGAATTGCAACACCAATAGCGTCAGGTTTAATACTTAGCAAAGCAATTTAATTCCAGTTTGATACGTAGAGAAGATTATTGAAACACTGGACGATCATTTATCTGACGTTGGTCCTGACCTCTGCTTCTTTACAGACTTAGCAAGAGGCGACCTTTCCAACATCACTTGACGATGAGAGGCTCGAGAATCGAAGACGACATCTAAGCTGCACAATCTGCAAAGGCTGAGCAGCTGAACTCTCCTTAATTCCAATCCACTGTGGTCTCAACAATCAAATGGCAGCAATGACTGAAGCTATAACATCCTAGGACAAAACTTTTCGATCATCTAATGACCTCCAGCTAAACATCAAGGCTCATGCTGCTCAGTCTACAACTTATCAAGTTCAAAACTGGTACTTGTTTGGTTTTCGAACCAGCAAAATTGCACGCTGCTACGTTATACCAGAAAAGGCTGACTAGAGCAACATCCTTCTAGGCAACATTCGTCGCCTTCGTTGCGTTTTGACTTTGGGGCTCTCGCATCTCATTCGACTTCGAACCGACTTTTTTACTAGACTGCTGCGTATTCCCGCCACTTTCGCCCTGGTTGCAATGCTCAGCTTAGAGGCCAATAACCTCGAGCCATTCGAGCAGGAACACTCCCCCAGGTGAGGAACCAAGAAAGGCTCAGTCTCCGCCTAGCAGACACGCCCATAAAGTTACAGGTGGAGGGGCTGTAAGAGGGAGCCTTTCAACGGGGAATCGGAGAGCAATCATGCGCTCATCCTACTGCTCTTACCTTGTTCCACTCTCCAATGCGAGTTTTTTTTTTATGATTAGCTGTTTGATGACATGAGCCATGGCCAGTACATAAGTTGTGGCGGATCAAAAACAATCGATCGATTCAAGATCTAGTCAATCGAATCCAATCAGTCCGCCGAATCTCCGCACTGGACCCAACCTTATCCGTTCTCCCGACTTGTGCTGGCTCTCCCACTCGCAACCGCCCTCGGTGGAGGAAACAAGACCTTTCGAAGTCTTGATTACCGTCGTCATTATCATTCCATTGGCTGCAGACATCACCATTTTCCTGTTATTTTCTGCTGTTGGCATCGATCCATTTTGTTGCGAGTTTTGTGAGGCTTGAACAAGAGTTCCACCTGTCTCGGCACCATTCCCCTCGCTCGATTCGCCGTCCCAGAGCCACCGTCTGACGCTCACTTTCGTTTGGGCAGCTCGATTCGCTAAGTGACCGGGCCCAGCGATCCCATTGAATGCTTGAGCCGTGCACGCATCGTTACGTCCGATCCTGAACCCTCGTTCAGTCGCCAGTGGGCTATCGCTCCTGCTGGTGTTATTTCTTATATTATTATCGCCCTTTAATATATACAGTCCCGCTCTTTGCTTCAAGTGGCGGGCTGCCTGCTTGAATGCGCCGCCTTTGAGCTAGTTTTACTCCACGATTATGACGAAGCTCGGGCTGAAGGGTCGCCATGGTTCCGGCGAGAGCTCGAGCAGCTGGCGTTCGCAGGACACTGTCAGATCACTTTTTCGTGGCAACTCCTCGCGTCATTCTATTATAAAGACAGATCCAAATGGCAAGGCGCAGTAAGTGTTTTCCGTTTTGCCTTCTCTGTTTTCCTTTGAAGCTATCCCAAAGCGCGCCCAAGCTATTCGCCATTCTATCATACCCAAGACCCTTCTGAATTGAGCGGATATCACCCTTGAAGCCATGTCTCTTTCCACGACTCAACGCCGATCGATGCTAAAGGCAATTTTTGCATCACAAAACCATTGATGATGCGCGGTCTCAGAGCCCTTGATCATTTGAGCGTCTTTTCGGCTTCTGAGACATTCGCCTCCAGCAAGCTTCTGTGTTGTCGTCCTTGGTCTCGACCATGCTGCTGGACGCTTCAGACTGACTCCCCATTGTGTGCACTATTCTAGGAATGTCGACGACGGAGCTATTTCACCCGGTGCGATGAATCCCCGGCCTGATTACTTCTCACACAGCTCCCCCGAAGTATCGCCACGGGACTTGAGGATGCAGGAAGACATTGGAAACTACCAGCAAGCTCTCCAAGAGCTCGGTGCCGCAGCAGAAGAACGGTCGGGGCAGTCACAAAACCAGCAAGGAGATGGCGCTGCCGCTGGTCCGAACCGTGTTCGATCATCTGTTGATCTATCTATGGCTCCCCTCGAAGGCGCAAGCCATCGAGGTGCTATGAACGGCGCAGCTGGAAGATCTCTCCCATCATCTCCGTCAATCCACCCAGGCTCTAAGCCTCCGACTCTCCGTGAAGCGCCCGATATGAACGATGACCGGCGACCCTCTGTGGCGAGTGCAAATACCGTGAGTAGCACAGGCTCCAGAGGAAGCACAGGGAGGATTCACCGAAAGCTCCATGGCATGTTCGGCGATGACCAGTCCGGACGAGAATCTCGTCAGGGCTCAAATACAAGCCTTCCCATGTCGGCAAAGGAAAACTCAAATCAGTCACAGCGTGGGCGGGACCACTTTCTGGGAGAACCTTCCATGAGTCGATCAGAATCGCCGTTCGGTTCCCGGCCACGAACACCTCTTCCCTCTAGTGATGTTGTGCCATGGGTGTTCCAAGATTTTAAGGTGAGCTTTCCATTTCGGTTTATCTCCTTTGAAAGAGTGTTTTGGGGGAGGAGGAATATCCAGATGTTCACAGGACCTTCACTGGAAGGCAATTGTTTGATTCGGTTGGAGTGAGATTTTGGTGACGTGTTTTCCCGAATTGCTGTCAATATTTTGAATTTCCCTTGATTTTCAACTAATGCATGGTGGACTGTAGGACATTCCCAATTACGGCGACGCACCAATCCGGGAGGCTCCTTCCTCAACTGACATACACCGGTACGCGGGTGATAATAATCAAGCAGATCGGAACAATGGCTCTTCCACACGTGAACCCCATCAACATTCTCACAGATTTCACTTGCACAGGCACCATAAGAGTAAAGAAGACGCTAAACCACCTCCTCGAGATCAAAGAACCGCGGAGCTTTTGCGCACCGCAGGTGTTGGAGATGGATCGGCACTAAGTCTAAAGGGACATCCAGCTTTCAGCTCCCGAGCCTCAGTTGCCTCAGGAGCAACAAGTCCTACGCCAAGTTCCTACAGTGCTACGAATCGTGACCCAATGAACAACATGAGAATGCAAAGTAACGCGAGCAAACGCTCGCTTTTTGACAAATTCAAGCGCGGGAATCGGCATAAAGATGACAAAGGTGCTGCTGCCGATGAGCTCAACAGTCTTCCCGGCTCCACTAGATCCCTAGTGGACAACCAGAACAACCAGAACATGGCCCCAAAACCTTCCAGGCTAGAATCTTCCACGGGAAGTCTGAAACGCCGGGGCCCCAGTTTGGCCGGCTCGGATATCACTCTGAAACCCGGGTCTCAAGATCATGGTCAGCCGGCGCCAATTTCACGGAAGGAATCTATGGTTCCCAAGGTTCCTGGTCACGGGCGTCTTAAGGGAGCTGTTAGACGTGGACTGAGCTCCGATGTGCAAACCGGTAAAGACCTTGCCAGCCGTAAAGGCAGCCAGGCGATCAATTCGTGGTTCGACCTGGACACAGACCTTAGCCGCATGGAAGGAATCGTCACTCAACCTCCACCGTTACATCCAGCGGACGGCGAAGTGTTCGCCGGCGGTCCGACAACTGACGAACAACGCTCTGAGATACTTGAGGTTAATGCCTCCCGCGGAAGCGGCGCTTGGGATGCGCCCGACAGCTGGGCGGTCAAGAAGGTGGGAGATGACAACATGAGTCGTCTGCCAGAGATTGATGAGGCCGGCATTCCACATAAAGACGTGGACGATGGCCATCAGTACTGCATCCGCATTTTCCGTGCTGATTCCACGTTTGCGACCCTCTCCACCGGCCTCAACAGTACCGCAACGGAGATACTCCACACTTTAGGCCGAAAATCGTTTCTCCAAGACGAGCTAGGGAATTATCAGATCATCTTGCGCAAGCACGATTTACAGCGACAATTGGAAGCGGGCGAGAGACCGGTAGCAATCCAGAAGCGGCTTTTGGAACAGGCAGGATACACGAGCAAAGATCACATTGATGAGATTGGTAGAGAGGATAATAGCTACTTGTGTCGCTTCACGTTTGTACCTGCTAAGCTGAGCGGGTTTTCCAGCCTCGAGCGCGACCCAGGCTTCAGCAAGATGCAGAAGTTCAGTCACATTGACCTCCAGGGCCGCAACCTGATCACTATCCCCATCACCCTGTATCGGAAAGCCACCGAAATCATTTCTTTAAATCTTTCGCGAAATTTGTCGCTCGATGTACCAAAAGACTTCATTCACAGCTGCATCAATCTGCGCGAGCTCAAGTATGTCAGCAACGAGGCCTGGCACCTTCCGCCCAGTTTGAGTCTTGCAAGTCGACTCACAGTATTGGATATCTCAAACAACAAATTGGAACAGTTGGAGCATGCCGATCTGAGCAAGCTCACCAGCCTCGTGAGCATCAAACTGGCGAACAATAAGCTCAAGTACCTGCCAGAGTATTTTGGCGACTTCACCCAATTAAGGAGTCTCAACCTCTCATCGAATTACCTTGAATCTTTTCCCGATTTCCTTTGTCGTCTTAAATCGCTGGTCGATTTGGACATCAGCTTTAATGCCATCAAGAATCTGCCCGACATTGGTCAATTGACCACCTTGGAGCGGTTTTGGGCGACCAACAATCGTTTGACTGGGTCTTTCCCTGAGGGTTTCAAAGAGCTCTCGAGCCTCAAGGAACTGGATGTGCGATACAATGCCCTCTCCAACATTGATGTTGTCGCACAACTACCACAGTTGGAGCAGCTCATGGCTGGCCATAACTCGGTGCCCGGTTTCACCGGTACATTTGAAAAGATCCGGACGTTTTACCTGAACCATAATCCAGTCACCCGCTTTACAGTTACTACTCAAATTCCGACAATGACTACACTGAGTATTGCGTCGGCGAAATTGTCGGAATTGCAGGACGATTTTGCTGAGCAATTGCCCAACTTGACCAGGGTGATCCTCGACAACAACCATCTCGTCTCGCTTGGCCCGCAAATCGGAAAGTTGCGCAAGCTCGAGCATTTGAGCTTGGCCAAGAATCAGCTGAACAACCTTCCGGCCGAAATCGGCTTACTGCAAGAATTACGCTTCCTGGACCTGCGTGAAAATAATTTGAAGAAGCTGCCTTCCGAAATTTGGTGCGCTCTTCGCTTGGATACGCTCAACGTCTGCTCCAACGTGCTCGATGTCTTCCCTAAGCCACCACCGCTGTCGCAGCTGGAGGCAGGCGTAAATAACAATCTTGCAAATCCTACTGGAGGAGTTTCGTCGCTATCATCGAGCCCGAGTTTTGAAGAACTTGGAAAACTCGAAGATTTCCAAGCGCGACGGCCGAGTCATGCTTCATCTACGTTGCTCAGTGTTGGAAGCTCTCCAGCCACCTCATACCGCAAAGGATCGATCGCGTCTATGTATGGCCCGGGCGGAAGAAAAACCTCAACTACTTCGAGAACGCCGACGGATGGCATGATAACTCCCGTCGCACGAAAGGATTCGAGTTTCTCAACAAGGGTTGCCAGCACATTTGCTGGCTCGCTCCGCCACCTCTTTCTAGCGGACAATCGCTTGACTGACGACGTTTTTGACGAGATCACATTGCTGCCCGAATTACGGATATTGAATCTTTCTTATAATGAGCTCTATGATATTCCGCAGCGGTCCCTTCGACGTTGGCCTCATCTCGCAGAGCTTTTCGTATCCGGAAACGAACTTTCGTCTCTCCCTTCAGATGATTTTGAGGAGGGCAGCTCTCTCAAGGTCCTTCACATCAATGCAAACAAGTTCCAAGTTTTGCCTGCGGAGCTCGGGAAGGTCAACAAGCTTACCATTTTGGACGTGGGCAGTAATTCGCTCAAATACAATGTTTCAAACTGGCCGTATGACTGGAACTGGAACTGGAATCACAACCTGAAATATCTCAACTTATCTGGCAACAAGAGATTGGAAATCAAGCCCAACCCCTCTTCATATAATTATGGTTCTAGCGGTGCTAGAGAAGGCCGCGATCTTACCAATTTTAACTCCCTCACGTCTCTTCGAGTCCTTGGACTAATGGATGTAACCTTGACGATCCCCTCGGTCCCCGAGCAGACAGAGGATCGAAGAGTCCGTACATCCGGTTCGTTGGCTGGTTCCATGACGTACGGAATGGCGGACAGTCTTGGCCGGAATGAGCATCTCTCCACCATCGATATGATAGTCCCCAAATTCCGTGGTCATGAGACTGAGACGCTTCTTGGAATGTTTGACGGGCAAGCCTTGTCAAGCGGCGGCTCAAAGGTTGCCAAGTTTCTGCAAGAAAACTTTTCGTTCCAATTTGGCGAAGAGCTTAAACGCCTTGAAAGCCTGCGGGAAACGCCAGTCGATGCCCTACGCCGGGCGTTCCTCGCCTTGAATAAGGACTTGGCCACTGTTGCCAGCCAGTCCATGGATGAGAAGGAGCTTCGAGGCTCACAGCTGGGGCATCGAGGCTCCATTGTAGCTCCCATACTAAGCTCGGATGATCTTGCATCGGGAAGCGTTGCCACCGTGCTGTTCCTTCAGGGGATGGAGTTATATGTTGCAAACGTGGGTGACGCACAGGCAATGCTTGTTCATTCCGAAGGCGGTTATCGGATCCTTACTAGGAAGCATGACCCGGCTGAGCCGAGTGAGCGCCAGCGCATCCGGGAGGCGGGTGGCTACGTATCAAGACAGGGAAAGCTCAACGATGTCCTGGATGTATCCCGTGCATTTGGATACACCCAGCTGATGCCCGCTGTGATGGCTGCGCCGCACGTTTCTCAGATAACGCTCAAGGAGCAGGATGAGATGGTTTTAATCGCGTCAAAAGAGCTGTGGCAGTATCTTACCCCAGACGTTGCGGTTGACATTGCTCGTCAGGAGCGAGGTGACCTAATGCGGGCAGCGCAAAAATTGCGGGATCTTGCCATTGCATTTGGCGCGACGGGCAAGATCATGGTTATCATGATTGGTGTTGGCGACTTGAAAAAGAGAGAGCGGGCTCGTAATCGTGCCCAGAGCATGTCTATGGGACCTTTGGGCTCGCCAGATGAACAGGTCTTCTCGTCTAAGCGTGGAAAACGGCCTCGAGATGCTGTCAACGATTCCACTTTAGCCAGGCTAGATCAGGAAGTCGAAGCCCCCACTGGCGATGTAAGCTTGGTCTTTACGGACATTAAAAACTCCACGCTTCTTTGGGAGACATATCCGATTGCTATGCGCTCTGCAATCAAGATCCACAACTCCATTATGCGCCGGCAGCTTCGTATCATTGGTGGATACGAAGTAAAAACAGAGGGAGACGCATTCATGGTGTGCTTCCCGACAGCAACATCAGCCTTATTATGGTGCTTCTCCGTTCAAAGTCTGTTACTGGAAGCGCCTTGGCCGAGCGAGATTTTGAATAGTGTACATGGGCAAGAGGTCCAAGATGCTGATGGCAACGTCATTTTCCGCGGTCTTTCGGTACGAATGGGCATTCACTGGGGATGTCCCGTGTGCGAGCCTGACCCCATTACCAACCGGATGGACTACTTCGGTCCAATGGTCAACCGAGCCTCACGAATATCTGCTGTTGCAGATGGCGGTCAAATTACCGTTTCTTCAGACTTCATCACTGAGATCCAAAGGACTCTAGAAGCATATTCGGAATCAGACCGCACAGCGTCCACCGGCTCTGAAGATTCAATGTACGATGATGCGATGGGTCAAGCCATTCGGCGCGAGCTTCGATCTCTCAGTAGCCAAGGGTTTGAGGTCAAGGAACTGGGTGAGCGTAAACTCAAGGGACTCGAAAATCCCGAATATGTCTATCTTATGTTCCCTCATTCATTGGCGGGCCGCCTGATTGTTCAGCAGCAGCAGCAGGCAGATGCCGAAGCTGCTCAGGCAGCAAATAACCCTGGTAGCAAGAGCAAGGATAGTCAACTCACCATTGACACACAGATGGTCTGGGATCTGTGGAGCATCAGTTTACGGCTAGAGATGCTTTGCAGTACATTGGAGTGTCCCGGCTCAACGGAGCTCAAGGCACCCGAGACAGCAATCTTGGAACGGATGAAGAGTCGTGGTGGTGAAGTCACGGACCGATTCCTGGTCAATTTCGTCGAGCACCAGGTTTCAAGAATCGAGGTAAGCTTTCTGTTTCCTGTCAATCCAATTGATTCTCAATTGCGGATCTAATATGTGTTGCAATTACATAGACGTGTACCACAACACTCGCTATGCGGCACCTTGTGCGACCCTTCCGCGCCCATCGCAATATTCTCGAGGACGCTTGTCCTATGGGAGACATCTTTGCGGGCCTCCACAAGGAGCTGGCCGACCTGAAAGCTCTCAAGGCACGCCTCGAGTCTGGCTCAAAGAATTGATCGCCAGTGAATATTTTCTCACTGGCCGTGTACTTTTATTCTTCTTGCCTTCTTCTCTTCCTTTCTCTTGGTGCCGCGCCATCACTTTACGGCTTCTCCCTGCGCATACTTTTGATGCAGCGTACGGATGGACCCTTGCTAGACCAGCCGGAATTTTCTTCTTTCGCAGTCTCATTGCGGATTTTATCCACCTACATACCAGACTTATGTGTCTCACAGACTTTATTGGTATCCTTTCTTCCTTGCCTCAGTATGCAAATTTTATTCCACGCATATGAGGTATGAGACTACCCTTCATCTCTTGCCAAGTTGCATGAAAGCAACATCTGGTCTTGTCGCCTTCTATTCTTTTTCCGGAACAAATATGTTTTGGGTCCAATTGTTTGCTTCGAATGTTTGGTCTCTTGGAATGTCGCGCAATTGGTACTTTTCTTTTTCTTTCTACGTCTTGTTTTATACGGAGTAACGTGGCCTGGAAACACGGTATATGGGACCCAAGCACGCGCTTTTCATCGGTTATAACTTACCTTTGATCTTTTCCTGTATCCTACTAACCTTTTTCATTTTACTTTTTCTATTTCTTTTCTTTATTATTTTGCTTTCATTTCATTTCTTTGGTGATGGATTACTCTACGAAATTGGATGATTGTCTTTTTTTTTTTCACTTTTGATGGGATGGTTTGGGCGTTTATCAAGGATCAGCTCTTTTCTTTTCGCTGTTTTCTTTTTCACGTCTATTCTTTAGCTGTATTTGATCGGGTACATCCTGTACGATGTTGACAACAAACAAGGTCATATTTCTTTTCTTTCCCTTTTTTTGTTATTCTCCTTGATTTTTATTAAACTTTTGACATACCAAAGTCTGGGCTGATGGGGGATATATTGTATTCCTTTGTACAGCTATCTATCCCTCTCCCGCTGTTAGTTAGTTATCCTGGAACACAAACGGAAACGGGATTCCTGGAAAAAAAAGGAGAACGAGAGATGTGTATATAAAAGTAGTTGAATAATGAAATTTTTACTAACTCTCAACAATTTTTTTT